TGGGCTTGTGGTTTAGTGGTATAATACTCCCTTAGCATGGGAGTGGTCCGGGGTTCGATTCCCCGCGAGTCCATTTTTTGCTCTCAACATGTTGATTGATGATGAGTTGGTTTTTTTTAGCCTTGCATACAAGAGTTAGATTACGGGTAGACAATATTGATGTCTCTGACTGCTGTTATCATCATTGCATAAGTCTCCCTGTCATGATATTAACATCAGAGGTCCCTTGTTATGTACTAACTACCAGAAAAACCCAACATGTCCTATGCACATCACCGCCATATATCCTGACGACTATCTCTCTTGAATCCGCCACTGCTCTTCGGCCGACCATCCTCGACTGGCACGGCCAGGAAACCGCCAAAGCCGTTCCCGACCAAGACGCTCTTCCGTGCATCACCGCCCCAAGGCCGGCTCAGTTGCGCGTCCTGTAGACTCACGGGCCGGGTGAAACTGTCACGCTTCCCGCGAGTCGAGGGAGGTTCGTACGGGGTGAAGTTCCACTCGAACTCGTCCAGGCCTTTGCTGTAGACGTTCAACGGGCGAGCTAGGCCGGTCCGGAACGGGTTCGGGCCGCGCGCCTCGCTGCCTGCTAGGAGACGTGGGGGAGGAGCGAGGAGGAGAGTCTCTGGGAAATTTGCGTCACGGACGTAGAGGTCCCGGAGAGAAGGGAGCTTGTTGGATATGAGCGACCCGACGAGATACGTGTAGTACGAGGTGGCGACAGGCTGCATGCCGTAAGCTCCGCTGGTATCGGAAGTGATCTCGTAGTGCAACAGTGTCAAGGACTGGGAAGCCAGCTGGGGCACCTGTTCCGCTGGGAATGAGCGGGCCACCTCCTGGGTGACGAGGAGGCCACGAAGGCGGGGGGCGGTTGAAAGCACCCGGTGGAGATCCTGAGGCAGAATGCCGGTTGACGAAAGGGTCAGATAGAGCAAGGCCTGTTGAACTTCTGGGGCCGAAAGGAGAGCGACAAGCCCGCTTGCCGTGAGGTTGGGGGTGTTGCGCAGAGTCAGACGCTGCACAGCAGGGAACTGAGGCAGCGACTGACTAGGCGCAAACAGGGAGTCCTCGAGCCAGGGCAGATCCTCCAAAGTCAGAACCCGCAACTTCGGGAAGGAACTAAGGCTAAACCGGATGGTGTTGTCGTCCACGTACAGCCCGGACAGCTCAAGCACTTCAAGGTTGGCCCACAATTGGACGTTTGGTAGACGAGCAAAACTGCCTTCGGCGCCGTGTCGGTAACTCATGCGACGAAGGTCAGGGCAGCGAGCTATCAGCTCCTGCTTCAAGGTGAGACAGCTGGGATCATCGCCGTACAGTCCCGCGGGGAGGTCTACAAAACGGAGGTTGGGGAGAACCGAAATGGTGCGTGCCAGTTCCGCCTTATTCGCCTCCCGCGTCATATAGGGCATTCTCAAGGACAGAACCATGTCGGCCAAGGCCTGCGAATCACGGACGGTTCGCATCAGCAAGGTGAGCCGGACCTGCGGCGCATCTATGGGGTCACCATTCCGGTCAAAATGGCGTTGCTTCCGCTTGGCAGCCAGTTCCACCTCGAGTTCGCAGTAGTGGACAGCGTCGATGCGGACGTGGGAATACCTGGAAAACAGAGATGAGCGCGCGACGCCAAAGAATCTAGCAGACCCAAACTCACAGTAAAGCCTGTGCTTCCGGCCTCCAACGTCGGCAGACCTGGGCGCAGTTTGCAAGATCGCGCATATCGCACAACATGCAGCCATCCTCGGTCATGGACTCCTCCGAGGTATCGTAGCTGTCATCGAGCGCATGGGGACAGACAAAGGAGAAGATCTTCGATAGAACCGTTGGGGGTAGAGCTTTCGTCAGGTCGCGACCAGGAACACCACCACCACCACCAACACCAGCAGCACGCAGCGAAACGGGGTCTTTGCGGCCCTCGCTGCGGAGATGCTCATAACTGGCCGCTTGCCCCGCACGGCGTTTGGAACGATTTCGCAGTCGCTTTAGAAACTTCATGGCTGAATGGAGAGGAAGACTGGAGGCAGGCAGGGGAGAGGCATCGATAAGAAGCAGTGAGAGGAGCAAGAAAGACAGTATCAACAGAGAAAAGGGGGACTTCTAGTGAAGAGTGTTTACACAGCCTTTGAGTAGTTCATTCAGCAGCACCAGAGAATGCCTGCAGCTCTTAGCAGTGGGTACAGCAAGATTCAAAGAGACCAGCTCCCTTGGCTGTCTGCAGTCCCAGACACTCTTTGTCGGTGGTTGGCGAGGGGTAACCTCCTGGACCAGCCACTGGCGCCCGTCGCTTTCAGGGACTCTTGAAACTTGAAACACAGCCTCCATGTATACACAGATGACTAAGCATGCGTCCAGCGTCAGCAGTGCACGGACGGCGGGAAGAGATGACAGAATATTATGCTGAGTCAGCTTGGGGTGTACAGTGTACACTAAGCACTGTGTGTAGTAACTACCTGGTAGTTACCTAACTATAAGTAGCTAGGTAACTACAGGTAACTACAGGCCAGGTGCCTCTGTTTGATACCAAGTAGTGACCTGTACTAGTAAGTTAACCAGAAATCATCATACTCAATACAACATGACTATAGGTAGTTACTATTGAATATCTATAGCTGCTATATAGTCGATTTTGGTGTCTTGATTTCCCCCTTATAACAGTTGTGCAATTATGTCAATTTTACAATATCTACCCAGAATAAAACATATTCCAAGCATCATCCTTTCCTGCTCACTTAATTCAATAGATCTCACCTATTTATTATCCATTATCTCCGGCGACGCTGGTGACTGAAGACGAAGATCCATCGTGCTGGGGACAATAGACCGGAAATAAGCCCTTATCTCCGCATGGTAACTATAGTGAGATCTACCGAGGTTCAATTACAATATATAACAGAGAGAAATCCTAAGTTGTGGATATGAATGGCCGAGAGTAGAGGTTGAAGTTGGCTACCGAGGTACCGTACTATCTATTTACCGTGTAAACATTGAACAATGGCGCTTTCTCGGGAGGAACGACTGCAGCTTGCAGCCATGGATCCTGAACTAACAGAGGTTAGCAAGCTAGACAAACACTCTGTGAGTGGAACAAGATGCTGATGATACCTGTAGTACTTGAAAACAGCGCATATTCCACAGGTTGATTCTTCCGACCCCTCCAGGGTCATCGCAGGGCTGCGATTGTACATGAAAGGTCTATACAAGAGCCCAGACCCAGAGAGTGGAGTTGTGGAGCGGGACATCTTCTTCTCAGCACGAGACGGATTCCAGCTGCGTGCTCATATCTATGAGCCGACTGACAAATCTACTACTGCCCGTCCGCTTGTTGTATACTACCATGGTGGTGGTTGGACGATTGGATCGCCAGAAGACACCGCAAGACACTGTCGACAGATAGTGCAAAAGCTGGGAGCTATATGCGTTGCACCGTCGTATCGTCAGGGTCCTGAAGACCCATTCCCGGCGAGTATCAATGATGCATGGGATGCCCTGCTGTGGCTTGCCTCTCACGCCGAATCTGAGATTGGCGTCTCTCTATCCCAAGGTTTCGTCGTGGGGGGATCTTCGGCCGGAGGCAACATGTCCGCTGTATTGAGCCACCGTGCCCGCGACGAGGGCTTGACATCTGCCATCACTGGACTATTTCTTCTAGCACCCTCGATTCTCCCGCCGGGAACCATCGTTTCGCTGCCCGAGAAGTACAAAGAAATGTATCTCTCCCGTACACAAAAGGAGTGTCAGAAAGACCCAGTTCTCAGCCCTGCCCTCCAGAAAATCTTCCTTGACTCGGCTCAGGGGGATGAGCAATCGCCAATGTTTGTGCCCTTTATCTGGCCCACAGGCCACAGGGGACTCCCGAGAACCTATTTCCAAGTCTGTGGCATGGATCAAAACCGTGATGAGAGCTTGATCTATGAACAGACGCTGCGAGAGGACAACGGAGTCGAGACAAAGCTGGATCTCTATCCTGGGATGCCACACATATTCTGGGGGATATTTCCAATGTTGACACAGGGAAAGAAAGCGGCAGTTGATTTTGAAGCTGGTATGCGGTGGCTGTTGCAAGGGAGTAAATGAGTATCCTGTCTGCGAAGATATTTCCTGTATGTAGAAACTGGATTAGAGACCTCTTCTAATCCGAATACTGAGTCTGAGTCATAAAAATGTCATGTGCAATTTCATTGTTTACATTTTCCCTAATGCGGCCCACCACTAAAGGGAAGGCCTCCTGGACTCAAGACAGACGTATTGGAAAATAAACAACTCGCTAGGGACAATAGTTATAAGGATCTCATTTCTGAAACCCGACTCTCTGTTTCCTTCATTTTCTAATAGGAAGATACAGGACTTTTCTACTGCTCTCGAGGCATATCATCATGACATCATTCTATGAGCTATTCTCCTTCACAGATGAGATATTTGTTTATTCACGAAGAGCGCTGGTATACTGGTGCTATCACAGTACAGAAATATGGGCAAGATGTTTTCTTGAATGGTCTAGATCCATTCTGAGTTACCTCATCAGTCTATGCTGAGTAGAGTGGCCAACATTCAACCGAAACGCCTCCTCATACCATCTCGCTGCACCTCAACATACATCACCTAACAAGCGTACTGGGACAATGGCCAATGATACAACAGGTGCAGTAGGACCGCCACTGCCCAAACCCGCCGTTACCAACATTATCTCCGAGGACACTGGAGAAGAAGAGAGCTGGAAGCACCGCCCACCATATCGGATTCAATCTCTCGAGGAGTTTGGGCCCGTCAAATGGAAAGGAACATGCAAATGCGGGCAGATAGCATACTACTTGAACAGAGACAAGCCACTCAAGGCCAAGTTTTGTCACTGTCGAGGATGTCAAGTCATGCACGGTAGGCATTAATGCTATAAACATCAAGTTCAATGGATACTAACTCGAATAGGAGCTCCCTTTCAATGGGCCGCAATTTTTCATAAGGCTGATATGTTCTTTGCCAAAGGGGCTTCCGGTCTCTCATTCTATTCATCTGCTCACCAGACCAGAGAATATGAGACGCCAACAAAAGTATATTGCTCTTTCTGCCACAGCCCGATTATGGATGAAGGTCGCAATGTATGCTTGATTTTCCCAGAATTAATTGACTTTGGAGAGGATAAGCTGCTGCACACGATGAAGACATTTTACCCAAGGTAAGGGAAGTTCAATCACCGCTTGCGACAGATGAAAAGAATATGCAATTGATTCGATAGCTGTCATATCTTCTATAGCGAACGTTGTCTGGAAATCATGGACGGGGTTGAGAAATGGTCAGGCATGGACGAAGACAGCGAATTGATGGATGATCGGGGCAATGTGAAGAAGAATTCCTAGCCATTGGAGTATTGCTGCTGAATATTATGAGATTTGTATATCATACCACTGAAGAGAGACAGAACCATTGCCTTACCTTCGATAGTGCTCAAGAAGGCGAATCGAGCTATCTTCAAGCAAGCCTTGTTAACTTACGATCATAAAATAAATAACAAGATAATTTAAGATATCTATACAGCTTATGCCCAGTACTTTATCAAGATCCATGTCGTGGAACAGATACATCAGACCCGATGACGTCGCCATATCTCTACTCACAACCACAACAATGTCAAAACCCCTGGGGAATCCCTTTCCATGCTATTTCTTCCATCGAGTCGATTTCTGATGTGGGAATTCCTTATTCTCTTCGCACTCTTCCCCAGCTTCTTCATCGGCGGCATCCATCGTATCGTCCTTGAACCGCTCTCGTCTCTCTTATCTCCCACCCCACCGTCGTCCACCCCGCAACCAACACACCATCAAATATCGTCAACAGCAGCAGCAGCAGCAACAACACCAACAATGACCTGGTTTCAAAAGACGTTTACCCTCCCCTCCCGCGCCCGCGGTTCCTACCTCATCACCGACAATGTCCTTCAGGAACTGCCCGAGCTGCGCGAGTACAAGGTCGGCATGCTGAACCTCTTCATCCAACACACAAGCTGTGCCCTTTCTCTGAACGAGAACTGGGACGAGGACGTTCGTGCCGACATGAGCGATGCCCTGGACCGTATCGCCCCAACGGATAAGAAGGGGACGTTATATCGCCATTCCGCCGAGGGAGAGGATGACATGCCTGTAAGTTTTTTTTTCTCTCTCTCTCTCTGGAGAATGTGTTTTTTTTCCCCTTCTAATTGTTAGGCACACATTAAATCCGCGCTTATTGGCGCATCGCTCAATATCCCCATCACAAACGGCCGGTTGGCGACTGGGACGTGGCAGGGAATTTGGTACTTGGAGTTCCGGGCGAGCAGGCACAGCCGTCGCGTCGTCGCGACTATCCAGGGCGAGAAGGCTTGACGGGCTGATAGAGGGCTTATGCGAATGAACCTTGGATAGAAAAATTTTCTGTGGGCATATGTGTATAAAAAGATGCAAATTATAGGTCATGTGGTTTAGGCGGGTAAATCTGAGACGGTGAAATGCAGACAATCAAGAGATCTTTTACTCTGACACTACGTCTATCGATCTGGCTGGTCTGAACTGTACAAAAATGGCCGATAAGAATATAATTATCCCCCAAGGCACACAGCAGAAAAGATAGGCAAGGGAAACAAGTGATCAACGCCAACCCACAACAAAGAAACATAGTCTACCGTTGCTCTAATCCTCCTTCCGTGACGCGCTGGGTCTCGTTCACCTCAGCGGAATCGCCCGTTGCCTTGAGCGGGTAGCTGGTTGCGGGGAGGGACTCGAGGTATGCACGGTGTTGTTCATGGGCCTGGGAATTGTGTGTTAGTCTTCCGTCGTCTTCGCTCAAATGAAAATTGCCTGGGATTGAAGAAATAGAAATAGAGATTCACATACGAAGGGAACGCCGCAGTAGCCGCAAGTAGCGATCTCAGCCTTATCCGTGTTGATGAAGACCTTGGGGTGTCCCAGCGGACCACCGCCGCCGTCGCATGCGACAACTCTCTTCTTGGTCCACCGGACGGGTTGTTTGTGAATGAGCTCAATGGCAGCCATAGGTTGGGGCTGTATCATGAGAATTAGTAAAATGCTCATCCATTCTCCCATTCAGTCTTCTTTCTGACTACTCACCTGCATCTCCATCACGGTCTGCTCGAACCGAGGGCCAGACATGGCCTCCGCCCGCGGGCGCTGGCTGGCAGCCCATGTGTTGGCGCGGTTGGGGGCCTGAAGCTCACGGCTGCGTTCGGCGGCCTCGGAAACCTCCGCCAAGGGAGTATTGGCTTGGGGAACGTTGGCCTGTAGACGAGGGATGGTCGAGGAGTAGCTGGCACGGGCGACGAAGCCGGCAGAGCGGGCGGACACCGCCGCAATTCGGCAGCGAGCAGAGGACAGCATGGTGGAAAGACTTGAACTCCCCGTTGACGGACACAGAGTACCGAGGAAGGCTCGCGGCGTGGAGTCGGTCGAAAGAACAACACCTCACGAAGGGCTGGTCGGGATCGAAAGGTGAGGTTTGCGGGAGCTCGCGCGACCGCTTGTTCGGCCAATCGGCGTTGCTCCCGCGCTTGATGCGGGCGGTCGCTGACCACTCTGAGAGTTCCCATTACAGAGTGCATTTTTATGCGACTTTCTTTTTATATCAACCCTTTATATTGATCAAAACTGGGTATATGGATAGTATGTCTATTCTTGATGGGGTTCAATCTGTTTTCCTAAAATTAGCCCTCTCTGGTGTCGGTAGGATCTGGTTGTAGGGATAAGACCAATGACGAATTCAGTACAATTGAGACAGATATGGAGAATCAATATACTGCTAGTAATCATTTATCTACCTGTCTACTAGGTAACTTACCTTCTTACTACTTAGAGGTACGTAGGTATTCTTACTATTAGTTACTCCATACACTACCTACGCTATGCTCAGTTACTGCCTCTGTATTGAATTATTGCTTTATCTTATCGCTGCGGCACTTTACCAAACACAGGAAAGCGCAGGCTGCCCAAGCCTCTCACCTGCAAAAAGTTCAACTTTCTATTTAATTTGGCTTCATCGCGGTCTGAACGCTGATACCAGGACTAGGGAGACCCTCAGATCTCTGTTACCTGATATATATCATTATTTTGATTATTCAAGAACAGAACCGTCATCATGCCCGGCCCTGCAGCTGGGGCAAAGCCTGAGAAGACTATGTCTTCTCGACTTCTGACAATGAAGGTAGGCCTTTGCGATTCCAGTACCTCTGCTTTTTGATTCTACTCAGAGCTGATATCGTTGCCCCTGAACAGTTTATGCAGCGTGCTGCTGCCGGAAAGAAAGATTCCCCAGGTGTATCGGCAGAGGAGAGCCGTTCTCCCACACCGAAGCGCCCAAAACATGCAGGCCGCGATCAGCAACAGAGTCCTGCGGCGCCGAGGTCGTCTGATCTCGAGGCCATTTCTGCTGCGATTGCCGCCGAGGAAGATAAACGTCGAGAAGCCATTGCCCGCCAGGCTGCCGAAGCGGGCGAAACAGAATGGGTGCTGGACTTCCCGGAAACTGCAGAATCGAGCTACCAACGTGCCCAGAGCCCTTTGGTCATTGCTGCCGATTCTCTAGATGCCGAGGATGAAGATACAATGCTTGGTGGGCGAAAATGTTTCGGTAACTACCAGCGGAAATCCAAGAAGGTATGGACCCGTGAACTCGATTGCGAGACCCTATTATTAATCAGTAGCATTTCCAGACGCAGGATGGCGGCGAGGCGGATGAAGAGGGAGAAGAAGATGGTGACGCCGATCTGGCCGATCCGTCTAACGTCGAAGCGATGATTCGGAGAGCCAAGGCGCAGGCGGCACAGAAGAACCAGACGAAAAAGCCACACAGGGAGGTCAAACTGTCGAATCTCACTAGTATATCAGGTGGACGTCAGGCCCTCATTGGAAGTAGCAAATCCCAGAAGAAACGCAAGAACAGATAAACCGATCTCTTGGACTCAGTCAGATACCGGCCTATATTTCCCTGAGATTACATGCGGCGTTACGGATGAGCATTGGCGTTTTGGTATGGGCGTTTTGAGTAGGGATCAATATTGCTTTCATTAACCCTCTAGGGAACGATCAACTTGGAGATGCCATCTTCTCTTATCCAGATCTGCACATTGAATATGGTATATTACTTTATGACCAAGACATGCTTATAGCAGCATCGACGCCTCGTTGGCAGGATAATCAACGATGGGAGGGTGGTCCTGCTTACTGTCGAAAGTCTTCGCGACAATTCTTACCTGCAGAGGACATGGGACACAGCCTGCGAAGCTGGCGGGGCGGAACACTGCTACTGAGAGCGGACAGTGCTGTCTACTTTCTCCCAGTCTTTTCGCCCAACATAATTAGTCACATTTCAGTGGAGGGTTTAGAGAACGCCGGCAGTTGGTATCAAAAAACAAATACGACTGTAGCTGTTATGACAAGATGGGAGATCTTCAGTGAGAAGACAGGCCCAGATAAGATGCATTAATTAAATTCGTCCTGTAAAGATGTACAAATATGATTTCCGTATTAACCACCAGATGGTCTGTATAAAATGGTCACAGCTTCGCCTTCTCTTCCCTCTTCATCTTGTCCCAGCTCTTCCGGTTCATGAAATTGCAGGCCACGTTCCAAGTTGCAACGACCACCCCCAACGGCGGCGCCAGGAGCAGCAGCCACGACCACCAGCGCGGACTGCTCGCCCGGATGAGGGTCATGGCCTTGGCGAGCTCTGCCTCGAGATCGGCCTTGTCGCCATCGTTCCACACGGCGAGGCCCCTCGCGCTGCTGACGGCACCACCGCGATACTCGGCCCGGGCGACTTTCCCCCTGACGTCTCCCTGGCTGCGGACCCGATTCTCCGCGTCCTCGGCGCTGAGGTGCGGATCGCGCGCGCGCAGGCGCTGCATCTGCACAGCCGGATCCCTCACGCCCACCACCACGACCGACCCGCAGATGAGATCCATCCCGCTCTCGAACAGGAGCGGCACATCCAGCACCACCGCCCACGAGCCCCGCAGATATTCGCGTGCGAGGGCTTTGTAGATCTCCCATCGCACCGCCGGGTGCACGATCTTGTTCAGGATCATCCGGTCGCGTCGCCGCTCCTCGCTGTCGCCAAACACCCGCCGGCCCAGTGCAGGTCTGTTCAGCGGTTGCTGTTGCTTTTGCCGTCCCGACTTGCCATTTCCGTCCTTGGAGGTATCTTCTTCTTCTGCGGGGAGCAGCAGGTCCGGCGTCGTGGGTCCAAAGTAGTTGACAATCGCGTTGTACCCTGGGGTGCCAGGTTCGACAACACGGCGCGCGATGAGATCCGCATCGATGATTGGGAGTGAGTAGGGCGGCGAGGCCAGTAGAGAGGAGGCTGTCGATTTGCCCGTGGCGATAGAACCCGTCAGTCCGATGATGAGCATTGCGGGGGAAGGTTGACTTTTTGTCTGTTCTTTCAAAAGACTACTTGCTCAGCGCCTGCGCTGAGCTCAAGCGTAAAAGGTTCGGACGATTTGAACGGAAGGGATTAAAGTCAACCAAGTGAAAAGATAACTATTATACTGTGAGACTGGAACGCGATAATAAGGCGGAAAATATCGCCGATGAAGTCGGAGCGGAGTTGGTTCGAGTGCGGGGAGAAACTCATCCTAGAATGACTGTTTTTGTCTCCGCATACAGTAGACCTTACCAAGAAGCACTGTACTCCTTTGTACTCCTACCATGGAAATAAGGCATGCAAAAGACTGACAATAGCTTGAATCTAGCTTGACTTCGGGTCCTTTGCATAAAGTAAGATTATGAATTAAAATACACAGCTCTGTCCTTACTGAGCCTAGAAGAACTTCACCTATCGACGACCGACAATTACACAATCGACTGCAGAACCTCTAATTTTGATCTGATACCTTTTGCCAAATCCGTTACCAATTGCATCACTGCGATGGACTTTCGCCCTTGCGTGGTAGGTGTATCAGATGTCATCCAAGGGATATGTATGCCATGAACCCGTAGGTAGTCATTCCTCCTCCGTGCTGTGGTGTCAATGTTGTCTCTGAGAATCAACACAGAAGGGAAAGAAAAAGGTACCTCTCTTATATCTCAACGCTCGATCCTGGCCCTGACCATATTTTAGGACCCATTGTGATGGTTAATGTATGCCTTGCGCTCTTATCACACCGCTCCAGCCCCCAGCACAGCGTGGTTGGCGTAGGCAGGGGCAAGAATAAGACAAGACAAAGACAAAGATGCAGTTTTGCTGGAGAAAAAAGAAAATAAAACTAGGGCCAACCATACCATACATCTTAATAGACTCTGGATCTGGATGAAACGTGTGTGGTGTGTGTGTGTGAATTGTCTTCGATGCCTTGCTCCCAACCACGCAAGCAGTCGCGCTTCTACCATGCAAGGCCGGTCTGGTGGTTGACTTAAGAGTTTGTCTTTCATCCCTCGCGTGTCTTTCATCATCGGTCGAGTGTCTCGTCTCGCTTCTTCGGGTGCAGTTTTCGGGGTACATCTGGTCGGCTTTTTCCACCTGGGGTTGGGGTCATCATGACTCGCAGCAGCAGTGCAGAATTCAGTCGACGAACGCCGCTCCGTACTTCTTCACAGGTGAAACTTCAGTGAAAAGAAAAGTCTTATACATGCCCGACTCATCCACGCAGACGGCCACCCGGAACGATGATCGCAATACGAGTCAAGAAGCCCTGTCCGACGACAGTGGTCCATACTTTTATGGATTGCATTTGCTGACTGCATGTTTTGGGTATGGATGAAAAAAAAAGACAGATACCCTCCTCTTTTCCAGGTCTTTTGATAGTTTTTCTTTCGCTTGTTCTGTTTTCGAATTGGCTGCTGATATCGTCAGACTCGGATTCAGTCTTTTCCTACCCAGCGTCGAAACCGCGATGGTCAGCACCTCGTTGATATCCATCACCGATGACCTCGATCAATTCTGGCAGAGCAGCTGGGTGATCACTGCATACCTCTTGACATACACGGGTACCGTAACCCTGCATTCGCATCGCCCTCTTGCAATCTCTCCTAACGTAGTCTCAGGATTCCTCAAGGTGTGGACGAAACTGAACGATGCCTTCGGCACTAAACCAGCCTTGCTAGCTGCATTGACAATATTCATCGCGTTCTCTGGAGGGTGTGGAGCGTCACAGACCATGAGTCAATTGTAAGTTCAACCGGGGCAGAAAGAAAGAAGAAGAAGAAGATAGACTGATCACTCCAGAATCATATGTCGGGCGTTTCAAGGCGTAGGCGGGTCGGGCCTCTACTCGCTCAGCCTATTCGCATTTGTTCGCATCGCAGCCCCCAGCAAAAGTTATATTGTGAGCATAGTAGCCGGTTCGGTGGTGTCTCTGGGCCTCATGCTCGGATCAATCTTTGGAGGAGCGTTGAGCTCCGTGCATGCATGGCGATGGATATTTCTTTTCCAGTAAGTGCTTCCTGTCTCTTTGCTTTCATTAAGCTGACCGGAATAGTGTTCCCGTTGGCGCGATTGCCTACGTGCTTATCTGCATTTCCATCCCGACTCACTTCCCCCGTCACTGTGAGGACCCGCCTGCATATGCAAGTTTCCGCGAGATGATACACGACAAGATACCGAGCCTGAAAACCCTGGATCTCTTCGGGATGGGTCTCCTTCTGGCCGCGTCCTTTCTCCTTGTCGCAGCCCTGACCGAAGCAGACGTGCGCTACGGCTGGTCTTCAGGATCCACCATCGTATGCCTTGGTCTGTCGGGTGTGGCCTGGGTAGGCCTGTTCGCCTGGCAATGGTCTATCGGTCAGGAACAGGACAAGGCAAACCTTGAGTCTCTGATTCCATGGTCCTTGATACAGAACCGAGTCCGTTTAGCCGTCGTACTGTGAGTGACTGGGACATATCATCTCGAAATAAACAATAATGAATGTCCCCTGGCTAACCAAAAACACAGAGGCTTCTTCCTGACCGGATCTGCGATGATGATCACGCTGATTCAGATCCCCCAGCGCCTGCAGCTCGTCAACCAACTTACCCCTCTAGACGCCGGGGTGAGGATCCTGGCCTACACGGCCGTGCAGCCTCTCGGAACGATGCTTACCACCATCCTGGCCAACAACTTCAGGATACCCTTTGTCTATATTCTGCTTCTAGGCGCTTCTCTGCAAACCATCGGGATGTTCCTGTATTCAGAAATTACGACCTCGTCGCATCTCTGGCCGGGCCAGTATGGATATTTTGTCATGACAGGGTTGGGGATGGGCACCTCCATTGCGTGTCTGTGTATGATGGTTCCGCAGGTGATAAGGACGGAAGATCAGCGTAAGCTTCTTCAGTTTCTCTTTTTTTCCTTTGCTTGTCAGAGAGCATTGACTGATTGATTCATAGGCCCAGCGATAGGAACAACATTACAACTCCGCACTCTCGGAGGTGCCCTGGGAGTCGCCATCGCCAATAGTGTTTTCCGGCGTTATATCATGTCCCATGCATCTCAGAGTCTTGATTTGAAGGCATTGTTTGATGTCGCTAAAGACATCCATGATCGAGTATCGAGCACTCAGTCCTCGACGACCCTCGTCTTTGCAGAGGCTTATAACATGCAGATGAAGGTAGTGGGCGCCCTCTCTGCTGCACAGATTCTGGTTGCTCTCCTGGCTTGGAGGCGCGAGCAAGTGCTATTAGATAGATAGAATTAGGTATATAGATAGAACCAGAAAGCCCCATGTGTAATGTATAATACTTCAAGAAGCCAAGAGTTGGTTTCTGGATTTCTGGTGTGTTGAGATTCATCATTCGTAACTGCATGCATCTGTATTGTACATTGTAGTAAATCCTGCTGAGATAATTGGCTGTTATTCCTGTGCCTGATCTGTCCATTGTATCGAAGCAGCACATTCTGACATCCAGGAGATGGGCAGCTTAATGAGTTAAGCTAATCCTCGGCATAGACGTTGAGTTCAGACTAGGTTCAATATCCAATTACCCCTTGAAAAGACTTCATTCATCGCTCGACGCGTTTCCAAGAGTACTGATTATACTTCTGGTAACCCGAAAGACGGGTCCTGTTGCTGGCCCTTCCAGCCGATATATGGCCAACCTTGCGGCAAAGAAGAATAGGGCGGGAGGATGTAGCGACCAGCGCATGCTCCTTGACCCGGGCAGGAAAGATCACACAAGCCGAAGACCTTGCAGTAGCATTCTTGGGCAGTTGGACAATGCACAGGGCCTTTGCCGAAAATCACTAGACGGAGCCGTATGCATTAGCAACCAAATGACACAAGTGCACAGATACACTTAGCAGTTCCCGGATAACGTACTGTGCCACGAATACTCCATTATCCTCCCACTTAAATCATCGGGAAGCGGGGTCTCAAGCAACCACTTCCTGAAGCGCTGGTAATCGCTTCTCGGGCGTTCTCTGATCTTGGTGCGCGTGACGCCAAACTGCGCGCAGCATGAGACACCTACTGAATCAGGTACTTCCACGCCCGGGAACAACTCCATGAATCCGTTCTTGAAGTACTCCCCTGCGTGCACGTCCTCGCGATGGGTGTCGGAGAATGGGTGGATTTCCGAAGGACAACCTAAGGTCCAGGCGCAGCGAAGGTTGACGTAGCCTTGTTCTTCGAGGTATGGGACCTGGAAATTGGAAAGCATGGGCACACCATCATAGTATGGGTCGTCGTTGTGCCATTGGTATCGTTGGGGGTGAATGAAGAGTATTAGATCAGGGAGGTTGTCGTAGTTGTCGATGATATAACTATTATGTGAAAGAATTTTCTGGTTAGCAGCTATATCTTTTAAGATCTCTCTCTCTCTCTCTCTATAGTCTTTGAAGATCACTCACGTCAAGTATGCCATCGATTCTCTCCCTTTATTCCTCGGTACTGTCAACTTGGCCGACATGTCATCCACCATATAAATGCTTTTATGCCAATCAGGGAACAGCTCAAATAGCCATGAAGTATTATCGCTCTTCACGCTTGCCATGACCATAGCTTTGTGTATTGTCTGTTGTGATTGCGGTGGCCGTTGCGATGGACTCGCCTGGGCCACTGGGTGTGACGAGTGTTGTCGTAGATCATCTTTCTTGGGAACAGACACTCGGGCAGACTTGGAATCGGCGAAGAAGAAGAAATATAGCGCAAAGATGATGAATATCGTGGTGAGGATGGCGTTGATTTTATTGCGGCGGCGGGGATTGCGGGAGAGCATGTTTCGTCGTGGTTTCAGGCAAGGAATGGGTCAGCGAGGAGACTGTCGGCGATGAATGGTTTGGTGTAGAGAACCTGGTTGGATTGGATGTTTCAAGAGATCGAAGCAAATCATGTCCGCACGCCGAGAGGGGCCAGACAGTGCAGCCGTATTATTGTCTCCGAGGATGCGTAGCAGAAGCGCGAGACGGAGGTTGGTGTAGAGGAGCCTGACATCAGTTTGGGAGCGCGTTTCTCCCGAGTCTCGCCAATACCCCGACAATATTTATTGTCTGTATATATTGCTGACGACCAGACACAGCCCACGCAGAAGGGTGGTGGTTGAGGGAATGAGGATATCTTTTGGACACGAAAGCTCAACTGCCAAGCGGCGGGCGCGAACCGCTGTCAGGCAATACTTTGTTTATGAGCAGATCTTAATCTACCAGAAATCGAGGAACTTGGAAGATCGAATAGAGCGTTAAACAATTAAGCCTTCTCTTTTCGAATTATTCATATTTAACAGATGACTACAGATCTGTACTAATTCCAGCTAAGTACCAAGGTCTGTATACCTTCAGTCTGGTGTGCTATTCCAAGCCTGCTATCTAGGTACGTCTCACAGAGATTGATCATTATCTACTTACACTTATCAATATTCACTATATACCAAGCATGGGCATCTGCACTGGCCCCAGCAGCGCCGGTGTTCCCAGCGGTAGAATCAATGCCCTCGACAACACTGATATCGGAGGCAGAGACCGCAGCAGAGTCGCCGCTCCTGATCCAATACTCGGGACTGGGATGGCTGAACCCGAATAGACGAGGCGGTACTTTGGGAACTACGTCGTTTGTGTGCGTGACACGGTAGTTGGGGCTCTGGGCTGTGATGAAGGTCGCCAGAGCCTTATTTCCGACGCGTGGACACCCGTAGGTGTACTATATAAGATCGATCACATCACATCAGCAGCAGGAAATGACAAAAAAAATAAAGGCACTCGATCTTTACCAGCTCAATCTTGTGTCCGGAGTGACGCAGAACAGCCGCGCCCAGGGTTGCCACTGCAGCCCCGAAGCTGTGGCCGGTGAAAACGACCGAAAAGCCAGGGTATCGAGCCACGGCCGACTCTACCTGTGCAGTCACATCGCTCGCGACGGTCTGCCACGACCCCCAGAACCCACTGTGGACTTCGCAACCGACGCAGATGCTGCTGGCGTTCACCTGGTCGAAAACGAGGTCTGCCAGCCATGTGGAGAGGGTTCGAGAGCCCCGGAACGAAACGACGATGACCTTGTTCGTCGAATCGACCGCTGTGAACCCAGCCACGTCTCCAAAGGACAAGACCCTAACTATAAGCCAGGGGGGTCTTAACATGTCATGACGGCTGAGATGAAGAAAGGGGGAAACCCCCGTACGTACTCGTCGAACTCGTCTAGAGTGGTCGTTGAAGCAGACTCCACGGCCGGGCAATTGCCAGCTGCACAAGAAACTCTGGTACCGGAGGAGTTGAGATTGGACGTGCAGTATGCGGCGGCAGAGTATTCTGCAAACAACGTCAATCTACCCAGGACCTCCGAGGAGACAGCTGTACAGCTTAAGGCGTCAGCACATAGAACCAGAGATTGTCGATTGTCTTCTTATCGGGCTGTATCGTACCCTGCTTCTCTAGCGACCAAGGGGCTGCAAGCGCTGCACCAGCAAAGGTTGATGCCAGAACCTGAAACAGAAGCATGGTTATATCTATAAAGAATTTTTTTTGAGAACCTTATACTGATATTCTCTTCCTCAAACCCATTGCTCAACTGACCTGCAATCTAGAAAATCAGAACAAGGCTGTCTGCTATAATGATCTACTTGGATATGAGGATGCCCCTTGGTTCTGGATTCCAGTCAGCTGCCAGAATTCCAAAGAAGAACCCGAGGAATGATCGACTGTCTCAGCCTGTCATGCAAAGCGGAAGGGCAGTATATTTCTGAATCCTCATTTGGGGTATATGAAGTATGGCAGTTAGAAAGGCATGGCATGGCCTTAGCTAGGAGATTTGACAGAAGACAGTTGATAGATTGAAGGGGCCTTCCTCCCCCTGTACGACTTGGATAATCCCATTTGTCTGAACTGACAGTGTAAATGATAAATGTTCTCGCTCCTGAAAACGCCAACCGATTGGAAAAACCATCATCTCCTATAAAGCACAATACATGAGAAGTCGCTTTTGCCCTAGAGACCAAAAGAAAAGAGAGGAATTAGCCTTCCCTCTCACTCGAATCATCAGGCCAAAAGAATTGCCGTACCTGACCACCCTAGGCACCTGATAGACAACAAAGTGACTCGTTCATTTGTTTATCCCACTGGCTGGATTCGTTTATTGGGCACTCTCGCCATTTCCCCCTTCAGCCGGGAGATCTGCCATGCCCGTATCCTGCCCATCATCCACACCATCGCCCGCAAGGACCTTGGTCCGAGGGACCTGGTCTTCATGTAGAGGGGTCCCCGGCGTGACGGCAACGATGTTGTCGTTCTCATCCACGAACTCGAAGTTATACCGGGACAGCAAGTGCGGAATCGCCGAGAGCTGCGGGCCGTAGCGGCCTGTGTTATCGTAGAGTTCGAACAACGGGACGGCGAGAAGTTTCATGTTCTTCGGAACGGAGAGCACCTCTAATACTTATTAGCAAGAAAGAAAGAAAGAAAGAGAAAAGGAAGGAGAATTACTCTTCTTGGGCAATTGAATAAAATAAAGCTTCTTGCACTCCTTTGGTCGAGTGACATGGCCCGGAAGAAACGGGTACATGAAGGTCTCGAAATTAGGCCGCCACCACTGCGCCAGGGTATCGCCGACTTCCCAGTCCTCATTTACCCCCTCTCCCGAGAACTGCGACCCCACAGGAGCGAGCCGTTCGTTGAGCCGCTTCTTAAAGCCCTCGACCTCGTCGTCGTCATGGTGGAGATAATCACCGGGTCTGCGCGACGTCAATACTCTCTCTCTCTCTCTCTCTCTCTCTCTCTCTCTCTCACACACACACACACACACAAAAAAACACTTCCCCAGGAGAAAGAAAAGAACAAGGAAACTAAAGACATACAGCTTGAAGAAGGCGTTTGCAATCTGCAGCATCAGGACGTGTGGGTGGTTATGCTCATGGCACACCAGGATACCCTCGCAGGTGCGTCGCATGCCATGTTTCTCGTAATGTTCCTCGAGACGCTTCAGCCGCGCCAGCACCGAGGGGTCTTCTTCCGGCTGCGTCTCTTTCGTACCAAAGGTGTAGTTTGAGAGAGGGTACAGACGGATCGTCTCCGGTTGCTTCGCAGAGAAATTCTTGGGCAGGATGGGCCTAGACAATGAATGTTAGACTCAGCCTGCTGAGATGCATCAGCTTTCCCGGCGGGACTACTCACGGACGCGAGCTTTGCAGCGCCGTTGCGGTAACGGTGGACATTTTGGAAGCTGTGGTTGCGAAGATATTCCTCTGAGCCGGTCAAGGAAACGTACTTCAAATCACCCAATTGTCAGTAAACAACGCACACCCCGCGGTTGATGGACAGATACAATCGCTCTCACCTGCGGGCTTCTCCTCGGGCGGTGTGAAGCCGCGAAAACATTGCACCGTGCCCGGTTGATTACGTCAGATTTGGACTGCCTATCACTATAGTAGTCCGTATACTCTGTATACACTGTTCAATGGAATCTGGATCAGGATAATTGTCTGGTCTACCTAATAAAAATACACCAAAAGGCCTATTGAAACCATCATGTATGACACCCGTACATAACTACCCAACCCACAGACGTATTAGACGGAGTCCTTTTCTGAAATGGGCCTCCCTGATCAGAGCTTGGGATCAAAATCCTCGAATTCAGTTAGGTCTGTCACTGGGTGAGGTCCGGCGCTGACAGACAGTCGAGTCTTGAACTCAGGTACGTTGGTAATGTAAGTGATTGCTGGCTGTTGTGGCTTCTCCGTGCCGCTGTTGGTGAGCTCTGACCCCTCGGCGGGCGAGCCGAACACCAGCCCGAGGTTCTGCTCAGCCTTGCTGAGGACCGGCTTTGCCTGTTCCTCCGAGAGACTCATCTCGGAGAGCATAAAGGTATGGAAGGCCGAGAGGACTTCGCTCTTCTCGGTCGCCTTCTTTAAAGCAGCCTCCAGACGGTCGGTGTCCGCAGCGAAGCCGGCCGCTTCGAGCTGTTTTCCCAGCTCAGCAACCACGCGGGCCTGACGGTCTTGAGGCCCATCCGCGGCGTTTCCGTTTGTATTGGACTGTGCGATGAGGTGGATGGAGAGCTTGGCCCGAGTTGACGACTGCGGGGCAATGAACTGGTTGTAGAATTGAACAATGTCCGCCTTTGTCAGGGAGCGCACGCCGGCCGCGTCGTTTTCGTTCTGCAAGAAATCGAAATACTCCGATCCGATATGTGACCAGTAGCGGGTGGTCTCCGAACCCAGGTTCTTGAGTTTTTCCAAGCGTTTGTTGATGACGCTGCGTTTGTGTCCCTCAAAGTCTTCCTCGGTCATCTCCTCCAGCGTGCGCGCGAAGTTGCCGAGGAATGAATCGATCCGGGATTCGAGGTAGTCGGCTGTGCGCTCGCTCTGGATGATCACCCGGTAGCCAAATGTGGTGGCCGAGTACCGTGCGCCACTCCATACCACATATCCAAGTTGCTCCTTGCTCCGCAATTGGTCAAATGCAGGCTCGTCGGTCATCTGGGCAAAGAGGAGCAGCTTGGCTCGCAAAGCATTGTCCGTGATATTCCCAATAAAGAGGTAGTATTCGATGCAGTGATTGACGTTCGCGGGGTCCTTAAGGGTGCGTTCATATATATAGTTGCTTCCCGGTGGAATGATTATATTGCGTCGCACGTTCCACTGCGCCAGGGGCAGCGGGCGGCTGTTCAATGTACTTTCCACCAGGTCGGTCAACTTGAGGGCATCCTCTTTATATAGATTACCGTGAGCCAAAACCTCAATGTGCGTCTGCTGGAGGATTTGGGGGAAGAAGGCGGCGACGTCCTCCGCCTCAATATGCTCCAGCTCCGTAGCATACTGCTCGTTGATCCAAGTCTTCTCCGAGGTGAGATACCGGGTATAGTCACCCACCTGGTAGAATGGCTGCTGGTAGTCCGCATTGCGGTACCCACGGGACAGACGTTCCTTGATGATGTGGAACCGCTCCGGGTTGACGACCAAGTCACGCATGCTGGTTAGCACTTTTTCCAACAGAACAGACATCTTGTCGTTGTAGCCGCCCACAGACACGTCTAGACCAAAGACACTGGCGGACAGATGATAGTCCAGACCCGCGAGTTCTGCGTCGTAGGAGTACTCCACGAGCACATCTCTCACGAGCTCACAGTACAGCTTGGCTTTGACGCTATTTGCGGGAGTGGCCCAGACCAGCGGGTTTCTGAGCGTGACGTGGACGGTCCCTTTGGGGACCCAGAAGCGATCGTCCTTCTTAAACCAGAGTCGAACCCGTTCGTCATGGCGAAGAAGCTTGGGCGTTTTGGCTGGTTCGGAAACCTCTTTTTTCTCGACGGAGAGCCTGGTAGGAACGAACTCGTTCTTATGCGGCATATGCAGTTCTGAGAGTCTCGTCTCGGTCGTCGAGTTCAGCGCCTGACGAAGCTCGGCCAAAAAGGCCTCGGGGACCTTTTCAATCTTGTACTCTGTTCCGTACCACTTCTCTTTCAAGTCCCAATCGCCAGGATAGTCCTGTGATACGATCACAAACCTGAAATTGTCGGCACGAAGGTAGGACATGGCCTTCTTGATCGATTCCGGATCAAACTTGCGGAGAAGAGAGCCGCTCAGAAGCCATTCTCTGGGCATCGGTTTCTGCATGACACTGCTCAGCCGGCTAGTAAACCGACTCGCAGGAGACTTTTGCTTAAAGCGGAAGTCGACCTCGGCGAGGTTTTTCATCTCGTCGTAGGTCCATTGCTCTGGTTCCTGCTCTTTAATCATTGAGATATACTCGAAGATCGCCTTGGCCACCTCACGGTATTTCTTAAGTCCTTCTTGAGTCAGGCGGACGGAGATCGTGAAAAACGCAGAGCCTGGGCAAACCGGCATGACGCCGGCGGAAAGGCCGTTTGCCCACCCTTTAGCCTTGATGTATGCCAGAATACTTCCAGGTCCCTCGTGGCCGATGAGGTGGCTGATGTATCGACTGGGCTGAGCCTCATACAGGGACTCCTCGTCAAGAAAAGGGAAGTAGATATCCAACGAGCGGGTCTCCATGACCGGCTTGGCGAATACCTGCGTGCACAGGTCGTCCGCGGAGAAGGGTTCAACGCCGTCCCAGCGGTTCTGAGGGAGATCCTTGTTCTTGACGTCCGAGAACAGCTCCGTCACCCAGGCTTCGAGCTCATCCAAAGATTCCCGTCCAAGGACCACCAACTTCATGCGGTTTGCCGAGTAGTGTTTCTCGTAGAACTTGATGAACTCGCTCCGTACTTCCAGCCCGCGCTTCTCAGGATCTTCTTTCAGAGTCTGCAGATTTCCGGTTGAAAAATGGTGATACGGGTGCTTGGAATTGGACAGCGACTTGTTCAACTGCATTAAACGCCAGAGGTCGCTTTGGAGGTTCTTCTTGTTCTCCGAATCCACCGCCCGCAACTCTCGATCGAGAGTGGACTCGAGGAACAGCGGTTTGACGAAAAACTGGGCAAATCGATCGAGGGCACCGTACAGAGGTGGCGCCAGATCGCTAGTCGAGGAATTTTTGCTCGTCGATGTTCCATTTGCCAGAGAGCCGTTGGTGGTGGTCTCAGCAGCAGTCTTCTGGTCGGTCGACTCGGCCATCGCCGCGACTTCGAAGAAATAATTGGTTTCAGTGGCAGCTGTGTAAGCGTTTGAGGAGCCCGAATGAGCTGCTAGATACTGATTGTACGCATTCTCTTTTGGGTACTATATTGCCAAAGAAAAGCAGTTAGACCCCCAGATACCCCCATTGCGAGAACCCCCAGTTCTGAAGAAAGGGTGCGGAAGGCTTACCTTTTCAGTACCCATGAAGAGCAGGTGCTCGACGGCATGGGCTATGCCTGGCATGTCGTCGTAGTCGGAAAAATTGCCCACATTGACATTGACGGCGGCGCTGGCCTTATCGGTATCCGGGTCGTGGACCAGCAGCGCCTCCAATTTGTTTGGTAAACGAATGACGCGGTACGAGCGATCGTCCAGCTCTGGCTTCTCCAGATTCTCCGTAATCCGCTGGATCGTACTCATGTTGGCGGTTTCGGCGGGAGTACGCAAAACAGGAGAAGAGTGGAGAGAGAAGGCGCGGTGTCTCCTCCAAGCTGACGGCGAATAAGCCGAATAGAAGGCTCGAAGCGAAGGTGGCGAGGCTGAGTCACCAGAAAGACTTGCCGCGAGGAAACCGCGTGTGAGAGCAGGCGAGCACAAGCGCAGTAAGGATGTATACGATAGCGGTCTAGAGTTCCACAGGCGGAGAGCTGCAGAGGACCTTGGAGGCATCCAGAGCAGGGAGGGGAAAGCGAGCGAAGGCCACCTCTCTCGGCGGGCGGAGTACGGAGCACGGCGTACTGAGTACTGAGTACTGAGGACTGTACCCTGACTACCTGCGGGCGAGCGGATGACAGTAGAGGAGAGACGTCAAATTGGCACACACAAAGGAACGGCGAGAGAGCGCAATGGAGGGACAAAGAAGGCGGAAGTCCATTCGAGGGACGAACAGCTGCGGCTGCCTCCAATACCAGTAGTTCCCCTTCAGGTCTAGCGCTGATGCGCTTCAAGCAGGAAAGGCGGTGAGAAGATCCTGTGACTTTGAGCGACGATCGTGACTGCCATGGCAACAATAACAACAACCACAACCACAACCACGACCACAACAAGACGACGGGGGAAGAGAAAGTCTAGGGCAACAAGTCCGATGCTGGCAGAGTGCAGATGTCCATGGCACAGAATATGAGGATGGGACAAGTCTGCTTCGTGTGATACAAGGTAAGTGTCCGATGTCGCCGTGCCGAGAGTGCTGGTGGTCTAGGCCTGCGATTGATAACTATGGAGTAGGTGCCTAACCCATCTACTAGGCCAACAAAGGCAGCTCTAGTCAAAAATGTTGAAATAGTAAGCTACTAGGGTGGGGTCGAAAGAAGCAGGGATAATCCGTAGGGCTTTCTGCGATTCTACGGAGAAGAGGTACTACGGTACATTTGTGATGCTTGACGGAGTAGCCTCTTGTCTTACTGATGAAATATGCACATCTCAATGGTACTGATTACTTGCCAATAGCTTGATTTGATATGGTCGAGAGTCTTGAAGGGGGGGGGGAAGGATTATACTTGACGAACCCCTCAGTGGATCGATCATACGGATAAGACATCAACACCTTTGCATGGATATTGATTTACTAGTCACAGCTAGCCTAGGACCAGGAAGTGTCATCGATAAACAGTATTTCCATATCAGGATCATATATCATTGCTATCATTCATTGCACTATATACTGAGATACTAAAGAGATATTAGCCTCAACAATTCGATACCAATCCCCATCCTATCTCACTCACCATTAGCAGCTGCCCGCACACAGCGTCAAGGTGACATTAGAGTCTGCCTGGCAATCCAGGGTCTGGCTCCCAGCCGGCGAGACACCGTCCGACCAGCAGTTCGACGGACAGCTGGTGTCGCTGGGTGCCTGGAGAACGGCGTGGCCGGAGAATGGGTCGCCAAAGACGTCCGACAGGTCGTACCAGATGGTGTCGCCGTCCAGGGTGTAGGCGAAGTCGGTCTGCGCGCTGCCGTCGTACAATCCATCGGACCCGCGGGTGATCTTGATCGTCACCCCGCCAGAGGTGGAGTCGTAGTAAAACTCCTCCGACCACTCGTCTCCAGAGGCGAGTGTCTGCTCAGGGCCGACGCTGCCCCCGACGGACCAGAGGTAGACGGTGTCCGCGCACTTGTTTACCACGACGGCACTCCCGACAGCGGCAGCAAGGGGAGTCAGGGCTGCGAGCGAGACTGCAATGGTGGAGGCGTACATGATGTAGATGATAGGTAAGTAGTGATATTTGTTAGGAAGAGGATGTGATATTTCTTAGATGTGCTCAGGTCAAACTGATGATTGATGATGATAATGATGATTTTGCCATGAAGATGACTCTCCTCTTTATAGATTCGATATGTCTCACGCTGTTCCAAGAATAGACGAGATAAAATCACCTGTTCGCGGCATCTTGGTTCCTTGACTCGAGGCTTGAAACAGAACCAACCGTGATCAAGCAAGAAGACAAGATATCCGGAGAAAGCGTAAGCTGCCAAGTCACCTACCACTTGGCTCAGTGAGACGGAGTAGCAGGATCACTAGTGACTGCCTATTTATCCAGGAGTTAACCAGGTAGCTAATTGGTAATACCTAGTACTCCGTAGACACAGGTTGGTACTAGGATAAACACAGAAGAAGTCGGTCTTGACAGGTACATAGGTGATAGCAACATGAATTCTACTCATAATTGCCTCAGCCAGGTGTACACTGTACGGAGATACTATCTACAAGTCTTGAAATCACGAGTTCATCAACTGAGACATATGCATAAACTGGGGCCAGACATTGCAGATCGCGGTACGCCTAGACATGAATGCTGGCAGTATGGAGGAGTAAGTTCGTATGGACTCTAGAGTACTCCGCACTCCATACTCCGTACAGTAGTATCTGTTAACAGGGCACAGGCACAGGGAACTAGTGACTCGAGAAATTAGCGGACGATCTGCAAAATACCAGATGATGCCCTGCTTCTACGTATCGCGATTGGCAAGGTCTTACTTACCCTGGCTGACCCCGGATGGCCGGCTGTGGCGGACGGATGTCGATCACCGTAGTTCTTGGCTACATTAATGTACTAAATAATCATTACGAAATAATCATATGATGATGGACATAGTATTTATCTCCGTACTAGGTAGGTACTATGTCTTCACATATTGGACAGTTATTGGAGTACTGAGAGTCCCGAGACAAGTTGAGGACGATCATACGGGCTTCTCCTTGGTCGGCGAGCGGCTCTTCACATTCTTCATGACTTCCTCCTCGCTTTCCTCCACATCCGCCCGCTCCTCAAGCCACCTGAAGACTTCCTCCTTGTGGTGCAGCAGCATGTCGCTAAGCCCCGTCTGTGGTGATTGGATGAGCTGTCCGTAGCGCTTGGACGGTTTCCGACGCGCATCGACGTTGTTCCACACCCCGTGCGTGTGAGACACAAAGACCAGGGAGTTCTACCCGATCAGCTTGAGTTAAAAGAGCGAGAGTGTGTGGTGAGTGAGTGAATAAAATACATACATCTTTATACCATCTTGAGAGCCAGACTTGCGTGTGAGAAGCGATGGCCCGGACAGGGTTCTCGGCAACGAAGGAGACAACGCCGTTTACATGCTTGTACAGGGTTTCTGTATTCATTAGATATCCCATATCTTGTCATGAGTCAGGGACATGATTTTTTTTTTTTTTTTTACCTCGGTTGATCAGGAGATTTGCAACTCCATAGAAAGCATTGCCAATACCAACGAAGAAGACCTCCTTCGCCTCGTTGGGCCTGGTGACCGCCGCCCGCGTCAGAAAATAGGGTTCCTCATTACAATGTCTAAAATGAAGGCTGACTTACTCGATGTAATTGTCCCATAGGTACCCCGCCAGTTCCTCTGTCGCGGTCGGACGGTTCTCATCTTCGTCTTCATATTTGGCCGAGGGCTGTAGAAATTAGAAATGGGGGGGCGAAGAAAATAACTAGATCATAGACGAGGATACTCACAGGCTCCGTCGTGACTTGTTTTGGAATGTTCACGTCGATGACAGCGTAACCTTTGCCAATAGCCCATTCGATATAATCCTTCAGACCATCAGCCTTGCTCCAGTTAGCGTCTGCCATCAGTCTTGATTTTAATCCCATACCAGCCAGCAATTATGTGCCTCTAGTTTGTTGGTCACTGGGTTTGGCAAGCCCATGATATCCGGACTAGATATTAATATTAACTTGCTGTACCCTGATGGTGTTGAAATTGATACTCACGGGTCGTGGAAGAATACAATCAAAGGCACAGGTTGGTAGTAATTTGGACTGAGGAAGAGTTAGCGAAGAAAATAAAACACCAGCCATAGTCACCATACCTGGCTAAAACCTGGTTCTCGAATGACTTGGAGATGGCGTTCCGGTAAATGTAAAGTGAGGTGAGCTTGTAGTTATCAAAGAGATGCTTGGATTGATAAGCCCGAATGACATCTAGCCGAGATCAGTATTGTTTTTTGTTTTTTTTTTTGTTTCATATCCAATCTACATTACTGACCATGGAGCCGGTTAGTCCAAAGCCTCTCGTCTTGCGGACCCTTGGGAAACATGCAATGCCAAAACTGAGACTGCGCTGACACGACGCGTTTCACCGTCTGGACTGCCAGGTCTGACGGTGAGGTGGAGATTAACCGGTCAGGAGGCTCCCCCATTAGAGTCTTTGTCACTGCAAGCGCTGATCTGGAGATTGATCTGAAGTTATACCCGCCCTATTGCCAATAATCAGATCACATAGTATACGAAGGACAGGGAATGCATGTTCTAACAAACCTCTAAGCAAACAGCGACCTTGCCGTTGGCTAGATTCATCAGCATATGGGTCATATGGGCATAGCAGGCTGGTGTGACAAAACAACCACCCAGCTCATCACCAGCTGCAGCATCAAACCCAGAAGCGACTATGGCAGGTTAGAACAGACGCACGCTTTTCTTCGTTAGAATGGCTTGTATGGACATACTGATGACTAAGTCTGGATTAAATTCGTTGGCAATCGGCATGATGACTTGCTGGAAGGCATATATGTAGTCGCCGTCTCCCATTCCTTGTGTAGGCCAAGGGACGTTGACATTTCTCGAAACATTATCAGCGATGAGGCGTTAACGGAAAGGAAACAAAAAAGTATACAACAGAAACATACCTTCCCACACCAGCGCCGGCACCACAATGATCTAGATCGCCTTCGCTGCCTCCAGGGTAGAATTTCCCATCCATGTAAACATGTAGCGACATGTACAAGACATTGGGGTCATCGTAAAAGGCCTTTTGGATGCCATTGCCTACAGTAGTATATTAGTAATTATATCCATAACTTTCTTTTCTAATACAGATCAAATATACCATGATGGACATCCCTAGATAGATTAGCGTCTTCGTCGTGGTGAAAAGAACAGAGAAAGCGAGCCCTTACCAGTCGAGAATGAGGATCTTCCTACAGCTCTCCCCCAGTTGCCTTTGACAAACGCGCGCAGCAACGGACACGTTGTTGAATAAGCAAAAGCCCATGGCTTGGTCATGTTCTGCATGGTGTCCAGGGGGCCTGATTACGGCGATTGCATTCTTGACCTTGCGAGTGGCGACGGCCAGACAGGTTTCGATGGCTCCTCCTACCGAGAGAAGAGAAGCGGTGAACGTCAGTTTGTTAAAGTAGATTGAATCTCTGGTTTTCTCCAATTCGATCAGGTCCTCATCGGACATGCCTTCAAATGAAAATTAGCCAGCTATCTTTTATATCGATGCGAAAGCTGGTATTACCTTGGGTGCTCTCCACAAAGAGAAAGTGGTCTGGGGTATGAACCAGGCAGATCTCCTCTTCGGTGGCATTTCGCACGTCAATGCGCTTCAGTGGCCGAGGCACCAACGGCCTGGAAGACTCCTTATCATCTACCAGGCCTGCTCGACACAGTTCTTTGTAGATGTAATATATCCGCCTGGGATCCTCCGGGTGGGCGTCGTCGCGGGGTCTCACTTCACAGTGGTACCGCATGCGGATGTCATAGCACAGTCCTGTCGGGAGAGAGGCAATGGGGAGTCCGACGCTCATAGCATCCTGCACCTCCTCATCCGACCAGTCCGAATTTTCCTCGACAATGCTATCGGGCTTAGTACTGGCATCAGCTGTCGAGCCGCTCGACTCCACAGACTTGACGAGGCCTTTCGCAGGCGAAACATCCCTGTTATCATCAAGAACCGGAGCTGACTCGTGCGCCAAGGGAGGGCCAAGTTGAGGCGGTAACGCCACTGTCATCGAGGGCCCGAGAATGGATGGCGCAAGCGATGGATCCGATCTGCCATTCAGATATGCAGCAGCAGCTGTCTGTCTGCTGTCCTCCTCACTTGCTGGGTGTACATGAGTAGTAGTAGTAGAAGGAGGAAGAAGGGGGTGGTGAGATCCCACGTCACCCATAACTGTGTCTTCATCATGCTCCATGGCTGTGAAAAACTCGCAAGTACTTCCCAGCTCACAGATACTCGCCAGACCAGACCTTCATAGCCGCCTTGTCAAATATTATGCAACAGGACAGATCAAAAAAAAAGGAAGAAAGAAAGAAAGAAAGAAAAGGGTCTAGGTCTCAGTTCCAACCGGGGTAAAACCACACGGGATGCAAGGGTATCTCAAGGTACAGAAAACTAGGTCGTTGGAGAGATCAGAAGTTGGACGACGACGACGACAAACGTAACCAAAACCTGAGGTTTAACCCCCCGAAATACAAGAATCGGCTGAGCAGATCTCTGCAACACTCGCCGCAGTGCTTTTTCTAGCAAACGAGATGGCTCTGTTTTCATGAAACGGTCAATTGAGCTCCTTCAAGTATCTCCGACTCCCACGTGATTGCCCCTACCAGACAACACTGGCAGACAGTAGACAGCGTATGGCAGAGGGAAGGAAGACGCAGAACAACAGAAAAATCGATATCCCAGACATATACTAACCAGAAAGATCGCCGAATCCCAGCACCACTTCGTCTGCGGAGGACGGGGGGAGCAGCGACGCGTACTGCAGAGGGCTCGCAGGAAAGAAAGATGAGTTCTGTTTGGGAACTCTCCATGGTTTGGTTGCAAGATGCATGCCGAGTAATCGCCGCCCTGCACCGCAGCCAATCAGGGGCCCTCGCAGTGAGGCTTTCTTTTGATTGAGTCTTAGTCAGCGTTGAACAAAGGCGGCAACTCGCCAGTTGGTGGCAAAGACTATACTATAGAGGGAGGAGGGATGGTATGATCTGGCTACATTGGTCTATTATTATGGTACAGTACAAGGAAGAATTGAAGTAGGATATTGTCATTTCATTAAAGTACGTTATCATATGATTGGAATAATCAGGGTGGCGCGAAATTCTCCCATAATTTCATCGCAGATGCGTACCCAGCTCGCTGCGAATCACCCGTCCGACCAGTCGGATGCGACGACACATTGGAGGTTCAGAGAGCCCGAGGAACTTGATCGGACTGGAGGGGCAGTTCAAAGACTTGAGTATCGGAGAACTTTTACACTTTCATCTCCTCTCTCCATGCGAGTTCCTTACTGAGAGTCGACCTTGGCGATGTAGGCTAAAGGGTTCCAGTTAGTGATTTGCTGACAAGAGTTGACCGGGAAAAAACTCACCAATGAGGTCAACGACACGGCGGGAGTAACCCCACTCGTTGTCGTACCAGGAGACCAGCTTGACGAAGTTGGAGTTGAGGGCGATACCAGCCTTGGCATCGAAGATGGAGGAGTGCTCGTTGCCGTTCATGTCGGAGGAGACGACGTCGTCCTCGGTGTAGCCGAGGATGCCCTTGAGTTCGGGGCTCTCGGAGGCCTTCTTGATGGTCTGCTTGATCTCATCATAGGTGAAGGGCTTCTCGGTGCGGCAGGTCAGGTCGACGACGGAGACGTTGCAGGTGGGGACACGCATGGACATGCCGGTGAGCTTGCCGTTGAGGGAAGGAATGACCTTGCCGACAGCCTTGGCGGCACCGGTGGAGGAGGGGATGATGTTCTGGGCCGCGGTACGGCCACCACGCCAGTCCTTGTTGGAGGGGGCGTCAACGACCTTCTGGGTGGCGGTGTAGGAGTGGACGGTGGTCATGAGACCCTCGACAATGGTGAAGTTGTCGTGGATGACCTTGGCGAGGGGAGCCAGGCAGTTGGTGGTGCAAGAGGCGTTGGAGAGGACGTTGATGTCCTTGTTGTACTCGGTGTTGTTGACACCCATGACGAACATGGGGGCGTCGGCGGAGGGAGCCGAGATGATGACCTTCTTGGCACCACCCTTCAGGTGAGCAGAAGCCTTCTCGGTGGTGGTGAAGACACCGGTGGACTCGACAATGTAGTCGGCACCGGCCTTGCCCCAGGGGATCTGGGTGGGGTCACGCTCAGCGTAGAAGATGACCTTCTTGCCGTTGACAATCAGACCGTCACTGGCAACCTCGACGGTGCCCTTGAACAGGCCGTGGGTGCTGTCGTACTTGAGCATGTAGGCCTATTGGTTGAACCGATCAGTCACAAGCTCATGAGAACCGCGAGAGAGATTAAAGGGGGGGGGGGCACGTACAGCATAGTGGACCTCGATGAAGGGGTCGTTGACAGCAACAACCTCAACACCACCGTGGGTGATGCTATTGAGAGAAGACTGTTAGTATCGGCAGAACCCTTTTCCCTCCTTTCCTCCATCCGAGACAAAATAGAGTCAACTTACGCGTTACGGAAGACCTGCAGGAAAATAATTAGCTTTCTGCTTCACCACTAACTGTTCGATGAAAAGGGCAAGAAAAAAAAACTCACGATTCTTCCAATACGACCGAAGCCGTTGATTCCGACCTATTCCATACTGTGAGCTTTTCCCGATCGAAGGATCCAGAGATCCTATGGTCACTTCTTATGGCGGGCGCGTACCTGAGGAAGAGACATGTTTGCAGACTGGCGGGTTAGCTGTTAGCTTCAGAGCTTTCTGTCACAAGCCAATGAAGATATAGATCAAGAAGAGGGGGGAGGATACAGCGGGGCATCAAGCTTGACATCGAGGGCAGGACAGAGAGACTAGGGAGCAAGCAACTTACTGGTGATATGTGATGGAAAAAAGTTGGTTGGAGGATAGACAGATGGAGAGGAAGGATTGTTTTTGGAGAGGAGGGAGGGAGAGGAATTAAAAAAGAGCGAGCAGACAGCGGGGAAGGGGCCTAGAAAAAGGCCGACGCGCTCGACTGACTGACTGACGCAACGAACAGATCACCGCACACCGAATGGACCAGACGGGGCAAACCTAAGATGAGAGCACCGGCCGGATACGATGCTTACTGCTGCCACCTTACTCCGTACCAAACATGCGACTGTACTACATACCGTGTAGGCAGACTGTTCCCGACCTGACGCCCTTTTCCGGTTTCATACACCGGGCAAAGCAGGAGAGTCGACAGTATCTGGACCTTCTACCCCTCGCCCCTGGCCAGACATGGGCCAATGAGGCTGGTTTACTGGGGCCTGCGCTCCTCTATTCCCCGAGATGATCTGTCAGATGTGTGAATCTGCAGTCGTTAACCTAGGTTATCCTCTACTTCCTCCGGGATTCAGAAGCTGTTGCAGTGAAGCTCGAGCGAGAATGGCGAACTCGAGGAGGGGCTCAGGTTTGACCATGATGTAATCGATTTCCCTTTCTGGCGGGGGGGGGCGTTTGTCCCACTACACAAGGTAAGAAAGAGGTACCTAGTAAGGTGGTGGTAAGATGGTGGTAAGATGGTACCTTACAATACCATACCGTACGCGACCAGCAAGTAGTGTTTGCAGCCACTCCGCGGCCGGTCCGTCTCACCGGCCGGTAATTACAGTACAGGCGGTGCTGCCCCTCCTCAGACCTCAACGCCAGAAAGACTCACCGGCTTAGTGGTTGAGAATGCTCTGGTTGACAATTGCTATTGGCAACGAGGAAAATTCTATCGATTTGGCGAGGAGCTGGAAGATTTTGATCCAGCAGATTTCTAATCCACGATACTACAGAGTTGCTATAGCTGGATGCTACTATGCTTACTACTAGTTGACGAACTAGTACCTACTTACTACGGAGTACTTCAGTATGAAACATACAGACAGGTATGCATGATTTGTATACTCCCATTGCCAAGTTGCCAACTTGTCGGGAAAAGATATGAGCATGTTTTGATTTTACCGCTTTCGCTCGACCTATGGAATCATCCGGATGGCCAACATGATTCTGTGGTGCCTTTAATTTGCAGGGTACATTCTTGCCCATCCGCCAGTTTCGGCGCCTTGCCGCGCCTTCCAAGGTTCCTCAGGCAATGGTTCGAGATGATCGCATGATCATGACACACTTGCATGATGCCCCAGGGTGCTCTCAGGGATCATGGCAAGATACTCTTTCTCTGATTATTCCACTTTGGGTCTTTACTACATCCTTGTCACACCACTTCTTCCTGATCATCAGGGGTAAGATCTTGGAAGTATCGTAAGATATGGACGAATAAGTATCTTACATTCACGTTGTTGGATTCTAAACCATGGCTCCCAGTGTTTCGACCAGCCCGTATAACATTATTATCATATAACTAATAATCACATTGAAGAAGGGGTAAGAGGATGAAGAGAGAAGACGATATTGCCGTCCCGTATGGCTTTTGGATGCTTTCTCTACTACCATGAGAAGTTGAAGAAAATGAGCGGCCAGCAGAACCACACGCGGAACGGACCGAACTGATCTGACCGCCCCTGTTTACTCCTCCTTGACACCACCCCGCCAGTTCTTCTCCGCGTTCTTGACGGAGGCCTCGTCGCTCTGGACCTGGCCCTGGCCCATGAAGCCAGAGGCAGCCTTGAAGGGACGCTGCAGATCGCCTGTGGCGGGCTGTCCGAAGATGTGGATCTTCACCAGGTTGGACTCGATCGCGCTCTTGACGGGGATGATCGATTGGATCAGGAGCGGGTTGGTGTACTTCATGTATAGGTGCATGACGGCCATCATACCAACGCCCATCAGCTGGCCGCGGAACAGCTGGCGCAGCTGCCCCTTGTCATAGTCCATGACGGTGGTCGTCACCGGCTTGGGTTGCTCGCCGCTTCCCATAGGCGCAGGCTCAACATACCGAATGGTGGACATGTCTGCATCTCACATTAGCTCGCTTCTCCGGGATTGGCAGAAAACTGAAATCGAATATTTCATACCCTTCTTCTGGTTGATCTTCATCTGCACATAGAGGTACAGCCCCAGGATGATCACGTTGGAGGCAACGTACATGCAGCGGACCAAGAACAGGGTATCCGGATCGTCGAAGGGGATCTTCTTGGAGACCTGCATCATCACAAGGATGATGGCCAGGTTAGTACTGGAGAGCAACAATCCTTTGTCAGTAATTGGTCGAATTCGATTGTAGTATAGTAGCTTAGGAGCTTTCGCGAGACAAATCGCTTGAGCGCGCTCGACAGGAGACGACCACGCAGGTCACTCCGGGGGATCGAAGGGCTAAAATCGCTTACACTTGAGCCGAAACCATCTTGACGGTTGGAAGGACTAGAAATGATGCAGACACGGCCAAAAAACAAGGAGACGTGGAGGTGGGAATCACAAAGAGGCGTGCAAAGGACAAAATCTCCCGCAGGAACAGACTGGGGAACAGTTGTCCAGAATGGAACGTCACGTGCCGTGCCTTTAGTGTGGTCTGGGTGGCGCAAATTCTGGAAGATTCACAGCCTCTGATTTGAGAGCACGCGACTGGCTGATAAGGAGGCAAGCTTAGCCTGGAGGCTGCTGATAAGACATACCTGATATATCTGATTCCTTAGGCATATTAGATTTGTCACCAAAGTCATGTGATTTGGGTTGGCCGGCCCGGCTCGCTGCGTGCCTGCTTGCTTCAGCATCAACTACCTGCTCTCCTCGACCAGACTGTGGTGTCTGTGGTCTCTGGGAGCGGTTCTCTTCCCAACTCCATACTGTGGAAAGATATCCACTGTAATAGAAATGCAGGATACGCCGGCTTGCCCTCGTCTACATCCGTCTACCCACACTATCCTACCTCATAACCTTAACTATGAGTGCTCGAGCACCAGCAGTGCTCGCCAGAGATGAGACTGCTCGAGTTCTTTCGGGCTTCAGGCGTGCAGAACCAGACTAATCGAAACTACCAGCTATTTCGCTCTATTTACTCAACTAACGCAAGCCTGCAGACGACTTGTTTCCCTTGGTTCTCGCTCGGTATCCGACTGACATTCTCGCTCGTGTCGAGGCAGGTCAAGGAAGCTGAACTTGGTTCCGAAACGGGACTAGCGCTGCTCCACGTCCAACACCCGTCTAGCGACAAGGATGGCTTAGGCATTTCAGACTTCTTCATCCATCAACAACGCGCGTGCCCGTGACATTTTCGAATCCCCTCGCCATCCACGCTTGCGGTATAACCCTTCCAGGACCTATCCAACGCGACATATCCATCACAGCGACTTCATCTACCAACACTTTTCAACATGCCTGGCGGAAAAGGAAAGTCTATTGGCGGAAAGGCCGGCTCCAAGGATGCGGCGGGGAAAACTCAGAAGTCCCACAGCGCAAAGGCTGGTCTGCAGGTTAGTGAGATGGGCTTTTCCCTACTTCTCCAGCGAGGTGTTTTGCTATCCCTGGTCCGAACGTGCTCGTCGGCGATACATGCGACGATACTCTGCCCCGCGCCTCTTTCATCTTATGTACACGCAACACGCGTCTTTCAAAGGCGCCTGGTCCGCTGGCTTCAGCATTCATTTTCGCATCATCATCTTCAATAAAATCATCGCGATTTTTTACTTATTCATCACCTACTTTCGTGTCATGACTTGACGATTGGTTTTTTGACTTTTGACTAACCCCCTGAACCTACAGTTCCCCTGCGGTCGTGTCAAACGATTCTTAAAGAACAACACTCAGAACAAGATGCGCGTCGGTGCTAAAGGTGCGTTTGATGTCGTCGCATGATTTCTTTGGAGTATATGTGTTAACTATCCACAGCCGCCGTCTATGTCACTGCAGTTCTCGAGTATCTGACCGCTGAGGTTCTTGAGCTTGCCGGCAACGCCGCCAAGGATCTCAAGGTCAAGCGTATTACACCTCGCCACTTGCAGCTCGCCATCCGTGGAGACGAAGAACTCGATACCCTCATTCGCGCCACCATTGCCTTTGGCGGTGTGTTACCCCGCATTAACCGCGCCCTGCTGCTCAAGGTCGAACAGAAGAAGAAGAACAAGATCGAGGGTTAGAGTGTGGACAATATCCGATGCCAAGTGGCTTTCCTATGGATGGCGAATGAAATCACAGTGTCTGGGATAACATGTCTGCGGCAGCCTCATCTTGCGGTCGAATGTCGAAACAGGCATCAACTACAAACTCTCCGCCCATGTTTTCTACCCGTTCCTCACCAGGACTCAACGCCTCCGTGTGGCGATGACGCCTTTCTTATTTCTAGTCGACTGTCCACATTTCCAGGCTTCAACGCGATTGGACTACGAACCCTGTTTTTGATGTTCATTATTCCCCAGACGCTGTTGTTTTTTTTTATTATTCTGTTTTCGCCCGCTTCACCTGTTTGTGTGGCTCAATTCGACTTCTCATGGCGCTGTAATGGAAAAAGGCGGGGGTAGTATTCGGAAGTGGGAAATGATTCTCTGTTTTTCTCTGTGTTTGAGACTATTTCAAGCTTATTTTAATTGAACCCCCCTTGTCGGCGTTATGAGTTTATACCGACGTTTGGTGCAGATGTACTAGTAAGAATATTTCCGTCCTTCTATTGAATACAAAGAGTCAACTTATCAATAAATTAGAGCAATCTGTACGGAGTAACTGTGGCTATTGAATCAATGTCCAGGTACAGAGTAAATGAATGGTCCAGAGATATCGCTTATAAATTCAAAAGTCGGTAATTATTCCTTTTCTACTTGAAAGACAGGAATGCCTTTTGAGATATTTAATAGCAATATAAAAGATAGTAGTATTCAAGTATGTACATCATTATATTGTTCTTGTCATTCTATGCCCGCGCATTCGCCGAGTTCTCCGACTGTGACGTGACCGCGAAAGTTTCCCCCGACTGCATCCACCACCACCACCAGCTTGACAACACGCGTCAAGCCGTGCACCATAGCGCTGGATTGTGGACGCAGCGAAGCTGGTGATACGTCTATCTCGGTACTTGCCCGTTGTCAACGATTCGATCTGGCCTTGACCCGATTGCGTCGCCGAGACTTTTTCTCTAACAGGAGGGGAAAAAAACGAACCGAGCTTGAAAAACAACAGAAACCTCAAGCCTTCCCCTCTCCAGCTGCAAATGTCTGCACATTACAAAAGCGAGCCGGCGGCAACCGCGTCCGCGACGCTTAATACGACCGTCGGACCGATTCACATTGCCTTGTTCGCGAACCAGACCCCTCTGACGTGCAAGAACTTTCTTCAGCACTGCCGGGACAATTACTATGCCGGGACGATCTTCCACCGGGTAGTGTCGGACTTCATCATCCAGGGAGGCGATCCGACGGGGACAGGCTCCGGCGGCACCTCGATCTACGAGTACCCGGAGTTCGAATATGACCCTGAGGCTCGCGACCCGAACGAGAAGGTGGTGCTGAAGGATGAGCTGCACAGCCGGCTACGGTTCAATCGACGTGGCCTGGTGGGAATGGCCAAAGCTGAGGACGGGTCGTACGGGAGCCAGTTTTTCATCACCCTGGCGAACACGGAGCGCGAGCTGAATGGGCAGTGCACGCTCTTCGGGCGGCTGGAGGGCGACAGCATCTTCAACGTGTTGAAGATTGCCGAGGCGGAGCGCGTCGAGGGCAGCGACCGGCCGGTTTACCCGGTGAAAATCACCTCGTGCGAGGTGGGCGAGCTGGGGCCCCTGGAAGGGAAACTGAAGGACCGACAGATCACCGCGACGGCGGCGGCAACGACGACGACGACAGCGGACGAGAAAAAGAAGAAGAAGAAGGCAAAGAAGACGGGCAAGACACTGCTGAGCTTTGGAGATGAGGGTGGTGATGATGAAGAATTGCCTTTGCGGCCTACGAAACCCAAATTCAACACGGCTCTTGTCACGGAAGTAGGCTCAGCAACAAGCCGTGCACAAGAACAACAACAGCCTAGAGAAGAGAAACCCATACGGAAGCGACCACGCTCCCCGTCCCCCCAGCCGGAGAGGAAACACCGACCACGCAGCCCCGACAGGGCGAACCAACTCCCGCTTCCAGACCCGGAGTCCCCGCGTTCCCCATCGCCATCGCCAGAGAGCGAGACCGAGACCGGGACCGCCCCGGCGAAACAGACAAGACTGGAGCGCACCAACGCGCAGATCGAGACTCTCAAGGCATCGATGCGCCGCACCGTCGCGCCCACAACCGAGGCCCCGCGCAAGAAGTCCGCCCTGGAAGCCATGATCCCCTCGACGGCGATCCGGGGCCGCCGACGGCCCGCGCCGGGCTCTTCTTCTTCAAACGGAACCGCTTCCGGGCCCAGCGCAGCAGAGACAGAAGCGTTGAAGCTCTTCAACGCCTTCAAAGCCAAGCTGGGAGAATCCACTTCCGAATCCAGGCATGGGGAGAGTGGTGATAAAGATCAAGAGAAAAGGAAAGAGGAAACACGACAAGAAGAAAGAAAAGATGGAGAAGGAGAAGAAGAAGAAGAAGAGCAACTGTGTGACCTTCATTTCATCGCAAACTGTCAATCCTGTCGATCCTGGACCGACACAGCCGACAAAAACGATCTCGACCCCGCGAGGTCAGACGAATCGTGGCTTTCGCACACACTAGTCTTTGGCAAGGACCGGCTTGGCAAAGATCTGAATTGGAAACGCGAACATGCCGACGCCGAGTCGTTGGTCGTTATCGATCCAAGGGATAAGGAGAGAGAGCTTACCTCTGGAAGAGGGAAAAAGAGGGGGATGGAGAGGGATCGCGAACGAGAGAGAAAGAGGGAACGCGCTGGGGAATTGGAGTGGAGGAGATCTTGACAACATCCTCGTTCACTTTGACTAGACAGGTCTTAATTATAAGTCGAGGCTACATACACTACAAGTCTATAAGTTACTACAGCTGCAATCCTATACGATTATGCATCATCAAATACTAATAACTAACCATACATTGAGAATACAGAATACTAGTAGCAATGAACAGATGAATAGAAGAAGAGAAGAAAAGAAAAGAGAAAGAGTAGAATATAAAAAAAAAAAAAGGAAAGAAAAAAGAAAGAATCCTGTTACCAGGCCCGGATAGAACAGATTAATGATTTCAATAAAAAGCTGATATCGACTGACCCGAACTGGGCAATAAATATCCCCTTCCCTCCCAATCTCAAGTAGGTAACGTACCTACATCGATATCAAAGGCTGCTCCCATGTATGCAGCACCAATTAGAACCAGGAACCAGGAACCAGGACCAGAAACAGAACCAGAGCAGAACAATGCAAGCTATTGCGGCATATACAAAACCAAGATAAAAAAGATAAAAAAAAAAAGAGCATCAAATAGACAAGGTAGGGTAGGTAGGTATGCATGCAAATGCTAGTATGTCATCATCACTTCGACCGTTGTCACAGAACATCCTATTCGGTCGTCCATTTCATCTGGCAGCATGCATTCTGCTGGTTCTTCTCGTCTTTCTTTTTCTTCCTCGTCGTCGTCGTTGTCCCTTCTGATTTATTTCCCATGATTTTTTTGTTCCTTGCCTTGTTTTTTTTTTTCGTTTGTTTTTCAAATTCCCAAAAAATTTCCCTCGTCTTTTCGCGAGCAGTATCAAATATAATAGTAATAATAATAAAAGTCCAAACAGCGTGTCTGCTGGGCAGCCCCAAGAGTTTCACATCTAGATCAAAAGAAAAAATAATAATAATAATCTTTCCCGTCGTTTTTTTGGTTGTTTGTTTGTGGTTGAGGTTGTAGTTGTGTGTGTTGTAATGTTGTGGTTCGGTTCTCTTTTTGGTGAGTGTCATCTCGTCATCCCTCATCGAATCGTAAGCCGGAGATTCGCAAATCAAACAAAACAAGAGATTTCGGCCTCGTGATATAACAAGTTCATGATCGTCTGGGCGGGCGTAAGCATTTCTCGGACAAACAAAAAAATCAAACGAGATCTTTCTTGTCCTCTATCGGAAAGCGGGGAGAGGTTGGGAAAAACGCATGCAAACGCGCAAAACACACACAAGAAAGAAGAAAGAAGATATAACATCATCAATCACCGCTGGATTTTTTACTCGACAATGATTTCGACCCCAGAGCTGGTGTGCAGTTCGTCGCTCCCGCGCGACTGGTGGCCGTTCTGACGGCGGAACCCGGGGCCCTTCTCCGGTAGGGGGCCTCGCGGCTGTCGGATGGGCACGCGCTCCTGAGATTGCGTGTCGAAACCCATGCCGATGGATCGGTTGCTGCCGATGGGTCCGGCGCCGCCGCCAGACTGGGAGGTGTTATCCGGCTGCTCCCAAGAGAACATGCCGCGCAGACGGTGGGGGCTTGTGTTAGGGCCACCGATACCCGTGCCGAGAGAAAGACCGCTGAGACTGCTGACCAGCAGGCCGTCGTCACGCGGCATGCCGAGCGCCGAGTTGGAGGGGGCGGGCGTCAAGGTCGGGGTGTTGGAGGCGGCGCTGGCCGAGCCGTCATACTGCTGCAGGCGCACCCCGTTGGACTGTAGGGCAGCGGGGAAACTGGCCGAGGAAGGGACCGGAGACGGGGTGTAGGAGCGCAGATCAGCAAAAGACTTGGCGGCCCGCAGGTTCTGTGTGTTGCCAAAGTTGCCCGGTGAGTCCAGAACACCCAGGAAGCCCGAGGTCTGCCCGCGCAGCGTAGCAAAAGGGCCGGGTCCGCCCGCACCTCCCCCTGCGCCTCCTTCTGCGCGTGCCTCGCTAAAGTCGATTGTAGCGGCCCGGTTGAGGCCACGACGAGCGGTCTCGGATGGCTGAACGGCGGTGGGGATCGACGACAGCGGAGGGCTCACGTTGGCGCCAGGGGCCACCTTGAAGACGTGCACCTGGCGCTGCTCGCCGGTACCACGGGAGGCGTGTCCCAATCCCATGTTGTGCGCCAGGGTGTGCACGGTTCGACGTTGGACGGGCGACAGTGTGGAGGCAAAGATCAAGGTCTCACGACTCGGGTCCTCCTTGAAGAGAAGCAATTGGGAGTAGAACGAGAGGGTGGTGGTATCATTCAGATCGACTTCTAGAGAGGATGTTAGAAAGAGATAATTCGGCGAAAACGATGGGAGCTTTTTTTATAAAAAAAAAAAGATAAAAAAAAAACATTTCGTTTCAGATTCATACCCAGTTTTTGCCCGCGTTGGGAGACCGGCGAAGGAGAGGTTGCCGGAATATGGGAGGTCAGGGAGGACATGGAATTCTGGGTCTGCAGCTGGGAGGTAGCCATGGGGCGATGTTGTTCCTCAAGCTGACCGCGGCGCTCGCGCTTCTCCCGTTCGATGCGTTCGCGTTCCTGGAGGGGCAGCATCTTCTTATACTCAACGCGCAGCTTGCGGCCCTGGAGCTCGAAGTGGTTGAGAACGTCGATGACGGTGGCGGTTTCCTCGGCGGAGGTGAAGTTGGCAAAGGCAAGGCCACGGAAGACACCATTGTCAAAATGGTAGTTGAAGGCGTAGGGAAGTGGAAGGTTGAGTTCCGTCATCAGCTGGACCAGCTGCTCCTTCTTAACGGCGAAGGGAATGTTCTTGATCACAATAGCGGTCGGGATCAACTCGTCGTCAGCCTCTTGCGACCCTGTGCCGTCCGATCGGATGGTGTTGCCCTGCAACGGACCGGGGCCGAGATTCGAGAAGGGACTCGCGATGGGGGGTTGCTGATCCAACCAAGTCTGAAAATTAGCATAATTCTGATGGGAAGAGGGGGGGGAAAATAATCTTTTTTTTTTCTCTACGTCTTCTTCTCGTGTAATGACTTACTGTGGGCAGGCCAGCTCTACTGCGTGTCGAAGGAGCCTTCAAGCTAGAAGAGGTCGAGCGGATCCCTCCAAGGGCCTGGGCGTTAGCGAAACCATTGTTGGGATTCCACGTCTGCGAGCCGGCAAGATCGTATGCGTAAGAACCGGGGTTATTGTTCTGGTGAGAAGGATTCAGCCGATCGAGACGGGCGGACTCGTAGCGGGCCATGGGGTCTTCGTAGAAGTTGACGGGCATGGGGCCGTAGGCGTCGAACTGGCGCGAGGGTTGGCGGTGCAGAGGCTGCTGGTGACGCTGAGACCCAGGCGAACGCGCAGAGGGATTGTCGTGATACATGTCCTGCGCCTGTTGATAACTCATGGCTGCCGAGAAGCGAGAATTCCCAACCGGTTGGAATGTGGGCAAGCAGGCACACACTCACTCACACACACACACTCTCTCTCTCTCTCTCTCTCTCTCTCTCTCTCTCTCTCTCTCTCTCTCTCTCAACTCACACAAACAGACCAACACGTTCTGTCTCTTCTAAGGTACCGACGCTGGTTCAGAAGAGACCCGATGACTCGCACACGGTCTACTCGAACATAGGAGCGACCGAGCACGCAGACAAGGACGGGACAGCAAAGACGGGCGGAATCTGCAGGTCGTGTTTGGAGGAGGGGGAGAGGTCGGGTGGGTTGGGACCTGGAAGAGGGAGGAGAGGAGGGAGCGAGGGCGAGTTGAGTTGAGTTGAGTTGAGTGGGCACGGAAGGACTGGACGGTCGGGAAGGGGAGAGCGGATTGTGTGGGCGAGCGAGAGGAACGACAGCGGAAAAAGCGGAGCGAGAAAAAAAAAAGCAGACACAGAGAGAGACCCCCGAGAAAAATAAAATAGATAAATAAATACAGAACGCGCACGGCTCCAGGGCAAGAGAAGATCCCAAGAGACTTGATGCACAGCGAGCGATGATTCCCTGGCGGGCGTCCGTTTCTGCGTGATTTTTCCCTAAATTTTTTTTCCCCCTCTGGGCGTCGGTCGCCCTCGATCTAGCCGCTGTTGGGATAGGAAAAACGTTCCCCGGCGCCGGTAGACCGCTATCTTTCTCGTTCAGAAGATCGATACTTGAGTTAAGGAGAGGACTTTCTGTGCAGCGTGTGCTAGCTAGCTGAAACAGGCCGATCGAAACGGGGAGGGTGTGGTATAGAGACAGCGAGGCAGCAGTCTGTCACCAATGAGACAGACAGACAGACAGACAGACAGACAGACAGCAGGAGATGAGACAGCCAACCGAATCAATCACAGAGACAGGCAGTGGAGGGAAATAAAGGCACGCAGGTCGGTGGACTGGACATGAGGAATCTACTAATGGTTTTATTCCAGATGACCAGGAATCGCGTACTTATGACACTTACGGAGGACCGTCAGGAGGAAGTGAAGATCCATCATGTCTTTGAGGATTCCCGGCGAATTGGATCCTCATTTCGCGTCCTCCAAGGCTAAGGGGCAAAGGGCAGCGCAGACAAATCATACCCAGCATTCCCCTCCCCCGAATCCACCGTGTGAGGCTTTGCCATCAGGGGATCCTCACGGTGATTGGGGAGGGGCTGTGGCTAATCCCGTACGGAGGCTACGAGTACGGAGAACTCAGCTCATTTCAGTCAGTCCGGTCTTCCAGTTGGACTCGGGATGAACTACGGAGTAATCCAGTGAATCTATCCTACTCACTACAGTGGCAAGTGCCAGGGTCAGGGCCAGTGCCAGGGCCAGTGCCAATGCCAGTGCCAGTGCTCACTGCGCCAGTGGATTTTTACCATCCATCTACTCTACGCAACTCTAAACAAGCAGATGTGATACAAGTATGGAGTGGAGTGGTTTACTAGTTTACTAGTTAACTACCTACTCCGTACTCGGTCTGGCTGAGAATAGTCATCTTCTAGAAGCCGGAATTTGCCATTCGGACTGGCTCCGTCGATAGTTTGAATTAACTAAGATCGAACGAGGCGAAGCGTACACTCCAGAGTACGTATTTCAGTCGCAGGTATGGAGTACTCCGTACTACATACGGAGTACTGGGTACGGAGTACCTGACTCGCCACTAGATACTTATATAGTTAACTAGTTACTCCATGCCACCAACGAGGCGCCCTATACAAATATCGGGTAGCTTCCACGAGCTATGTTACCCATGAATCTGGAGGGGACTCGGAGGAAGCTGTTCCTTCTCGACAGTCTGTCTTTGTCTTCTTGCTCATCTTAGTCAGGATGATCCCCGCCAGGTGGAGCTGCCCCTTTGCTGGTTCCGAACGGATAGGCCCGTTGAACTAGAAGTAGATAGGAGAGAAAATTATGAATAGTTGCCTGTTCGCACTTGGCAGTCCCGAGTCCCGAGTACGGACAGACTCAGGAAAGTATAGTATCCCGTCATTGGTGGTTAGATAGATATAACTACTACATAGTTACATAGGTACGGAGTAACTAAGTTAATGACAGGTACTAGAGTAACTCCCTGTGACTTAATTATATAAAGGGGAGCATCATCAGATTGTCGAAGCTCTACTGACTTAGATTAATGGTCATTTAATCTATCTATCTCCGACCCCGAGTCTCCGGAGTCTCCTATATCCTCCGTGTAGTTATCCCTAGTCAGTTAGTGAGATGGTTAATGCCTCCTGCTCCTAACCACCTCCTCCTATATACTCCGTACTAAAACTAACAGTTAACTAACTCCCTAATTCAACCTAGTTGATTATTTAGCTGGCAGCTACAGCTCCTAAAACAGCTCCTAGAATGATAAACGACACGACTACCCCTATCCCACCTCCGTGGCTCTGGACTTCCAAGTGCCCACTCCGCCAAACTCTTTGCCTCCACTTTCGTCCACTGGATAATTATCCCAGACCTCTCAGTGCTTCCAGTCGTTTCTAGCGAGGGGGCTAACATCCGGAAGAGAGCTTCCGCGAGTACTCCGTCCTGAAGGTATGGAGCAGTTAGTGAGGAACAGCTAGCCAGGTATTTGTAAGGCATGAAGGTATGGAGTACGAGTACAGAGTACTCCGTAGTTAGTTATTAACTAACTAATTAACTAACTAGTTATTAGTTGGTTACTCTGGCAGGTAATAATGCTTATTACTCCGTACTTACTCTGTACCTAACTACCTACCTGACTACCTATGCATATGCTATGACATGTCATACTCAACATGCTTCTGATCAGTCACGACCCATGCAGGTCTATTATTAGGTAGTAGCATCAGCAATTAACCTGGGAGTTTCCTGAATATTCATACTTAAGAGTTAGTTGCCTGACATTGACTACGACTTGGTAGTTGCTGATAGTTACAGGTGCTATTATTAGTGACCATCTAGCCACAGAGTATAGCACCTGAGAGCAAAGATTCAAGAAATTCCTGTACTACCTAGAGGATAATTTGGTCCAGGTACGGAGCATCCGTACTCCGTACCTAGGTACAGAGTACATACACATAGGTAGTACTCGTACTTTGTCGTACATATCGAGAATGCATCGATCGATAAATGAGGCAGGGCGTACCACTCGACTAGTGTTACAAAGGATGGTACCTACTTTGTTCCAGTCTATATTTATTGGATATTGTTCTTATATTACTCGGAGCGGATAATACCTAGTCATTCATATGATATTCGAATCCTTATTCATACCTTGGTCGCTAACTAACTAGTCAATAATTAAATCAAATGTCAGTCACTAGCATCACTCCAAGCACATTTGGAACCTTTATTTTCATTGCATCACTCTCTTATTCCTTGTTCCCTCCAGCTGTAGTGACCGTCGCCGTTGCCCCGGATTCCATCGAGGTAGAGGCAGTAGCAGTCGCTGTCGTAAACGCCGTTGTTGTGAACAAACAGGCTGACACCATCCCTCTCGATATTGAGACGGGAGAGAGCACGAACGCGGGAGCACCTCAATGTTGGTCTCAGGCTCATAATTGGTGACGAGGAGCTGCTGAACAGATCTCTCGCAGCAAAGGTAGAGGGGAATCGTGCGGCCTGCAAGAGGAGTCCATTCTGGAAGGCTGTGAGGCATCAGAGGGAACAAAACAGGTCTCCAGGGCTCTCTGTTTCAACCTGACGTAATTCCCCTTACAGGCGATCCCTTAAACAATCCAATTGAGCTGTAGGGTCTCATTGTAAGTCCTGTCCTGTAGTCGCATCAACTACGGATTCTATTACGAAGTCTTGAAGTGGCACAAGAATGTCACATGATTCATGTGACATTCTGCATCATGTGATGTCTTACATAAATCCTGACTCATGGTTGACCTCATCGCCGTGCCAAGCATCTGGAGAGATTTCCCGTTGTTCGCCCGCCAGGCTCATTTGACGCCAGCCTGCTGTGTTGCTCCGTGTTTCTCGCTCTATTGCCGCCCTCCCTGCTACCTTGAGCCCTTGGCCAGGCGTTTCCGCTGATTTTTACGGCCCCCCGCCGCTGCGTATCTGTGTGCCCGCGCCGAGTTTTCTCGCTTGATCCAGTTCTATCAGCCTCGCCCGGTGCGTCGTCGTCTTGCTGCCGCCTGCTGAGCCCTTTCAAACAACCTCCGAGGGCCATTGGCCGCGGCACCCCTTTCGCTGTCAGCAGAATATTAACCCAGCGTCGGTATATCTGGACGTCCTGGCTGGTCGGTAGCGCAGCTGCTGTCGCGTCCCGTGAGGACACCCGCCGTCGCGCTCGTCGCGCTTCGCTGCTGCTCCGGGCTGTAAATAACACCTCGTCTGCCGGCCTTCTCTCCTGATCGCCCTCATCCTTGATACGAAGTTTACGAACTGCAGAGCCTTTGCATGCATTCCCTCGTTCTTCCTTTGTTGAACCCGTTTCTTTGATATCACTCGGGCGGTTATCTGACGCCTACAATTACCCCTCTCCGACCTCTTGATACCACTCACTTCCCGACCCAATACCATCTGTTTATTGGACGGCACATCATCTCACTTCATCATGAGCTCCCAAGGTGTCTCCCGCAAGAGACCTGCCCCTGGCACGTCGCCCGCCGTGCACTCTTTGGGTGCTCTGCCCAACTACAACCCGAACCCGGGCGCCCAATTGTCGAACGATCAATTTCTTCAATGGGGCCAGAACTCGGCTCCCAGCATCGCCAACCCCTCCTTTCCCGACACCGCCCCCTTCAACAATCTCTCCGCCATCTCGTCGAATCAAGATATTCCCCCCGTGTCGGCACCGGCGTCCGGCGTCCCCCCAGTTCCCTCCAACCAGCTGGCTCGTAGGCAACCGACTAACCAGCTTGTGAGCAGGAACCGGCTGTTTGATCAGCCAGCTGCAAATTTTCCAGATCACGGTGGTGGGAACGGCGAGTCAGGCGCTTGGGGGGAGACCCTCGAAGAGCTCTATGCCAGGGCATTGGAAGCCAAGAAAGAGGCTCAGGCAAAACGCAAACAGATCCCGCCTTTTGTACAGAAACTGAGCAGGTAAGTGCTTTATTGCAGTGGTGCTTTTTTTTTTTCAAACCCATGTTAACTGAGTTATAGCTTTCTTGACGAATCCAAAAATACTGAGCTAATACGGTGGTCGGATGATGGAAACTCCTTCATTGTGCTGGATGAGGATGAATTCGCCAGAAGGCTGATCCCCGAACTCTTCAAGCACAACAACTACGCCTCGTTCGTGCGCCAATTGAACATGTATGGCTTTCACAAGAAGGTAGGCCTATCCGACAACTCGATGAGGGCCAGCGAACGCAAGAATAAGAGTCCCAGCGAGTACGCCAACCCGTACTTCAAACGTGGCCATCCAGACCTTCTGTGGCTAATCCAGAAACCGAAAAACACTGCGGGTCAAGGAGGCAAGGCTGGGAAGGGCGCGATCAGAGTGAAGGCGGAGGACTGCGACGATAACGATGGCGACGATTACGGCGATGACGGCGTGCCCGTCTCGCAGAACGAACGGCCCCGGCCTCGTGGCCAACTGTCCCTTGTCAGTGGGAACCTGCTGCCCAAGGAACAATTGGCGGGCGTCTATCGGGAGTTGCAGGCTATCCGGCAGCAACAGCAAATCATCTCGAGCACCATCAGCAAGCTCCGTCGCGAACACGAGCAGCTGTATGCTCAGGCGGCTAATTTTCAAGAACAACATACCCGTCACGAAAATTCGATCAACGCCATCCTCACCTTTCTCGCCACCGTGTACAACCGCAGCCTGCAGGGCCAGGACGGGCCACAGAACCTGGCCAATTCCTTTGCGGGCGCCATCTCGCAAGAACAGGGCAATGTGGTTGATATCGATGACTACACTCTCGGCTCGTTAGGTGCCGGGATGAACAGTCCCGCCGGTCAGCGGACAATAAAGAAGCAGCCCTTACTCTTAAAAGCTCCTCCGACGGTGGCGGCGGCGGCGGCGCCAGCGGCGCCAGCGACGGCGACCACGCCGACTCCGTCGGATCGACATGGCCGGGCGACCACTATGTCTCCCTCTGTCAGTAGCACGACCTACGACCGGAGCAATCATGCTCGGCAACCGAGCGCCACGACGCACACGGGTCATGTGGAGGAAGTGTTTGATACCAGCCCACGGCAGCAGAATTATAATAATAAATCGCCGCCGGCCTCGACCGGCGTCGATAGCAACGGCTTCCCGCCGCAACGGGATATCATGTCGGTGATCCAGAACTCGAACGCGCGCAGTGGCTTGCCAACGACCAGCTTTTCCGATTTCCCCAACGTGCTCTCATCGCTCGAAACGTCGGGCGGGAACGTGCCCCTAACGCCAAACCAGCGCGCGGACATGCTCCGCCTGATGGCCAACGAGACGGGGACGGTCAACCCCGGCGGCGCGGCGGTCTCACCCAACAACGCCCTCATGACGCCCACCCCGCCGCCAATGCCGCAGAATTACTCGGGACGGCTGGCCAACACGCGGCTGGAGATCGACAACTTGGTCAAGATGCAAGCTCAGCAGGACCGGTCCGTGCAGAATCTCACGCACTTGCTCCAACCGCTGAGTCCCAACGGCAACATTCCGGGGCTTGGAGCAGGCCACGCGGCCGACCCGAACCTCCCACCTCCGCCACTCGACCTAGACCAAATATTCAACGACGACTACTTCACCGACATTGCCGACCTGGAACACAACAAGAACGAGCTTGACTTTGCCGCGACCAGCGGGCATCCAACCGCCACCTCTGCCTCGAACGAGAGCGTGCCCCTCACCACGGCCGACGACCTCGCCCATCCCCACAACCACAACTCCTCCACGCACGACTTATTCCACTTTGATCATATCCCCGACGACGGCGACCTGTTCGATCCCTCTACAGGTAGCCAAGGCGGATACTTTGGATTAGACGGGGCAGGGTACAACATCGAACCCACCCATCCCATCACGACCACCAACCCCGCAACCAACATCAATAATAATAATCATAATACCACCACTACCACCACCACCAACGGCATGCTCGACTCCGACCGCATCGTCGAAACTCTCACGGACAGCGAATCCACCAGCCCCGCCAACACGGTCGACGAGAGCCTGCACTTCCCCTCGGCCGCTCACGATGACGGACCGGGTAGTGCCTCGAAGAGACGGAAACAGGGGTAAAACCTTTGCTCTTGAATTTTTTTTTATGAAAGAAGGAAAACAAAAGACAAGAGAGAAAGAGAGAGAGAGAGAAGGGAAAAAAGAAATTGATTCCGAGTTGGGTTATAGGGACGTGATGCTCGGAAGAGTCTTCTATCCATACATTTTGTGTCCTGTCGTACATACACATACATACCATACCATACTTGATATATGATGTCACGATGCTGAATAATGCGGGCTTTCAATGTAGATTTTCTTAGGAGTAGACGGGGAGTAATACGTCTGAAGTTCATATCATTTGTAAACTATCATCTCGTTTCTCGTCCCTTCTCCTCCCCGCAGGTCACTTTTAATCACTTGGATTCATCCTTGGATTCATCCTTGGATTCATCCTTGGAATCTCTAGTCTGGCTACTAAGTACAGCACGCTTGGAGATCCGGAATCCGCCCACAAGTAAGAACAGCGTCTCTAGGCCTAGGATCACGGCCAGCGTGACCATTGCGCCGATGACGCCGGCAACGGCACGGGAAATGCCGCTCTTGGAGGATCCAGCTGAAGCAGAAAAAGAAGTAGAAGTTGATGCTGTTGAAGAAGAAGAGTTAATGCAAACACCACCCGTGTTGCCGCAGACATTACACCACTGAGCCTGCGAAGTGACGGCAATCTTAGCCGTGTAAGTGACAAAGTCTGACCAGGGGAGAACAAGAGTCGGCTGTCCGTACAGCGGGTAGACAGTCGGCTGGGCAGACCCCGTCAGGGTGCCGTTGTGGAAGAGGAACCGTACGCTGATGTCCGAGCTGGCGGGAAAGCTGTCGGTGGAGTTGGTCACCAGTTCCCAGGCCATGGAGGAGGCGTAGTCGGGTATCCCTGTGAAGTTGACGCTCACGGCAGGGAGCTGTGCGAGCCCAAAGTACGAGAGGAAGGTCGCGTAGGCCCCGAACTGGACGGTCAGCTTGGACTTGCCGTTGGTTGCGATGGTGTTGTTGAGGGCCGTCAGGACTTCTCCGGCCAGTAGAGAGCCTGCAATGGCCCGAACGGGCTCCGAGGTATTGTATGCGAGGTTGTACTCGTGGCTGTTGGCCAGGGCTAGCAGCTGGTAGTAGACTTCGGATGTCAGTAGGTCAGAGGACGGGAAGCTGCTGCTGCTAGCGTTGTGGATGGAGGCGACATTCAGGTAGTCGAAGATGGTGTACGCATTCTTGAAGGACATCTGGGATGCGGTGAAGGTCCGGTTGAGCAAAGGAGCAAGCGACTGGTAGAATGCTGCCGTCGAGTTGAGCATGGAGTCGTACAGTGCCGAAGCGAAGTAGTCGTTGCTGCTCACTATGGCCTTTTGGCAGTTGCTGGTGTCCTGCAGCCAGCTATTGTCCTCACTGCCGGTCCCGGTCGAGACAACGGACACAGGGATTAGCTGATACCCATCGAGAGGCGCTTCGACTGTAGACCCGTTGCGCAGCGTCTGGGTCGCCGAGGAGCCCGCGGGGGGGTATAAACCCTGCAAGAATCCCACTGCCGAGTTCTGCAGCACGGTATCGACGGGGGCAGAGGCACTGATCTGAGACTGCGACACGATCTCCGCATTGATCCCCTGAATATGGGATGCGGAGCTGTTGGTAATGTACATGCCGTGGTACGAGGAGCCGGTCAAATACACCTCGCGGTATCCCAGGTCGGTAAGCCGGGTCTTTCCCAGCACTTTAGCGGTCCGGTCGCCGTGTCGTGCGAAGATATACGCTCCCAAGACCCTTTCCGCCGAGACGACAGGGAGGGCCAGCAGGGCCAGCAGGGCCAGCAAGGTATAAGAAGCTTTGGAGAGCATTATGGATACGTTGGATGAGGTCAGAGACGGTGTAGGAAGCGTATGGCAAGGAGCAAGACAGTGTAGGAAGCGTATGGCAAGGAGCCGGGAGGGGGGTAAAAGGTCAAGGAAGTTATACGGGCAGTGACAACCCCGCGGAAATGGACTTGAGGCCGTTTCCTTTCCGAGACAGACTAGCCTTTTGTAGTTGTTCTCCTCTGGCCTGATAGAGAGCAAGGGTTTATCACGGTTGGCATGAATTGAAGTATTACCATTAGCTAACAGTTGCAGATAGGAAACCCCGGAGAAAGCAGGATATGAGACATCCTAAGGTTTGTGTGGAGTCGAACACGAGCAGTCTACTGACTACATGTATAGGCATATGTTGAGTGGCTATTGGGTTCTATCTAGTCAGTGTGATCTCATATGTATCACTTCATGTTCTGGTACTCTATCTATATCCATGAAGATATTGACAGGACCCTTGTGGGGAACTAGAAGCAGCCTCAATTCATTAAGCATTGTGAATGATTTGATAGATGAATAATAGATGGTGTCTTGCTATGATTACTGGGTCCTAGTTGTTCTTGGAACATCTTAGTATGTGCTATATTGATACAGGTCATATGATAACGAGCAGTCTCACAGTATCAAGTATGTACAGTTCCAGTCCATAGCAGCTTGGAAGATGGATTGGATCTTGTCAAGCGATGCCGTCGGTATACCAACCTGTTATGAGGGGTTTCCAGTGGGGAGTAATCTGAATATTGATGAATTATTGTCGATTTGACTAAAAAAACAGTTGAATCAATTGTAAAAATAAGTTCGCCGAAAAAACAAAAAAAGAAGCCCCTGCCTGGAATCGAACCAGGATTACCGGAATCAGAATCCGATGTGATAACCATTACACTACAAAGGCTTGTATGGAAAGACACCGTTTCTTGGAAAATATAAGCTAAACCTGATTTTATACCTAGTCATTTAATTATCTCCATGTCAATCCTCTCTCTATACACAATGTACATCTCATCGCTACCACTTTGACGGTATCACCAATCCCAAGATACACATGAATAGAGCATATAATTACTGATATTTGATAGGGTGAGACACTCATATAGACGGTTTGTATTGTTCTAGTTGCGTATGATGGATGGTGATGGTTGGCTACCCAGTGGACACTAGATAAATATATATTATACTCACACCCAATATACATATAAAACATACAAACCATGGCAACCACAGAAATCGCACCTCCTCGCAGAGTCGGACGGGTTCCAGGAGTTTACGTGTATCAAAGAGGTCATGGAGGGGGGGAGATCAAGCATGCAATGCGTGTAGATTGCTCTACCGATAAATTATAAACCATGACTTATATATAGAATAAAGTAATATCTGGTATTCATAAGGCTTGTATGTACAGGGTATGTTTAGCAATATCGCTACCAATATGGTCCGGTATGGTATCAAGTACCTAGGTAAGGTATGTACCAAATTATAGAACCTTTGTTTTCATCCATTCACTCGTGCCAACGCCCAGATTCAACCCGTTGCGCGCCCACCATCGACGGACTCGCCCCTCCGCGCCAGACACCGGGTCCGCATCCTCCAGGGCCTCTTCGATGTCGCACGTCTTGAACTCGACGCGCAGCCCGCTGCGGCGCCACCATTCCAACACTGCGTCGTGGCCGTTCTTCGTCGGCCCAACCAGCACCTGGCTGTCGAAGATCATCTTCGTCCCCTTGAGCCGGTGCCAGAACTCCAGCACATGCACGTGGCCATGGGTGCTGGCAATCCGCGCCACAGACTCGGCGTGGCTGTAGGGGATCCCCGACGCGTCCCACCAGGCCAGCGAGGCGGTGCGGCCGGATTGCGCGGCAAGCAGCACCGATTTGCCCACTTTCAGCGGGATGGGATGTGAAGCGGGCGCCCGTGCAGACGCCTTCTTCCACCACTCGAGCACGGCAACCTGGCCCTCGGCGCTGGCGGACTCGAGCGCCCGCTCCGTGTATCGGAGCTCGAGGCCCGAGGTGCGCCACCACTCGAGCACGTTGATGAAGCCGGCGCGCGACGCGCCGTCCATCGCATCGGCGATGTACTCCTTGTTGGGCAGCGCGGGGGCATCCCGCCACCAGGTCAAGATGGTCGGGTTGCCGTAGATGGCCGACGCACGGTACGGGAGGTTGGTTAGCCGTGATGTGGTCCACAGTAGGTCGAGATGGTTCTCCGTCAGGTAGGAGAGGATGTCGGTGCGCGAGAATTTGAAGATCAGATGGCACGCCAGGTCGGACAGCGGCTTCCAGCGCGGCAGCGCGTCAATGAGCTTCTTGATCGCCGCAAAGGACCCGCGTAGAATCGTGTACTCCAGGGAGGCCGGCGTCGACATCTTTAGGATGTGGGATTGCCACTCCTTGGGCACCGCCAGGTTCGTCGGAATCCCCACCGCCTTGGCGATCTCCCAGTCGCCCAGTTGCTCCTCGAAAATATTCAGCCACAGCTCGAGTGGTAATGAAGGTGCGCCGTGATCAGCCCGCCGCGATACGGGTGTCAGATGGAATAGATGCTTGGAGACTGGCGTAATCGCGTTCGTGGATGAGCTGCCAGCAGCTGACACTGTCTTGCTGTCCTCCACAGCCAGATCGCCTCCGCCCGCCCCCGGCTCCAAACACGAAAGCCCCAGGGTATCCTGAATCGCAGTGTCGAGGGCCGCGAGCCCTTCCCACGGCAGCTGGACCAAGTCTTCCGAGCCCGTGAATTTGTATAACACCGGCGACACAACCCGAACCCAGGGCCAGAACCGTGTAATCTCCTCCAGTTGCCGGCTCGACAGCGGGTGGTCCCATTCGGGGACCGTCATGCCTGGGATGAGGATGACCGGTTTCGTAGACATCCACGCCCGCAACAAGGCAAGGGTCAGCGTATTGGTCAGGCCGGACAGCATCGAGCCCAGCGTCCCAGCATCGATGGGGGCGAGGAGCAGCAAATCAGCCCATTCGCAGAGCTCCGCTGCCTTGGCTCTCAGCCATTTCCGGGGACCAGTCTTCTTCTCAAACGTCTGGCAATCCACGCTATCCGTATAATGAGGGATCTTGTTGACGCCCGCAAGCGACGCTGAGGGTTCGTCGGTAATCAAGCGCAGCTCGATATCCGGGTTCTTGACTAGCAGCGGGAGGATGCTGTCGACAAAGGAACTCTCTGTCGAAAGAATGATTCGTTTTCGACGCGACGACGTGGCGACGACAGAATCCCGCCGCGGCAACACCTCCTCGTTGTCCTCTTCTCGAGCCCTGACCGTCCACCCCTTGTCCTCCTCCTGACCATCCATCTCCATATCTGTGTCTGCGTCCGCGTCCACCTCCCTGACCTCGTTCGACCAGATGGGTTTTTTCGAGTCGACGCTCGTGTACCCGGCCGAGTGTTCTGAGCAGAACGCCACCGTCATCTCCGATAAAATTCGCCGTATTCGATGCTGTCTGTCCAGTTGTCGAATGAATTTTTTCCTGTCGCTGATCTCACCTCGACAGTAGAGCGAGCGCCTCTTCGTCTTTGTTCCGGGATTCGCGAGCCATAAAAGCGCCTCTGAAGTGTTTTTTCCTTGTCTACCCAGTGGGTTTCATTCAGGCAGTTCCCAGCAGGCAGTCGGCAAACGTGTCACTTGTTGAGTTGACGCAGAGCAGTTGAAGCGGTGTGTAGGCAGAGAGAGAGACTCGCGATTTCTCGGGTTGACTTTGGGCAGGAGATAGTGGAAGAGTGGATCAACAGGTTTAGGTACCTGGTTCTGGGCCTCGCCACTGACCTCCAATCGCCACTTTTCATCTAGCAGCAGGACTGGGGGAATTCAGTATCAGAGCAGTGAATACCCAACGATGAATCATACCTAACTCAATTACTGACTTGCCCCGGGTTTCTTCTATGTGTGGTATGGCTACCGGCGCCGCAGGAATCAGCCCACTGAGAAATATAGTGCAGGAGATTGGTCGGATGACTGAATATTTCTCGAGGATCTATATAGAATTCAGCTGTATTTGGTTCTGTGGCTTGAGTCAGTGAGTAAGAGGAGAAGTTGGATGGGCTGATGTGATCTATCATATGACTGTCTTCAGTGTCTTGGGCGAGCTACATGTGAGTCTAATACTGTAACTATTGGATATGAAGCAGCAGGTATCTACGGAGAATGTATTATCCACGATAAATGCTGTGTTTTAACGCCGCGACAAATTATTGTGGAGGACGTGCTCTCGCATCGCAAAACTGACCAAGCTGCCCAGCACTGCCGTGCCCATGAGGGTCAAGAATACGGCGCGCAACGCAGCCATATATGCGTCGAGAACACCCGGTATCCAGTCTGCAGGGAGGTGATGGATCTCGTCGAGGCTGTCGCGGATGCGCGAGATGAGCTCGCCCGCACGGTCGCGGTCTCCGAAGCGAGACCACAGCTGCGCGCGGAGGAGGTTCTGGAATACGGCGGACGCGACCGTGACGCCGACCGTGCTGCCGGCGCTGCGGAAGGCGTACGAGGCCGAGGTGATGACCGCGTGGTGGTGGTGGTCGACGGCGGAGATGAGCGCGACCAAGGTCACCGTCAGCATGCCTCCGTAGCCCGTCCCCATCAGCAGGAAGTAGACAAACGGCAGCCAGGCCGGGGTGTTTAGACCCAACGAGCAGATTGCAGCCGTCGAGGCTGTCAGGAGGAGCATGGCTACATGGCCGAACACCTTGTACCGTCCTGTCCGGCGCATGAGGATGCCCAACCCCAGCGAACCGATCGACGTGCCGATGGCCTGGGGGATCAGGCGCGCCCCCGCCGCCGTGGTGGAATAGCCCTGGATCTGGAACAGAAGTGGCAGGTAGAAGAGCAGGCCGAAGACGGTCATGGTCACGAACCAGTTGGTCAGACAGGCCGACAGGATGGTCTGGTTCAGGAGCAGTCGCACCGGGATGATCGGTTCGGCCGCGACATTGGCCTCGATGTAGACAAAGACCGCGAGTGACACGGCCGACAGAGGCAGGGAGGCCAGCACCAGCGGATGCGTCCAGGGGACCTGGTTGCCGCCTGCATTGAGCCCGAGGAGGAGCAGGACGAGGGTGACGACCAGTGCCACAGCGCCCAGAAAGTCCACGCGCTTGATCCGCGCCATCTCGGTCTCCTTGACGGGGATATGGACCGTGACCGCCACCAGGATGGTCGAGACGACCAGGAACGGGATTTGGATCAAGAACGCTGCCCGCCACCCGAGTGTGTCATTGATCCAACCGCCAAACACGCCGCCCAGCCCGCCGCCGGCCCCGTAGCAGATGTTTCCGATCCCCTGCCACACGCCTCGTCGACGTAGCGGAACCAGGTCAGACGTGATGAACGTCGTGATGACCAGCAAGCCGCCGCCGCCGATACCAGACACCACGCGGCCCAGTATCATCACCCATTGGTGTTGTGCCAGCCCGCAGATGAGGTTCCCCAGCGCGAAGACGACGTGGGAGAAGATCAGCCCCGTCCGCCGCGAGTAGATGTCCGTCAAGCGGCCGCTCAGGGGCTGGACCGCCGCCGTCGAGATCAGATACGACGTCGCCAGCCAGGAGAGGAGCGAGAAGGACTGAAACGACGAGGAGATTGAAGCAGTGAGCGTCGCCACCACCGTCGTGTCTGAAGCAGTCAGCTTCCCGCTTTTCTCTATACAGCGCGGGCAATGGAGCAAGGGAGTTATTTACCCAAGGATGCAAAGAAAACCCCAACCCATATACTCCCGAGAATCACAGTCAGTTCGCCAGTGCTGTGTTCCTTGGCCAGAGGAGCCTCTGATGATTCAGAGCCCCCTGGCACGTCTGTCGCCCGTCGGGCTTCCTCGTCTTCGGCATGCCGTTGCGTGTCTGGTAGTAAGGGTGTTTGCTCTGTTGTGTGTATTGACTCGGACTCGTGTTCAGGGGACATGGTGACACAGATGTGTAGAGTATTGCTGTCAAGCACAGGATGTCTAGGAGATGTAGTTATTTAATGTAGAGACTCCCCAAGATCTACAGTGGGGTTCTAATGTCAGCTTAATTGAAAACACATACTTCAGATGCACTACATAAGCTCTTTAAATTTAAATATATGATGGTTTATGGTATTATAGGTAGTCATTATTACATCAAGTCAAGTACTATCATTAATCTATTGAGTTGAGGCAGTAGCAAAGCACTGCCATAGATTTATCGAGACATATTGGAATGAAATACTATGCCGTTCTGTCGAATGCAAGAAGATACTAGTGAGAGGTTCCCAGTAACAGCTCGTAGCTTTGGATGTACATTCCTTGCTAGTATTCGAGGAAGTCATTCGATTATAGGGTATCATATAGCCATGTCTATCCCGACACGACATCAAGAACCGTCCACCGAGGAACCATCGACACTCTGAGCATCATCGATGGCCCCCGGATCCTGGCCATTCGCCAGCGCAGCAGTAGCCTTTGCCTCCCTCGCCTTCTGCCGTCGCTTGATCTTCCTTTCGCGGTTCTTCCGATTGCGTTTCTCCGCCTCTGTCTCCTTGGCCACCTGCGCCGCGACTGCCCGCTTGCGCAGCTGGATACGTCGCTTCTTGCCCGGCTTCTTGCGTGTCTTCGGCGACGGCGTCACGGGCGACGGGTGGATGGTGTATAGTGCTGCGTCCTTTGATGCCGGGGGCAGCTTGGTATGTTCGCGTTTAAGATGAATGACTCGCCATGGTAAATCACAGCCAGGCTGAATGATCAGTACACCTGCACTCAAACACCGGGGGGCTTCCCCCCCGCCTTAAAATCAGGAAGATCATACCCAAGGAACCTTGGCCCAATTGAATAAATCCTGACCACAAACTGCCACGTCTTCGAACTGTTTTCGTTTCAACGCGGCAGCCGCCTGTGTGAGCTCCGTCTCTGGCGCGGCATATAACGTCGGTGTCGAGAAATAATACTCCCATCCGCGGAACGGGTGCACGAACCGTCCTTCCCCCTGTGCGCCGGAAACGGGTGTCGGCGAGCGTAGTCGAATCCGTAGTTTCTGGACTCCGTTCTGTGCCTTCTGTGATTCTGTACTGGTTTCTGTAGGATCTGAAGGAGACAATGTCTTTGTGGTGAGCGGTTTTGAGGCGGAACTTGTCGTCTGCTTCGAGGGGGCGCTGCTGAAGAGTCGGAACTCGAATTCCTGCTCTTCTTCCTCCTGAGCTTGATTTTGTGCCTCTGGTTCTGCCGTTGTGGACTCAGTATTCTCAGAGGGCTGTAATAAGGCGTCAAGATTCAACAATTTGCCAAGGATATCGTGGCCATCGCGAACAGCTGCTGAGTCCGGTGGCGGGGATGGAGAAGGAGACGCGGAGTCGCGCGAGAGGAGTTCTTCTCGTCGAACACTGTTAGATTAGCAGAATTCGAGAGAGCGTTGACTAATGTACTCCAATACCGACCTTTTCGTGCTTGGTAAGCCGAACATCTTGGCTTGGAGGCTGGATTGTGCAAGGAAACTTGAAATTGTTCGAGTCTTATCGGCGATGATGCGGAGACGAAGAAAAATGACTGGTATTTCCACTTCCCAACCCTTGCGGCCACGCATTGTCTGGACTAGGAGACATCTAGGTAGTTGTAACTACTGTTGGCAATGAAATGACGTTATATATATTTAGCTGTAGATACTATGGAAAGAAAAAGAAATAAGCCAGTACATCAAGTATAATGAGCTACCGTGACCAGGGCTGATGGAGGGAGAACATATAATATTCTAGGCCACAAGATGTATTGATTCTAGAGCTATAATTCTAAACACAGCGACCACCATCAACCTAACAGCGGACTGTTAGCACAGAATCAAGGTAGGAAGAGCTGTGTACTGACCTCGAGGTTCACGCCGGTGATGAAAGCTGCCTCATCACTGGCAAGATAGCAGCATGCATTGGCGATGTCTGCGGGAGTGCTTGGGCGGCCTAATGGCACAGTAGAGACAAAAGCTGCGCGGTTCTCCTCTGTATCAGGCTTTCCCAAGAAGAGATGTGTCCTAGAGGTGGATATCAGAATCCAAGAAGCATTCAGCTTCGATAAAAGGTGGGCAACCTACATGCCCGTGCTCCCAACCACTGGACAGACACAGTTGAAACGGATATTCTTGGGCCCATATTCGACGGCCATGGTCTTGTTTGCAATGCCCACAGCGCCCTTGGAAGCATTGTACCATGTCAAGCCCGGACGGGGACGGATGGCTGCGGTGGATGAGATCTGAATGAAGGAACCGGGTCGGTTGTTTGCCAGGAAGTAGGGGACCACCACGCTGGTCGATAGGTAGATCGACTTGACATTGACATTCATGCAGAGATCGAACTCGGCATCTGTCACCTCGCCTGTCGGCTTGTTGCTGTAACTGGCCCCGGCGTTGTTGACCACGATATCCAGCTGTCCGTACGTTTCCAGCGTTTGCTCGAGGAGATTCTGCCACGATTCTCTCTTCGTCACATCCGTCGCTACATATTTGCTGTTCAATTCCGCGGCCGCCTTCTCCCCACTTTCCTTCGAGAGCTCTGCGACGACAACTTTGGCGCCTTCATCGACGAACTTTTGGGCGATGCCTCGACCGAACCCCGACCCAGCGCCAGTTATGATGGCAACTTTACCTTCTAAACGCCCTGGCATGGTGACAGAGCCAAGAATGCGGAATATATGTGAAAAGGGATCAAATTTTTGAATAATGGAGCAAGAGACAGAGTGGTAGAAGAAGATAGTTCTGGTGAGGGGGTCGAGAGGGGTAATGTTGTTTTGATCGGGGGACCTGTTTGCGGGGTTTCCCCTGACAGCCGATCAACTGTACTATTATTTAACAGTGATAGGCATAGTGATGACTGTGACCTGGTCTTGAGCGCTAGTTAGTTTCAACCTGATGAGTGAGAGTCGCTGCTGAAACAGTGATGGTGATGGTGGTTGACGGAATAGCCGAGACTTATATCTGGATCTCTTCTCAACCAGCAGACATCCCAGTATAATACCCAGGAATAAAGTTCCATAGTACCAAATATATTGACCTAGCAGGTATGACCCTAGAAGAACTCAAATCGAGCCTCTTCGAGCTTCTTCAAGCCTCTCCAAAGGATTATAGTGGCCATGATCACCAACACTAGTATTCCTGACCAGCTCCGCTGCTCAACGTTTAGATCAACCCAGGTTCTGTTCCATACATTCGAAATCTTTGGATATATGTGTCTCTGTTATAGCTCATAAGCCACCAAGGTCGCTTTAAATGCCGAAAAGCGACTATTCCAGGTCCTTGTAGGACATGTAGGCTAGGTGCGGAGTAAGCAGGGCGGCTGGAATACCGATCATGCGCAAAACGTCTTCCGAGGATGGATACTTCTAGAGAAACTCCAACGTAGAAACCGCTAAGACAGAGTACTCACATCTCATTGTCTCTGAGAGCAACGGAAATGGCAGGGTGAGTGGTGAGATGCCCTTCGCAAGGAGATGTCATCGACCACGCACAGACCATCTCCGACTTGCTCCTCCGGCCCCCCAGACGAGCATCTTCGTCTCGGTGAATTTTCTCAGTGCTGCTTTGCCGGTGGCTGTCTCTGCGCAAATCTCTCGCCAAACCCAATACTCTCGTGGTTTTTAAAGCACGCATTCTCTCCGCCGATATCATTCTCTCGAGCTCCTCCCCCCAGGCCGCGCTCCAACGACACGTGCTGCGTCCCACTTGCTGCACCCACGCTTGCATTTTGCGCTTTCTTTGAGGCATCGGATCGTCAATGGGCATCTGCGCTTCGTGTCTGGGCATTAACCGCCGGGATAGCCATGATGTGAGTGAAAAATGGACCTGCCTAGTGTTTTTCCCTGCGGGGGAGGTTATCCTCACTGCTTTCACTCAGCTGTTTATCGCGGTGGCTGGGCATGTTGCCCAGAGTCCCGTCTCTGCGAACAACCACTGACTGACGCCTTGAATGCAATAGTCCGAGTCGTCACGGCTTCTAGACGAAGATCTATACCAAGCGAGTTATGGATATGGCGCCCTGAACCAAGCCAACCAATCCAACCATCCTGATCCCGAGTACCTGAAGCGCGAACGGGAAGCTCTTGACGCCATCTGCCAACGAACCTCTGAGTGAGTCTCTATAGACAATATGATGGTTTTGTTTCTTCTGGGTCGAATTTCGCTGACTCTGATCTAGCGCTGTCATTGATATCTGGTCTCTCCATCCGCAACCACACCTCCAACCGCAAGCCACGCTTCAAGGCTCGATCGCGACCGTTGAATCCCAGGTCACCACCACCACCACCGGCGAGAACATAGTTACTACATCAGTTCCTCATTCAAATGAGCCAGGACAGAACGGCACCGTGCCCAAGCACTGGGGCGAGGTGGTGATCAACCCGAGGAAGAAGCGGTCACGACCAGGCCTCAACACAGATGAAACTAATGGCCGCGATGTCTTCGGTGTATTGAAGGTCACCTGATGAGATCTATGAAAGGCATGCATGGTATGGGAACAGACAGGTGATGCCTCTCTTCTCTTTTAATTTCCTTTATGTTTTTTTCACGTTGTTCGGGGTCGCCGGTCGACGCATATTATTATTTTTACCCATGGCTTTCTTTCAACTCGGTTCATATGTAATACCCCTCGCATCCAAACATCCTCCATTCTTTTGAGACCTTTCCTTTTTTTTTTTTCTTTAAATACCTTCTGCAATTATCACTACCTAGCCGATTACTCCGTGTTTCAATCCTTCAAACTTGACCTAGACTTTCATCCTGCTTAGAGATATGCAGGCCAGTCTACCTTTTTCATCTTCTGTTCAATTGGCATTGCGCAGACATACTATTTTTCTTTATTTTAATACCCCTTCTTCCCCTTTGCATGTTACTAGGGATCATTTCCTGGTATCAAATATTCACATCATAGCCTCGAAAAGAACAAGGTAGATAAACATTCTTATCATTCAAGTAAAGAGTTCTCATCTTCAAAGGATTCAACTAAAATATATAACATGTAAAATATAGGAGAATGTCATCTGACTTAGAAACATTTGAATCAATCAGATATCAAGACGGAATCATGTTGAGAGTAAACGGAGAGAAATATCAAATAAACTAGGCGACCTGGTCCACTTGTCTCGTCCTCAATCACTGCCTTGTATATACTCCATAAGTGCTGGGAAGTTGAAGCTTCCATTCCTCCCCCCCCCCCGCCACTGAGAAAGTAAAAAGAAAGAAAACGCCCGCTGTTCCGAGCTCCGTATTGATGTAAAACCGACATAAATTGGGGGAATATGATGCAGTATATCCGTATGCGTTCGAACCCACAAAGAAACATGAAAGGCTAGTAGTACTGGTGGAGGGGGGCGAGGACAATCGATCAGACATCGTCCATCGTTCCGGCCGGCTCCTCGCCACCGGACTCGTAGCTACCAGCCGAACTCATCTCATCCTCGGATTCAGTATCCTCTCCTGCTTCGTCGACAGCCTCCTTACTAGCGTATTTGGCAACGTATTCTGGATATTGAATCAGACGTTTATTCCCCACAGAGTGCAAGGATACTCTAAAGGAATCACACCTTTTACTTTCGCGTCATAAGTCTTCGGTTCGCGCATTAACATAGCTGCAGCTTCGCCATTCAGAGGATCCGATGGGTTGGGATACCGTAAGAGCTGGGGGAGGAAAACTTCGAAGATGTTGATCATGTCGTACATAGGCGACCAGGTTTGGTTGATGACATCAAGACAGACCGATCCGGACCTAGATAGAGGAAATGAGCGGCGGATATTGAAACGAAGAGGCTTTATATCACGCCTTACAGTTCATCAATATTGGGGTGGAAGATCCGGTTGACAAAACCGATACTGGGGCTTTTGTATGGGTATTGGTCCGGCAACTCGACGTGAATCTTCCAGTGGCCACCAGCAAAAGGAGCTGTAGGACTAGGTCAGATACAAGTGAAACATGATCATCAAGACGGGTTGGTCGTACTCTCTTCCGGGCCCTTGAAGCGCACGTAGAATTCTTGCCTGTCCACAGAATCATGTATATCAGCCCGGTGCCTCCAAGTCTATTTCTTATCGTTTGAGAACTATCGAAGGGCATACACTAAAGGATCGACGGTCAGCCTATAATGCTAGTCGCCATACACTCAAAGAGAAACCTTACTATTGTCGTTGACCAATGTCACCTCATAATCACTCATCAACCTGTATAGCCACATTAGCAGCGAGGACGCGAGGACGGAATTCGGTATCTCGAGGTTGATCAAAAGGGAAAAAGTGAAGCATACATCCTAGAGAAGATTGTTAGTTAATGCTTGACAAATAGAGAGTAGAGAACACTTACTTCATGACCTAGTTTAGAGGGAGAGCGACCCTAATGTCAGCGGTTCACTGATTTCACGTCAACCCATGGAGATCCACGTACATCCGTCTCAATTCTCCGCTTGGGGCTGCTCATTTTGACGATGCGAGTGTGAAAGTACACAACCGAGTGTTGAAGCCTCCTCGTAGCTCCTTCTTAAAGGACTGGATACCTGAAATAAAGCTCGTAGGGTATTGCGATTGTTCTCCCAAGGTCGAAGCGGGGAAGTACTTGGGTGGGGCAACGATCGAGGCTGTATGATAAAAAGTGCGAGGTCTGTAAGGAAGTTGAAAGAAACAGATCCAAGACAGACTATGAATGGAGACAGTTCCGTAGAATACTAGCTGATGGAGGGAGGCCTGAGAGGTGGATGTTGGAAGGTTGAAGTAGTACGATATGGTCGTCAGTGTCAGTCAACGTTAACTAGAGCGGGCACCGTCGGGGAATTGCGCCGTCATGTGCCTTGGGCGGCCAATTTGGCAATTATTGAATGAGTCAGCGCCGGATGATCGCCATTGCCTTAATCTTTCGTCTTGCTGTTTCTTCTTAACCAACGGCGAATTTGGGATCTCCCTGAATAGACATAAGCTGGTTGGAATCGTTGTTCGATACCGATTCTTCTGCTGCGAGATACTACTGATCACTACGCCTCCTTTGTCAGTACACAGGACTATAAGTTGCCACCACTCGTTCTTGGTTCCATAAGACGATACTCTTACGCCAGATAAGTGGCGTGGGATACGGTAGCCTCAAGTAGCAGAATGCTGCCAAAGCGATGGTAAACAGGATATACGACTGGTAGAGAAACTGTGTACGAGAAGTATGGTGAGGAATATCTGTTGAATTGCTATAGAATAGTCCGAGTCTATCAGCCTTCTAGCAATATGGCTTATACCAATACTTGCCCTACCTTCTCACCTAAAAGTAATATAAAAGTAATTATTAGAAAATACAGCCCGATGATTAGTAACCAAACACCTACTACAACGCTTATCTAGGTTGATCAATGAATACCGCGTAACTAATCCTAGACTGATACCTTCTTAGCCCAAGGAGCTGGTCCAGCCAACGGCTTTCCGCCCACAGCTCCGGCTTTAATCAACACTCGCTATAAACCATCGCTGCCTATCCCCCTTACCTCGGAATTATCGCATGAAGACTTGTTTCCATCTGACTAAGAACGAGCCTCTGCAATTTATCTGATACCATGAATCCGTCATCCTCCCCAGAGCAACAATCTTCGCGAAATTCCCCCAACCCCACACCCGCAGCAGCTGGAACTACACTCGCCCATCGGGCAGCGAGCCGGTCTTCTCAAACGAACAGTCCAGCTAGTTCAGGGAGCACCCCCATCCCAGACGAAGAACATGGCGCTGATCTTCCGTTGACGATGGCCGCTTCGGTGGTGCTGACCAGTCTGCCACGCGATGCGCACCGAGCGCTAGCTGATGTTGAGGCTATAGATACGGGAAAGGGTATTACTTCCTTGCCTTCTTTTTTCTTTTGAGTTTCACCTTTGTTAATTTTTTTTTTTCGATATCTGCTCTATCACTTGTTTGTCATAATAGTTGGTCTAATCACGCTGGCTCTACCAGTTACTGTACGGTTTCAACCACTCCCTTCAGCACCAATCCTGAAGAACAAAGTCTTTAAAATCAGTGCATCTCAAAAATTCGAAACAGTCGTTAAGTTTCTTCGCAAGAAACTGGATTGCAAAGATACCGATTCTGTATTTTGCTACGTCAATAGTGTCTTTGCGCCTGGTCTGGACGAAGGTGTTGGAGGACTGTGGAGAGTAGGCATCCTAACTTGAACCCCGTCAGAGCAATGTTGACTCTGCGACAGTGCTTTAAGACCGACGATCAATTGATTGTGGCATACTCCATGACACCGGCATTTGGATGACAGAATTTGACCCGTTGACATCCTAAACTATTGAAAACAGATGACGGATATGATTCTCACGATAAGATGCCAAAATCATGCATTGCAGATAGAAGAGCGAGCTGTACTATTGTCAAAAAACTACATATTATTTGATCGACGAAAGGTCGCAGCACCATATGTTCCACTGAAAATTTGTACAAAATGAAAGGCTCTGAAAGGTATCATATGGACAGATCTCCCCCCCCACAAATTCCCCAAACATCAATCCGAGTCCGTTCCGGATTCATCGAGTATTTTTTCAAACTCGGCAAGTTCGGCCTTTGCAATTGGATAGGTGTATTCGGGGGATGGATACGCCCGAGTCTTGACCTCGTCCCGGTATTGCTGGATACCCTTGATTGTTTCGCCCCAGACATCCGCATACTTCTTGACAAACTTGGGCAAGAATCGACCGGGAGGGAAGTTGCCCGCCATGTCGATCTGCACGAGGACCTGCCCGGAGCATCCGTTTCCGGCACCGATGCCGATGGTTGGGACCCGGAGTTTCTTGGTGACGAGGGTCGCAATCTCAGCAGGCACCGCCTCGAGGACCATCATGAACGCGCCGGCTTCCTGCACAGCGAGTGCGTCCCGCAGGAGCTTCAGCGCCCCCGCGGTCGTCTTACCCTGGACCCTGAACCCACCGAGAGCATTCTGGCGTTGCGGCGTCAGACCGACGTGTCCCACAACGGGGATTCCAGCTTGCGTGATGCGCTTGATCGTAGGGGCCATCTCCTCTCCTCCCTCCAGCTTGACGCCTTGCATGCGGCCCTCTTTGATGATCCGGATGGCCGACTGCAAAGCTTGCTCGGGGGAGACCTCATACGAACCCATAGGAAGGTCGGCAATCTAATCAAACGAGAAGGTGTTAGTGACGGACGCCCAATTGCAAAGAGAAAAGAAAAGAAAGAAGTCGTATTCTTTCAGGACATACCGTAAACGAGGTCTTTGCCGCACGAGCCACACTCCGACAATGCAGGAGCATCTCCTCCATCACGACCTCGCTTGTATCCTCCATCCCCAGCGCCACCATAGCCAGGCTATCCCCCACAAGGACAACCTCCATCCCTGCCACGTCGGCGACATGTCCGCTCGGGAAATCATGGGCTGTCAGCATGGTGATAGGTTCGCCATTTTTATACAAATTCTGCAAGGTTTGCACCGTCACTTTCTTCCGAGTGCTGGCCGACGATGCACCTAGTGGCGAATGAGAACTGTATCGAACGAAGCGTGACGATGTACGGGGGGAAGAACGGAAGGTCAGGGCGGATCGGGAAGCGGACAGGGCGGAAGCGGAAGACGCTCGCGTGAGCGCCATGACGGTGGTATATCTCGAACAAGTCCGCAGCGGGACCGTCATTGATGCCATTACAACCTTGGACATGATTGGTATTGTCCTCAATGCCAAGTATGGTATTAGAAGAAGAAAAAAATTCGGAAATAGTGTGGTTGATGCCGGAGCGACGTCACAGACAGGGATGATTATCAGCAGAGGTGTCTTGCAAGCCGGGACGAGGGAAGAGCTGGTGAGACGGAGATAGGCAACAATGTAAGACCAACAAGGTCCATGGTTTTCTCACCCCCTCCTTCCGGGCGTTCTTATATATGACCCGGCGTCAACGTGCTGGTATATGCGGCGTAATCAAGAGCATTCCCTCCATTCCTGTTTTGGAAGTCACTGGATTCTGCCGATGCGCTAGGGAAATTTCCCTCGCTTCTCCGCCGGAGATTTGCGATATTCCGGGCCTGGTTAACCCCTCGCAACGAACCGAGGCTGTTGTTCGTTTTCGGGTTAGTGAGGGGTTACTTGATTACCTAGGTAGGCGGTGAGCTTGGTGCACTTGACTAATCCGCGCATAGCAGTACAACTACAGAGTATACAGACTATTTAAGTAGCTAATGTAAACGAACAGTAGAAGATTTGAATCAGGATTAGAGTATAATGATGCCTATCTAAATACTGCACATCTCGGGTAGAAATTAGGTGAAATGCCAATTGAAATCACCGAGGTGGTAGAAAATCAAGTCTCCATAAGACATGGAAACAGAAGTCAAACAATCGCCGGTAAGTCGATAAACAGGTCTGGATCCGTTGTGGACTGGTAGCCTGCATTGAACATCTCAGCATAACCTGCCATACACCCCCATCAATACCCAACTTTATCCATATGTTTCATCAATATACCCCCATTCATACCGTACCAACCTCCGCCACCTAATCCACCTCATGCCCCAGTCCACATGATGGCATTGAAGCATTCTTTCATCGGATGCAGCAAATGCTCCGAGAAACACTGGTCCATCTGTTGGCACTGAGTGACTCTTCCTCTGGGCGAGGGTTGAAAAAAAAGCGAAAAAGAAAGGAAATGTATGAAGAGGTAAAACACAAGCTTGAACGCCGATTGTGTCATGATGCAAAAGAAGAGGGACAAAATACCACGCACCGAAAGCTCGGAGGGAGAAAAGAGAAGAGTCGTCCATAGGAAGTATGGAAACGAAGGAATGACGGGACGCAATGCGAACCCACATGGGACAATGCTTTTTAAATGATATGTTGCCGATGAGACAACGAAACGCCGCAATATGCATGTACGCCAATGCCGTTGAGAACGATATTTCTGATGATAAGGTATATCCCTCCGAGAAAAGAAAACACTGTCTGGAAATGGTCGAAGTAGAAGGAGAATGGGGAAACGAGAATGGACAAGATTAGGGAAGGCACCTAACGATCTTCAAAAAATCAAGATGCAAGGAGAATAGGAAAATGACCTCCTGGGAGAGGAAAACAGCATGGTGTTGGCAAGATATGCTGTGTAGTTGACACAGCAACTAGAGATCTCCATACTCCTCCTTTAATGGCCGTTGAATCTGAGCGAGAAGGGCATCTAGCTCCTGCCAGTTCGACGCTGTAGTCGCGAATTTGCGATGCTTTCGCGTCATGACGTGCTAGAAAGGGTCAGTATATCCGAGGCCTTGACCCTCAAGTAGATAGACTTACCTCTTCAAAATCGTCGAACTTATCACGGCAATTCTCGCAATAGCCTGGCTTTGGATCTCGTCTTCTCTCTTCTTTCTTCTTTTGCGCGCCGTCCTTCTTCAAAGACACCCGCTGTTTCCCATTGCCCTCAGATTGCGTCGTGTCTTCTTCAGGGTGAGCGTGGGCGGGCTTTTCGTGAGGATGAACTTTCCCTAGTCTATTGCCTTGGCTTTTAGAAATTCGGAGAGTCGACGCATCTGTAGTGGGAACTTGTCCAGCGGAAAAGACTCCGTTGCTCTTCTCGAGCACTTTTCTCTTAAGCTCATGCACCTCTTTGCTTATACCAGCCTTTGCCCCCGGTGCAGCAGCAGTGGAGGATATCATCTGGGAACGGATGGCGGAAGTGATATTCGAGGGTTGCATTCCAGATGCGGCAGGCTCACGTCCAGTGTAAAAAGACCCAGTACGGGGCATAGGCGGTGGAATGAAACTCTCAGAGCTCTTTCTGGGAGAATTTGGTTGCTTGATCGGCACTTTCTGAACCTCAGGTTCCTTGGAGACATGTACCTGCTCCTGTATATCTTGGGATTTTGTGTACGGCTGAGGCTGGGCATGCACAGGCTTGTCAGTTTGGCGTTCAAGGGTTTCCATAACCTTGGGCTGCTTTGTGTGCTCCTGACGCGTTTTGGGTGCAACTTTCTTCTCCTTCTCCTGGTGCCGGGGCTTCTGCCGCTCCAATTCCTTCTTCGTTGGCGGCTCATCGATGAAAGGACACTTTCCCAATGGTGCGCTTCGAAATTGAGGCCAGATGCCATCTTGGCGCCGTGAAACCTTGGGGTATTCTCGAGCCATGACCGGCCGAGTTTTCTCGTCCATATCGTGGACATAGATGAAGGGACCTTTGAACATGATGACCTCTTTGATAGAGGAAAGAGGATCGCGATCGGACGGCCCATTCAACAACTCATTACGAAGTACTTGCGAAAGATCTGCTTCCCCTCTTCCTCTGCCGTTACCCCCGGCTGCGTGATAATTGCGAGCGAAATGGCCGTGCTGGCCACCGACATCCCCATCGTTGATGGTGACGAGCATGCGTTGCAGTTTCTCCAGTGCCCAAATTTTCATTTGCATCTGTCGAGCCCTGTGTAGAACATCCATATTGCCCTGGTCTCGTCGTTGATCGTTCCTCTCGAGAAGTGAAGGGTTGACGGTTTGAACGGTGCCATGAGCGGAGTGCTGATCAATCGTAGTGACCGTGATGGGCTCTGCGGGATTCTGATAGTCTCGTTCAGGGGGGATAGGACGCGAGGTGACGACATGGGTGACTAGTCGAGAGAAAAATTTCTCCTCGCGCTATAGAAATAAATTAGTACAGATGAAAATTTCTGTAGACAGTCCAACAGGAATCCCAACACTGGACGGTGCAAGGGCGAGACATGATGCCAAAAAAGAAAAGAAAAAAAGAAGAAATCGCTCCAGGGTGAGACTTACAGCTCCCAGAGCAATTACCTGGCGCGAACACCTGTTACGGACTTCCTCCGGGATACTGTCAAAGTAAAACACGAATTGTGGAAAGGCTTTTCGATAATGCTTCTGCCACTGGCGGATATTGTCCATAGTCTCCGTGGTCACTTTTTCATGTCGGCCACTTCTCTGCTGCAATTGCCGCTCCTTGTCCCGGGCTGCCACCAACTTCTTCTCGAAAGCACTGGGCTGTGAATTGTTCGAGCGGCGAGTGAATAACTTCGAGTCCGTCCCGCCATGGACGGTAGCTCGGGGTCGATTAGGGGACCGTCCATCATGTCCTAAAGCCTCAACCACCTGCTTCTTGGGTGGTGGCTGGCCAAAGGGGATGTCAAGCTGAGCGGTTGTCGTCCTCGAGCGTTTACTACCAGGAACAAGCCCCGCCCGGTGAGGGGAGTTCGTTGCATTAGGCACGTTGGCGAGTGGTCGGCGAGTGGTCATATTAAGAGCTGGCTGGGGCGAAGGGGGCACAAAAACCGCGGCCATACGGGCAGCGATATGTCCAACGCGTCGATATAGAACAGGCAGGGAACAACGAAGGGCCAGGAGAGGATTAAGGATCCTCAAACCCAAGCACGCGACGTGCTACACGTCTCGAGAGCAAAGCGTGCTAAGTCAGAAGAAAATCATGGTCAACCCAAAGGACGCGATATTCCTGGTTATACTGAGCCGTGCAAAAGGTAAGAGAAAAGATCAGACTACCTCAGTCCGTCGAACAGACTCCCTTTAATCGTAGTCGGAGCTTTGACAGCTTGGGAGGAGTGGATGACAGGGTGGGCAGGGTGCAGAAAGGGAAGAGGTACTTACGTGCGGTTGTTTGGTGGAGACAAACTTGTTTTGGGGTTCTCCGCCGGACAACGACACAAAGCGCGAAGCATGACCCTAGGCCAACAGCACATTCTTCTGCCTCGTTGCGCGCCTCCCGGGAAGGGTTCTGTTCATGACTACAAATTTCATTATTTAAACCTCATATTATACCGTATTTTCCCTACAAAAATACTTGATTTTCTTGCCATAACCTTCGTCCTGCGCGCGTCGAGTCTGTACAATGTGAGGAGAAGAAGTACTGCTGCACCACGCGACGGCCCAGCCACTCCAGTAGGAAATGAACAGTTGCAACAACAAAGAATGATAAGGCTGCTATTATACAATTTGTTTAAATGCTACCTTTTAAATGTAGGGTATCTTGAACTAGTTATATCATACAGACTGCCTAGTCACGCAGAGCTTCAATATCTTCGACCTATATTCCCAATAACAATGAGTACGCATTCAATCTCTAGTAATAAAGGCGTCTGTGTGTGGGCACTGTGCAGGGAGCTTGCTTACCTCTTTAACAGCCTCAGGCGTCAAGACAATAGGGTGATCATCACCAACACAAACACTGTCTTCGATCCGAATACCAATACCTCTGAATTTCTGGGGCCACCGATCGTCGTCGGGCACATAAACGCCACTACGGAGCATATTAGCATATAAAGTAAATCGAGGGGATAGGACGGCGTACGGCTCAATGGTGATGCACTGTCCTGCTTTCAGAGTGTAGCTCCTTGAGTATCCCGAACAGTCGTGAACATCAAGTCCTATATAGTGACCGAGATGGTGAGGGAATAGAGTACGCATACCCTAGAAATCGGACGACAATTAGTGCAGATCGGATAGAAATTTGGGGGGACCCCTACATCTCCTGAAAGATCGAAGCCCAGCTGTTGCAACTGGTCTTTCAGCCCGTTCTCTGCAATCTCATGTAGTTTGTCAAGAGAATGACCTGCGCTCTCTCGACACAAGGAGATGCAGCTCCGATGTACATTCAGCACCGCGTTGTATAGATCTTTTTGAGGGTCGGTGAACTTCCCACTGACGGGGAAAGTTCGCGTAATATCGGAGATATAACCACCGAGCTCCTGTTGTTTAATTATTAGCATCCGAGTGCAACGTATTTATCATGGGGAAAATGGAGCTGCGTACCCCGCCTCCGTCAACCAAGACGAGTTGATCATCCCTATAGACTAGGGTTAGCTTCCTTGAATTGCATCATGTATGTGTGGATGCTAGTACCTCAGGACATCATCGTTTCGTGTGTAATGGATACTCAGCGCATTCTACACCCATTAGTCAGAAGAGCCTCGGGTAATAGCTTTTTTGGGTCACTTACAGACCCGCCTGCCACTACCGGAACAAAAGCGCTGGTGTCGCATCCCTTCACTTTGAACTGATACTCCAAGAATGAGCACAGATCTTTCTCGGTTGTGAAGTCCTGTCTCATCGTCTCTGTGAATGCTCTTCCCGATGCTTGACCGACTCGACGCAACTGCACTACCTCCTCTTCGCTCTTGAACACTCTCATGTCGACGAGGATGGGCCGCAGCGGTTTTACTTTCCGAGGATCAACGAATTTCTTGAGTTGCTCGGAGAGACCGGACGAGCCGTAGAGGTAGCGGTGTAGCGTTGACTTGTTCGCGCTAAAGGCTGAGATGTCAGTGTAGATCTCTGAGGCTCCGGCGACGATATCGGGCAAGATGTCCGCAATCCGTTCGATGTTTCCTGTCTTTATGTATCCCCAGTCTTAGCGCTGCGGTGATGGTGAAATATCTCATAGATTTATTACCTCATCCGCGTTGAAAACGTCTATGGCTGCCTGCGTGCCAGATCGGGCCCCGTCCCAGAGTTCTGCCCTTGGATCCTTCTCTCGAACATAGAGATGGAAGACATGATTATCCCCTGAGCCATCGTTGACTAACATAGTATGAGAAGCCGAATCAGGGAAGATGAGGAGGAGCTATTCTCACCGATTATCGCCAGTGCACCGGGTTCATTGAATCCTGAAGGGTTGTAACGGAAAGTTAGACATCTGTCAGGTTTCTTTGATTTGAGGAAATACCTGTCAGATAGAAAAAGTTCGAGTCCTGATGGTATTCATGAAATATCCCGGCCGCACGGTATGTTACCTCGGACGCTGCGAGTATAGCGATGGCATTTTTCGGTAATTTGTTCGCGAGCTTGGAGCGGCGATGGGCGTATTCGAGAGCTGTTATCCCCGGCGTAACTTTGCACCAGTCAGCACCACCAGATACCCTTCATAAGGCCCCAAAGCTGCATGATAACGACATACGTTCACCGGGGTCCAAGATATGAGGGTGCGTCTCGTGGACCGGCTGCCCAAACTTGAGCTCGGCCGCGGATATGGAAGCATACGCGCGGCGGAGCGCACGCTGCCTGTCCCTGTTCTGCTGGAACAGCTGTCGGCCGCTGGCAGAAACAATTCTAGCCGAGGAGCAAGACAAAGAGCGCGGCCATTGGCGCGAAATTAGTCTGGGTAAAGACATAATCACTCGCTGGCTGTTCGCTAAGACGCGGAGCGCGACAAAAAGTTGAATTGATTTCGCCCAGTTTCCTTCCTCTGCTCCGAAGCTCCCGTCCGTTGATAGCAGTTCCTGCCTCAGGCACGAAATATTGACCGCCAGCCAATCATCACCAGCTCGTTACACACAACAGCCATGGCTTATACCCAAGATAGAAACTCGATCCGAATACGGACTCTTATCGACTGTTTCTCTGTGTTGTAGATTGAGGGGGTTGCCTTCCAGGTTGCAATAGACCTTGACTACTTGCCGGTGCACCGTGTCGAGATTATTTAAGGCCGTATCCTGGTGAAAATGGGGATCTATAGCAGCGGACAGCCATCGAATCCGTTTTTATTTCGTTTGGATCCTCACTGACCTCCAGAATGGGGAGAACGTTGACGTACTCAAAGCATTCAGCTAACACGGTGAATCGATACAAACACCGAGGTTAGGATTTCCGATGGTTGCTTCTAACTCAGATGGATGATTTGCTGATGCCCCCCCTCTTAGCAACGTACGATCTTGGGGCAATCCATTCCATCATAAATTCTTCCCAGGTGCTGCATGTGTCCTTTCACCCTGGGCCGGCAGATGCCTTCCCCGCGATTCTACCCTTGATTGGCCAAATGGGCTCATTCGAGTATCCTTCAGCCGGTATCGATGAGCCTCTCGACTGTTATCTCCATGGATATGTCAGTTCTCGGATCATGAACCTCGCTCGGGCTTCTGAAGGCGAGGGGCTGCCAATATGCGTGGCGGCCAGCAGGGTGGATGGTTTGGTCCTGTCGCTGACCCCCAATTCTCACAACTACAACTACCGCTCTGCTATACTCCACGGCTACGCCAATCTGGTTACTGACGAGCAAGAGAAGCTCTGGGCTATGCAACTGATCACGAATTCCGTGGTGACCGATCGCTGGAATAACTCACGAGTGCCCCCTGACGGAGCAGAGATGGCTTCGACAGTGATATTGAAAGTTAGGGTTGTCGATGGCAGTGGCAAGATTCGCGATGGCGGTGTTACTGACGAGCGCAAAGACAAGAACAATGACCAACTCACCGGTCGAATTTGGACTGGTGTAATCCCGGTATGGGAAACCTTCGGGGAGCCTGTTCCCAGTGCTGAGAACCGGGTTGCGGATACTCCAGAGCATGTCTCATCTTTTGTTGCTAAGATGAATGAGCGTAATCGTACATATGCTGAGAATGCCATCAAAGTTGCCCTTCCACCAGAAGAACAACATTGAGCATTGGTCTATTGATTCTACTCTACGGTCTTGATCATTTGGTACTTATATTTAATGAAATGCAACTTATATTGAAACATAAAGCCCTAGACTGGAGATATCAGGCATAGAGGCCATCTCCTCCAGAGAGCTATTGAGAAAGTGTTTATTGTTGTTGTCTGGACCTCAAGACACTCCACATGGTTACCCCACGTCATAGATAAGAATGGCAGTCTGCAACCACTTCTTTCTTTTTGCACCCAAACACTGAAATTGAAACAAGTTGACGAGCCCTTGGTAAATCTTTCCTCGGCCCGTATCTTGTTTAGTTTCGATCGTTGGTCCTAAACCATGGCTGCTACCGCGGCCAGGCAAGCTGCTATTCCGGCGGCCGACCTGCAGTCGTTCTCAGAGTATCTCAAAGGAAGCACCAGGATCCTCGCACTCGTAGGAGCTGGACTGTCTGCTGCCTCGGGTCTCCCGACATTTCGGGGAGCAGGGGGTCTCTGGCGGTCTTATGACGCGACGGCCCTGGCGACACCAGAAGCCTTTGAGCAGAACCCCGGCCTGGTCTGGCAGTTCTACAGCTATCGGAGACATATGGCGCTCAAGGCAAGGCCAAACCGGGCTCACTATGCGCTAGCAGAGCTAGCGAGGAGGAACAAGAACTTTGTCACCTTGAGTCAGAATGTTGACGGTATGTCACCAGAAAAGATTTTTTTTATCACATGCATTAAATGCACCTGCCAAGCTGACGACTGGCATTTACTCCCTTAGGTCTATCTCAAAGAGCGAACCACCCAGACGAGCAGCTTCATTTGCTCCATGGATCGCTTTTCGATGTGAAATGCACCGCCTTCTACTGCGACTACGTTCGTGGAAATGACTTCACTGATCCGATCGTTCCTGCGCTTGCCATTCCGTCAAATAAACGCGAACCAGTGCCTTCAGCGACAGACAAGACCGGTAGGGAAGCAACTCAATCATTGTTTAGTGCACTGGAGCAGAAAAGCGCGGAGAGCAAGTCGAAAGAACAACAACAACAGGAGGAGGAGGAGGAGGAGGAGGAGGAGGAGGAGGTGGTGGTGGAAGAAGAAGCAGATATCTCGGATGCGAGCGTCTTTATGCCCGAACTCAACCCCCAAGATCTTCCCAAATGCCCGCAATGCAAAGACGGAATGCTTCGACCGGGTGTGGTTTGGTTCGGTGAGCCTCTACCTTCCCACACCATGGATGCTGTAGATGAGTGGCTGGACAAAGCTCCCAAGGTTGACCTGGTCCTGGTAATTGGCACCAGTGCTCAGGTGTGGCCTGCGGCAGGATATGTTGATATAGCACGGAGCAAAGGCGGGAGAGTTGCAGTCATCAACATGGACCGTAAAGATGTCCCTGGCGGATCGAATGGCATGAAACGCGGAGATTGGTTTTTTGTGGGCGATGCGAGTGATATCCTCCCAGAAATACTCAAGCCTGTGATCGGAGAGATCAAGATTTAGGTATTGAGGCCCATGACTTACAGGTGTTGAATGAATCAAAATGATATTGCAGTCCGACTGTCCTGATTCAAAAAGGAGGCAGCATTCACAGTATATCATCATGATGACTAGATGTAGATGACAAAATAAAGCATTTATACTACAGTCTTATAGACCAACTAATAGTAACACATTAATCTGAGGAATGGTATATATTGGTGAGTATTATTCTATGGCAAGTAAATCGCAGCCTGAGGCACTCAATGGTTGCTGGGGTTTCTTGCCCACTCTCAAAACAAAGAAAAGGCCGCCGCTATCGATAACACAACCTCCACAGAAAAGTGTCATCACCAGCATCGACGATGGGCCAAGCGGTTTTCCAGAGCAGAGAGTGAAGCTACTTCATGTTGAACCGAAGATAGTGACCGCTATTAGAGGATTTGCAGGTGAGTGATACAGTGCCGTCTATATTCATCTCCTTGGCTGTTTTTTTCAAGCTCTAGAGTGCCCAGCAGCTCGGGAATAACACTGATGATTCGTGAAGAGAACGACACATGAAGATGACCGTCGTGGCTTGACAGATATATCGAACCCAATCGAGGAATTTTGCAACTATTATCGAGAAAGTCGACTGCTTCAAGTCTGAACACGACGACACCGACTCTCGAATTTGGAAGAACGAAACTACCCCACCAGAGCGGAAAGAGGGGTGTTTGACAGAAATCTCAGATCTCGCAACTATTTTCATATAGGATTGCTCATTTGATTCCATACCATAATGGCGAGAGAAAGCGACGCACCTAAGGTGCCCCTTACTCCTCAACGACCAAACGAGCAGCACCGAAGACCCCTACCACAACACCCAGAGTTTGGGAAACCTTCTCCTCTTCGTCCTGCTAATACCCAAGCGAATCACTTGTTCAATATCCCCAAATCAAACCAGACTCGGCCAGAACACCATAGACCTGCCGCGCGGCCAAATCCGCAAACTGCTTCACAGCCTAGTACCGCCACCCAGGCTTACCGACCGCAGCCTACCTCCAACGCCGCAAGCACCCCTGCTTCGTCTTTCAAAAGACGTGATCCATACAACCCTTTCAAACCGGTCCAACCTTCAGCCTATAAGAGCCTTCGAGACGACGATGTGGTCGAGATTGCGCGCCCGGAAAACACCTTGTGGACGACCCCACGGGCTCCTAGGACCCTCTACTCGTCGAAACCAGCTCCTATTCCTATGGCAAGTTCAACTAAAAACTTGAATGCCTTCATACAGATGACGAGCACCGAACCGTCCTTTTCGACGAGTTCTCGGCAGCCGAACCAGCGCTTTGGGTCATTTGATGCCAATACCTATGTCGACACGGAAAAGGCAAATGAGAATATTAAAGCTCTGCTTGAAGGTGCTTTCGACGAGGAGGATGAAAGTCAGGAGGTGAAGCCCAAGCGAAAGAGGGGAAAGAGATCCAAGAAGAACAAGAAGGGGAAGAAGAAAAGTCCAGAGAAGACTACACCTGAGGTCGATGACTTGGATGACTTGGCTGCTCAATTACAAGGGTTCACCGTCAAAGACGAAACGGCGACCGATGCAAAGGAAACAGACGACCAGGCCGAAAAAAATGCTCCTGAAGAAGAGGAGACCGAAGCCCCAGAGGTAAATAATGCCAGCGGCGATGATGGCTCCGAAGACGACTCTGCAGATGAAGAAGATGACGATGGAACAGTCGAAGGGCTGAGTGTCAAACTACTTCCTCATCAAATTGCCGGAGTCAAGTGGATGCGGGAGAAAGAACGAGGACAGACTAAGAGCAAGGGCATAGCTCCAAAAGGCGGCATTCTTGCAGATGACATGGGTCTCGGAAAGACGGTTCAGGCCATCGCCCTGCTTTTAACTAACCCAAAGCCTACCGAGGAGAATGATGATGATGACGGAGAGAACGACGAAAAGCCAGAATTACCGGCTGGACTTAGCAAAACCACTTTGGTTGTTGCCCCCCTGGCTTTAATCAAGCAGTGGGAAGCCGAAATCGCTTCTAAAGTTGAACATTCTCACAGGCTTCGAGTCTGCGTTTACCATGGTGCTTCGCGGGCCAAGTCTAATGATGATCTCGACGAATACGATGTGGTTATCACTACTTATGGTACTCTTACCTCTGAGCACGGGGCTTCAGGCAAGGGAAACAAAAAGTCGGCTTTGTTTCCCGTCCACTGGTACCGGATCATCCTCGATGAAGCGCACACAATCAAGAACCGCAACGCAAAGGCAACGCAGGCTGCTTGTGCTTTAGATGCAGAGTACCGCTGGTGCCTGAGTGGCACGCCGATGCAGAACAACCTGGATGAACTACAGAGTTTGATTAAGTTCCTACGGATCAAGCCGTACAATGATCTGGCTGCGTGGAGGGAACAGATCACCAAGCCTTTGGCAAATGGACTGGGTGGCCTTGCCATTGAGCGCCTGCAGGTCTACCTCAAGGCTTTTATGAAACGACGAACCAAGGATGTCCTCAAACTGAATGAGAAGTCGAAGCCAGGTGAAGAGGGCGCCGAAGGCGAGACGAAGAAGTCATCCAATGGCTTCCAGATCGTCAAGAGAGAGGTCATCAATGTCGATGCTGAATTTACTCCTGCGGAGATGAACTTTTATAAGCGCTTGGAGCAACGTACCGAAAATCGCCTTGAAAAAATGATGGGTGGTTCGAAACTCGACTATGCAGGCGCCTTAGTTCTTCTACTCCGTCTGCGCCAAGCCTGCAACCATCCAGACCTTGTCAAGAGTGATCTTGCCAACGACAAGGATGTGCTCTTGCAAAACGGTCTCACAGGAAGTCAACCCACAGCCAGCAAGAAGGACGATCTTGATAGTGTCGCGGACCTATTCGGTGCCCTCAGTGTTGTCTCTAAGAAGTGCGATGTTTGTCAGGCTGAGTTGAGTCCAGAAGAAGGCAAAGCGGGCACTAGCAGATGTGGCGAGTGCGAAGCCGATCTGGCTGACAGCTTTATCGGTCATGAAAAGAAAGACAAGAAGAAGAAGATGAAGAAAAAGAAGACAAAACACACGGACGGGAATGCTTCACCGTCGGGCCGGACTTCAGAGGCCCGGGTGGCTCGAGCACGGCAAAACCGACGGGTGGTTCTTGATAGCGATGACGAAGACGATGCCGAGTGGATTGTGCCGGAAGACCAGCGTTCGGTCCCGAATCTTGGGCAAGCAGGCGGCACAGACGATGAAGATGCTGAAGGTGGTGGGGATTGGCTAGGTTCTGAAGATTCCGAGACCGACGAAGACGAAGACGAATCGCAGTCTCTCGATACCGATGACGACGTCAACGAAGAAGAAGATATATACCTTGATGGGGAGAACGGGACGCAGCTCCTTGCGTCCACAAAGATCAAACATCTGATGACGGTTCTGAAACGCGAGGCATTCGACTACAAGTTCATTGTGTTTTCCGTGTTCACATCGATGCTCGACAAAATCGAACCGTTCCTGAAAAAGGCGGGGATCGGGTATGCACGGTACGACGGAAGTATGCGAAATGACCATCGCGAAGCCAGCCTTGACAAACTACGCAACCACGGGGCTACACGAGTTCTGCTGTGCAGTCTACGTGCCGGTGCTCTGGGACTGAACCTCACTGCGGCGAGCCGGGTTGTGATCCTGGAGCCCTTCTGGAATCCTGTAAGTGATCATTCTCATCGGTCGGTTTCTATTCATATTCTGATCTTTTCTTTTCTTAGTTCGTCGAAGAACAGGCAATCGATCGTGTCCATCGACTGAACCAAACGGTGGATGTGAAGATCTACAAGATGATTATCAAGGAGACAGTGGAGGAACGGATTGTCGATCTGCAAAACCGCAAGCGGGAGCTCGCCAACATGACGATCGAGGGCAAGACGGCCGCCGCCAAGCTGACCATGCGCGACATGATGGCGCTGTTCGGTCGGGACGCTGAGTCTCGCTATACCGCCAAGCAGGAGGACCTCGACCTCACTTCCAAGGCGTCGAAGGCCACAACGCGACTGCTCGGCTCTGCCACAGACAACCATGGGACTCCCATGAAGAGTGGCAGCCAAAGCAGCAGCTCCCGGGAGCGAAGCCGCCCCGAACACGGGCACCGACCTCCTCCTCGAGCCGAGGATTCGGTATATGGTCGGCGATGGTGATTTGTTTAAATTTCTTTTTGCAGTTTTTTTCTTGTTTGAGGGATAATTTCGGTTTAACGGATGGATCTACAATCAGATAGGGTTCTTGGTTCTCAGGGTTGGAACTGGCAGCTGGGTCATGGTCTACATACCTTTGAAATGGTGATCGGCGCTTGTATAGGTGATACCTAGGGGATTATTATCTCTACCGCAATGCATTGCACATTGAGTTTGAGGCAGTTGCCTGCCTACGTGGCCTGTATGAATCTGCACCGAACATTCGACCGATCGAATGGACTGTTTTCGTCTTGCATATTGGACCAGTAAATCTGCATGTAATCATCCATTGCATTTGACCATGTGGCCCAGTGCATATACGAGGTACTTCTTATACGGAGTACGGAGTACGGAGTACTAGGAGTAACCAGACAATATCTCATTATAAATAAGTCTGATACAATCAATTAATGAATATGGCTCAGGGGTTTGAAGTACGGAGTATACTCTATGTAGTAACTACACTGTACAGTGCTTGGTTTCAGATCATAGCTAGTTAGGACACAACTACCAACCGACGAAATTAATCTGTACCTCGTTACTATGTACGATGAAGTTATATAACCTGAAACATCTAGTCGCCAGATCTGATCTGAGACGCCAGCACTAAGGATCCCTGTCGTCTACCACTTTGTTAATACTCCGTAACTGACTAGCTAGCTCTCAACGATTGATTCAGTACGGAGTATGAGGAGTCGAGGACTCTCCACAGTCCGTAAGCCGTAAGGTAACTCGTCGATACTTCGGAGTACGGAGTAGTCACGGAGCCGAGGCGTAGAGAGCGAGAGAGAGAGAGATAGATGCATTGTTTAGGATTTTCTATTGTGTTACCGTTAGGAAAAACGTGGCGGCCACGAGATTCCACCACGCATGCTGCACTCCTTCGGATCCTTCAGCGTCCCACAGACCTAGTATCTAGTATCTTTTACTAGAATACGAGTGATGGGCTGATGAGTTACTATTAGTACTGCATATACTACATACGGAGTACGTAGTACGGAGGATACTGAATATAGATATGTGGTAGGTAGTAAGTAGGTGCAAAAGACTAGGTAGAGTACTGTGTCAAGAATCACTAGTACCTTCCTTTAAGTACACAATAAGCATAATTAAGTCGCATGTGGCTAAGGCACCACTACTAGTTAACTACCTACATACTAATAGACTCTCGATCAGACCAGGATCATTGTGAAACACCGTCGATCGTCCTGACCTCCTTTTTCCCTCTTTCTCACCGGTTCTTCTCGTGGGCCAAAGCGGGCTATTGGGCGCCACTTGGCGTGCTTCGTGTTCCGTTAAGAGTCAAGAGTAAGACTCTCAAGGCTGAGGCCGAAGAGACTGAGCTGTGAGCTGATTCCCTAGAGTCCCTAATGATAGCCCCTGATGTAGTGGATGTTTCGTTGGTTCATAATAAGATGTAGTGTAGCAATTATATAGATGAAGGATAATGCTAGGCAAGTCCTCCGCACTAGGTAGCTACTCCGTAGTTGCGTAGTTGCATGATACGAAGATCCTATGGACTAGAAAAGATCACCGTGAACATCCTAGCCTGGAGAAGCCGATTGAAATCAAGGAAGAATTAATCCATAATCATTATTACGGAGGAGTAGGAGTTGGTTTAGGTGTCAATTGGTAACTATCAAGTAGCATCTTCAGTGTTCACCGCCAGAATCACTATGTTGGAGACTCCTGGATAAGAATTAGTTATCCTATCAGCCAACATCTGATTATTATTTTATCACTATTATTTTTTCCACTGCCATTATTATTACTACAGTACGTACTCTTCTTCTTCTCTTCTTCTCCCTGCAGCCTCAGCCTTTCCCCGGCCCGCTTAGTTTAACCTGCGAAAAGAGAGTGATAAGAAGTCGGCCAACCAGGGGGTACGTGTCCAGGCTCTCTCGTCACGCCTACTCCAGAGCTTCCACCTACTCCAGACTTCTTTTTGCTCTTTTCGTTGACAGCAGCAAGAGTCGTATCCTTGAAAAGACAAATTAATTATCTGCATCCCTTTCGTGTGGGCAATTCTTCCCCTTGCATTTTGCACTGGTAAGACTTTCTTTGGGCTGCGTTGTTCCAGAAAAGATCCCGAGACATTCTTCTGCATCGACCGTGGACCTGCTGCTAAATCTGTATGCCACACGATTCACTGACTTGTCTCTCTCTGGTTGTTTTTATATTATAGTTCGTGGTTCTCACTCGGTCGCCTTCTCTCTCTCTCTCTCTCGTCGTCGTCGTTCCAAATCCTCCCCTCCTTAATTAACTTCTTCTTTCGCCTCCCATTTCCGCCCGCCGAAAGTTCGCTCAGAAGAAAGCTACTCCACCCTCAATTTACCGCCCACTCCCACTCCCCCCTCCCCTCCCCCTCCCCTCCCGATTGACGGGACCTCAATCGATATCGCGGTTATTTCAGAAGTGGGATGCTGCAAGTACGACGGGTTTAAGGGACTTAAGCTCAAGAGTCACGACGGTTTAGTTCTGGCTCGCGGATTCGGTTCCCGCCATGGGGAATTCTCAGGGAAAGCCGGTGGTCTTCACCGATGCAGGTGCGTTCATCAGTCCATGGCTGTTCGAGAAACGTGGTCAATGACTGCCTCTCGAGAACATCCGACCGATACTGACCTACGTTTCACAGTCAACTTGAACCATTTCCGTCTCCTGCGGGTGGTCGGAAAGGGTGCGTTTGGCAAGGTTCGCATCGTCGAGCGGAAAGATACCGGATTGACGTTTGCTTTGAAATATATTCGCAAGGAAGAAGGTGAGCTTCACCAGCGTGGCCGAGCTGGATTGTTCGGAGTTTGACTGACACGTTTCCTCTTCAGTGGTACGTTCGGAAAGCGTCCGGAATATTATTCGCGAACGGAGAATGCTGGAACATCTCAACCACCCGTTCTTGTGCAATTTGCGGTATAGTTTTCAAGATATCGAATACATGTGCGTCTTCACGATCCCTCGTGCCTCCTTACCCATCGCTGATTCCTGATTAGTTACATCATTGTTGATCTGATGAACGGCGGCGATCTTCGTTTCCATATTTCGAGGAAATGTTTTACGGAGGAAGCAGTGCGGTTCTGGATGGCCGAATTGGGTTGTGCCCTGCGCTACATTCATTCACAGGGCATTGTCCACCGTGATCTGAAGCCCGATAACATCCTGCTGGATTCGGAGGGCCACGTCCATTTAGCTGACTTTGTAAGTGTCCTTTAATGCTGGGGTGATGAAATTGCTCTAGATCCTCGAGCTGACGAAATTGATCGCTTCCAGAATGTCGCCTCCGATTTCCGACCGAACAAGCCGTTGACAAGCAAGTCCGGAACCTTGGCATATCTCGCGCCCGAGGTGTACCTGGGAGGAGGATATCTGTCCGAGGTGGACTGGTGGTCGCTCGGAGTGACGTTCTATGAGTGCATCTACAACAAGCGACCCTTTGAGGGACGTAGTCAAGACTCCCTGAGTGAAGCCATCACGAAAGCCCAGCCAAAGTACTACGTCACCAACCCGGCGGTCTCGGTTCCGTGCCTGCGGGCCATGGGTTCGTTGATCGAAAAAGATCGCAGCCAGCGGATCGGCGCCATCAGTTTCGAAAGTTTCACCTCGCATCCCTTCTTTGCGGAACTCGACTTTGAGGCTCTGGAGAGGAAGGAAATCCCGCCCGTGTTTACCCCTTCGAGTGACAAGACCAACTTTGATGCTACATATGATTTGGAGGAGCTGCTCTTGGAGGAAGCCCCGTTGGAGGCCCGCGCCCGCAGACAGAAACCCCGTGCAGAGTTGCGGGAGGATGCCACCGCCAAGGAGATCCGCGAGGACGAGCTTCATCGCGTCATCGAGACCATGTTCGAGCCCTTTGACTATACGCTAGTCAGCTACCAAGGGTATGTTTTTTCATATTTCAGCTTGATTGTTTTTGATCATACAAAAAATTGCTAACGTGGGAATTTTAGAAATGCGGCCGATGCGATCGCAGCAGCAACGTGCGTGATAAGCTTCCCATCCTCCTCCTTGCATCCACCATGTTGCTGATTATTATTGTAGGAACCCTGAAGATTGCCTCCCTTCATCTGTCCCCGTACCACCGACACACAGTCGCAACTTTTCGCATCCTGAATCGTCCCGGGGCTCCCCACCACCAGCCGATGGTCCTCTCACTCGCACTTCGCAGCCCGACACCACTATTCAACCTTTGGGCGAGGCGCTCGAGCCCCAGGATCCGAATCTACCGGTTCATCCGCCTCCGTCTCCGTCTAGTCCGTCAATGTCACAACCTTCTGTGCCGCCGCCGCCCTCTTTCCACCGGCCGTTCCCGCAGCCCACTTCACAACCCCTGCAGCAGCCCCCGCAGCGACTGAAAAACGCAACCCGCAAGATGAGTAAAGGAGGTGGCGTGCAGATGGTTCTTGAGGAGACGGGCAGTTGGAGTGAATTGGCAGACCAGAGCTCCACCCTGTCGGCCGAAGGCTTTGATAGCTTGGCCAACAAGGGGAAGAACTCCAACAGCGGCATGTTGGCGTTCCTCAATCGGAAAAAGGGTCGCGACAGGAGTCCGAAACCGACCGAGCCGGGTGTCCTGGGCAAAGAAGGCGCCCGGCAGATTCTCAGCGGGTGAATTATCTTCAACGTTGGTTCGATCGATTAACATCGAGTGAAAGGCGTGATGGTCAGGGCCTGTTGAATCCGGCCCACCCACCCGTCATGCCTCTTGGTTGAAACTCTGGCAGCGAGAACGGTGCCCGATATTTCGATGCCATACATCTGAAACCCACAGTCTACAAACTCACTCGCCGCGGAGTGAACTTGTTTTTCTTCTTCGACGCCAATTAGCGTTTTTTGTCACGACCTGAATCGCCACTGTCATAGAGCCTCGATGCCGCCTCGGATCTCCTCTTCCTCGTTACCGAATTCATCGACCCAAGCAAAAGTCGTCTCTCTCCGGGGAGAGAGAAGATATAATATCTCCGGACTCTTCCATCTGCCCCCCGTGTTTCCCCTTTCTCATCCTGGATTCCCCTTCATCTTTCCACTCTTTATTTTCTAATGTTAGTTCTGGTCATGGAGTTGTACAGACAGGCGTGACAGATACAGATACTTTTTCTTTCCTACATATGTTGCATTTCTTTTCCCTCATTAACACGGGATGGTCGGCGCCTTGATTGTTATTTTTATTTTCTCCTTCATTTTGTCCACTTGACTGAGAAACATCATATATGAAACGAAAAGACTGTTTCCTGTGAAATACTACATGCACACATATATCTTTCTCGTCACTGTGATTTAAGTGGTATTTCATAAATATTTCTCTTGAGTAATAGCTTTTTCCATGGTACATTTTCTATTCTACTTACGCATACACTATTGCCTGTAGTAATTAACTCTATTCCTTTTATTTAATATATATATTTGTAATATCAGAAGAAAGGTGGTACACAGAGGTAACTAACTATACTTATAACTAGTTATTTTCTATTTAACTATGGCATGTAGCATTCCTACCTTCACGTGGTCTAATTAGACTTCTCAATTCCACATTTTTATCTCAGCCCCTCAACCGTCTCTCTATCATAATCAAATTATAGCCTCTTCCTTAATCTTTCTTCTTATTGACTTCCCTTTATGCTTCAGCCAGAGTCTTATCATTTCTACCTTTAGTTGAACTCTTTCACCGCTTTCGTTGCTGCGCAACCACATCTCCACCATGAACCACAGGCAGTCGTCACGCCCTAATGCAGAGCCGGCGTTGAAGAGCTCATCCGAACACGTCAGACAGCCATTTCATAGGAGGAGAGAATTACTCGGAGTGTCAAGTCTAGCATGTTATTGAAAGGCGAAGCTTTTTCTCTCCCCTGATTCAAGCTGTATGCTGACGCGGCCTGATCAATGCATCTTCTCCAGACAGCGTAACAGGACAGACGACCGCTTCCTATCCCTGCCATTAGTTTATTATTGTTTCACAACCCCCACTCGGAGTGACCATTGCTCTTGAATACTACATACTACATATTCTTCTTAATTAAACTGGCGCAGTGTGTGTGGTACAGAAAAGTGCCTGGCGATCCTCGTTAAGCCAAGACCTACTCGCTTTTGTGCAGTTCCACCAGCCTTACGATTTCAGCCCTGTCGATTCAATGACCTAAATACATACATACGTACATACATTTATCCCTTGTTTTTATTATATTCCTTTCTTTCTTTCTTTTTTTTTTCCAATCGCGTTCTGTACAAAAACCGGTTTCGTATATGCTCTCCTATTGGAGCAATCGGGATCGCCGTCGCGGCCAAAACAGCGAGCCCCAACCCCCGCAACGCCGCACCTTCTACGACGATGACGATGAGGAAGACGACGAGGACGATCCGTTCAACCCCAATCTAAATGAGAGGAGTTATCGACGCCATGTGAGCGGGCAGCATATTCGGGCACCGCCTCTTGCGCACGACAGGACGCGAGGGTACGAGGCGGGGCATGATCATGACCACGACGATTATGATGATTATGAAGACGATGAAGATGACGAAGAGGAGGAGGAAGAAGAAGAGGGGGAGGGAGGAGATGATGGCAGGCACGAACACGAGGATGACTACGATGACGATTATAGCAGTGACGGGGAGAGAACGGTCAGGATCAAGCTACCTATTATATCTCCGTTGAAGAGGTGGACTGGACGCATTGGTCGCGGACGATACGGGCAACAACCGATGAATGAGGAAGGAGAAGAAGGAGACGATGAACACCCGATGGCAGAGAAGCGAGACCGAGACCGCGGAGGAGGATATCTTTCGGGTGATGCGTGGGGGGAACAATATCTGGGAGAGAAGGAGCCCGCCATGCAGAGTCATCGGTCCGCGGACGTGTTGGCGAGGACATCTCAGAAGAAGAACAAGAAGACATATCTCATGTTGGACGAGAAAGACCAATATCAGGACGGCATGCCCAGACCCGGTCAACCGGGTCGGATCGTCTCCGGATCCTATTTGGAAGAAGGCATGGGCCCGGACATGAACATGCGGCGTCGTGGTGGCGGTGGCGGTAATGGGGCAGATCATCCTGCGGCAGGACCGAAATCTCTGAAACAAGGTCGCAGTGGTGGTCGGGGCGGGAAAAGACCGGCCGGCAACAGGAGGAGACGGAACCGGCCGTTCTGGAAGCAGAAGAAATGGATCTGGGTTGGCATTGTGGCTGCTGTTGTTGTCGCTGTCGCGGTCTCGGTCCCCCTCGCCTTGCTTCTGCATAAAAAGAACAAGAGTTCCGATTCTGCCTCGTCGTCAGACTCTGGATATGATGCGTTGACCGCGAACCTGGCTTCAATCAGCCCTGATAGCATCCCGGTGAGTAATCTTTCCCCCCCCTCTCTCTTCAAAGAATCCAATGGCTAAGTCGCTGGAAGGCATCTGCAAAGGGCACGTATCTAGACCCGTACACCTGGTATGAAACCATTGGCTTCAATATAACCTACACGTCGGCCACGGTCGGTGGTCTATCGATCATGGGAATCAATTCCACCTGGGATGACTCGGCCAGGCCGAACCCGTACGTGCCTCCGCTGAACGAATCGTTTCCGTATGGAACTCGACCAATCCGCGGTGTGAATCTGGGCGGTTGGCTGGCTATCGAGCCGTTTATCGTGCCGTCCTTGTTTGACGATTACTCGTTGGACCAGGGGATCATCGATGAATGGCACCTGACCCGGCAACTAGGTAGCTCGGCGAACCGGACCATCGAGGCGCACTACGCGACGTTCATCACCGAGGAGGACTTTAAGGAGATTGCAGAGGCGGGCCTTGACCATGTTCGGTTGCAATACTCGTACTGGGCCGTGACAACGTACGAGGAAGATCCGTATGTGCCCAAGATCTCATGGCGATACCTCTTGCGGGCGATCGAATGGGCGAGAAAGTATGGCTTGCGAGTTAACCTGGACCTGCATGGGATTCCGGGCAGTCAGAACGGATGGAACCATAGCGGCCACCAGGGTTTGATCCGGTGGTTGAACGGCACGCACGCCGAACTTAACCGTAACCGGTCAATCGAGATCCACGACCAGCTCTCCCAGTTCTTTGCGCAGGATCGGTACAAAAACGTCGTCACCCTCTACAGCCTGGTCAACGAGCCCCTCATGCTCGATCTCCCCATCGCCGCCGTCCTGAACTGGACCACAGAGGTGACGGAGCTGGTCCAGAGCAACGGCATCACCGCCTGGGTCGTCTTTCACGACGGCTTTCTCAACCTTGACAAATGGGACTACATGCTCAAGGACGCTCCGTCGGGTATGATGCTCGACACACATCAATACACCATCTTCAATACGGCAGAAGTCGTGCTCAACCACACCGCTAAGATCGCCTTGATCTGCGACAGTTGGTACCCCATGATTGAAGCCATCAATGTAACCAGCACAGGGTATGTCCCTCCGTCTAGTATCTTCTTTTGACTGTATGCTAACCTATCCCAGCTGGGGACCAACCATCTGCGGCGAATGGTCCCAAGCCGACACAGACTGCGCCAAGTACCTGAACGACGTGGGCACCGGGACCCGCTGGGAAGGCACGCTGCGCTCGGTCGACGGGACAGCCTACTGTCCCACCGCAAGCGCAGGGACATGCAACTGCACACTGGCCAACGCAGATGTCTCCGAGTATTCGACCGAGTACAAGAAATGGCTCCGAACGTACGCCGAGGCGCAGATGTCCGCCTTTGAGACGGCCATGGGCTGGTTCTACTGGACGTGGCACACTGAGTCGGCCGCCCAGTGGAGCTACAAGGTCGCCTGGAAGAACGGCTTCATGCCCGAGAAGGCCTACAAGCCTTCCTTCGTCTGTGGCGATGATATCCCTGATTTTGGCGATCTGCCTCAATACTACTAGCCCTCCCATTACCCCCGGATCTACATCTCTGCATAGTGTACATTTCCCCCGTTTCCTTTTTGCTTTATACCACTTTCTGTATATCCATGGACACAGTCAGTCTACCGGTGTTGCCCTGGACCTATTGATAGATAACTTATATTCTCTTGATTGGAATGGCTGTAACTCAGTTCCTCTAGAAGTATTCATATACATTTATCTAATTGCTTTCTACAAGGGATGAAAGTCTATAAAAGATCATGCCTCTCAAACCACCCCCCACTCTCCCACTGGCCAGGCTGGTATATACAGTGATCGCGGACATCGACCTGCCGGACCCCCTTGAGGAGATGGTTCGCGCGGTGGAAATCGATTGGCTTCATCATCCACCCATCAAACCCAGTGGCCATGTACAGCTCGCGGTCCTTCTCGCTCAGCGAGGCCGAGACGGCGAAGATGGGGATCCTCCGACCCGGACTCCGGCCCGCGGCTTTTTCTCTTGCCTCTGCTTCCAATTCCCGGATCATCTTCGTCGAACTCACCCCGTCCACGATCGGCATCTGCAGATCCATCAGGATGGCGTCGAAGCGGCCGGGATGCTCGCGATGCACAGAGGCACACTCCTTGCCGTTGCCGGTCATGTGCACTGTGTGTCCAAATTTCTCCAGTCGCTTGCGGAGAATGGTGCTGTTGACGGGATCGTCGTCCGCGGCCAGAACATGTAGCCCGGTGGAAGAAGGCAAGTCGGAGATTTTCCTCCTATCCTCGTCTCTTTCAGGAGAATCTCTTGTTCTTTTCTCGGGAGAAGATTCAAGTTGTGTAGTTGAGATTCCGGGCTTCTTCTTCTCTGCCGTTGGAGGTTGGTTCTCCTGTTCCTTGAGGGTATAATCCTCACATAACACTTTACTCTCAATATGGGGAGACCCAGCTTCTAGGATTATCTCGTCGAGATTCTCCCCTTCAGGCACGGGAAAATTCAGCCGAATCCTGAAACAGCTCCCCTTCCCTTCTTCAGACTTGACAGTAAGTTGACCATCCATGTTGTGCACGATCCTAGCCACAAGTGCCAGGCCCAAGCCGAGGACATTCTTCGAGTCGGATGGCGTGTCGGCGGTATTCCCGGGGGTGGAATCTTGCGATTGCGGCGATGTTGACGGCGTCTCGACCTGCTCGAGTTCACAGAAAAGAGCTTCCACGGTCTCCTGGGGCATTCCGGATCCGGTATCGTGGATGGCGACCTCAATGCCCATGTAGTTGGGGTCCCCGTGCCCGGGGATGACTGTAGACTCGATTGTCACGGCTCCAGAGGACGTGTAATGGATGGCGTTGCTGATCATGTTGGTGATGACCTGCCGCACGCGCCGTTGGTCTCCTAGCACGAGGGGGAGTCGCGTATGTTCCACGATCTGTAGCTTGATGTTCTTCTGCCCGGCTTCGGCACCGAAAATATTCATGGCTTCGCGGATTGTCTCCGAGAGATTGAAGATCTCATCCTTGATCAAAGTCTTGCCATTCTCAGCGTGTGTGAGGTCAAGAAGATCATTGATGATGTAAACCAGAGACTTGGACGCGGAATGGGATGTGGAAAGGATTTCCCGGGTTTCCTGCTTTAGCGGGCCATCTAATGCAATTTCCAGGTAGTTGATGATTGCATTCAATGGGGTTCGGAACTCGTGAGCTGCGTTGGCAAGCAGCAGTCTCATCAACTGCGTGCTATGCATCGCGGCCTCTTTTTGCTTCCATGTTTCGGTGAATGTCCGATATATGACAGATAGGAGAGAGGCGGTATCGAGATTGACTCGAGACCATCCTTTTTGGCAGATGCTATCATGATGAGCGGAGAAATACTCGCCTTGATCTTGTGTACCGGTATTGCAGAGCAACTCCTTGCTCCTAGGACTTCCAGCTTTGAAGAATATGATAAAGTCTCGACCCTCCGCCAGCAGCGGAACGTATAGAATGCCTGATATCAAGCTAAATCCAGGAGAGTGAGTTAAGTCCTGGAAATCGCCTCGGATATCTGTGGACCAGACCACGGTATCCAATTTCTTCAGTTTCAGATATTCCACCAGTATTAGTACATCTTGGGCATCCGGTGGCTTTCCCAGTATTTTCGTCTCTCCTGAAATGGATAATGCCGCAAAATTGGCATCAAAGAGATCCAACATCCCTTCTGGGGAAGAGGATTCCTGGAGATACCTGAAACCTGCGGTTGGACACAAGTCAACCATTGCCTGGCTGTTGAGGGGTGCTGTACACGATATTCGCGCAATGTTACTTGAAACAACATCGCTGAGGAGCCAGCACATTCTCCGGATTAGAGGGTGTACCTTCACTGTTGGATCGGTAGATTGACAGATAATTGCGCCCCATATACTGTCAAATGCGGTAATTTTAATGGAAATAGACAGCCCAGCTGAGCCCTCATCGTGAGGGTAGACACCTTCTGTTGACAGATAGCAGGAGCTGATATCGACAGGGTCCTGAGCGTGCTTAGAGCTGCCATATACCAGGTCTGTCACACCGTCTCTTTGCTTGCATAAAATGTCGACCTTGCCACGTCGACCTGGATTTTGTTGAAGAAAGTCTTTTGTAGTCGTTTGGGATAGTACCGGGCTATCAATATTTGGATCTTTGAATTCGGCGACAACAGTGAGGTCATGTGCATCGTCCAATCGACATACCGACACGATAGGAAACCCCGTCAATTCCTTATATATACGAGCACTGCTGTCGATCAAGGTATCCAGGCTTTGTACATTTGAGATCACTTGATGGATTTTTGACACCAAATTGATAAACCGGGCTTGATCAGGTTGCTCTCTGAAGTCCCGGAATACTTCCAAGTATTTCTGTATCTTTTCATAGGAATCGTTATTTCTCGTGTTTGAGCAGTCTTCGCTGTCCGGTTGTTGACTTTCAATCGTCTGGTCTTTTGAAGGGCCGAATTCCGGTTCGATTTCAAGCATAATGTATGGAGACGCTTGTACCGCGTGCATTGTGCAGAAGAATTCTTTCCTGTCTCCGGCCGGCGTGAGGATCGTCAGGGTAAGAAAATCGGGACCATTCTCCTCCATGTCCCAGTTGGCACTTGATACGAACTTCAAATGAACCAGCAGTAGCTCTTTCTGGTCTTGTGGCAATATATCAAGAAAGGATGACATTTGGAACAACTCCGCCGGGGAGTGTCCAATGATGGCCTTCGAGTTATTGCTCGCAAACCTGGTTTCGAGTTTTCCTTCTGTTTCCTGCAGACCGACCAGCGCTCCGAAGCAGTGAATTTTAAGCGGCGTAGAATATTGTTTCTTCGTCTCCGTTGCGCAGGGGAGACCTCGATTTCCAGTAAGACTGCCACCATGAATGTCTCCAGACGGAGGATTCTGGCTACATAATGCTGAGTCGTTGACAGAGCTAATACCAGAAAACACGAGACCCGCCTTCGACGTTCTTCGAACCATTAGCGGTCCGTGACTGTCTTCCTTGCTCTTCTGAAAGGGTTCTGCCTGCAGAACATCCAGGTTATGCAATTCATCTGTTTTATCTAACGAAGCCGGAAATTCCTGGTTCAGGGTCTTGACAGCATTTGTGATACAGCCTGAGAGCCCTTCTTCCACTCTTAGAATCGGACTGCCTGGACTGGTCAGAGTGGGAGAATGCTGAGGCGACGGCGAAGACGAATCAAGAGTCACGACGGATCGTATTGGAAAGACTCTCTCGGTAAGGTCTGGACTTAATTGCGGCAATGTCAGCCCGGCTGCCATTAAATTCTCTGGAAACTCGGGTCTTGTCTGAGACAGAAAATGGACCGTCTCCGACATAGAAGGCTGGATTTGATGCGGTACCCCAATACTTGTTTGTGCAACGCTACTCTGCTCATTAGGGGCGTCCGAATCTGCCTCTACTTCCCGGTCTGTTGCCATCTCTGATGGCATCTAGTCTAGTATTCGTTGGGGCTATATTTATTAGACACCTTTAGCAGCAAAAACGAGCGAGGACCGGCCTACCAAAGACTAACGAAAGTGATAACCCCCCGTGGCTTGATCCAGAGAGAGCAGAATTCTAAAGAGAGACAGGTCATACCCAGGCTGGCCGCTCTGCACCTCGAACTTGATATATAGGAATAACAGCAGACTAGAACAAATGAAGGTCTCCAGTAATGGATGGAAAACGACACACCAAATGACGGTAGAGGCAGAGAGAGGGGAAGAAAGGATTTGGAGATGATATTAAAAAAAAATTGAAGTGCTTGAAACTCAAGTCACGCGTTTTCCCCACGAGATGGTTTGGGTCCGCCCTCGTCCTTCTCTTTGCCGCTGGAACACGCAACCCAACGCCCACATCCACAAGCACAACCACGCCGCTGATTGATCAGACCATACGACAAGCTTTTGATTTGTGATTGTTATCCGGTTGAAGTGTCCGGTTCGCCAGGGACTCCCACCGAATTCCGCTGTCAGGGCTTGACGGACCACGGTTCAGCCGGCTGGCCACTTCCGAAGGACGGGAAAAGATTTTGAACACATGGATGGAGATGAGGGCCTTATCTGTTCGTGTTCGTTTGGTGAGTGAATCCAAGAGAAGAAGGTTGGTATGGAGGCAAAAAGAGGACAGTCATGATTTTGAATTTGACTGACATCCAAGTCCCCTAGATATCCCCCGTTTGAGTGCTGGTCAGTAGTAGCACTATACAACATGGCTACAACGATCCCGAATGGAGAGGGAGCGGGAACGAGGAGTTTCCTCACGACTTTCAATGCGGTCTGTGTCATAAGATCCATTATTACTGCTGGTCTATTCGAGCAACGTGCAGCCTCGTCTTTGTCGACTGTTCTAGACACTGTCAGACCATTGTTCCGTGGTTCTGGTGGAAAATATCCGCTTTGTCACGAAAGTGGAGCAGACTGAATGAATACTTATTTCAAAGGCTCATGCAGCCCTTCGTTTTCGACTACAGTGACCCACTGGGATAGATTGTACTACACTTGCTCACTGCTGGTGATGCATCTCTTCTTTGGTTGTATCATTCGTCTTCGTCGCAGTGGTATATACTACGCACAACTCTCTCTCAGTCGACAGTACAGGCTGAGAGATCGCGAAAAATAGCCTTCCCGATTTGAATTCACTTTCCATGGGATGTCGATTGCCATCTGGAAGGAGGCTTTCCTTATTGATTAGCGGACATGTATTCCGAGACTGGTCAGTGAGTAGGAGACGGCTTGCCTCCACCAGTGACCCTTGTCACTGCCCAACGCAAGAATTCCCAGCCAATACTCCGCATGCGAGATTTGAACCCGGATCTTTTACATGGCGATTACCAGTCGATGCTATTGCCTGTAGAAATTGGAAAAATAAAAAAAAAACGATATGGGCTGATCCAGTCAACTCGAATAAGTACATGATTTCCGTTAAGATATCCTCCAATACAAAGAAAGAATAAAACCAATTGCCGGGTGTTGTCGCACTGCGAATTCGGGAACTCTCAATAAAGCCTTCGAAGCATGACGGGACTTCTCAACGGCCGAACGAGAAACGAGTCCCCCATCCTCTCGGCTTCGGCGGAGCACCGAGGGAACCAGCCTCACTCGTTACTTCGACGGCCTTCTCTTTCAGACCAAGCTCCATGTCATCTTTGAGTCGGTTCTTTGAAAGCCTTTTGGTTGTCGGCCGAGAGAATGACCTCGCTTGACTCTGTGGAGGGGCCCTCCGTGATCTGGGGAATCTGGGTGTCAGAGGCGTTTTGATGGCCTCTGTGACCCGTCTAGCAGAATACCGGAGGGTCTCGCCCATCGCCCATTGCTGCTTTTTGGCAATGAGGAAGAGGATCGCCGAGGCAACTGAAAACAGTTAGTATACTCTCTTCTCCTCGGGTATGAACAATACATACCGCCGATGATTGCTACTATGCCCACGACAATACACAATGCAATCATGCCGCCGGTAGGGAGACCGATGTTGCCTGGTGACGAGCCAGACGCCCCAGCTTCGTTCTGCTCTGCAACCGACTCACTCTGGGCGTGCACCGGTTGAACAAGCGGCACCAGCAGCAAGGAGAAGATTGCGAGCGTGCAGGCCATATTTGCTTCAAGGAAGTTTCAGAACTTTTTGAACTCCAGGAGAACTAACAGAGGAGAAATGACTCGAGGAGACGAGGAAGAGTATATACCTCAAGCAGGGTCTAGTCCCTGCATTAGCCCTCTTCGTCCACCCTGCAGAACCGCCCGCCAAACGGGGTCTGTGACACGCACAGACTCGAATAAAGTGACAGTCGTGCCGGATTTGTGTGATGGATTTTGAGCAAAAGTTGATGGTCTGCAAATCATGTCGAGAAACGGGTGTGATTTGGCGCTTGGCTGTGCCCTGCGCGCGTAGAGCGAGGCATGAGGCCAATCATCGTATCCCGCAGACCGCTGTCAATATGGAAATTTGTCGGATGCTCTTCTTTTATTTGCCATATGCGTGTGCCTGAATATTGAGTACTGCTTGGTACTCGCCTATTCGACCGGTCTGCTATTAGTTGATTCAACCTGTAGATAAGATCTAGAGTCTACGAGTATATACACTCCACCAAACCATCCGTCTTCAGTCAATTTCTTCCCCACATACCCAGTCCTCTTCTGTACCCTGTTCATTGTCTGTATTATTAGTTAAATCTGGGGGATAAAGTAGCCTCGCTTATTGGGAAGTACGCAATGACTAAATACCGCCAGTCAATAACCAGAATGGCTTACTCGATGTGGAAACTCACATTTGGAAAACTTTTCCTCTCTCCCATCTAACAACAGTTCTATCGTTTAGGTTTAAAATCGTCCAGGTGGAACCTGTTCATGTTTCGCATGATCTTCAAAGACAGCCATAGCCTCTCGGGGAAAAGGATTCAAAGGACTGCAGAGAGATCTGCACACCGCGTTTCTCTGGGTTCTCGAGGCGCGAATTGCGGAGAACAAGACCGATCTTCATACTCAGCAGCATTGTGAGGCTGGCTTGGCAGATGTTGTACCAGAAGGACTATCGACCTGCTTCTTTAGCAAGTAAAAAGAAAAAGAAAATTGGTATATAGAATGTAGAAACTTTGAAATGGCGGCTTGACGTACCTGACTTCAAGAGGGAATATAGCCACGGCAGTGGCCCCTCGCTCTCTTGCCGTTGCAGGAGCTTGATGGAAACCTCCGCGGAAACTTACATATGAATTCTGGCAGAAGAAGGGCTGTAGGAGCGGACTCGACATCTGGCTGTGCTTCCCAGAGTGCGAAGGATCTTCTCCAGTGTAGCCATATAAAGACGCTGCTTATCGAGAGAATCAGTGCGAACGGTCTTCATTTCGATAGTGTCGATTTTCAGGTAGCTTTTGATACTAGATTTGAGCGATGCGGATGAGTGGCAGACAATCGAGGTGGCATGCGCTTCCTCTAGAAGAAAGTTGTTGATGGTTGCAACGTCAGCTCAGAGAAGTCTGAAACTCCTCTTCCGGGGATCTTGGCCCACGGAATGCGAGGAATGCCAACAGGAGATGCACTTTAAACATCTTAGCATCATCTGGATACATGCATGATTCAAGGGTATTGATCCAAGTGGTAGGGATTGGCATCAAAGCCCGGGTCTCGGTAGATATCCACATGGGCGAACTCCGTCGAGACCGGGAGCTGGGTCAGAATGGATTGTTCAACATCAACTTTGTTCACAAGAAAGTCTTGACGGCCTCGTGTCTGTCGCCTTGCCGTCGTGCCCCTCTCCCGGCCCCCTGTGCCATAGTGAAGAGCTGATGCTGCCGGAGGCTGATCTCAGGGGATATATTTTCTCAAAATAAACCAAGGGATGAAAGGATGTTTCACGGGGAAGATATTCCATCCTGTGAATTTATTTGATGGTTTCGATGAGCCTGGGTGTTTGGATATGCCCTATATCTATAGCATCATAACCCTGGAGCCCTGTTAGCCTTGCCAACACCAAGCACTGTCAAGGATTGGCCATACTGACGACTCTTCGCCTTGCGAGTGATCACCCCAAGCAGCCATGGCGGTTATTCAATGGCTGGAGCTTTCTATCAATATGCAGTCTCGCCAGGTCCAACTCTCCCTCGTTCGTGGCCATGATGTTACTGTCTGGAATCTCTTGTTCCTCGGGTATACTTTCTCCAAGACGCCCATTAGGGGATAAAATTCAGAAGTCAAGATACTGCCTTGATATTTGTTTCTGTGTCCGTTGACTCACTGTAAACAGGTCGAGGTAGACTGCAGAGTTTTGTGTCAGGTGAGATGAGAGATCCTTCAATATTCGACTTGGACTGGCTCTTCCCACCTCTTCTGCCTCCCGGCTTTCTGCAACACTTTCGCCTCTGGATTCATCCTAATTCCACAGCTGGAAACTAGATTATTTGGAGTATGCTCTGTCTATATAATTATCCGAGTCCCTAAACTAACAGTGCACTTCCTGGCTATGTCTCAAGCATCCGCCAGCAGCAGCGCTGTTATCACTCTCCAACCCCTACCACAAGCTCGAGAGAGTGGAAATAACACAAATTATGAGGAGGGAGGAGTACCAAGGACTTGTGTCTCCGAATTTGGTCTTTCACTCCATGCTGCAATCGCAGTTGAGGAGGATCATCTGGCAACTGCCCGGTCGGCACCCAACGCGACGCGCTCGCGTACGGAAGTCTTGCTGACGATGGCTTCGCTCTGCCTGTCAGCCACTCTTTCAGCACTCGACTTGACCATCGTGACGACTGCTCTTCCTGTCATCGTGGGCTACTTCGGGTCTGAAGCCGGGTACACGTGGATCGGGAGCGCGTATATCCTGGCGTACACGGCCATCACTCCCGTCTGGGGCTCCGTCGCGGATATCTGGGGACGGAAGCCGATCATCCTCATCGCGCTGTCGATCTTCCTCGCGGGAAGTCTGATCTGCTCGACGGTCACTCAGCTGGATGCCTTTCTTGTCGGGCGTGCGGTCCAGGGCCTCGGCGCCGCGGGGATGGGGACCATGGTCAACGTGATTATCAGTGATATGTTCTCTTTGCGTGACCGCGGCCTGTATCTTGCAGTAGTATCTATCGTCTACGCCGTGGGGAGTGCTATCGGCCCCATCATGGGTGGTGTCTTTACCAGAAATCTGAGCTGGCGGTGGTGTTTCTGGATCAACTGTAGGTTGGGGTATTGATTCTTGGAACCCGGATGCTTGCCCAAACTGACCACCCAGTACCAATCGGGGCCCTTGTATTCCTAGTATTGTTTTTCTTCCTGCGACTTCCCAGTCCAAACACCCCTGTCCGGACTGGTCTCAAGGCCATCGATTGGAGCGGAAGCCTGCTCATTGTCGGCGGCATCCTAATGATTCTTCTGGCTCTCACGTTTGGGGGAGTCACGTACCCATGGCCGTCTAGCACAGTGATCTGCCTCCTGGTCTTCGGCACCGTTGCCGTGCCTGGTTTTGTTCTGAACGAATGGAGAATCGCAACAAATCCGGTCATCCCGCTGCGCCTGTTCTCGACTGTATCCAAGGCTGCGGCGTATGGTGTCTTCTTCTGCAACTCCTACGTCTTCCTGGGCACTGCCTACTATCTGCCTTTATACGCCCAATCGGTTCTGGGCGCAGACACTCTGACGTCGGGTGTCTACCTCCTCCCGCTCATCGTCTCGTGCTCTCTCACTGCGGCCGCAGCGGGCGTGTTTATGCAAAAAACCGGCAAGTACCGGCCGATCATGCACGTGGGTGCGGTGGCCATGTCCCTCGGGATCGGGCTCTGCATTGACCTAGGGTTTGAGAAGAACCTGGTCAAGCTGTTTGCATTCGAGATCCTGGCTGGCGTCGGTAGCGGAATGAACATTGAGGCGCCCATGATTGCAGCCCAGGCGGCTGCATCCGTCCGAGATACAGCAGCGGTTCTGGCATCTATGGGGTTCATCCGGTCAATATCGTCCGCCATTTCCACAGTTGTCGGCGGGGTGGTGTTTCAAGATCAGATGAACCGGGAGAATCCCAACCTTGTGAAACAGTTAGGCCGGGAGCTCGCCAGCAAGTTCAATGGCGGTCAGGCTTCTGCGAATGTGGACCTGATCAATACACTCCCAGAAACTCAGCAGATCATTGTCAGACGAGCCTATTATCAGTCCTTGAAGAGAATGTGGATTATGGTACGTAAAGACATCCAAACATTCAAGTTACCCATTGCTAATACGGTGCAGTACGTTGCTTTCTCAGGGATGGCGATCATCTTCAACCTTTTTATTCAAGCCCATCATCTGAGCAGCGAGCATGAAGCTGCCGTGCTTGGAGTCAACAGGGAAGAACCGGTGCCTGTGGCTGTCAACCACGCTGATGCGACCCCAGAGGGAGCAAGACAGCGGGCCTCGCGAGCTGTGGTTTCTAATTAGCGAAGATACTGTATTATTATTGAATATGACAACAAACTCAGGACCATCCGTCTCTATATGTATGTCTATAACTATGCTGGACATTTAACCAGCTGCTAGAGGATACAAATATGTCACAAGGTATTTGTATTCAAAGTCCAATGACTACTTCAGGATGACTTGAAGCAGTAATGATATTCCCATCCTAACGCCGGCGCATGCAAACAAGACTGAAGTCTACTAATATACATCCTTACTCGTCCGAGTCTCCAAGTCTTCCCCTCTTCCCCTCCTCCTCCCTTCTCCCCTCTTCTTCCTCTTCTTCCTCTTCTTCCTCTTCTTTTGTGTTTCTCGATTGTCATTCGGGTTCGTCCGCTCGCTTCGCTCGCTTGTTTACTTCTTGCCACCCCTCGACGCTTCAAGGAAGAGCACCTTCTTCCTCACAACGGGATCGTACTTGAGCATGCTCAGCGGGCGGCCGGTTCGCGGACGGATCATGGTGCGGTAGTAGCCCGTCATGGCCATGGAGATCAACCGGACGGCGATGGTACGGGCTTTGCCTAAAAATTACATCAATTAGATTCAAATTCAAATTCAAGACACATTAAATAAACTATTTCTTAACGCACTTTTCTTGGCCATGGTGGTGCTGGTTGGGATGGGTGAGTTGCGGAGAACTTTGCGATGCGGTTGAGCTAGACTGAGTCTGAGACTCGATAGGATATCACGTGATGTGTTGGTGCCTTAGATTTTAGGTTTTGATATTGGGATGTATTGCCTTAATATTCAGGCAAACTATATGCTGTCGTCTGCTCGTATCTATGAGTTATAATATGACTGGGACTCGAATCTAATTCTGAGTAATTCATGGCTAGCATCTCATGACTAGGTTCTTGACTAAAATCTTACTTGAATACCAAGGTAGGTACCTATCTAAATTCTTACTTGACTAATTCCTAGGGTCTAATTCTTACGACAAAGCAGTTCTAACTCAATAGGATGTCAGACTGGCTGCTGCGGGGTTAGCCAAGCCAGGTTCAGCTGGTATGTCCTGCTGCCTGGAGGTACTAACGGAGGAGGATATGCCTTGCATTATCCAATGGAATGGGAATACGAATCGGGTGCCCTCATTCTTGCACTAGTAATCACATTGGCCAACTAATGAACTATAGCTAACTCTAATCAACATATGAAAGTGACTCATGCTGGAACATTGGCAGGTGCCTGCAGACAGAAGTAGACAGGTAGACAGAAAGATGTTCTGTTTTATTCCATTCTTTGAATGGCTGTGGAGCCGTCCACTCGAGTGTTTGGAACACAGAGCGGGTTGTGTGGTCAGACAGATATGACTCGACCGATCCGGTCAGCTGGACCGGTGGAACTGAAGTCTTTGGGGATAGACTGAATTTGGTTCCTGAAACGGGGGGGGGGGGGGTTGGGGGGTGTAGACCAATAACCAAGGTAGACAAGGTAGTAACAGTACTGCAATAGTATCAAATATGCCTCAACGGTAGTACTCTGTGGTGCGACGGATGCGTGACGGGGTATGAAAGCGCTCGATACGCTCGACGGCGTCTCTCTCATAGAGAGAGCCGCGGCTGGGAGACGCCTGCGGGGACGGATAGACGACGACCCGGCTGGGCTGGCTGCTTCGAGGCTCTCGCTCGATGATCTCGTGGCGCTGGGAGGGGGAGGAGGCGGAGAAGGTCGAGATGGAGGAGGTAGCCGGGGAGGCAGGCGGCGAGGGAAGACGGACGGGGGAGCGCGAGGAGACGCGGTAGGTGTGGGTGTGAGTCTTCTTCTCATGGCTGACGACGGGGGCGAAGCGGACGCTGGCACGGTGCAACCGCAGGCCGTCCTCGATCGCGAGGAGGAGGTTGCGCACCGCCGGGCAGTCACGCGGGATCTTGACGAGGGTGGGCTGGTGACGCTCGCGGGCGATCACCGAGTACGCCTTGCCCTGCTTGCTGTACAGGTACTGGGCGACGTCGGCGGCGTAGGAAAGGCCGCGCTCGCAGAGGGAGTCTCCCGCGCGAAGGGTGTCGAGAGGCGCAGCGCAGCGCAGGCAGTGGCCGGCATGACGCTCAAAGGCGTTCACCACGTACTCCTCATCTGCGTGCATCTCGCGCAGCAGCAGGACGGGCTCGCGGGTCGGCTCGAGGGCGGCAGGCATGCTGGAGGATCGATGCAGACGTGGCCGATTGATGGGGGGTCGATGAATAACTGGTCTTCTAGACCGGAGGCTGTTCCTCCTAGATAGAGTGGGCGGTGACGTGAAGTTGGAGGACAGCGTGACGGTAGTAGTATTAGAAGAAGTAGTGTAGTAGAGTATAGATACTGAGGATAAGTAGTAGGAATAGAAGTGGTAGTGTAGTGTAGTAGTGCAGTGTAGTAGAGTATGGATACTGAGAATATTGTAGTGATGAGAATGCTCCTGGAGGAAGCTGGGTTATATAGACGGCCTCTTGATACCGTCCAGTATAGCCAGGCAGCCTAGGGCTCCTCTTTCGGACTAGCGCCCTGGTCGATCAGCCACCAGTGGGCGGCTGACTATTCCTGATTGGGAATAGCGTTCAGGCGGTGCAGTTTCCGCGACAGTTGGAGGCTGCACACGCTGTGATTGGTCAATCCCCGCCAAAAGACGGTCTGTCCTCAAGAGTCGAGGCTTTCCTGCGTCATTGTGAAGACTGAAGAGACAAGTACCTGGTGGTATCTCGTGTTCATTTCATAGCTACCTGGTAGGTACTAGGTAACTACCTAGGTGCAAATGCACTTCTGTAATCTGTCCTCTCGACACGAGACAGGAACACGAGGTCTCTACTCTACTCTATTTTTGTGCACTTGGTTCGCATGACCGTCAACAGATTCAATCAATTAATTCTAATAAATTCAATAAATTCAATGACTTCTATATTTTACTTCCTTATTCGCGTTGCAGCCGCTGCTCGGGGTCGCTACCGTTCAGTCGGGTTTGTTTATTGCTCCAATGTTCCAAAAGGCGCCAGGGGTTGTCCTTACTAGAACAGAGTAACTACGGAGTAACTAACTGGTACTTCTAGTACTACAGAGTATTTCAGCCTCATCAAGCCACAGCTCAGCCCCAGCCACCGTTGGGGCTCATCTGATTCGGTCGACGCAATGACGTCCTGGCGCGGGGTCCGGGAACTGCCAACTGAGCCACTTTCAGGGGTCAAGCACTTTCCCACGGTTGTCTCTCTTGTCTCGACAGCCGCCTCCCTAGAGACTTCCTACAGAGTACTAAGTATGCCTTGCAGCATGCGAGATGGAGTGCCGCATGCAGTGTGGCACCGTACGCCGTACTCCATGTGCTCGTGGCCTATCGTGCGGCTGTTATGCCCGTCATTTGAATCTACCCTCCTTCCATCATCCCCTCCACGCCTATCATTCCTGCCCTATGGGTTTGGATCTTATTTTGGTGTTCTGATTCCACCATGGTTAACATTTCTAGATCTTTAAACGCCCTCGTCGAGCCTCATGGCGGCTCCTGCAACGTTTCAGGTCGGTGACAGTGGCTACCAGTGGTTACCACTTCTACGTTTTACTGGGTCTTCGCGTTAATCGACAACAATAGCGCCATCTCATCTCCAAGTATCGCTTCCCTGGGCCTTTGACTTTCTCTCGGCGCTTCTTTGCTGATAATCTCTGGAATAGGGCTGTTACCGCCCACAGGCATATATATATATATATATATATATATATCACCAGTACCGGTACAACGGATCGCACCATCCACATGAAACGAGGAGATTCGATTCTCGGAGCACCAAGGCCTACTATACTCGCTAACCTGGACGATCCATATTTAGACCATACCATGGATTTCCAATTATCCATACTGTCCAGTATCTCCGTGGAGACTGTCACCCAGCTAACTTGGAACCACTCAGCTCAACGCTTCTATCTCCAACAATGAATGATCAGGCTCTACAAGCGCCTGTACCAACATCTCCATTCCATACCAATGACAAATTAAGTACAATTGCGTTGGTGGTAGTGGTAGTAGTAGAAGTAGGAGGAGAGAGACAAAATCCTTCATCCGGAGCACCTCGACATGAACAGCCGGGCTAGCTCAATCGGTAGAGCGTGAGACTCTTATATCTTGCGATCTCAAGGCTGCGGGTTCGACCCCCGCGTTCGGCTTTCTTCTTTTTTGCTCGATGAAAAAAATGGAATTCAGTCCATCCATCTGATTTTTCAAGTGGGTCTGTCTATCTTAATCCGGTGCTCCACTCATAGGGCTTATGAAGTACTTATGAAGTACTTCACTAGGCAGAATGTAATTTATATACTAGTGTAGAAAGGAAGAATGTTATTTCCCAGATCCATGGCAATATTTCTTGCATGATACTTCAGCTGGTCATGGATTAAATCAAGTCAGCCTTACGTCGAGACTAGCTGAGGAGGGCAGTGCCTATGAAAACGCAGTAAGAGTTAGAAGATGTATACAGTATAGAAAGTATACAGTATCAAAAACTTAAATCATTTAACACTATTAGAATTAAGTAGACAAAAATTATTCAGACATGCGGACGATGATCTTGCCCCTGGCGCGATGGCTCCTCAGCTTCTCAAACGCCTGGACTGCCTCTTCCCTAGGGAAAACCGAGTCGATCTGGACCCGGACTTTACCCTGCGCGAGCCATTCACCCAGCTGGACGAGATGGTCGCGCGTGTTGGCAAAGAAGAAAACGACGTACTTCCTGCGGCCGCCGCCCAGCAGACTGGGCCTCGCCGAGCGGCGGAGAAAAGTGGCGACCGAGTCCGCCCCGACCTGCACGTATGTCTTGCCCTCGCGCAAGAAGCGATGGGATTCGCGGTACAGGCCGTCTGGCTGGCTGACATGGTCGACGACATGGTCGTATACCATTCCCTGGGCGGCGAGGACGTCGATGACGTTTTCCGCCGTGTAGTCGATGACCTGGTCGGCGCCCAGCTCGCGGCAGAGCTCGAGGTTGCGCGTCGAACACGTCGTCGTCACACTGCAGCCGAGCGCCTTGGCGATCTGGATGGCAAACATGCCGCACCCGCCTGAGCCCGCGTTGATGAACACCTTGTCGCCCTGCTTGACGTACGGCGCCACGCTCTGGTAGGCGGTTTGTCCTGCGATCCCGAGCGTCGCCGCCGCGTTCGGGTCGACCCCCTCGGGCAGCAGGGCGACCTGGCTCGTCTTCGCCACAATGTACTCGCCCAGCGTACCGAACTGGGAGGGCATCCCCAGGCATCCAAACACGAGCTGGCCCGTGGTATATGCGGCGCCGGCGCCGTCGTCGTCGTCAGTGTCGGGTCCCACCGCGACGATCCGGCCGCAAAAGTCCATCCCTGGGGACGCCGGGGTCTTCAGCACCAGTCGCGTGATGAGAGGCATCTCGGGGACCTTGTAGTCGGCTGGGTTGATCGAGGCGGCCAGCACCTGGATGAGCAGCTGGTTTTTTTTTGGCGCAGGGGGCGCGCGAGCCGTCGCTGACAGCGTCAGGTTTTTCTCCAGCCCGTTCGCGGCGCTCGAGTAGAGCCACGCAGACATTGAAGACACCGCCATGCTGTTCCTATTTCCTTGATGCTGATGGGGAGTTGGTGGCGATGCTGGGAGAGAGGAGGAGGAGGAGGAGGAGGGGAGGTCTTTAAAGCTTTGGTGGTCCGTGGGCGACGTAATCGAGACAAAATCAACCAGAAAAGAAAGAATAGGGAGCCCGAATAATTATCAATTCAGATAAGGGTGTGTTCTAGACTCGTAGATATTCTTTATCAACAGATTCAATCTGATTGTGTATTGATTTGCTTCAGATGCTGTCACGATAGGTATGAATAATATGGTCTTTCAGACTGGATCAATCAGTTAATTAATACCATTTATTGCTGAAACTGTCTATTATCATTGCTGAATAAATTTCTACGGAGTATCAAGGCGTATATCGATGTTATGTCCAAAGACTTGGTATAAATATCCATATAATCTGCATAATTATTCTAAGGATTATTAGCCTCTCTTTAGCACTTTAGTCTCTCCTAACAATAGTGACATCACGATCGGCACCTCCTATCTCCTCCACAGACGATCGCTCAATCGACTCGACAATGCAGACCTCGAAGCTTGTCTGTACGTCAGAAACCGTCGAGTCGAGCCGGGGCGAGTCGATTGTCCTCTTGTCTCGTGTTATTCTTGGCCTACAGCATTCCTGGTTCCTGCCCGACGTCATTCCTTTTCTCCTCTCCCACTGAACGGGTTTCATCCCTTTATACTATCGTTGATTCTCTTTCATATCTCTATATATCTATCTTTATCGTTATTTATTCTATTTCTGCCCTAGAGCCGTCGATAATGCCGCTACGAACGGTCGCGCTGGGGGCTGCCCTGACGCCCACCGTGGTAGCAGCCTGTTTCTCCCATGTACGAACCTTGGAACCACGAGAAGGAACCCGGAGTAACAGATTTATTCATACTGATATTGATTGAAATAGTACATCCATCGAAAAGAACGGCATAAAAAACCCACGGTTCATCTCTCCTACGACGAAAGCCTCCACATCATCCGCGCCTTTCTCCGCTACGTATCCAAGTACCCCGTCGAAGACCTCCAGGCCTTCAGCAGCCAATGGGTCCCCAGTCCGCACTGGGTGAAGACAGACCCCGTCACGATCGCCGTTGAGCATCTCGAGTCCGCCGCAAAGGCGATAAATGACCAACTCGGGGAGCGAGGCATTGCTCGGGTGGGTGGACAGGGATGGTGGCAGTGGCGCGGGCCCGCGGGGGAGCTGAAGGGCGAATGGATCGAGATGCGAGCGCATTACCATGAGCGTATGGAGAGAGGCGACGAGCGAGGGAACCGCGTCATGCTGTATATCCATGGCGGAGCGTATTTCTTTGGCTCCGTCGAGACTCATCGCTATCAGCTGCAGAGGCATGCGAGGAAGCTCAGAGGGCGCGTTTTTGCACGGTATGTTATTTTTCTTTCTTTCTTTTACAAACAGTATTTGTATAAACAATACTAACTAGAACAGTGAGTCATGTTCGAAAGGAAAAGAAAGACCATACTGATGTAGTAGCGGAATATCGACTCTCGCCTCAGTTTCCCTTCCCCTGCAGCCTGCAAGACTGTTTGGCGGCGTATCTCTTCCTCCTGACAACGCACGAACCAAAGGAAATCATCTTCGCAGGTGACTCGGCAGGGGGTGGATTAGTTTTGTCGTATGCTATTCTTTTTCCATCTCAAATGAGCGGTTTGGCTAACAGAACAGTATGCTTGTTATAATCCGCGACCAAGGGTTGCCTCTACCCGCCGGAGCCATCCTGATCTCGCCATGGGTCGATCTCACTCACTCGTTCCCCAGCATTGTGAAAGACAATCCATTGGACTATATCCCCCCATACGGGTTCCGCCACAGGCCGTCCGAAGCCTGGCCGCCTCCAAATGCAGACGAGATCCTCGAGCTCAGAAGGAGCGCTACCGAACACAAAGCAATGGAAGCAAAAGAAATCCAGGATGTTGCGGTGCCCAAGGAGAAATCCAAAGCCGCAGAGACGGCCGCACGGGGCTACACGGTTCATCACCAGGGCGTGATGGATGAGGAGCAGCAGCACCGACGCCCTATTGCGGCCCCGTCGCACAATTCGCCCACCGCGAACGTCATCGCGGATAATCTCAAGGTTGTGATCGATGGTGAGACGGTGGAGATCAAGGACCAGATCCAGATGTACGCGACGAACCAGTTGATGTCCCATCCGCTGGTCTCGCCGGTCCTCCAGCCCTCGCTCGGGGGACTCCCACCCTTGCAGGTCCTCAGCGGCAGCGGCGAGATGCTACGAGACGAACAGTTCTACCTCGCCCACAAGGCGGCCAACCCCACTGCCTACCCACCGAGCGACGCCTATCTAGACGAGAACGACCCGGACCGCGAGATCTTGCACAAATATGGCCCCACGTACGTCCAGCTCCAGGTCTGGGACGACCTGTGCCACGTTGCCCCGACGCTCAGTTTCACCCGCCCGGCCAAGTACATGTACCGCTCAATCGCGCAGTTTGGGGCATGGGCTTTGGCCCGCGCTCAGGACTCCGCCATCGACATCATGGACGACGACGACATCTCCGAGATCTCGGACAGCGGGCCGGACTCGCCGGGCCCGTCCTCCTCGTCAACGGAAATTCTGCCCAGACGCCTTTCTTTCAAGCCCGGCGCCCCCGTGGGAAGGGCCGGCGACCCCCTCCCCGCGTTCCAGAACCACATGGTCCGGCAACGGGTCGACAAGAACGGCCACGTTTACCCTTTGCCGGTGCCCTCGTCGTGTCCTGTCCTGCAGATCCCGCCATCCCAAATCGGCACCATCAACCCGCTGCTTGTGAAGAAATGGCTGGCTGCGAAAACCGAATGGGACGAGAGGTATGCCCACGACAAGCTCCGCGTACAGCGCCATCGCCTGCGCGAACTCGAGCGCGGTCTGGAGGAGTTTGAAGGCGAACAGCCACCGCCCAGCGCGCTGGCCGCGCGCCGCGCCGCACCAGGCGTGCTCCCCAAGATGCGTGGCAAGAAGAACTACGGCATGATGCTATGGACCAACTGGGGGAGCAAGCACGACGAGAAAACCATCGAGCGGGAACGGGCAGCCGAACGGCGGTCCGCGCGGAACAGCGTCGATTCGCGCCCGGCTTCTTCTCGAACAGAGGAGAAGAACAAGAAAACACCTCCGCCCGTCCTGCGAGGCAAACGGTCCGGCTCTATCGGACAGAACCGCATGGTCAGCGATGCAGGACAAGCGGATAACACGACCGACGGGGAGTCCTTTCTTCAACCGTCTCGACGAGAGGATAATCAAGAAGGTGCAGAAGAGGAACGTCCTTCAAGTCCGTTTCTCGGGCTAGGTCTGCTCGGCCCCACGATTTCCCTGAATAACCTGGACGAAGGGGCGAAGCTCCCACCGGAGAACCCAAGCACGATCGCCCTCGTGCACGCCGACGGGACCATACCGCGGCTTGTCCGCACTTCATCCGAGTCCCCGGGCCACGACGACGGAGCTAGTCTTGACGACGAAGGGAGAGATAGAGACCGGGGTGTGGATCGGGATCGAGATTCGCTGACCATCCGGAGTGCGGCCACCGGCAATCTCAGTACCGTGGCGGTCATTAACCAGCGGGGCATCGTCGGCCGGGTCGGGGGAGGAGATGGACGGCCTGAGATGCCGGAGAGGGATCGGTTTCTTACTGCGCAGGAATATCAATAGTCAGTCGTATAGATATAGGTTTATACATATAGTCACGTATACATAGATACAGTTTATACATATAGTACATACAAAGTATTAAGCTATTTCACAGGCAATCCCACACTGGCCGCAACCTTATCGGCAATAGCAAGGAAGGCTCTTCTCCTTGCACTGGAGTCGTCTCCTTCCTCTGCAACAACAGTAGGCATACCGCGATCGGCATCTTCGCAGACGCGGGCATCGAGGGGGATGTCGCCTAGGAAGTCAATACCGTGCCGACGACATTCAGCCAGGACGCCCCAATCGTTCTCGTCGTGGGTAGAGGAAGAAGAGGAAGAGTTATGGGAGAAGATCTTGGTTTCGTGGCCGCAGTTCGGACACGCGAAATACGCCATGTTGCGCACCATGCCTAGCACGGGCACGTCCATCTTACGGAACATGCCGTACCCGCGCACGGCATCCCGGAGGGCAATGTCCTGCGGGGTGGTCACAATGACTGCCCCGTCGACCACGACCTCCTGGTTGATGGTGAGCTGGACGTCTCCCGTCCCCGGGGGCAGGTCGAGGACCAGCACGTCGAGCGGGCCCCACGAGACGGAGTGCAGGAGCTGATGCATCGCTTTCGTCACCATCAGGCCGCGCCAGGAGATCGGCGTCGTGTCCATGGGTAGATTGCCAAAGGAGTCGGGCGTCGCTTCCGCTTGGGGGAGGAGGTAGCCCATCGACATGGATTTGAGGCCGTAGTTTGTCAGCGGGAGGAGGCAGTTGTCTTTTTAAAAAAAAGTATAAATTAGCTGTTAAAAGAGATTTCTCTGCTAGGTTTCTCACTCTCGTCTAGTCGCGGTTCCCCCGATAGGTTAAGCAGCGTCGGTATCGACGGTCCGAAGATGTCTGTGTCTAGAATACCGGTCCGAATACCGCGTCGCGCAAGCGATAGCGCCAGGTTTACTAGACAAATAAATATCAGGCCGGTGCTTCATCTCTGGGAGACGCCAGACTAGACCAACCTGCTACTGTGGATTTCCCGACCCCTCCCTTCGCCGACGAAACCGCAATCACCTTGTTCACATCGCGAATCTTGCGTTTCTCGGGCAGACCACGGCGGCGAGGGAAGGACGGCGGGGTGCCGGAGCGCGGTAGGCCCTGTGGCACTGGTCAATCAATTCCGTTGGAAACTCGGTATACGCGGCGCCGCGGGTACAAATACCAGAGGGTTGTCGTGTTGGAGAACCCGGAGGGTCGAAAAGAAGCTCCGTCGCATGATGCTTTAACGCTGGCGGTTGACGAGGGTCGTTGGAGATGAAGCTCTGGGAAGAAGCAGTCGTTCTGTATCGCTTCTGATTGGCTGGAGGGGACTGCTCTCACCGCCCGGCAGATCCAGTCCTCCGCCTATATCTGATTGGCTGCGCGATGCAACTTTTCCCGGTCCGATCATTAAAAAAAAAAAATAATACTTTTGCACGACAACTGGGAGAGCTTTGGGCAGGAGCTCACTGAGTGCAGATGGCAATCGGAAAGTCAAGACCGGGGATGTCCCTGGCAGAGCAGCTGGCGGATCTGGATGATTCGACGCCAAAAGGTATGAGAATGGGTGAATGGCGTTGCGTTTGTGGAGGATCCTTCTAATCCGGCTCGCTGCAGATTTTGATCCCGAAGACTTGGATTATGGGCGGGGGAGCGGCGATGAGGATGCGGTAGCAGCAGATGAAAATGCCGGGAGAGAGCATTACCAGGCTGTTGGGTGAGTCTTGAGTTCCGGTGGTTGTGTTTGGACGGGACTAACCCAACACCAGCAAAGGAAAACTTCGCAAACCAGAGCAGATCAATCTTGGAAAACAGTACGCTGGTTCGCGTGTCAGTAGAGAAGCCCTTGAAGCCGATAGCGACGACGATCCGTTCCAGATGCGTTCTAGCGGTGAGGAGGAAGACGAAGATGAGGAAGACAGCGACGAGGAAGATGAGGAAGACAGCGAAGAGGAAGACGCTGCGGAGGTCTGGAAGAAGCTCAAGGCTTTGAAGAATAAGAAAAAGCAGCAGAAGGGAGATGAGTCCGATGACGAGGAGAGTATCGATGAGGAAATCGGCATGTCCGACGAAGAGGAAGACGACGAGGACGACGAAGAGGAAGATGATGAAGACATGGATAGTGAGATGTCTGAGGATGAGGAGGACGACGACGAAGACGAACCTTCTCGCAACAAAAAGGCTGACAAGACCAAGACTGACGACCGTGACGAGCTACGCCGGCTCATGGCGTCCGACCAAAAGACGATTGCCGCAACGATATCTCAGGCTGCCAAGGCGGATGCTGTTAAAGGCCGGGCCGTCAAGCAGCAGCGCGCGACCTTTGACGCCTTGCTCAACACGCGGATCAAGCTTCAGAAGGGGCTGACGGCGGTGAATGATCTTTCGCTGACAGCCAAGAACACCGACGAAGAGGTGGATGAGGAGGCCATCAAATCCGTGGAATCCGCAGCGCTGGCCCTCTGGTCCACGCTGGAGGAGCTGCGTCTCGCCCTGGCGGATGCACACGCCAAGGACGACTCCAAGAAGCGCAAGCGGCCCCAGCCTGTATCCCCGGGTGCGTCTCCGGCCTCTCTGTGGAAACGGATGAGCGATCTCGAGACCGACGCCGTCTCCCATCGCCGGGCTGTGCTGGACAAATGGTCGTCGAAGGTGCGCGGCTCGACCGCCTCGCTCGCCAATTCGCGAGGGAAGCTGCTTGCCGGCTCCAGCGGCCAACAGCAGATGCTCACCTCGGTGCTGGACGCACATGTGGCCACCGAGACGAGCGAGCGGGCTTCCAAGCGATCGCGCGGGGAGAGCAAGAACAATAACAATAACAATGGTGACGAGGAGAAGCAGGAGCCCGTGTACGAGGACAGCGTGTTCTACCAGTCGCTGCTGCGCGACCTGGTGGAGCAGCGAATGTCGTCATCGGATGCGATGACCAACGGGCTCGAGACGCTGCACATCCAGCTCCCGTCGCGGCTGGCGTCGCTGCACCCGGTCACCGGGATGCGCAATGACAAGGTGAAGCGCGAGGTGGACACGCGGGCGTCCAAGGGCCGCAAGATGAAGTTCAACGTGCACGAGAAGCTGCAGAACTTCATGGCGCCCGAGGAGCGCGGCTCGTGGACGAACCGGGCGCGCGAGGAGTTCTTTGCCTCGCTCCTGGGCAAGACGGCGAGCGGCCTACTGGGCGAAGAGGACGGTGAAGACGCCAGCGGTGCGGAGGAGAGCGACGAGGACCGCGAGGAGGGAGGCCTGAGGCTGTTCCGGGGGGATTGAACATTGAGCGGTTAAATGATATATTTGTATTTAGATCTTTCATACATTGCTACCTAGGTATAATCTAATATAGCTAGTGTATACAGTCGAAGTTCACCAAGGAACTGGTATTCTAGAATAATGATACTTGTACCTTTGCTTTTATATTGCTTCGGAGTCAACCGGGAGAATGACATCTGCATGGATCAGACGACAATAGAAAGTGAATAGCTTCTAGTCCTACATATGTGCTCCGTGCTGCAAACGTACTCGAGATAGAGAGCAAGGCCGAGCAGTTTCGGATCTCGGGTTTATCGACGCGAGGAGTTTAATATTATTAATGAACAAGTCCAGAAGTCAGTACTAAATGAGTATAAATCAAGACTATCTGTGCTAGATTCACTGCTACTGAACCTATATTCAGTATATCCCTGATTTATCTTCTATCTTAAACCAATTTCTACCCATAGAATATATCAGCAATCAAATTTCCTACTCGCCTGCTCAACAATTTCCTGGCCATGAATGATACATCCAATAATCTTGGATGATATCAGAAGCGAGCAGGCTTGTCGTAGCTTATCATATATCTTCGCATGCTTTGGATCAGATGAAGCACTGGTTCCTATATCCCACGCCCGTGGCACCAAGCAAAGTAAATATTTCAATCCGAGATTTTCAAAGCCCGGTTCGCCATGAAACATGACTGATGCAGGAGGGTCACCGGCAGGGATGAAGGACGCCCAAACTGACTCATAGCAGTTCAATATTCGGCCTCTACGGATGTGCCAGGTCGGGTCATCCGCAGGGCGAATGGCTTCTAGAAAAGGGAAAGCGGAACTTAACGAGGGCATCGAGAAGTCTAGGATATAGTCAGTTGCCTAGGAACGGGAGGAAAGATTGTATTACAACTCACAGTCTGGGCGAGTCCAAACTCTGAAGATGATTACCTCCAGAAGTTCCTTCTCCAGAGGCTGGCAGAGTGCATCATCAACCATACATTCCGAGATCGACTTGACGAGATAGGAACGAAGGTCTCGGTCCTCGGCTCTGGGTAGAAATTAGCCATAATCTCAAAAGTCATTTGGTTTGCCTACCGTTGTTGAATATGCAACTCAACTTGTCTTCGCTCCCCTTCTGATATCTTCTTCAACGGCCGAGGGATTCCGGAATTCACCCTATAAGGCCAATGAGGGGTAAACGTGTACGCCTCTGAAAAATCAAAGAGCACCGTGTCGTAGTTGTCTCCAGGCAGTCTGAAGTGATGGTCCCGCAGATCTCCATGGGTCACCCCGATCCGATGCAAGGCCGCCAGGCGGCGAAGTCGATCGCAAAGGAGAGAACAATACCATTCTAGTTCTAGCGGGCTCAGGGGTAAGTTTCGACTGTGCTCTGAAAAGAATCGGGTAACAGAGAAAGATCCCGAGTCAAGATACGTCGAGAGCGCAAGTCCGGCTTGATGGCTTCCAGCACGAGCGCTCGCGGGTGAGCATACCCGGCGGAAAACCTGGATCTGTCCATATTTGTAAGGGTACCATGGAATCGGGGAAAGTATATTCGTTCTTCGATGGGGCAGAACCGTTCAATATGACTGTATGCTCTGGCTTCCCGGGAAAATCTGTCGAACTCGTACAAGGCATGCTCTATCTGAAACCCAATCCGGGATTCTGGAACCCTCAGCCGTCGAAGCTGCTCAGCCGCCTGCTCTGGGGTGTAGTCGGGGAACTTGAATAGTGACTATCAGCTTATTGTTCAAATGGTATCTCTGGGGCATTTAGTACTCACCACTTTGGCTACATACTTTCTTCGTCCCTCATGTCGAAGCCAGAACACTTGTATCCTGGTTGCATCTGCCAGTCTGGTCCTATCCACCACCTGTCCGAGCCTCCATCTGTCATCCTCGGGGCGGAATTCTCGTAACTTCGGACTGTCATCGGCCTCTGTGATGAACTCAGGAGGGTCACCGGAGAAGAATGTATTGGCCCAGGTGTCTGTGTTGTGCATATCAGGCGAGCAGTCAGCTTTTAAAGTGAAATCTAGCTTCAGGTCCACAGTATCTGCCCAACGCTGCCATCGAGACCAAAAGTGTGGTGAAGAATATCATCGCAGGACCTTGAAAGAGGCGGACAGCCTGGAGTCACGTGGAAGCTGAAGACATGATTAGGTCATCAACATCACAAAGTCCGAAAGACCTGCTTTTTGGTTTAGTTCAAGAAGTAAAAGATATATTCTTGGATCTGACTGTTCCAGATCTTATCCTGAAGATCGCCTGCTATCGGGTGTCTATCTAGACTGCCAGTAGAACATCGATCCATACATTGAACAGGCGATAAGGGCATCATAACCCTAACCCTAACCCTGAAGGACCATATACGATACGAAGATATCAGAGACTTAACCAGTACCATTGTATCGAACGATGGTTCATCATTTTCGATCAGCGTCGAGGTGATGGGGTGATGAACAGCCATGCTCTGCGAGTTCATAATCGGTAACCTCTTATAGAATAGCCAGCTAAGGAAGTCTACAAGGATACAATGTTGACTAGGTCCTAGACATCATCCAGGATGTCATAGACCCGATATTAAATTCCTGTCAAGTTTCACAGCCACCAATGATAGCTGCACTGTATATTAGTCTATTTAATTAACCACGGTCGTCGACTAAGCGCTATAACCATCAGACAGAATGCGGGTATTCATGCTCGATAATCGTACTCGGCGAATATTGTGTAGAGCCGATAATAAATCAGTTTCAAGGTTGGTAATATCCTCATTTCAATAGAGCTGATTAAGAGAGGAAGCAGAAGAAAAGAGAAAGACGAAGGGAAAGTCAAAATTAGGCACTTTAGGCAAGACCGTTTCCCTGCCGGATCCGACTGCGTGGTGGAGAAATTAGAGGGTGCGCGCGGCGGTGGCGGCGGCGGCGTAGACATAATGGAATAAAACGATGGGTATCTTTGGATGGTATACAGATGGTAAGGAAGTTTCGCAGAAGAGATGGACGGCCGTTGAGGTTTGGTAGGTGTCAGGTGTTTCATGAGGTGGACGCGCTCCCGTGTCTCCCGGCCGAATATTCAGGTAGATGGTCGCCGTGACATGGTTGCGCCCAGTTGAATTCTGTAGTTCGTGGAAGACCCAGCATCCTCTCCCGGACTGCTCGCTGCAGGGCCTCCTTGCGTTCTTGCTCTTCCTGGGGATCAAGGAAGCGAGGCAGCCCGTTCCAATCCACCACCACGGCGCCACTCACGTCGCTATATCCTGGCAGGCTGGTCGGACTCGCTGGTTCATCCAGGCTCTGGTCCGAAGCCGTGGAGTTCTTTTGCTGGTGGTTCGAGCGTGCCGGGCCTAGTGCACTGTGCATGAGCTCCGCCGGGGGGTCGATGCTTTGCCAGAGAAAGCCCTCTTCCTTTGGTTCACGAAGATCATCCGACTCCGGCGAATTGGATGGGCGTGATCTCTTCTCTGATCGTGGAGAGCCTAGCCGATCGCTGGTGGTTACATCTGCAGGACCACCGACAGTCTGAGGCGGCGCGTTGAGGAGGGATCGTTTCGGTTCTGCCAACGGCAATCGGTCTGTGAGAGAGGACGATGACTTGGGATGTTGATCAGAACGGCGAGATCCGAACAGTCCCTGTAGAAAGAGAGGCATTTTATGGGAAGATGTTCGGCTTCTTTGAAAGATTGTCAAATGATCCACGAGACGCCGGCGAGATGGAGAGCGTGGCGAGAGGCAGGCAGTAGATAGTAGTAACTCAGTACTAGGTATAGACAGGCATTCAAACGACCGACAGACTTGCGGCAGCCTGGTATTAAAATAAACTCGCTCGACTCTCCACACGCCTAAGGTGGGGGGATAAAGTCTGAAATGGCATTATTAAGGTATTTGCATCGCCAGAAAAAGCCGTATTCAGGCAGCACGAGAGGAATATGGCATATTCCGTTAGATTACTGCAACTGGTATAGCCTTGCTTGGTCGCTGACTCCGGGGGTCAAAGTGGCCGACCAGGCTAGTATGAAAAGTATAAGCCCCATCCACGTACGGAGTAGGGGAAATTTGTTTTTTTTTTTTTTTTTTTTTTTCAATGTCAGTTCCTTGTCCGTAAAGGCTTAGTATGTAAAAATTCCAGTTGATGGTTGGGGGGTTCGGAATGCTGCTCGTGGGCGCCGGAAATGGCAGTCTACCTCGTCATCCATAACCAGAACAACTGCGCCAAGCCCCGAGTCCTTATCGTGTCCTGATCTATGAAATTTCCGGTTTGGTTCATGGACAATTGCTTTTTTTTTTGATTCTTTGTTTGTGGGATAACCGGCTAGATCCGGTCCCAAAGTGCCTGCTCAGTGCTCACAGCCCGCAACACCGGGCCAAGGCACCGCTCATCTGACGGCCGTGGAGGTAGCCATCATGTGAACAATACCTGTTATGAAATGAAAAAAAAAACCAGAGATGTTTAGAGCGCAGCCGTTAGTGGATGCTGTTGGCTTCGAGATGGGTCCGTCCATGACAGACGAAAAGGTGTTACACACAAAACACCACGGAAAGATGGCAGCTGTACTTCGTAGGAGTAACTACTCCGCGAGACTTGGCGTTCCAAGGGATGTGTGGCTCAGAGAGGAAGGAAGCCCATTCGCATTGACAGACAGGGACTGATTACCCGATCAGCATCGTGGGACTCCATAATTTGGGCCCTTGGGGAGGGGGGATGATTTGCAGAGACGAAATGAGCATTGGGCAGACAGATGCCATGTTGATTCCATGGCTTTGGTGACTGGTTCCTTGGGTTCTTTCAGTTCCTCGGGTCCCCTCAAAGGGTTTGTTCTGGCCGCAGGGCCACGCGGCTTCACCCCACAACGCTCGCTTTCATATGCTGGCCAGGATCGGATGGTCCGAGAGGGCTGGCGTGTGGAGTATAGTCCCGATCCTAAATATGAGGAGAGCCATGGTTAGAACTGAGCAGTAACTGTCATCAAGCATTCATGATTTGAGAGTTCCTATAAGGCTCGCTCTAGACTCGACCGTGGTGGTCTGGCGGTAATTGGTTGGCCGTGAAAGAGAGAGAGAGAAAAACGAGGAGCACTGCTACATACAATATGACAAAGTGGATCTCGATCGTTTGATGCCAGTACAGCCGAGCATATCTTCCAGAAAGAGCATCGAGTCAGATACGGGAGCTGGTGGAGGTGGCAAGCTGAACGTGGACGTGGGCGAGGACGAGGACGAGGCTGAGGATGAGGCCGAGTCAAGATCCAAGCAACTTCAGCCGAGACGAGCAGGTGACTTTTGTTGCCTGGAATCTAAGGCCGCAAACAATTCTGCCGAATCTTTTCCGGCCGAAGATTATTCTTATTAGGCATTACTGCTAACAAGTTACTCTCATCCGACAACTACCTAACATTTACGTTAGATCCAAGCCTTACGGATAATCTCCGACACCCTTGTCCAAAGGATCGAAGCCAGATCGAGGGGTTCAACCTTCAAAGCCCGATGCAAACAAACTGTCAGCCAGTATACAGGGGTCTTCAGCTAGCCGTTGGCTCAATCTACCTGACTAGTGCTTAGGGATGGACCCTAGTAGGTGATTACTAGTTGACTAGTCAAATAGCTAGTTGGCTGACTAGTAACTGACTAGTTAGTTTCTTTGTACAACAACATCCCCTTTTCATCCAGTCATCTGGTATCATCTTTATGACATGTACATTATGAGTTCAGCATCCCCAGGCTCCGGATTACCGTCTTACTACATACTCATTCAGTGGTATGACTCTGATGATCGTTGTCAGCCTGGAATCGTGCATACGATCTGCAAAATGGCTTTTCCTGCAGCTGAGGCGGACAGTCGATGACGAGGAAATCCACCGAGGCTTCAAGCTCACGGAATCGTAATCATGTGAGTATAGAGTATACGGACTCACGGAGTAGGACTGGCCATCTTCCCCGCTCCCGTGTCAGAAAGTTCAAAGAAGGGAATAAACGTTAGGATAGCGGGTCGGGAGGATGAGGCTGTGTCTACTGTCAGTCGAGCAGGATTGGAAGGAAATTTGGATCTCCGCACAGCTTACTTTGTACAGACATATTCGAAGCTCAGGTGGGGTAAGGACGTCGTTGCTGACATCGTATGACAATAGGTAGTAGTAGACATCCCGCAGATCGAATCCTGGACAGAAGGCTGACTGCAGATCACAGCGGGAGTTTTTTCAAACAATCATTCCATAGTAATATTCTGATGAATGCGTATTCTGTAATGAATCAGACGTGCCGGCGACCCGTGTTTTCTCTGTAGTACTTCATACTAAATTATGAGGCTATTCCATCGGGGCTTGGCTAGCGGATCGGCAGTCCTAATACCGAATAGCGTATCGTAGTCAGAGAGGAAGGGATGTCCAGTAGATGTAGACTCGTAGATGTAGACTCCTTATTCACAGGGCAAGTTGCAATTGTCTTGACTCTCAAGGCCCGAGGATATCAAAATAAACGGTGACAAGGGCGGTCATAAATGACGGGCAGAATAATCTTCCAGTCACAATCACCACGTGACCCTTTCTCTTATCTCTTTCGGCCTGGCACTTTCTCTTCTTCTCTTTCCCTCCAAATACGGACTGATGGCGAGCTCGTCGAGCAGAAGGACACACACGAAGATCACAGGCGCCCCGGACTACGACTCGCCAGGCTATTGGGACCAAAAGTTTGCCACGGGCCAGGATGTCGGCGAATGGTTGAATCCAGGCGACGTCCTGATCGAAGCCGCCGCGTCGGACCTCGACCGTCGAAACGTGAGCAGGCCTCGCGCCCTGCATCTGGGACCGGGCATCTCGAAGCTAGGGACAAAGCTGGGCGAGTGTTTCGCCGAACGCGGCTGGCTGGGAAGTAACATCGTCGTACGTAGTACTGGTCACTGGTTACTAGGCAGTAGGTACTAACTAGTTACTTAGAATGTAGATTTCTCCGCCGAGGCCGTCCGACTGGGTCAACAGGCTGAAAGAGAAAAACAAGCCAAGGAGGCGATGCACTGGATCTGTGCAGATTTGCGTTCATGGACGGACGTCTCCCAGCTGGCTGAATTTGCTCCGTTTGACTTGATTCTTGACAAGAGCACCAGCGATGCCATTGCCACGTCCGCGCCACAGGCCATCTCAACCGATGAAGTCATCTGTCCGACAATACACGAGATCATGAACAAGAACCACGGCGGTCCCGTAAAATTGTCCCCCGTGGAACTGCTGGCATTGCATCTCGTGCCCCTGACGCAACGGGGGAGTACCTGGTTCTGTCTGTCGTACTCGGGCGTCCGCTTTGATAATCTGCCTCACCTTGCAGCGTACTGGACGCTCACGGGGCGTGTGCCCGTTCCAGCGCCGGCGGGACAGCTTACCTCTTCGGCGAACACGCCTGAAGTATTCCATTGGCTATATATTCTCCAAAGAAACAATACAGTATAGTAAGAATGGTATTGTGATAAGGATAGTATATCAAGTCCGACTTCCATCAACTTTGCGCCTCTTGTTCCCCGCTCCCTTCTTGGGCATGAATTCCGCCGAATAGTTCTTGAAGAACTCCGGAGCCTCCTGCGGATGATCGCCCGTGACATCGTGAAAAGCCGTCGTGGAGATGTAGTTGGTCTTGCCCTCGCGGACGAGCGAGAAGTAGTCGAGGAGAAACTGCACCTCGGCGTTTTCGCCTCCGTTGGTGCGGAGGACGCGGTGTGCTTCTTGTCTGCAAATGTGAGATAAGCAGAAAGATCAGTATAGGTATAAAAGAGGCGTACTCGGATATGTCCTCGAATTTCAGATCAACTCCAAGAGCTTCGCCTGCTAGGCGGACGATTTCCTCGCCATCCAAAAGCATGGGCCCTGGATGTATCAGTTCGATTATAACCCCCGAATACAAGGCTCTAGCATACCGGTTAGGGTCATCAGTTGGCCGCGATGTTGATCACTGAATCCATGTGGTCCTTTGCCGATCAGGACATGCGCAGCTAGCAAGGCGACATCCTATCGTAATTTAGAGATATACACAGACAAAAAGAAAGCAGAGGCGTACACCTAGAGAAACAGGGGCGAATTTATGTCTCCTCCCAATCGGTAAAGGGAGGATACCGTCCTCTTGGGCCTTGGGTGCGTACCGTAGGAGGTTCTCAGCGTAGAAGCCTGCACTAAGAGGTATTTAGTTTTGAGACATTCATTTTTCAATTAGAAAAAAGAGAATACCGAATGATGACCAACGATTCCCCAGCAGTCTCCGGCTCACATTTACAAGCCAGAAAGCGAGACTCGAGATCGACAAATTCTCTCAAACCGGGCTGCTTGCTTGTTTCCGCCAGATCGCACCCGGCCGAGCTGAGGAGGAGGGCGTTGCGGACCCCGGCTTTCTTGGTGGCCTCAATCAGCTCGCCGGTAATATCCACCTTATCAACATGCGCAGGGGGAACCAGACAGATCGTGTCGGCGTTGGTGTGCCTCAACGTGGACGAGACATCCCGCACGCGGCCAGGCTGGTAGGAGATGATCTTGGCTCCCAGGGTGGCCAGGTCTTTGCAGCGAGGATGCTCTGCGTTCATCGTCAGCCCGGTGATGGAGGAGAATTCCTTGCTGAAGTTCTCGTCTGTCAAGAGGAGCTCGGCGATGAGGAAGCCTGTGTTGCCTTCCACGGCGGTGATGCAGATGTTGCGTGACATTGTTTCTTTAGATACTGGGTATAGGTAGTAGGTATAGATTATGGATAGTGGGTGTATATAGTAGGCATGGATAGGTGCAGATACTATATTCTGCTTTTATAGTCGTAAGACGGCGGATATATACTCTGGACAGATGCGTCATTATACCATAATATTGAGGCATGCCTGATCCAGAAAGCAGACTTACCCCATAAAGAACACATCCTGGAGGCTATACGTCGATTATCCTCAAAAAAGACAGCCCTGATAGATATCTAGGTATGGCTGTGTTATCCTTTTTATACTGGAAGTAATTGACACATCCATGTTGATTGTCTCGTTCAGTGCATATATATTAGTCTACGTGACTCGGATTCGATCATCATGACGGCCGCCATTGAAATGCATGCTGAGGTTGCGTCAGATTGACTGGCACCTGGAAGGATCTTCCAGTTGTGTTTCTACAGATCGATCACTCATACAAAGAGCCTTGATACAATAGGCTTTGGGCTGAGGTCGACAAAGCTGGTCTTCTGATGCAAGAGTACATGCAGAGGACCCTAGAACAGGACATTTTGGATTAGAACATGATGATATTTTCATGGAAATAGGATGTTACCACATATTTCGAAAAAAAAGAAAGGACCCAGTTTTGTGCATGATACCGCCCCCGCTTCAGTTATAGGCCATAAGAACAATACCGATGCTATCTGCGCCATCAAGAGCTCAGTCAGCAGAAGAATCGTAGAGAACATGTTTTTTTTCTCATCAAAGGTGAGGACGAAGGGGATAGGTTTAGAACTGATGATTCCCATCGCTAAATCTCGCAAAATAAAAGAGGAAGGGAAGGGTGTAAGTCGAGGATCCCACTGGAGTGGCATGACTCAGTAGCCCTCTTCTTCGCCCTGTTGATAAACATGCCGCGTCCTGGTGGGATCTTTGCGCATTTGCTGGCCTGACCCGGTGAAGCCGACTGTTAAAGAAAGTCAGTATAAAAGTAAATAGGTTTCTTTGCAGTCAATAGGTGTGCTACCTCTTGCCGTAAGGCCCTCTCCGGTGCGGAACATGCTATCTTTACGACCCAGTTTACCCTTACTGGCGAAATCCTTCCATTTCATCTTGCCTGCCTCGAGTTCGCGGTTCGCCTTGACTTTCCTGGGCACCTTGGCGGGACGGGTGGGCCCGTCAGTGGCTTTGCTGGGCTCTTTGCGGGCCTCGTTGGCGAGAGCAGGGTTGATGTCGGCGGCGGCGGAGATGACGCTCGAACTGGCGGGGTGGGGTGCCGGAGACTGTGAAGCTGACGAAGATGAGCCTGGGGTTCCATCAGCCTTGCGCTTTCGCGAGTCATTGCCAGAGATCGGCCTGATGTCCTTGGCAGTCAGTGTTTCCACTGTGCTATACGACTTGAAAGAGACCACATAAACCGGGTTACTGGACGATCCAGTGATCGACGTGATGCGGGCGGGATAGAAGGCGTTATCTCCCGAGACCCAGCGGGCCAACACGTTCTCGTTCACGGCAAAGGACGCCGGCGGCGCAGACGACACCTCCTCTGCCGAGGACGGCTGATGTTCCACGCCCGGCTTGCGATGGCCTGCGTGATAGGCCGGGTGTGTTTCCTTGGACCATTTCTCGTTGGTGGCGGGCGGGGAGGGCCTGGAAGCCGCGGCAGGCGATGGCGGTGGTTTGAGTTCGGCGATGGAGGTTTCAGTGAGAGTTATAAGTTCTTCCAGCTCAGCCTTGAGACTCTGAAGTTCTGTGTTATCTGGGTCTACCTGCAAGCTTGATTGAACGGTTTCAAGCTGTCCCTGTCAGTTTCGTCGATCTAATACGTCTCCTCGTCCGGGTCTATACCTGAAGCTTGAATTCCTTCACCTCCGCCTCCAGGGCTGCGACGTCGGACATGGCAGTGGTCGGGCGCGTAAGAGACGTAAACAGAAATCCCAGAAGTCTTCCAGTGTCAGGAAAATCACCAACAGCAACGATATAGAAACAGATATTATTGTACAGCAGGATTCTCTGCAGGAAGAAGTCGTCCACGGCTGAAGCGGTGACTTTCGCCTCCGGTGAGGAGAGCCGTTTATCATCATGTGATGTGCTTATGTAATCGTATATTCACTCGCTTTGCTATAACGAGAAGAATCAAGTATCTATTAAGCAGAGCCTTGATCTTATGGTTGCACTGTCTAGCAATTCCCCTGCGCTCTAATAATCCTTTTGAGATGAGAACTACACTTTTTACTATTTCTTTAGATTACATTAGGCAGCACAAGTGACTCAAAGAAAGTGTTAAGCCATATGAGGTCTCTTATTCTTCCCTCCTCTTCTCTTTTCTCTTATGCTATAAGCACCACTGATAGTAGCAGAAATAGACATAAATTATATGATTACTCATAAAGATGAGTATATTATTATAAAAATATGAAGTGAAATGTCATAATATAACTACTTAATCCTGGATTTCTCTCTCTGCTTCACATCACACTTTCTACAAAGGAAATTGCACTGAATCCAGAGAAATATGAATCCACTGGGTCTTAGCAAACAGGGCTCCCAGAGAATCCTAGATCAAACAAAGGTCTGTCAAACGTAAAGTAGAGTCATTTCTATTTCCAAATGCCTGCTTACCATCGGTCCCTGCAAAGATAACGCGAGTTGTTCCGTCAATTCCTCGAGCCATGTCCTCCCTCATTCGAGAGGAGAATCAAAACCCAAATTATGATCCTCGAAAATGCTATCCTGCTCGTGTTGGAGAGACCATATCCCGGCGATACCGTATTCTCTCAAAGCTCGGCTGGGGAGCAAATTCTACTGTTTGGCTAGCAAAAGACACTAGTCGATCAGTTTGCCCATCCTGTTATGCTTGCCTAAATAACACTATAAAGTTGGGCGTAGCAGTCAAACCGATATGTGACATTGAAAATCACAAACTGTGGCAAAGAAGAACAAAAGTCTGCAAATGAAGAAGTAGCAATGTCGCGATACATCTCTCGGCTGCAGTCTAACCATGAAGGTCGGGCATATATTCGTCTTGTGCGCGACACTTTTCGTATCCAAGGCACGCCGGGAGAGCATTTATGTCTGGTATTTGAACCACTACGGGAACCGCTCTGGCTTTGGGGAAAACACCTTGGAAGCAACGGCGTGCCTCCCGCCGTGCTGAAGCCGTTTTTGAAATTGTTGCTCCAGGGCCTTGATTTTCTCCATTCCGAGTGTCATATCATACATACATACAGGTAGGCTCCATCTAGATTGTTCCCTACTCGATTGTCTTGTCTAACCATGTACGAAGATCTCAAGGCAGATAACCTCCTTGTGGGATTCGAAGACTCTGGGGTTCTTGAGAGTTATGCTCGCCAGCAAGAACGCAATCCTGCTCCGTTTTGGGACGGTGATGGTCATCCAATATTTCGGTCTTGTCCAGAATTTGGGCATCTGAGGAAAGGGGTAGGCCTGGTTCAAATCAGCGACTTCAGTGCTGCTGTTTTCGGCAACGTTCCTGAGCCTCATAACCATGATATACAACCTCCGCCCTTTTGTGCGCCAGAGGTCCTCTTAAAGGCGACATGGAAATATAGTGCAGATATATGGCACTTGGGCACCATAGTATGGCTCTGAGGAACATATGCTTGCACCAGTCAACTGACATTTCGTCCCCCGTCAAGTTATGGGAGCTTCTTGCAGACCGTGTTCTTTTTGATGGGCTGGACACCGAGAGCGGCACGTATTCGCGAGTAAAACATATAGCCCAAGTGATACGGCTGCTTGGTCCGCCTCCCCTGCAGCTACTGGAAAGGGCAGATCAAGGCATCTGCTCCGAACTCTTCTCCAGCCATGGTATGATGTCCGCCACTTTTATAGCTGGGTGATAGCTAACGTTTTTTTTTGTTTAGGAGAGTTCACATCGCCAGTTTAATCCCGTCTGAGGACTTCAATCTACCAAACCTCACACCATTTGTTCACGGGGAAGACAAGAGACTCTTCCTTGAATTTGTGGGCAAAATGCTGCGCTGGGAGCCAACAGATCGGGCAACGGCTAGAGAGCTGTACTTCAAGCCTTATTCGGGCGATGTTTTCTTGGAGTTAGTTTCTTTCTGAATGACAGTTTGAACGGGTAGATAAGAGACCCAATTCTACACTTTATATGTAGTAGTAGCTATATTAATATGTTAGTAAGGAGCCTGAGGCCACCAAGGCTCACGCTGGGACTAGAACAGCCTCAATGACGTCTTTGACGTACTGCAGCTTACTAATACTAATGATAAGCCTGTTTTACCTACAGATGACTCATACGATAAGGTGGAATCATCAGCCACTCAACGCCGGTGTTTGCCTGAAAGAAATGGCGCCCCGCCGTGGAACTGGAGAGAAATCGGCCTGATTTGTAAGCCACGAGGTTCTCAGCCGTCAAAACAGCGACATTTCTATCCGAAAGCAGCGGCCAGAATAGGTGTTTTGTACTTAGGTAGGTGTGTATTCCCCCCCGCAAGCCAATCAGAGCGGCTAATATTTGCCGCTGCTTTTGCCAGCCGGAAAGTTTGCCTCCCCGCTCCGGCTCTCCTCCCATCACCTGCTGGAGATGGCAGCACTTGGAAGGAGTCCGCTGTCTTTTCTCACCCTATCCTGACCATCGCCCCTGGCACGCTCGCGCCCCATTTCGTGCTGCTGCCTGCCTCCTTAGCGAGGCACCAATTGCTGCTTGGCTGCTGCGAATCTACGGAGTACGGAGGACACCCTGATTCTGATCCACCGTGGACTCTGTCGTCTCTGCCATCTGGCTGTTCCACCGCCTCCTCCAGACGTTTCCCCCCCCCCTTCTCTCGGTTTGGGTGAGATACTCGTGGCTGCGTTGACACCGTGGGGATTATCGGTTCCTTCCCGCTGGATGCCTCGTTTCGAATCCAGTTGCAGTTAGCTGGTACTCGAGCAAGACCGGTGTGCACTGTGAATAGTACTTTTTCGCCTCTGATCTACTGCCGGCCCCGCCATTTGATCTCTCATTGACGTATCTCGGACACGCCTACACGCCGTCACAAAACTACAGCGCCTTGATTCCCTCTATCAAAAGAAAAAAAAATCTTCTCCCCAGGCTTCATCGGCCCTCGTGGACTTTGACGGTTTGCAAGGTTGTCATTGAGTAGTGGCGCTATCCTGCGGTGGAGGGTTCATCGGTGAATCCCAACGTGTCCAGCGTTGACGGCGGTTGGGACAAATCGACCGACGATTCGATTCTTTCTGGGCTTGCCGACAGATTTCCTGAGGGTTCAAGTTTCATCCGTCGGTCATACAGCGGCAACTCGATTGACAATTCAAGGAAGACACCGACTCGTTCCTACACATCACCTTCCTGCCTCTTTCACCATCCGTTTACAACATAATGACCGACTTTAACCCCGAATACCAAGGCCTCTACCTTTCTCCTGACGAACACGATCTCCTCCTCGCCGCCCTTAACTCCAACAATCCTCAGAGTCAAGATACCCACGGAACCAAACCAAAACCCACCATGGACGGCACTCCCAAGCAAACAGCGTCGAGCAGCGTGAGTCTGTCCCCCTACGCGGCTCAAAGTAGTAATGGCGCCTTTGGGTATGGAGAGGACGACAGTCCCTTCCTCGACTTCTCCCCGGATCTCGATTTCGACCCCAATGGTTCGGACAGTCTGATCGGCGATTTACCATCCACTCTGGGCACATCGGAGGAATCGGAACACGGCGAGAAGCGAAAGGATCTAGACGAAGACGGCGAAAAGGGCGAGTCTGGCAAGAAACGGCGGGAGAGCGAGGACAAGACCGCTAAAAAGCCAGGCCGCAAACCTCTCACCTCCGAACCGACCACGGTAGGTTAACTTTTTTTTTTTTTTTTTTTTTTTTTGAAAAACTTTCCGGGCGATGAAATAATCGTCTCTTTCTTTTCTAACTTCATGCAGAAGCGTAAGGCGCAGAATCGTGCCGCCCAACGGGCATTCCGTGAGCGCAAGGAAAAACACCTGAAGGACTTGGAGACCAAGGTCGACGAACTCCAACAGGCATCCGACTCGGCGAACCAGGAGAATGGTCTTTTGAAGGCACAGGTGGAACGTTTACAGATCGAGCTCCGCGAATATCGCAAGCGGCTGTCCTGGATGACCAGCGGCAGCAGCGGTTATTCTCTCATGAGTGCGCTGCAGGGCAACCAGTCCAAGCCCCTGGCTGCGGCTACGGCTGCGGCTACAACCACGGCCAGCGGCTTCAAGAACAACGACTTTCTTTTCGACTTCCCCAAGTTCGGGGACCTTCCAAATGGGCCGATGTTTTCCAACAATCAGTTCACGAACGGGAACGCCAATAAACAGCAACAACAACAACAACAACAACAACAACAACAACAGAAGGGATCTGGCCACAGTAATGATGCTCCAGGGGTTTTGAGTCGCAGCCGACTCTCCACAGCTTCAAGTGTCGGGAACAACGCTTCGAATTTCAGCCCTGTCCAGCGATCTGGATCCATGGGCAGCTACACAGCCACGCCCTACGCGGGATCCTACTCATCAAAGGGGCAGTCGAATGGAGCCGTGCAGGACACAGCAACCTCCAACTCCAACTCGCCATCTTCTTCATCAGACTCGCATCACAGCCAGCTAATCTCCTCCAACGGGACGTCCCCAGAGCCGAGTGCCAGCCTCAACTACGCGTGCGCCGGCAAGTCGAGCACTCCACAGCATTACAACGGTCACGGGGAGGACAGCATCGATGGTGAGAAATCCTTCTGCGAAAGGCTGGGCATGGCCTGCGGCAACATCAATAACCCGATCCCAGCTGCACGGCACAACACCGTCTCCCCGCCTGGCGCGGCGTCCGAGCCGGTGCAACACAACCCCTTCGATCATACCTTCGGCCTGGAGTGGCTCACGCAGCAGAACGGCGGCCAGTTCGACCCGGTCCTGTTCGGCGACTGGCGTGAGCCGCAGGACGCCGTCCTCTCCCAAGACTTTGGCACCTTCTTCAACGATGCCTTCCCGCTGCCCGACCTGGGCAGTCCCTCGCACAATCTAACCGAAGTGACTGGCCAGCCGGGTCCAGCGAAGAGATCTCCAGTGCCAGCGACAGCGCCAGCGCCAGCGCCGGCACCCGCCAAACCGGAGGAGGAAGTGGTGCCGGGAGAGGACAAGGCGCAGATGCTCACCTGCACAAAGATATGGTGCGTACTATCTTTCCTTCTACAGAACGCCCTTCTAAAACTCATGCTAACCAAAAAATAGGGATCGTCTACAATCAATGGAAAAGTTCCGCAACGGCGAGATCGACGTGGACAATCTGTGTACCGAGCTACGCAACAAAGCCCGCTGCTCCGAGAGCGGGGTGGTGGTGAACCAGAAGGATGTGGAAGATATCATGGGGCGGGCCAAATGATAAATCATAACGTTTGTTTCTTTTTTACCCCATTAGGTATATGAAAAGAGGATGTATATACCTATCTCTTTCTCTTCTCTTTCCCTTCTTATATACCAGAACAAGTCTCCGACGACATAATGTACATCAACTCTCTTTCTGCCCTTTTACCGTTTGCCGCTCGAGGAGTTCATTTGGCGTGGGTTCTTCTTTCCTTTCAGTGATTCTCCTGGTCTGCTTTTTTTTCCCTAGTCAATTGCGGAGGAGCTATAGGCTGGTCGGAACTGGGTGCCATCATTGATGTAGTTATAAGTCTGTATACACTCACTACAAGGTTTTTATACTTCTACTATCATGTTACTGGAGTTGTACGAGAGGGTATCGATTTATTATGAATAAAATACATGCTCGTGCCCCCTCTGTTCTGCCTGTCTTTCCCATATCCTTTCCTCTCCTTTCTCTCATAACCGTCCCATGCGAGACAGGGCATACTACAGGAAGTAAGTAGATCCAGCGGCGATAAAAAAAAAAAAAAGAAGGGTAGGTTAGAAATCATCAGACAGACATCTCGCTCAGAAACAGGATGTGGAAGAAGAAAAAAAAAAGAAGAGAGATAAGAAAAACATGGCAAAGCAGAGCGGGGGACTTGAAAAAGAGGGGGGGGGGGGGCATTGATTTGGACGAGAAGAGGGTTAGAGCATCGAATAAAGAAGAAAGAAAGAAAAGAGAAAAGAAAAGGAAGAAGAAAAAAGGGGGAAGACTGTTTTCTATGCCTCCTGCTTTTCAGAGTCCGTTGCCGACTTGGCGAAACCACCACGGCCGCCACGGCCGCCACGGCCTCCACGATCGTTGCCCCGGCCACGCCCGCGTCCGCCGAAACCGCCACGGCCGCGCCCGCCTTCACTGTCACTGGCGCCGCCGCTCTGGTAGCCGCCGCGTTGGGAGGAATTGGGCCCGTTGCCGGCGGCGCTGCTGCGGCTCTGCCAGGTGCCCGCGGTGCCCTGGCCGCGGTGGCCGCCGCGGTCCTCGAAGAACTTGAAGTTGGGCTTGCGCGGTTGGCCGGGCGGGGAGGGTTTCTTGTGCTCGAGGGGCTGGTGGTCGAGGGCGGCCTTGGCTTCTTCCACGGTGGGAAAGGTCACCACGTGGTTGAACTTGCCCAGACGCTCGATCTTGAGGATCTTGGCCTTGTCCTCCTCTGGGAACAGGTCCCGCACGGCCTGCTCGTTGTCCACGTTGGACACAAAGAGCCCGTTGCTCTGCTTCTTCTCCGTCTTGAACGCGGGGGACTCGGAAGCGGGTTTTTCGCCAAGGGCTGGGGTCGTGGTCGACGTGATTCCATTGGCCTCGCCCGCTGCGGGGGAAGCAGCTGCAGCCGCCGGACCAGCAGAGCCGGCTGCGGGCTGCGGCGTAGCGGGCTTAGGAATCACGGGAACGGGAGACCTCTTACCCTGAGAAGGGGGCTGGCCCACTTGCTGTTGCTGTTGGGGGGTGGAGCCCGCACTGCGAGGTGGTTGTTGTTGTTGTTGTTGTTGTCCCTGAGGGAACTGTGCGACTGCACCGGCCGGACGACCACCGGTGGGGGTGTTGGCGGTGACGGGACCGGCGGCGGGGGTGGGAGGTACACCAGCGGTTGTAGCAGCCGCCGGAGCAGCGCCAGGCTTGCCGGTGCGGTGAGAGAAGTTGAAACCCTGGGCACGCATCTCGGTGGCGATGCGGCCGGCCTCGATGTCGAGAACCAGGTAGCCAAAGGCGGCGTCGGCAAGGTTGAAGTTCCACATGTTCTTGAAGGCGCTCTCGTCGACCTGACCGGCGGCATTGCCGGGGGCGACGGGGCCTCCAAAGGGGTTGCCGCCATTGGCGACAGAGGGCATCTTCTGAACGACGTCGAGAGCGTTTTCGAGCAGGGTCTTCTGGGCCTCGTTGGCGGCGATGGCGGTGTCGACCTCGCCGCGGACGGTCTCCCAGACATCGTTGAAGGAAGCCTTGGAGGCGGCGAGCTTGCCGCGGTAGTGGTCCAGGGTGGGGTTGACGGAGAACTCGTTGTAGGAGGAGCCGTAACGGAAGTGGAGACCGGCGGAGACGGAGAAGTCGGCCTTGAGGGTGACGGAAAGCTGGTTGAGCATGCCCTCGCGGGCGGGGGAGGCGTGGGTGACAAAGATACGGGTCTCGGAGGGGTCGTAGACGCGGTTGGCGGTGTCGATGAGCTCGCCCATCTGCAGCAGGGTGGTCCACATGGTTCCCTGGCCGCCAGCGATGGTGGTCTTGCCCTCACCGTTGTCGAAGAGCTTGTGCATGACGACCGCGCCGCCCAGACCCAGCAGACGCAGCTTAATGCCACCGACGTCCAGCAGCCGCGAGTTGGCCTCGTCGATGATATGCAGATTTTCCACCTTGTACTCGCCGGAGCGGAACTTCTCCAGCACGCGGACATCCTCGCAGGCACCCCAGACAGTGTAAACGGGGACTTCAAGGGTCAAGCGCTTGTCGAGCAGGAGCGGCAGCTCGGACAGCGGTAGCTGTTCCGGGGTGAAGCGTTCCTTGATCGACTGCTGCGGGGGCAGCTGGGCGATTGCCCGCTTGACGTGCTCGGGCAGCAGCGGCGAGTACTGTGCGACATGTTTCAAGGTCCTGCAAAGTCAAAAAAGGTGCAGAAAGAAAACAGGAGAAAGGAAAACTGACTTGTCCGCCGTGATACGCTCCAGAGACCCATCGTCGTAGAAACCAAAGTCACCGGTGTGGATGATATAATTTGCACGAGCCTGCTTGGCCAACTCGTTAAGGGACTTGAGATTTCCTAGTCACTGTTATTGCCTGTCCGATCGTATCGACACCCTACTGCATCAGGTTTTCTTTTTTGCTCACCTCTCACGTCAGCAATGCAGAGGATTCTCGCAGACCCATTCTGGATGACTCTGCCGTTGTTGGGGAGGAGCGGCGTGGCACCGGGGACAGGACCGGACGTGGTGGCCCCGTTGGGAAGAGGATAGCCTTGACCGGCGAAGTTGTGTGGAGGGCGGGGCTGGCACAATTAGCTCAAGCAGAAGAGGAGGAGGAGGGGGAGGAGGAGGAGATCTCGATTGAGCCGGGAGAGCAGGCCTCTCGAGCTGCTCTCCCCTCCTGCACTGGGCACTCACAGAAGCCATGGAATCTGCTCCGAGTGGGAAACGTTGAACGCGGACGGGCGAGAGGAGCAGGGAGCAAAGGAAACGAAAAGAAGAGAGAGAAGGAAAGGACGAACAGCAGGAGATGGGAAAGAGACCGTTGAGCGACGCTGCGTCGACAGAGGCAAACCGTGCAGAAGGAGGAGGAAGTCGAAAGACGAAGACGAAGACGAAGACGAGAGACGGTGTCGAAGACGAAGACGCGGAACACAAAAGTGAAGTTGTTTTGATGCCTCAGGCAGAGTCACGTGATGATTCTACAGTCACAGAGTCACAGACTGTCAACTGAGTCCTGACAGGACTCCTTTCTGAGGACTTTCTACGGTCATTACAAGAAGCTACAGGAGCTACAAGAAGAACACAAGGCATTCAATTCATCAGGTATCTACAGCTCTTTGTGAGATAAACTCCCAGGCCCATCCCACGCCAGAATCGCGAAATGGCCGCCGACCGTGGGCCGCGCACGACAGAGAACCGGCAGGCCAGCACGACGGCCACGCGCAAGGTACCGGTCAGAGAAGGGCCAGGAGTGCTTGCCGTTGGTCATGAAGGACCACAGGTCGTCTACGAACTGGGTCTGGGCGTCGCCGGGCCCAAAGGTCGCGGCCAACCACATATTCCAGTCGGATTTGGCCCAGTCCTGGCGGTGGTCGAGGGGCACGCCGTAGGGACCGCGAACGGCAGAAGAGGAGGAGGAGGAGGAGGAGGAGGAGGAGGAGGAGGAGAAAAAGTCACGAGTCATACGGTACGCGTCGGGAGGGAAGGTGTGCAGACCTAGCAGCACGTCCGGGTAGAGATTGTAGGGGATTTTCCACGAGGCAGGCTTGTGCGGGTACTGCAGGACAAAATGGGAGTGGGAGGGATCGGTGGCCAGACCGTGGTCGAAGAGGGAGCGGGCGTACTGGCTCGCGATGCGGGAGTATTTCTCCTCGCCGAAGAGGGTGCCGAAGGCGCGCAGGCCCACGGCGGCTTTGATGGCGAGGTTGGTCTCGTTGGCGAGCGGGCCGGCGGCGTCGTTGGAGGACAACTGGAAGGGGATATTGAGGCCGTTGGCGACCAGGTAGTCGGCGTACCGGCGCAGCAGGTCCGTGTACTGCCAGGCCCAGTGCGGGTCGCCCGTGGCGCGAGCGTGCGCCAGCACCAGGATGAGCAGGTTGCCGCTCTCCTCGACCGGCATCGGCTCGGCGTTCTGGTCGTCGTGTCCCGTGGCATTTGGGTAGTGGGCGCCCAGGTCGTGGATGACATACGGATGCCGCCAGCGTCCCGCGGCCAGGTATCTCAACACGGGCTCGAGCAGCAGACGGATATACTCCGGGTCCAGAACATAGTAGATGGGGAACGCAGGCATGATGACGTCGACGGTGTTGATGTTCCCGTCGCTGGACAGCTCCTTGATGAACGCCAGCACGTCGTTGGTGTCCCGCGTCGCCTCGGGGATGGTCAGGTCGATGCCTCCGTACGCCTGGCGCGTCGACAGGGCGAGGATCTCGGCATACTTGCTGCCCGCCGCTGCGGTAGCCTTGCGGGCGAGTTGTTCGTCGAGTCGCTTGGCCTCGCTCCGGGCCTCGTCGTAGTCGTCGAGAAAGAAGGCCACCGCCTCCGCCGTCGAAGGGTACCGGGCACGGTAGTAGCCTGTATACGCCTCACCCAGGTAGTTGATCGCTTTCTCCCGCACGTAGCCCACCGCAAAGGTGACCGAACGGCTGCCCTTGACCGCACCGAGATCGTGCGCCAGACCGACCACCCCCTCGTCACCCGCCCAGGGGAGATCGGTGTCTGTGAGACGCCCTCCGGCGACGAACTGCGTCCGGACAGCCGTGACGGGACCCGAGGCAAAGGACACGGTCGATCCGGCGGACGAACGGGCGGCTAGAACGGCCTCCCCCCAGAGAGCCATATCGCTGTCCTCGGCGTACGTGAGGTTGTCACGGTTCTTCAGGAACAAGGAGTAGACGGCGAGCGCATCTCGGTCATTGTAGTGGAGGGCTCGATCGGAATCGCCTGCCCGTCCGGTCCACCGGCCGTCGATATCGGTATAGATCTGGATCTCGTTTGCGGAACCATGGACGGTAACCGTCAGGTAACCTATCGATTAGTTGCCAAACCATAGATAAGATAGATAGATACCTGATGGAACTCACTAAAAGGCAATGACTGGCGGAGGTGATTCGCCGGCGAGACGGGCGAGAGAAAGGCCAGCGTCCAGCTCAGCCGGCCCGTGGAGAGACGAAAGGTCGACTGCGTCGCCGTGAAGTCGGCGTGCTGGACGACGGCGGCGGGGAGCTGGACGTCGCCGTGCTCATCGACGCCCATCAGACTGTACGCCTGGCCATCGACGCGGACAATGACGGACCAGGTCAGCTCCTGGCCGGTCCAGAACTGCGGGCTGGCAGAGGGGAGATGCTGGACGCGGTCGCCGGGCAGCCAGGCGGAGAGATATGGGTTGCGGACGGCCAGGGGGTATGAGGGAGGGGTGGTGGGAGAGCGAGGGCACTGGAGGGAGAAGAGGCTGTATAGGAGGTGAGATAGAAGATGAAATATATACAGCATGTCCAGGTATTTATGATGATTAGAAGTCGTTGTGTGTAGAGTATACCATATGGTGGTGGTGGTGTTATTGATGTTATTGATGTTATTGATGGTGTTATTGATGTCATTGTAACAGGATCCCATACTGTAAATATAATAGTAAGTCATTCAAAGACAATAGCATTAAATTGATAGACAAGGTAAATAGATAGAATCAATACTTCAAGACATGATCTCTATATTACTATTAATTATATTACTCTACTCTATAAAAATTAATGATATAATATCACTTGATCAATCAATAGAAGAGGCATAGGGAATGCTTATAGACTGCTTATAGTTGATAGCATCTAGTATACTAGGTATCTAATATAAATAGATCTAGAGCTTTATCAAGCATTGAATATAGTAGATATAAGATAGAATATAAGATATAAGATAGAATATAAGATATAGAAGACATAGTAGATATAGTAGATATAGAAGATAGTAGATATAGAAGAAATAAGATATAGATAGAAGACATAGAAGAGAGATCAAGAGAAGATTGATATAGACAATAGTTGAATCAAACACCAATCTTTCATTTAATATTTAATATATCTATCCTTCTATCCTTCTATCTATCTATCCTTCTATCCTTCTAATATAAATACTATTAATATATTAATATTCTATCTATTCTTCTCCTCTTCTCTTCTTCTCTTCTCTTCTTTCCTCACCGCCCGCGTCATCCAACATCTCCTGATCTCGACTCAACGCTTCATCTCAACGACTCGTCTGAGACGACTGAGTCTGCTGGAGTCTACGCTGATTTATCTTTGATCTGTTTACACTGCTTACTGCTTACTGCTTACACTGTTTATCTACCGTTATTCTTCTCCCTTCACCCGCCAGCACATGGCCGTCGCGTGCCCCTCGCTGGTGCCTCCTTGACGAGGTCGTTGCAGGAACCGATAGACTCTGATCTGGTACTGGAGACTCTGACTGAAGACGCTGATCTCACTGGTCTGACTGACAGACTTTGATTGATCTAGTTCTGACCATGCGGATCCCCCTCGCCCTTTTCGCCGCGGTGTCCTTCGCGTCCTCCGCCTCCTCCCTCGCAACCCACGAACCCGGTCGCTGTGCCATTCGCGGCCACTGCGGCAAACAGTCCTTCTTTGGCAGCGAACTGCCATGTCCTGATAACGGCCTGGCCCAGGAGCCAGATGCCTCGACGCGGAGGAAGCTTGTCAGCCTGTGTGGCAGCCGCTGGGCCGAGGGCCCCGTCTGCTGCCGCGAGGAGCAGGTCGACGTCCTGGCCAGCAACCTCAAGCTGGCAGAGGGCATCATCGCCTCCTGCCCGGCCTGTCGAGACAACTTCTTCAACATCTTCTGCTCCTTCACCTGCTCGCCCGACCAGTCCTTGTTCGTGAATGTCACCCAGACTGCCCAGGGCACCGCCGGCAAGGAGCTCGTCACCGAGCTCGACAACCTCTGGTCCGAGGAGTACCAGAGCGGCTTCTACAACAGCTGCAAGGAAGTCAAGAACGGCGCCTCGGGGGGCAAGGCAATCGACTTCATCGGCGGCGGCGCCAAGGACTACCCGTCCTTCCTCAAGTTCCTCGGCGACAAGAAGTTCCTCGGCAGTCCCTTCCAGATCAACTACATCACCGAGCCCCGGGGCTCGCATCCAGAGGGTATGCAGGCCCTGCCCATCCACCCCAAGGCCTGCAACGACTCCGATCCCGCCTTCCGCTGCTCCTGCGTCGACTGTCCCGCCGTGTGTCCCGAACTGCCCGCCGTCGTGGCCGAGGCCGAGTGTCGCGTCGGCCTGCTGCCCTGTCTGTCCTTCTCCGTCATTCTGATCTACTCGGTCTTTCTGCTGTTCGTCGTCGCCTTGTCCACCTATGTCTCCTACAGGGAACGCCGCTACCGGAAACCCGAGCGTCTCCGCCTGCTGCAGGACCCGGCCCCAAGTGACGACGAAGACGAAGGCGATGTCGTCCACGCCGGCGGCGTGCTGGAACCCTTGCACGGCGTCTACAAGCTCAACTCGCTCCTCGACTCCGCCTTCAACCGCCTCGGCCGTGCCTGTGCTCGCTTCCCCGCCGTCACCATTGCCGCCAGTCTCCTCCTCGTCGCCCTGCTGAGTCTCGGCTGGGTCCGCTTCGCCGTCGAGACCGACCCCGTGCGCCTGTGGGTGAGCCCGACCTCCGCCGCCGCCCAGGAGAAGGCCTTCTTCGACGCCAACTTTGGGCCCTTCTACCGCGCCGAACAGGCCTTCCTCGTCAACGATACCGGGCCCGTCCTGTCCTATGACACCTTGGCCTGGTGGTTTGACGTCGAGTCTCGCGTCCGCCGCATGATCTCCCTCAATCGCGGCTTGATTCTCGACGATGTCTGCTTCAAGCCCACAGGCGACGCCTGCGTCGTCCAGTCCCTGACCGGCTACTTTGGCGGCTCCGTCACCAACCTTCATCCCGACACCTGGCAAGACCAGCTGCGTCAATGTGTCAACTCGCCGGGCGATCTGGCATGTCTGCCGGACTTTAAACAACCGCTGAAGCCGGAGATGATCCTGGGCGGGTACTCCACTGATGATGATGATGATGATGATGATGAGAACGCGAATGTGCTCGACGCATCCGCCCTCGTCGTCACCTGGGTGGTCAACAATTACCAGCCTGGCACCGATGAGGAAGCCCGGGCGATCGACTGGGAGGATAGTATGAAGAGCATCCTCCAGGTGGTCCAGGAGGAGGCCGTCGAGCGCGGCCTGCGGGTGTCGTTCAACACCGAGGCGAGCCTGGAGCAGGAGCTGAACAAGTCCACCAACACCGACGCCAAGATTGTCGTCATCAGCTACCTCATCATGTTCCTCTACGCCTCGCTCGCCCTCGGCTCCGTCACCGTCACCTGGCGCTCGCTGCTGGCCCACCCGGCCAACGCCCTCGTGCAGTCCAAGTTCTCGCTCGGTATTGTCGGCATCGCCATTGTCCTCATGTCCGTCTCCGCCTCGGTCGGCCTGTTCTCCGCCGCGGGGGTCAAGGTCACCTTGATCATCGCCGAAGTCATTCCCTTCCTTGTCCTGGCCGTCGGCGTGGACAACATCTTCCTCATCGTCCACGAGTTTGAGCGGATCAATCTGAGCCACTCGGACGAAGAGATCGACGAGCGCGTCGCCCGCGCTCTCGGCCGCATCGGTCCCAGCATCTTCCTCTCCGCCGTCACCGAGACCGTCACCTTCGCCCTCGGCGTCCTCGTCGGGATGCCCGCCGTCAAGAATTTCGCCGCCTACGCGGCCGGCGCCGTCTTCATCAACGCCATCCTGCAGGTCACCATGTTCATCGCCGTGCTGGCGCTCAACCAGCGCCGCGTCGAGAGCTTGCGCGCCGATTGCTTCCCCTGCATCGCCGTCCGGAAAGCCAGCGCCCCCGCGGGTGGGCTCCCCCCCGACACGCTGTATGATGCCAAGGATGCCGAGAGCACCCTGCAGGCCCTGATCCGTCGACTGTATGCCCCCTTCCTGCTCCACCGGCGCGTCAAGGTGCTGGTGGTCCTCGCCTTCCTGGGCCTGCTCACCGCTGGGATCGCGCTGATTCCCGAGGTGGCCCTGGGACTGGACCAACGGATCGCCCTGCCGAGCGACTCGTATCTGATCCAGTACTTTGACGACCTGGACGCCTATTTCCGCACGGGGGCCCCCGTCTACTTTGTCACCCGCGACGTGAACGTGACCGAGCGGCGTCATCAGCAACAGCTCTGCGGCCGCTTCACCACCTGTGCCGAGTACTCGTTGCCCTTTGTGCTGGAGCAAGAGTCCAAGCGGCCCGAGGTGTCGTATATCTCGGGTTCGGCGGCGAGCTGGATCGACGACTTTCTCTACTGGCTGAACCCGCAGCAGGATTGCTGTCTCGATGACGAGGGCCACCCCTGTTTCGAGAACCGCCGTCCCGGCTGGAACATCACCCTGGCCGGGATGCCGGAGGGACAGGAGTTTCTGGGCTACGCCGCGAAATGGCTCGAATCGCCCACCGATGCGTCGTGTCCCTTGGGTGGCCAGGCGGCCTACAGCAACGCGTTGGTCGTCGACGCGGCGCGGACGATGACCAACGCGAGTCACTTCCGCACGAGCCACACGCCGCTGCGCAGCCAGGAAGACTTCATCCAGGCGTACCGGGCGGCGCGGCGCATCGCGGACGGCCTCTCGCGCGAGCACGGGATCGACGTGTTCCCGTACTCCAAGTTCTACATCTTCTTCGACCAGTACGTGTCGATCGTGCGGCTGACGGGCACGCTGCTGGGGTCTGCGGTGGCGCTGATCTTCTTCCTGACGTCTGCGCTGCTGGGCTCGGTGGCGACGGGCGCCGTGGTGACGGCGACGGTGGTGATGATCGTGGTGGACATCCTGGGCACGATGGCGGTGGCGGGCGTGTCGCTGAACGCGGTCTCGCTCGTCAACCTGGTCATCTGCGTGGGCATTGCGGTGGAATTCTGCGCGCACGTCGCGCGGGCCTTCATGTTCCCCGCGCGCAGCCTGTTGGAACGGGCACCGCCCTCGTTGCGCGGCAAGGACGCCCGCGCCTGGACCGCCCTCGTCAACGTCGGCGGCAGCGTCTTCAGCGGCATCACCGTCACCAAGCTGCTGGGCGTCTGCGTGCTCGCCTTCACCCGCAGCAAGATCTTCGAGATCTACTACTTCCGCATCTGGCTGGCGCTGGTCATCTTCGCCGCCGCGCACGCCCTGATCTTCCTGCCCGTCGCCCTCAGCTACTTTGGCGGTGACGGTAAGTTTCTTCTCTTTGTATGATATCTCCCTCCTGCTAACTTCTTAGGATACGCCGATCCGGGCGCAGACGGGGGCCTCGAGGACAATCTCGCGGCCCGTGGATACCGGGCGATGCTGGTGGACGACGACTACGACTCGGACGACTATTGATCAATTCCCTTATGCCTATAGTTACCGTTGATTTTTTGATTCATTAATATTACTTACTATATTATTCTAACTGTATGAGCTGCCAAATAGCATCACCACCGACTTGTGATACAGCCAATACCCATCAAACCTCTCTATTAATCATACTCTAATCATACTCTAAATATACTCTAAATACTCTAAATACTCTAAATACTCTAAATACTCTAAATACTCTAAATACTCTAAATACTCTGAATATACTCTAAATATACTAAACAAAATCAATAAACAAAATCATCGGCTGCGGTGGAGGCGGCCGGCGCCAGCAGAAAAAAATTTCCCAAATAAATCTTTCGCCCTCCTTTTTCTTCTCCCCCTCCTTTTCTCTCCTTTTCTCTTCTTCATCTCCCCCTCCCTCCCCTCCTCTCCCCTCCTCTCCTTTTGTGTGGCCTCTTTCTTCTTCTTGTTCTATATTTTTGTTCCTTTTTCTTGTGATACCCTAGCTGTGCTTCAGCTGACACTCCTTGCTGAGTGTCTTGCTCCAGGCAGACCCAATACTCATCGTCCGAGCAACTTGCCAGGACCATGGATCAACAGAGATTCCTGCAGCAGCTTCAGATTGTCCTGAACCGTAAGCTTCTTCTTCTTCTTCTTCTTTCACAGACTGTGCTTTCAGAGATTGTGGTGGTGAACTGATTCTAATTTTTTTTAGCTGCCCAGGGCGACGTCAAGGAGGCGACGGGCATCCTCCAGAAAGAGTTCTACAGCCAGCCGCAGTCCCTGGTGCTGCTCATCCAGGTCGCGACCGGGCATGAGGACCCCAACCTTCGACAACTGGCGGCCGTGGAGGCCCGCAGCCAGGTGAGCAAGCACTGGGAGTCGGTGGCGGCGGAGCAGAAGCCGGCCATCCGCGAGCAGCTGCTGCGCTCGGCGCTGGGCGAGGGCTCGTCGCTCGTCCGGCACTCGGTGGCCCGCATCATCTCGGCGATTGCCAACCTGGACCTGGCCGACGGCGAGTGGGCGGACCTGCCCAACTTCCTCGTCCAGGCGGCCAACAGCGGCAACAAGGAGGAGCGCGCCGTGGGCATCTACATCCTGTTTGCCATCCTCGAGACGCTCGGCGAAGGCTTCGAGGAGAAGTTCGCCGATCTCTTCGCCCTCTTCGCCAAGACGATCCGCGACCCGGAGAGCGAGGAGGTCCGGATCAACACCCTGCTCGCCCTCAGCAAGCTCGCCATGCACCTCGACTCCGAGGAGAACGAGGCCCCCGTCAAGGCCTTCCAGAACCTTGTCCCCTCCATGGTCGCCGTCCTCAAGGATGCCATCGACAACAAGCAGGAGGAGCGTGTCATGCAGGCCTTTGAGGTCTTCCAGACCCTCCTCGGCTGCGACCCGGCCCTGCTGACCCCCTACCTCAAGGATCTCATCGTCTTCATGAACGAGATCGCCGCCAACCAGGACCAGGACGAGGACACCCGCACCCAGGCCATCAGCTTCCTCATGCAGTGCGTCCAGTACCGCAAGCTCAAGATCCAGGGCCTCGCCCTCGGCGAGCAGTTGACCCTCAGCGCCCTGCAGATCGCCACCGAGCTCGGCGACACCCCCGCCGATGACGACGAGATCACCCCGGCCCGCTCCGCCCTCGGCCTGCTCGACATGCTCTCCCAGAGCCTGCCCCCGAGCCACGTCGTTGTGCCCCTGCTGCGCAGCCTGGGCCAGTACTTCACCAACTCCGACCCCAAGTACCGCCGCGCCGGCATCATGGCCCTGGGCATGTGCGTCGAGGGCGCCCCGGACTTCATCAGCACCCAGATGAAGGAGATCTTCCCCATGGTCCTGCAGCTCCTCGCCGACCCAGAGCCCAAGGTGCGCCAGGCCTCGCTGCACGCCGTCGCCCGCCTGGCCGACGATCTCGCCGAGGATCTCAGCCGCGAGCACGCCAAGCTCATGCCCATGCTCTTCCAGAACCTCGCCAGCGCCATGCAGGAGTACAAGGGTGAGGAGGAGGGCCCCACCATCGACATCATGAAGGCCGGCATCAGCGCCATCGACGCCGTCGTTGACGGCCTCGACGAGAAGGACGTCATCCCCTACCAGACCGAGCTGGTCCCCATCCTCCACAAGCTCTTCAAGCACCCGGATTTCAAGATCAAGGCCCTCGCCGCCGGTGCCCTGGGCTCCCTCGCCTCCTCCGCCGGCGACTCCTTCCTGCCCTTCTTCGATGAGTCCATGCACCTGCTGCAGGAGTTCGCCGCCGTCAAGGACAGCGAGGACGAGCTGGACCTGCGCGCCAGCGTCACCGACGCCATGGGCGAGATGGCCGCCGCCGCCGGCCCGGAGCGCTACCAGCCCTACGTCGAGCCCCTGATGCGCGCCACCGAGGAGGCCCTGCACCTCGGCCACTCCCGCCTCAAGGAGAGCACCTACATCTTCTGGGGCGCCATGTCCAAGGTCTACGCCGAGCACTTTGCTCCCTTCCTCGACGGCGTCGTCAAGGGTCTCTTTGAATGCATCGACCAGGACGAGACCGAGCTCGAGGTGCCCCTGAGCGCCAAGGACCTCGTCGGCCAGGAGGTCAACATCGGCGGCCGCAAGGTCAAGATCGCCGACGCCGACGACGACGAGGATGACGGCGATATCGAAGACGTCGACCTCGACGACGAGGACGCCTGGGATGACATCACCGCCACCACCCCTCTGTCTCTCGAGAAGGAGATCGCCGTCGAGGTCATCGGCGACCTGGTCACCCACACCAAGAGCGCCTTCCTGCCCCATTTCGAAAAGACCATCGAGGTTGTCATGCCCCTGTGCGAGCACCCCTACGAGGGCGTCCGCAAGAGCACCATCAGCACCCTGCACCGCTCCTACGCCATGCTCTTCTCCATCGCCGAGGAGACCGGCCAGATGCCCAAGTGGAAGGCCGGTCTGCCCCTGCAGGTCCAGCCCGCCAAGGAGGTCAAGAAGTTTGGCGAGATCCTCATGACTGCCACCATCAAGATGTGGAATGAAGAAGACGACCGGTATGTCTTTGTTCCTCGCAAGAATTTCCCCCCTACTTCCATGGTAAAATGATGATATTACACGTTTAACCCAGCTCACTTTGACATGCAAAGCATGCGTGATGTGAACGACGTTTATCATATCTGACTGCCTAACAACTCTCACTTGTTTTCTCTTGATCCATTTTATCCGTGGATGCTGATTTTTAGTGCTACCGTCGCCGACATCAACCGCAACATGGCCGAGAACCTGCGCTACTGCGGCCCGGCTCTCATTGCCGACGAGTCGGTGCTCCACAATGTGATCCAGACCGTCACCGAGATTATCACCAAGAAGCACGTCTGCCAGATGGAGTTCGGTCCCGAGGAGGAGACGCTTGAGGCCGGCGACGAGACATCCGAGTTTGACTGGGTCGTGGTGGATACCGCGCTCGATGTCGTCTCGGGTCTGGCCGCCGCCCTGGGCCCCAGCTTCGCCGAGCTGTGGAAGGTCTTCGAGAAGACCATCCTGCGCTTCGCCAGCAGCAATGAAGGCTTGGAGCGCGCCACGGCCGTGGGCGTGTTGGCCGAGTGCATCAATGGCATGGGCGGTGCCGTCACCCCCTTCACGGGCGCCTTCCTCAAGCTGCTTGTCCACCGCCTGGGCGACGAAGACTCGCAGACCCGCTCCAACGCCGCCTACGCCGTCGGCCGCCTCGTCGAGCACACCAACGCCGCCGAGATCGTCAAGGAGTACCCCACCATCCTGCGCAAGCTCGAGACTTGCCTGCAGATGGACGTCTCGCGCCTGCAGGACAACGCCACCGGCTGTCTCAGCCGCATGATCCTCAAGCACCGCGAGGCCATCCCCGTCAAGGAGGTGCTGCCGGTTCTTGTTTCCATCCTGCCTCTGAAGAACGACTACGAGGAGAACGACCCTCTCTACCGCATGATCTGCCAGATGTGTACGTTCCTCTTCCCCCCCCCGCCCTTTTTTTTTTTTTTTTTTTAATGTCGGTAACATGATACTAATTGCGCAGACAAATGGGAAGACGAGACTGTTCGCGAGCTCACCCCCCAGCTGCTCCCCATCTTCCACTCGGTGCTGTCCGACGAGGACCAGCTCGAGGACGAGCGCCGCGCAGAGCTCATCGAGTTGGTCAAGTGGCTCAACAAGATGCAGCCCGGCGCGGCCCCGTGGGCGGAGCAGCTGTAGACGAGCTTAGTTGGAGATTTTGGACATACGAATAGACGATACCCTCCGACCTCCTTGGAAGGACTTTGATGTGATTTGACGTGTTATGAATGACTTATTGAGATTAGTGATAATGACAAAAGTTGTAGATAGACATTAAGCATCATTTCTTTTAATAGTTCTTCTCTTTCGCTCTCTTCTCTCTCTTCTATTCTTCTCTACGCCAAGACGTAATGCTTTGTCAGCAACAATTCCCGCTTTGTCAGCGGAACGAGAATCTCATTCAACAACCGAGACGTCATCAACAGCGACAGGCAGATACAACAGGATAGAGATTAACGGTGGGCTAACGGCGTTGGCTAGAATGCCCTCTTCATCGCTGGGATCTGGTGTCCCATCGTACAGTGAAGGCCGGGATGGAAAGAAACGAACCGCCCGGGCATGCGACTCGTGCTACAAGAGAAAGGTAGGAAACCCGGTATATCATAGATATAATCTATCTATCTGGAACTCTTGCTAAGTATTGCCGAGATAGATTAAATGCGATGCAGTGCTCCCCAGATGTAACTGGTGTAGCCACCATAATATCCCGTGCACGTTTGAGAGAAGCGTCCGGGGCCGACGCAAAGAGAATGACAATGACGGATCGAATAAGACTGCCCAGTGAGTCGGCCATGCCATAGTGGCATTGTAATGCATTATAAGACTTATGCTCGTTAGGGACCAGAGAACTTCTGCCCTCGTGGAGCGTCTTTTGCGGATCGAGAAGATCCTGACGGAGAACTTTGGAACGAGTATGCCTTGATGGAACTCCTTCCATTTCTCTCTACGGAGTAATACGATTAACGATAGGACAGGACAAGGGAGCCAGCTTGGTTCCAGCGCCCCTCTCGAACCCCTGACGGCCTCGTCGTCGGCTCTGAATTTTGCGGGCCGCGAGTTCGGCGTGGTGAGCTTGATCACCGGCATTCCCTTCTTCCTACCAGAGGGCCAGCAATGGGTGCAGTCGCGGACAGGCCAATCGACGGCGTTTGCCAACCTCAGCGCGGTGCAGTTTCCCTGGGGCAAGCAGCGCAGCCTGGGCGTCAACATGCTGCTGCAGGAGATGAAGGCGCCAGACCCCTTCGAGCTGCCGGACAAGAGTCTCGTCACGGACTATTTCCGTCTGTACTCCTCGTCGCAGATGCGGGTCATCTTCCCCGTCGTGGACCGGGTGCTGTTCGCTCAAACCATCGAGACGGCGTACAGCTCGGGCCTGGAGAGGCCGGGCCTGCGCGCTTCCATCTTTGCGTTCCTGGCCTTTGCGTCGGTCGTGTGTGACGAAGACCCGTGTCTCAAGGACTTGTATCCTCAGCGGCCGGCGCTGGACAGTGAGCCGTATGCAATCAAGGCCCAGTGGCTGGTTCCTTTCATCCTGCAGGAGGGTACGACCCTCGACGGGCTACAGACATTCGTTATGCTGGCAAGTACTCTTCTTTCTATGCTTACATTGACGTGTATTTATTTCAAGACACTAACGTGTACTGATTTCAGACATTCTTCGAGCTGGTCTCCGGCCATATGAACCCCGCGCATCATTACGGCGGGTTGGCAGGGCGCTTCCTGTTCTCGCTCAACGCTCATACGACTTCCCATACGTCGAGCATGCTGGGGACAGTACTGCCGGACGACATGACGACGCGGACGCAGCGACACCTGCGGAACGTGTTCTGGCTCTTCTACACGCTGGACAAGGACCTCGCGCTGCGGACGGGCTTGCCGCAGATCCTGTCGGACGAGAACTGCGACCTGACGATGCCGTCCGGCTACGTGGAGAAGCTGTACACGAGCATGAGGTATCCGCATCTGACGCCCGAGCTGCCAGAGGACCCTCTGTTCCCGATCGACCTGCGCCTGAGCATCATCAAGTCCCGGGCGTACAGCGCGCTGTACTCGTTCCGCGCGATGCAGAAATCCGACGCCGAGATCCTCAAGGCCATCCGCGAGCTGGACGACGAGCTCGAGCGCTGGCGTCTGTCCATCCCCATGGCATGGCGGCCCACCATGTCCTGGTCGCCCGAGACCGGCGCAGACCCGTACATGAGCATGCACTCGGTCAAGCTTCGCCTCAACTACCACCTGTGCATGACCGTGATCCATCTCTCGAGCAGACGGTGCCAGGGCGGCGCGGGAACAGGGCTGATCGGCCAGGGCATCAGCTCCAGCCTCGCCCTCTCTGTCGAAGCCAGTCGGTCCACCCTCTTCTACCTCAACGCCGCAGAGCATATCCTCACCGACGGCTTCTTCTGGGTCCTCCTCTTCTACCCCATGTCCGCTCTCCTGACCATCTTCTGCCACACCCTCCAGAACCCGCTCGACCCGCACGCCCTCGGCGACCTCGACCTCCTGCAGACCGTGGGTGCCATGCTGCAGCGCGTCTTTATGCGCGATCTCTCCTCCACGAATGAGATCGTCCATATCAAGCTCATCGCGGATTTTGTCGGCGAACTGCACAGACTCGCCAAGTCGGCCATTGACAAAGCCAGGACCGAGCGTTACGATACAATGGTATAGTTACGATACAACCATATATTTATTGTCCGACTCGCGGAGGTACGCTGTGTAGGTATACGGCCATGGAGAATAGGTATAAATCTTCATTATATGTAGTATTGATTCTATACTATGATAAGACCTAGCCTTCATGTTAGCTGGCAATTGCATTAATGGATGCAAAAATGATCAATTCAATAAAAAGAATATCAGATAGTAGATGCGCAGGTTAATCAAGAAGCACATTGTGCTTTAATATGGGGTTGAAACATAGAATAAGGCATCAATCATCATGTAGGGGAAACGACTGAAATAAAGAAAAAAAAAGACTCACCCTAGTTAGTAGTCAAGCATTCATCTCTACTAGAGATGATACTCCTCTCACTTCGACGCATCAGTCGAAGAAGATCAAAGTCTTTGTCGAGTTCCGGAGACGAAAAAATTCGTTGCGGTTTTAAAGCTGAGCCACTAGCGCAGCACGTGATCTGCGGATAAACAGATTTCCCGGAGTTTGTGAGAAGCTGCAATGAGGAAGCTGCAAGGAGGAAGTTCAGTGAGGAAGCTGCAGCTCAGAGCCCAATTATGGAGGATTGAATGGTCCCGATGGTTGGTGACTGGCTGGTTGACTGTCTGGTTGACTGTCTGGTTGACTGTCTGGTTGACTGTCTGGTTGACTGGGAGGTAGAAGATTCCAGGTAGAGACCGATTGCCTTTGCGTGTCCCGTAATATCCGGAGTTGTTGTACTGTACCGTAGACGATCCACGTCCGATGTTCAATTGTCGTGCTTCAGGATATCCCAGAGAAGTCTCGAGTCCTCTGTGTTCTTCTCCTCTGCGCCAGCTGGTGGGAGGGACTCGGCAGTGGATTTGTTCGCAGCCGAAGCCTCGCGACCCTCGAGTTTCCATTGTTCCAGGGCGGTCTCAATTTCGAGCTTAACTCTGTCCATCTCTTTGATTTCTTCCCTTGTGCGCTCAAGCTGTTCCTCCATCATCATGATCAGGGATTCGCGTGCTTGGTGCGGTCGGTACAGGTTGAGGAGATGGTGCGCGTTGATGAAGAGGTTCCGGAGGTCTTCAACCTTTGCCTGGAACTGTTCCGGTGCGACTGAAAGAACGCCGACAAATTCGAGGAAGTTCAACAGAAGCGACTTGCTGATCTTCAACAGGTAGTAGGCATGGTTCAGCGGCGGCGTGGGTTTCGAAGCCGAATCCGCGTCCGTCGGCGGAGACGGATACAGCTGTTCGATACCTTGTTCTTGCAACGACGGGAAAACAGTCGACAGCTGGAGGAAAATATCAAATCAGCAGTTGGCTTGGTAAACGCCCGTTGATCAAACATACACTCTGGAGCTCTCCAAAAACACTGTAATGACCCGACGTAGGCACCGCAGGAGGAGCCAGAAACCGAAGCTCTCCCGGGAGATCAAGCGCACGCAGCTCGGCCGGGGTCCATTTCTTTCCCTTTGCCTTGCCTTCCTCGGCCTGTAACGCCTGCTTCTTGATCTCCTCGAGCTTGTTGAGGTTGTCCGTCGTGAAGTGCTTCCACATCGGCGGTGGCGGCGTAAACGCCGCCGTCACTGCCCTCTGCTGCCCAATCTCGGCCATGGATCCCACAATCGATTATCTAGCCCCTGTTAGCGGTTTCTGGCGGCGATGCTGGACTTCCAGGATGGATGATGAGAGATATTCTGCTGCTGCTGCAACTGTCGACTGAAGCTGGAATGCGCAAGTGGCCCGTGCCCCTCTGCGGAACTTGGCAGCCTGGAGGGTGACGTGCACAACGAAACAGTTCCTGCTTCATCCCCGGGGGACTTATTGGGAAGCCTCCAGATGGTTGAATATCCATTCCATTAGGTCGTTCAGAATGCCTCTCAATGGGTTGGCTGCGAGGTCAGCAGCGCCTGTTGCGCAGCAGCCAGGTTTCGCCGGTGCCTTTGCTCGCTTCTACCAACGGTCGTATGCGCCGGATTATATCGCGTTGGGTGTTCTGATCGCAGGCTGGCTGTTGGTATGTGATTGAGATAATAGGAACTCGTGTAAACGTCGGTGGGAGACATGAACTAACTGCTGTTTTTAGATTCAAGCATTCGTGACCCCGTTCCATCGCATGTTTTCTCTGGACAATAAAGCGATTCAATACCCGTTTGCAGAGGTGGAGAGAGTGCCTGTGGGTAAGGAATACACCGTTTCGATTATCGAGCAGTGAAACAGACACTCATTTGGTATCCAGTGATGTCTGTTATATACGCGGGGTTCATACCCTTTGTGATCCTTCTGCTCTGGGCAGCCATGTTCCAGCCCGGCACCCACAAGGCCCAAGTGACGATCCTGGGACTGTTCATCTCTCTCATGTTGACGTCCTTCATCACCGATATCATCAAGAATGCCGTTGGGAGGCCACGGCCGGATCTTATCTCTCGCTGTAAGCCTGCCAGAGGCACGCCACAGAACACGCTGGTCGCATATTCCGTCTGCACCCAGCCCGACGCACATATCTTTCAAGAGGGCTGGAGAAGCTTTCCCAGTGGGCACAGCAGCTTCTCTTTTGCCGGTCTGGGATACTTTTTCCTGTAAGCTAACTTCGGACTTGAGCCGGCAGACCCGCCGAGGCGAAAATCAGCTAACAGGATGTAGCTTTCTATCTGGACAGATGCATGTCTTTAGACCGAGGACAGATCTCGGCCGCTGCCTGCTTGCCTTGGTGCCTTTACTCGGCGCTGCGATGGTCGCCTGCTCGCGTCTTGCAGATTACAGACACGACGTCTACGATGTCACATGCGGATCGGTCCTGGGCTTCCTGGTGGCCTATTTTTCCTACAGACGCTACTACCCTCACTTGCGGTCCGTCAGGTGTGACGTGCCCTATGACAAGGCTGATCTGGTTACGCCGGAAGATTTTGGAAGACTCCCGGACGATGAGGAGCGGCAGTTTGGACTTCTTTCCCGGACATATGACGGAACAGACGACACCTACCAGCTAGACGAGGCGGCGAACACTCGGGGGCGGTAGGGAGACTCTTTTTTTGGAACTTGTGGATATAGGATGTATTATTTTTGTGACAGATGATACCCTTGGAGCATTGATCGGCCGAGAGATTGCATAGCGGAAGAGAGCGTATTGTGGAATTCTGAAGTCCTTCCTGACAACCTTTGATATAAACCCCAACTGCTTTATGATCTTTTTGACATCTCTCCCTCGATGGTAGTCCACTTTGTCACTTCTTGGAAGTCCATGACTCTATTGGGACCTCCGTATCTACCTAGGGTATCCTTCCAGTTTCTATTTGTCGCATTCTCGGGATCCCACTTGACGATCTCATGAATGTTGGGAGGAATCTTGTCTTCCATGGCATCGACAATCAGATCGCCGATCGAGGGAAGAAATTTGAATCCTGTGCGCATACTTAGTCTGAAGCCTGCGGGGTGAGATCTGCATAGTGTATGTATATATATGGCTTACCTTTTCCAGACGCACCGCTACCAAGGATCAGAGACGGGTGCTCCGGATGACGGTCGATGATGAACTCGCGATTGGGCGTATCTGCACACCAGCAGATTCGTGCGAAGCTGAAAGGACGATCTGCGAGCTGGGGCATCGTCTCCCGAAGAAGCGATCTGACCCGTTCCTCTGACTCTTTTGGGATCTGCGTCCTCTCAAAGGGAATGCTACGGACGGACCCATCTGCTGAGTGGACTGTATTCGTGTAACCAGGGTGTTCATCGCAGATCTTGATTTCTCCGCGTTCCTGGTCCGGTTCAAAAAAGAACCCCTTTTCGATGTTGAATATCACCGGGATGCCCTCGTACAGGGCCCTCTCCTCCAGTTCCAGCTGGATGTGAGCCAGTGTCCATGCGGTCGGGCGCAGCTGCTGCTTGAAATCCAACAGTCCGTCGGCCATTGCCCCGGCGCAGAGGAAGGTATGTGTTGCGCGCCAGACCGTCCCGTCTGCTGCGACGGCGCCCTTGACGTCGTCGTCTTCAAACAGCAGCTTGGTCACCCGCCCCTCTGGATCCCCTGTGACGAATCGGACACCGAGTCGGCTGGCCTCTCTAATCGCTGCCTCAAGTGCATTCCGAGCGTGAGCCCAGCCGGCACCAGAGCGGATGAGGAATCCCCGCCAGTCCGGGAATTCGCCGCTCAGGACACCAGTTGCAGCAAGCCTCTGGAAGTGTTCGGGTGTTGATAGTTCGACGAGATTGGAGTCGCCCTTCAGTCCCGTCCGAATACCAAGTCGTTCTCGAGCTGCCTCGCTACAGGCCGCAATCACAAGGCCTGTATTGTGATAGTACGGCTGGAATAGGGGGTCGTGGGTCCATCCAGCGACTGCTTTCCGTAGCAGGGTCTCTCCCGCTTCCATTTCATCCTTGCCCTGTCTGTTCTGGAGCGTCGAGATGATCTTATTGATGTCATTGCCGGCAGAAATGGTAGAAGGAACAGCGTATGCATCGAGGACAGTCACATTTGTGTATCCTCTGCGGGCGAGATGAAGGGCTGTAGATGATCCCCAGGTGCCCGCTCCGATGACAAGAAGCGGCAATGATTTGGAAACCGGCATGGCGTGTCTGTTGAGAATTTTTGATCTTCCTACTCAGGATAATACCCTGTTTTATATACGATCCAGCTGAAACTCATGGGTCATGCTCTTAGTGCTTTCGCCATCGAATTAGCCCACTTTTCCAAAACACAGGAAGGTCCACGCGATGCAACTGATGAAGAGTGCTTAATCCTCAGCTTATAGTCTAGGATTACTCGTTTTATTAAATGAAATAATCCTCCAGTTCAGCGGCTTGATGCCCCCTTCTTATACAATGCTCTTATATCAGAAAATAGAGATTAACGTACAGACGCTCTATCATCATTAATCCAGCTTTTATTCTCATTCCAGTTGTCAAGGATCAGTTAATTAATTAATTGAACTCACTATACCTTTTGATCGCGTAGGCAAGAATAACGACTCTATGGCAGGTGGAAAACTAAACTGGATGCCTGAGGCCGCAGTGCCTCTTATCAAATCCGCATCTCCTCTTCTCTTGATAAGAAACCTGCCCTGACGCTTTGCTTTTTTTCATCAATTCAGAGCGCTAGTCATCATTTGGCTTGCTGTATTGACCGGTTATCCTTCCTTTTCATATCACAGGATAGTGAGAGAGCAAATTCTTCTGTTGTTTCCACGCTGGGAGGGCACTGCGAACTCACCTCCTGAACCCCTCACGAGGGGTCACTGCGCGGGACGGTTTGCTGTGGGAGCTCAGATGCCCCTACACTCGACCGCAGGAATTGCCATGTGTGAGGGCTGTTCTTCCCCAGAAATCGCTGGATGCCGCGTCGCAGGGCTGCAGACCGCGAAGGTCCGGTCAACACCCGGACTCGCAGCGGGTGCCAGGGGTGCCGGGCGAGTCGGGTGCGATGCGACGAGAGCAAACCAGCCTGTGGACGGTGTCGGCGGAGAGGTCTGGAATGCTCGACACAGGTGGTCATGAAGTGGGAGTCGGAATTTGCGAGTCGTGGCCTGGCCTTTGGTCGAGCGGGGGTCTGGAGTAAGCAGACTCCTGGTGGAAGCTCGAAGAGGCCGTCACGGTCACCGTCTTCTCCCACACAGAAAGAACAGGAATGGTGTTTGGTTCCGCACATTGGATCGTGGGCGTTTGTCAACAGTGGTATCGCTACCTTTGAGGAGTCGTGTCGTGTCCTTGTCGGACGGGACATGGGCAGCGTATGCTCTGCTTGGGACTTCCCGGCCAATTATGATAACGCTATGATGGGTAGACCGGTTCCAGAGATTCCCAGGTCATTATCAGTTTTTGGGGATATCTCGGTGTGGGAGCATGGCCAAATGTTCGATTATTACCTCCACCAGGTGTGTCCACGGACAACCCCGAGTTGCAGAGCTACCTCGCCCTTCGCATCGATCATTCTCCCGTTTTGCCTGACGGCCTCTCCAGCTCTCTTTAAGGCGATCCAGGCTTTAGGGGCCTGTCATTGGTCACGGTTTGATGGCTCGTACAGTGTTCTCGGGCTCCGGCTCAAGTCTGAAGCCTTACGCGATCTCCGACGGCGACTCTCAGATGGATCTCTTGTCTTCTCGGCCGACCCAGAGGTTCTGGTTATCATGATGATGCTTTGCCTCTATGAGATTGTAGACGATTGTGACCAGCATTGGACCATCCACCTTCAAGGAGCAAAAGCCCTGATCCGACAACGAAGACAACAAGTCGTGCACACCGAGGACTCTGACTCTCACCGGTCCCTCCTGGATCCAGTGACTGCATTCGCAGAGTCGTTCTTTGCGTTCCAGGACGTCATGGGCCGGACTGCATGTGGGGAGGAGGTGAATTTCGGTTCTGACCATTGGCCAGAGAACGAACAGACCGTCGATCTCTGGATGGGGTGTAGCCCGGAACTGGTCTCTATTCTGTCGTCAATCACAGAACTGAGCCGTACAAGAAGACTCCGGGCAGCAGGACCCGCCTCGGCTCAATTCACAGCACGAGCAGCTTCCCTGAGACGCCGACTCGAGTCTCTTGTGCAAAAGCTTGACGGGGATGGCAAAGACGAAACGCTTGAGGCCGCTGCGGAGCTCAAACGACTGTCCGCCATCTTGTATCTGCACTGTTCTCTGTATGGCTCGTCGCCGCAGACCCCGCTCGTTGCAGACTACGTCCGGAAAATCCTCCGATCAGCCTCTCATCTTCTTGACCGTGGAGTGGTCGCCAGCATTACCTGGCCGATCTTCGTCGCTGCTGTGGAACTTGACCCTGCGTTCGATGAGCTCTGGTCTGAGGAGCATGGACCCGAGGCTTCTGCCGTGTATGGGCGGCCGTTGGTCCTGCGTGCTCTGGCTGCGATGGCCCAATCCAGTGTCTCCAATGTGGCGCGCACGCGAGCTGTGATCATAAAGGTCTGGCAGTCTCGAGATGGCGATATGCTCAAGGCAGCCTCGGCTGAGTGTTCGGGCTCGGCTTGCAACGACTGGGAGCGATATGTTGCTCCTATCAGTACTGCCATGAGCTTGGCATAATTCCACATCCTGGCATTATTCATGATAGAAATGTGTTATTCATTCTTCCCTAGAAAATATCATGCTTCATAGATTTATGTCCCGTACCCCGAAACCAACGATAGCCAGCCTAAGGCAATAAGGCAATAAGGCAACAAGGCTGCAACAAAAGCGGTGAGCATCAGCGGGGCAAGCAGCGGCAGAAGCGACAAAAAGGGCGGCAAGAAAGGGAAGACGTCAGTGCAAGAGCCCTGGACGACCTCCTCCCAACCACGCCATCCCTCGCCGAAGAATCCTGTGGTTGTTGCCCCTCAGCTGGTTGATCGGTATCTTGTACTGACTTCCAGTGCCCTTTGTTCTCTCACAGACGCTGCTTAGACGTCCAACACGGGTCCCAGACGAGCGCAGGAGCAGCCGATCGCGTTTACGCCCCGGATGACGCGCCGATAATCTCTCGTTTGCGGGCCTTCAGAATGGTGTACGGAGGCTGACAGGGCTGCTCTGGGGGTTACCAATTTGATCGAACTCTTTTTGCAATGGCGAATAAAGCCTCGTCGGCCGGTCCCTCTGCTTTGGCGCAGAGCTTGTCGGCCCATTCCTTCGAGAGCCAGCTCAGTGAACAACTACAACACCGGAAGGAACAGGGCGATCCCAACCTTCCGGTCGATGAACTCAATAACGATGGCAGTCATTTGGTGACTCCGCAGCGAGGGACCCCCAAGTCCCGGTCGTTGTCCGATGCCGTGAAACCCGTTTCGATCCCTCAACCAGTCTCGGGGGATCTGAAGACGGCAAGCAAGGATGATAGCTCCATCCCATCGATCCCGGCCACCCCGCAGCGAAGCACGGTCTCACCGAGCAATCTGTCGCTCAACCTGCCCCTCAAGATCCCCGCAGCTGCATCGGCGAGCAGTCGGGCCCCTCTTTCCCCGAAACTGGATTCGTCGCAGATCTACGGCTCGCCAGCCTCGGTGCTTCCTCGACGCTCGAGAGGGCTTGATTTCTCCCGGGCGTGCACGAATTTGCATCACTCCACCCTCGCAGAGTCGTCTCCGGATTCCTCGCCGACCATCGGCGGACGAGGGGTGAACATACCAAACCGTCGTGGGTCGCTGAACTCCACGTCTGTCCCGCCATTCTCGACATCAGGGCCCGCGGACCGAACGGCCATTTCGAGCTCGGTGTCGAGCGTGAACATGTTGGAATCTGATACAAGCAGCAGCGACGAGGATGACGAGCAGATGGGGGGGGATCGAGACGAAATGATGATCACCAACACCCCGCAGGCAAACAAAATGGGGGCGGCTTTGAATCCCTTTGGGGTCGGCACGGTGTCCAGCCCCGGTGGTGACTGGATGGGCAGCTACTCCCAGGCAGCCGCCAGTTTGCTGAGCTTCCAACGTGCCCGGTTCCGTAATAAAGGCCGCAGTCGACACAGCTCAAGTAGCGCGAGCGCGAACAGTTCCAAGCAGAGCCCTGGCCCTCTGTCTCCACCAGTGATGAAGAGCATCGAGAATCCTGCTGCCGGAGGGTATTTTGCCTGTAAGAATGCTCTTCAGTCCCGGCGTGAAAGCTTGAGTCTAGGAACGCGGGATTTGCGCCTGTCGGATCTGAGTGACGACGGAGAGAGTCGAGCAATCCGAGGCCATAGCCCGGCGGGCATGTCTAATCCTGAAGGCGGGCCTTTGGGAGTCATTCGGCGGGCAGTCACGAGACGAAGCAGTCTACTGGTAAGGATGACCACTCAGACCATGATTTATAACACAGCAACGCTAACGGTGATCTCCCAGCCGAAAACAAAGACCTTTGCCAGGATCCGGGCCGCTCTCGTCGAGGAATCTGCCCCCATTGACAGCGAGGCGAAGCGGGAGGCCCAGGTCATTCGACAGGTCCGCGAGAGCGATACTGCAGTGCCGCAGAAATCTCCGACCCTGGAGAGCTTCTCTTCCTTTTCCCCACCGCGCCCATCCCAGCCAGCCTTGGAACAAAGTGCACTGCCCAAGTCCGAAGTGCCGGGGACTAGTGGGAGCCCATTCGGTCATCAGGCTATGCGCAACTCCAGTGCTGCTGACTTTTGGAATTCGATTGATGGGCGATATCGCACTCCCCCACCGCCGCTGCGGTCCAACGGGCCTGCCTCGGTCGTGTCCGAGGATGATACAGCCATGGACATCACGCCATCTACTTCTTCCGGGTTCAACATGCAGGATCTGCCCAAACCGTGGGACCGGCCTCCGTCGCGGTCGTCGACGTCCCACGCCTCGAATCCCATCTCGATAAATGATATCCAACGCAAACGACGGCGGGATGACGACTTTGACCCGAATCTGTTTAAACGGAGGGCCGTGTCGCCCAGCATGAGTGCCCAGAGTAGCCCTATCTTGATGCACTCGCCCACGGTCAAGGATGTCGGACCGAATATCTGGGGACCGCCGTCCAAACCTGCTCTTGGACCACCTCTTTTTGACCGCCTGGGCCACGAGAATGCGAATCGGCCAACTGCCCCGGCGGGCACGGTGAAGCGGGTTGGCCTTCAGGGCATGACAGAGGCCAGCGATGGCTTCATGAATATGAGCATTGAATGATGTTGACCATCATTCGTACTTTCATCTTGAGAATAAGGTGTATTAGTTTATTTGACCCTGGCGATTTCTTCGGTTCAGTTCGACAACCGGTTTACTACCCTTAATTATATGTGTTTGTTCACTGCGTGAGACTTGCCGAGTTAGCGAGACTATCCTACTGTTTATGATAGAATTAAATCAATCATACCTTCATATAATTAACTAATACCTACCATCTCTGGCACTGTAATATGAGGATATCCCAGCGTATTGGCGATACCGTATCATAAATGCACGTGCCTCGGCGCTAAGCCGCCTTCTGACTGTCCGCTGTTGACACCGGGGAAGCATCGCCAGGTTGTTTTGAGCTCACCACCATCTTCCCTTCCTTTGACTGCAGGCATCCATTGGAAGTTTGAGCTGTATTTTTCTGTCGTGTTGTGTATCTTATTCAAAAACCAACCACAGTCGACCTCCATGCCCACGACTGTTGACATCGCATCCTCGTTCATCGAGGGTGCCCCGCCAGGCGAGGTACGTCAGTCCAAGGCAGCCTGTTGCCTTCATATATAAGTCCTATTTGAATCCAATATGAATTGGGCAATCCTCGTTTCCGATGACTGACTGTCCTTTTGGTGGATAGCTCGCCGATGTCGTTGCTGGTAACTGATACCCCGCGCACGCCTTCCTCTTCCCCACACTCGCCGCAACGATGCTCGAATGAATACCTGCTAAATATGGGCGCTTTTCACGGAGGACAGATGTCAAGGCCTTGACGGCCGACGATCCCAGCGTTATTAGTTCCATTGCGCCTGCGTTCCAGCGATACAATGAACAGCAATTGGCGACTGTCAAGTTGCCTGGAGCAAGCCAAGAGGTGCGTGGGAAGGTTGGATCGGTGCACGATTGGATATCTGATACTCTTTCTTATGTGTAGGTTGTTATAAGCGAGTTCAACAAGCTAGACGACGGTCGGTACTTTGACGTAGAGAGCTCGACGTCGTTTGACTTCGACCATGTCACGCAGGTAAGGACAACATCTCTCCATCTCTTTCAACTTTTTATTGTTGACACACGTTCCAGAAAGCATCCAATGCGCAGTCATATGTCCTTGAATCAAAAAATGAAGATCTAATGTGAGTTGTGGGGGGGGGTTGCATTTTACTGCATTCTGGTTGTTGTTGTATACTGATTACTCGCCAGTAAATCGCTTCTTAAGGCCCTGGGCAAACATGCCAGCGAGCACTACCCTAGCTGTTCGTACGGTGTTTACCCTACCGAGAACGACTCGGCGGTTGCCATGGTTCTCGTCGCAAACCGCTATTCTCCTAACAACTTTTGGTAAATTCCACTTCTCCTAGCCTGGGTTTTGAGAATCAAGCTGACGGTGGACACCACCCACAGGAACGGCCGTTTCCGCTCCGTGTATCAGTTCCCTGTCTCATCCTCGTCGACCGTGACGGGTAAGATCCAGGTTGATGTCCACTACTACGAGGACGGTAACGTGGCGCTCAACACAACCAAGCCTATTAGCATCTCGATCCCCTCCCTTTCCGCCGAGAGCGTCATCTCTCGCATCGCTGCCGCCGAACGAGACTACCAGGAGGATCTGAACCGGGCGTTTGTGCAACTGGCCGACGGGGCCTTCAAGGGACTCCGTCGCCAGCTGCCCATCACACGGCAAAAGGTTGAGTGGGAGAAGGTGGGCGGGTACCGGCTGGGACAGGACATTTCAGGTGGAAAGGGACGGTGATTGTTTCAGTGAACATAGAAGTACATAAGTTGTTTAAATAGCATCACTCACTATCATTTATAACTATATAGTTCCATCCAGGGTGTTGATGCGGGTAGTAATAAAGAGTGTTTAACCATATCCTTTAGACCTAAGCTGAGAGCTGCCCAAGATATACCTCAATACTATTAATAAGTATAGTGGATAATAAGTAGGTGATAGTTATAGCCTAGCCAGGTCATCTCCTGTCCTAAAGCCCAGTAAGTTAGAATCATTATGATTCATTGATATCAAGAAGTCTAAAATACTTACTCTAATTAATATTCAAGGCTAGCCAAATGATCTGTTGTGTAACTGGTAGCTGTTCGGAGCACTTCCTGTGTACTCCGTATACAGAGCTTTCAGCATCAACTATTTAGGCTGTATAATACTCCCTAGTACTATATCTCACTGAATTAGTGTTTATCAGAGATTATTTTATTTCATGTTGTCGGCCTGTTGATCTAGTTCGCTGCTTGTCGAGGTAAAAAACAGTATGAGTAAGCAGGTCTGAGATGGGTGCACTGAAATCCTCTTTGTTTTCGCCATAAATCGGGCACACTCTCAACTGTTCAATCCCCTAAAAAAGACTGTGAAACTCGCCAGAAAAATGATCCGCCAATTCTCACGATTCACCAGCTCGGGCCCCGGCCTCGAGAAGACTCTGCGTCTCATTCAGGCGCTCGCCCAGATTGTTTCCGCGCTCTCCGTCGAGGCCACCACGGCTGCCCGTTGGGGAGTCGCTAAGTCGCAATTGGGATTGAGTAGGGATAATAAAATCATCTTTCTTCTCTTCTTGTCACTCACGATCTCTAGCACGGAGGTACTTTCGCTTCTTCAATTTCATTGAGTTCTTTGGCTCTGCATATAATCTTGTTCTGGGCACCGAGGCCAATCTCGGTGTCTTCTCGCTGATCCAAGTCGGCAAATGGAGCTGCCTGGGATTGTATACTGTCCTCGAGGATTTAACTCTGGTATTCTATTCTTAAATCATATTTTTTTTGGGATGCAGCTGGCTGACAGTCATGTTAGCTTGATGCAATGGGCGTCTGGTCCGCCCCGTGGAACCAGGCTGTTTTCATCGAAGCCAACAAGTTCTGGTTCTACGCCTTGTCACTGTCTATTCTTGGGTCTGTATATGAACTGGCCTTCGCTAGTGGTGGTCCAACACAAAAGCCAGTGTCTGAGAAGCCGAAGTCCGCTTCTGAAAAGCCTGGTAAAAAGGAAAAGGCGACGAAGCAGGCACCTGCCACAGAACAAAAAGTCTCCAAGAAGAATATCATCAAGCAGATTGTAATTAGCGGCTGTGACTTGATGATTCCGGGGTCTCTCCTTGGTTGGACGCCCATGGGGAGTGAGACGGTGGGCATGGCGATGGTGTTGAGCACTATGCTTCAACTGCCGGATCTCTGGGCGAAAGCTCAGGGAAACTAATGTCAGTACAACTGTTTGCTGAGTGGGGACTCGGGCATGCTATAAATATGTTAAATGGAGGCAGTCTTCAGAAGAATTGGGCGGTGGCTGCGTCAAAACGAACTGTTGGGTTATAAGAAGGGCTAGAGTCATATAAAAGAGGTTTAGATTTCTTGTTACTTCCAAGATACTCCTTTAGTAGAGCTGCCCTGTTTGAATCAAACCGTCTCGTGAACCTTCATATAATTCGATCCGTATGACGGTAGCTGCTAGTGATAGAGTTCATTGCCACCCTCGCCTAGACGAATACGACGTTATTTCCTATTCTGGTCGGATGGCAACCAAACAACTTGTTGTGTGGCTAAATGGCGAATCCGGTGTTCGTACCAGAGCCACGACACCGAACTCTGGTAGATAATGGTGTATATAAGAGCGCTGAAGAACAGGGCTGGGACGGTCTTGCCAATCTGTGCAGCTTAGGTATTCAATATGAACCATCTCATTTTCATATCAACGATTGTCAAATCTCATGGAACTTGATAAAACGCCCTCGGTCTCCTCGGACGGTACTCTCACCTCTTGCCGCACCCTCCTCATTGACTCAAAAGGCATCGGTTTCTTCCGTCTCCCATTCCCTCCGCGCCAACTGGAACTTCCAATTCTCGACGCCACCGATGGCTCTCTCGCGTACGTCTCCACACGGGAGAGAGTATCCTCGGGAACAGCAGTCTTATCGAAGCCGACAGTCGGCGATCTAGTCAAGACCGAGTACTTCTTCCGGCCAGGTAGAGGGCCTATCGTGACCTCGTTGCAGGCTGATAAACCGTCATCCAAAGTACATGGCCGATGGACATCGAGAATCACGTCTTTTAGGATGCCGAACGGGGAAGCTTTCGAGTGGTCATATGGAAGACAGAAAGCAGCAGACGGCGAGAAAGCAAACCTGATTGTTCTGAGAGCTATCGAAGAAGCCCACAGGACAGGTACGATCCTTGCTCGGCTTATTCGAGGGGAGGAGACTAGAGCACCCGGGTCAAAGAAGTGCAGCGCTGGCAACGGAGGTACCTTGGTGATCGACAGTAGCTACCTGCTTCCAGAAGAGATCATCGTGGCCACATGTCTAATAATGCTGGAGAGGGAGATCGATCGTCGCAGGATGACGCAGGCAATGATGCTCTCAGCAGCTGCGAGTGGTGGTCCCTGACTTGAATAGAAGGAGGTCAGATTAGAAAAGAGCTGGTCATGTGAACATGGGATTTGGTCAAGTGTATTTGGTCTGTTTGTCTTATTTGCATGCTTTTGCGCTCCTTCCTAAAATCGAATCCAACGTAGATCTTCTGCTCTCCTCCTTACGCTTTCTTCTCCTGGTCTCGCTGCTGTAGCAAGGCGACAATATGGTCATTGAGCCAGTATCCCTCCAGCTCCTCTTGTGACATTTTCTGGGCCCCTGAAATCCACCCTTTACACGTCTTCTCGCCCGCTCCACACGTACACTGGAAGGGCTGCGCCATCTCCCACTCCGTACTCGGGTAGAAGAAGGTCAGGGTGTCCCCTGCCTTGAGGGGACGCTTGTCTGCTACTCGAACCTGCATCTGTTTCATGTCGAAGACTAACGACGGATCACAGGAGTGGTTGATGTACAAGAGGTCCGAGTTTAGTTCGATGTGCGTGTTGGGCCCCGTCTGAACGGAGGAATAGGCATTGATTCCAGGCGAGGCGGTCGTGATCGGAGCAAACACTGCTCCAGCTGGGAGATCGATGAGTGAGACAGCTCGGCTGCCAAAGGCCTTGGTGCTTCGAATGACGCGTAGGCGATCAGGGTGTGACGGAGGCTGACACTCTGCAGGAACAGGATCGGCAATCGGTGCCATACTTGCGAGAGAGGGATTCCTTTGAGTTGGAAAGAAACGACGAGTTGAAAAGAAACGAGTTTCGGGAGAATTAGGAATTCAAATCAGTGAGCGAGTGAATCCTTGCTGCTGTGCTTGCCAGCTTGCTAATAGAAACATCCCACTATGCTAGTAGTACTTATACTTTTGGTCTCATATGGCTTCTTGAAGAGTGGGGATTTCGAAAACACAACTACCAACAGATTCAGGCTGCTGCCTCGGCGTTTCTGCCAATTAAATCTCTCTTTCTTCTCTAACTATTGCGCAGCATGTGTTATTTCCATTCCTTCCTTTGCGTAAGTTTTGATTGCGCAGAAGTGGATGTATGGGTTCTGTGGAGTTGGGCGGTGATATGACTCGGACAGTGTCCAGCTCCGGTCTCACGAATGAGCTTCCTCGGGTCGCTGGAGTATCCCGGAGAATGTTTGGACCTCGGTCAAAGGGTATCCTTACTATTCCAGAGATCTTGAGCAAGGAGATGGGGGTTCGAGGGAGGGGAGTCGTGTGAGAACCAGGTAAGTCATGAGCCTACGAGCCCTGCTCTATCATATAAAAACTACCTACCCCTCATACAGTTCGCGGTCTGTTTGCGGTTTTACTCGTAGATTGTCGATGAGCCGAGGTACAAATCGATGGCATCCATGGCCAAGCAAACAACCCCCACAGATGACACAAAATCACACCGGAATGGACGCTAAATAAGACAAATGCAATTAGAGTCTTGCCTGTTCACCAACAGCCGGGCCGGCACTCTCAAGCACCAAGACGCTTCAATATTTACTATATGGTAATGTTTACAAAATTACGTGATGTGGCTGATCTTCCTGGCCCACTTGGCCTTTTGAAAGGAAAGACCCAGGTCTAGAGATGGGATAATATCAAGAATCAATCAGGGCCTTTCCTGATCCATTATGAGCCTGAGCCTGAGGCGTTAGGAGAGTAATACTATCACGTATCAATTCAGTGGTTTTTGCAGCTCCTTCCCATCCAGCCACCTCTCCAGGTTCTCTGCCACCTCTTCGTACCACCCACTGATGAGTCCTTCTTCACCATAGCCCATGTGCGGTGACAAGACAACCTCGCTGCGTCCATCCTTGCCCCAGGCGGTTGTCCGCCATGGACTGTCCACAATGAGAGGTTCGGTGTAGTGAACGTCGAGGGCAGCCCCTCGGATTCCGCCCCGATTCAATGCGTCAAGGAGCGCGTTCTCATCGCATAATGGCGCGCGCGATGTGTTGATCAATACCGCCGACTCTTTCATGGCATTGAGCTCGTCAGCTCCCACGATTCCCCGGCTTCGCTCTGAGAGAACGTTGTGAATGCTGACTACATCTGCTTGCTGGAAGAACTCCACCTTGGATGGGATGGCAATAAAGCTGCCAGCCGGAAGACCTTGGGCTTGAGCTTGCTCGTCGGCTTTCTCCTGCGTCAGGTTGGTCGACCAGGCAATGACCTTCATCTCGAAAGCCTGGATGGCAATCTTGCCCACTTGCGAGCCCAGTTTCCCCAGGCCCAGCAGAGCCAGTGTCTTTCCTGAAAGACTGAAGCCCAGTGATCCTTGCCACTCGCCATTCTTCATGGCAGCATCGTCACGGGCAATATGTCGTGCCAAGCCCAGAATCAATGCCCAGGTATGTTGCACCGTCGAATTGACACCCTTTGGGCGCCCCTCGGTGCCGGCAACGGGGATCTTGCGGGCTGTGAACGCCTGCAAGTCCAGGGACAGATTTCGAGTGCCCGTTGTAAGAAGCAGTTTCAGATTGGGCAGCGCGTTGATCGTATCGGCGGAGAAGGGCGTGCGTTCACGCATCGCCAGCACCACATCGAAAGGCTGAAGACGCTCGACCAGCTGCTTCTGCTGGACAGGATCGCTAGGGTCGAGTGTCTCTGGGAAGCTCGTGATCTCCACCCGAGACTCCAGATGAGCGAAATGTCTGGGTGCGATGTTCTGGTAATCATCCAGAATCGCGAACCTGGGTTTGCCTGCCATGTTTGGTGCTAGTAGTGATTTTTTGAGATATTGGAATACAGATGAAGCACCGACAGAGCGAGACTTCATTAATGAGACAGTAATGGCGATGCTTAAACGTTCATCCACTGCAGTCCCACCGAGACAGACGGCGTCGATCCGCACAGGAAAAGCGACGAAAGGGCACCTTACTCCGTCTATTGCACTGACTAGGTGGTTATCACTTGGTTCTTTGGCTTTCCTTCTTCTTCGAACAGAGGAACACTGGCTGTACTGGTTGTCGGTCTTGTTGGAAAATTGGACAAGACAAATCCACCCACGTCTCTCCTCTTAAAATGTTCCCCGCACTGCCGCCGCCGGTGCCGGAGCAAGTTCCGAATGGATCGAATGCGAATCATCTCAATGGAACATCTATTTGCGACATACGATTTTGCTCTATGAGGTGCAAATGGACGCCTTTCCTTTGCTGGTCGGCTGAAGGGCTGCAGGTGTCGGTCATTGAAGAAGGAATTCAATGAGAAGTATATCTAAGTTGAATCAAGGAAACAGAGTATTGTGTTTGACTGAATGGTTCAGGAAAGCAGGTATTTGGATATCTGTGGATGAACTGAATTAATGCGATACCTCTTGCATGCCCCTTCTTACAACTTGGTCAACACGACGTTGCTCTGGATTTCCAGAAAATCCTACCCCATTGAATGGGGGCACACCACCTATTCCTGAACTAATAACTTCCATTTCTCACCATGACGTTTCTCCAATGGTGGAATCACGGCAAAGATGGCTGCACAGGAGTACATGGTTTCCACACTCGATTCGTTGCCGTACGCCAGGTAGCTGAACGCCATCTCCTCCTGCTTCGGCTCGGTGAGCCAGAAAACGCCCGGCAGGCGGTAAAAGGGCCAATATCGCTTGGTTGCCTGTCGGACACAAGAGTTAGAATATATTTGGACGAGAGGGTCAAGTTGACTTGTGTGCTCTCACATCATCCGTGCCTTCTTCTTCGATATATAACTCTTTTTCGGGCTTATAAGGAAACAGCCGTTTTCCGACTCGAGCTCCATCGCGCCAATAAAAGTCTTGCGCCGGTCGTTGGTCGGTATCCTGCCAGTCAATCATATCTGGGAGCTCTTTCCAGCCGCCGATCTGCCGCTGCATCAGAAGCAGCTTCCAGCGTCGTTCGGGATGGTCCCAGTACTCGAACTCGTCTTTCCAAGCATCCCTGCGCTGAAGCTGAAGCCTCCCTCCATTTTGAAGATAGTCCCAAAGAGCCACGTAACCCAGGCTGTCTTCGTATTCATCAATGGCATATTTGTCTCGCTTCGGGTGCGTTCTCCCCCCGATATCCATCTGAGGATTCTCGGTGTGGTAGAATCCGTCCGCCTCTCGGACCGGAAGCACATTGACCTGGAGCCCGAGCGATTTGAATACGGAATACAGTACCAAGTCACTGCCTTTGAGAATCTGGGGCAAGGAGTGCTCCGCTGTCGTGGAGGAGTGGGCATAAGCATGGGAACAGAAGACCCCCAGCACGCCACCTGCAAGCGCTGGTTAGAAAGACAAGCAGTGTCTATTGCAGTGAGTTCAGTATTTGTGATTATAACATTACCTTTATCCAGTGCACCAGGCTTTGCAACCATGTCTTTCAACATGGCGTATAGAGGGAGCGACTTGGGGTCGACGACGGGGCTGGGCAAATCGCAATACCCCGGCTCGGATACAACCAAGTTATATGTCAGGGTGATACGATGACCCGTGGAGATCTGCTCAATCTCATGCTCACAGTCACTGTAGAATGCAGCCCACTGGATTGTCGAGCCACTGGACGAACTCCAGTCAAAGGAAACGGTCTTTCCGTGATGGCGTACAATCAGCTGGCCCCCGGAAAACTCGGATGGAAGACAGACGACCAGCGAGCCGATCTGCTTGGATGAGCGGGGGGTGTCTACATGTCGTCGAAACAGACCGGCTGGCCCGGAATAAACCTGTTGACGGCGGTTAAAAGACGGAGCTTACAGGTGCTGTGCTTTGCGAGAACGTTTCCTCTCCGAACTCACATTCATCTTGTACAGATCTGCGGTCAACTTTCTGAACGGGAGTCTGTTTTCCAAGTCGGAGCTGATACTCGGAAGTAGCACCTGCTGGATGCTCTCGAGGATGCCAAAGTCCGCTGGATGAAAGGTGGAGGCGAATGAGTCCGCGTCCAACTTGCCAGCCCGGCGATAGTCAGGGTCCAGGATGTCTTTGGAGCCCACCCCAAACGTTGCCGGCGAGCAATCTTGCACAAGCTGCTGTAATCTGGCGGCCGTCGAGTCCCCAGTCCCGGTGATTGGCAGAGTGAGCTTCTCTGCGCTCGTCTTGCCGGCTGTCTTCCAGAACAGATTCAAGGAAGGCGAGCTGTGAAGAGATGTCTCCTCCGCTTCTTTCTGCTCACCTCCATGTCCTTGAATCGTTATGGTACCTCCGCAGGTGAAAGAGGAAGATTTTCTCTCGTCCTCGATGCGATTCCTCAGCTTACGACACTTGCCGACAAACTCCTCTGGCGGCGTCAACATCTCACCCGTTACGTGTTGCTCCATCAGGGTTTCCAGAAGTGCGTTTCTGAAGGCATCTGGCTCTATTGCCCCTAATTAGAGGGTTCCAGCTGACAGGGAGAGGAAATTTCTTGTACCGGCTGGCCCAGTGCCTCCGCCCAACTCCTCCCATCTTTTCCAGCGGTTCTTGACAGCTTTCTTGAGACCCTCGTCATTCAGGATCGGCTCCTCGAAGCTATAGTCTGGGAGAAGCTGCTTCAGATTTGCCTGAAGCTCTTGCGCCAGCGCCCTGAAATCCTCTGGACGCTTCTCAATCTCGTCGAACGGGGCATTCTTCTTCTTCTTTTGTACGTCGGTACCCAGGATTTTTGCCACGCCAACAATGAAGGTGTCGATACAGGCGTCTCGTTTACAGTCCTCGAGACTCCATCAGCAGCGGGTAGATAGCTTTTTGACCATAGGGGGGATGCAAGACGAACCTTGATATTCGCCTTGGCTGCCGCCGCTTGAAGATCAGCCAGGCTGTGCTGGCATTCTTGCAGCTTGATTTTTGGGAAACCAAGGGGGGTTCCCTCCTCTGACTGGGAGAACGAACCAGTTGCGTTATACATCAATGCTTCTGCCAATTCACTGAGTCTATTCGCATCGCTATCGCTCTCCTTCTCTTCACTATCCCCGTAGTCATACTCTTCCTCACCAGAGTCACCTCCCTCTTCAGGAGGAACCTCTGTGGGAGGTTCTTCAGAAGTCGACATGTCTTGCAGGAGTTCTAATTTCTTTGTTGTCATAAGGAGATGAGAGACGAGGAGACTGCTATATAAAGAGAAACTTATGACCATTTCATCATGATGATCGGAGGGGACGAAGACAGTCGTCACTGTCCATCCATTGGCATCCCAAGTCATCAGTATACAGTTCCATGGTTCGATTCATAGATGCGCACTCTTTATAGAGATTCGATTTCAATATAAACACAGTCTTATTCAAGCTGTCAAGTCTTATCGTATCGTCTATCAAGGCGGGGTTGATAAGACAGACAGGATTTTGACGTCAACCTTTCCTTTAAGTCAATCTTTCATCTTCAAGCATCTCACAGATAAAACGAATAATGGACACCCCTGCAGCCAGCGGGCTTCCTCTCGCATTCCACGGAACGGTGATTCACTCGCTGACGCCGACGACCGTCGAGATCCTCCACGACTGCTTCCTGCTGGTCAACGCCGAGGGCAAGATCCAGCTGCTGCTGCCCGAGACCGACCGCTCGCGCATCTCCGCCATCGTAGCCGAGAATGGCTACGCCCCGGACGTGTTTCCCGTGAAATATCTGGCTCGCGGACAATTCCTGTGCCCTGGGTTCGTGGACACGCACAACCACGCCCCGCAATGGGCGCAGCGCGGAGTTGGACGCGGCCGCAATCTGCTCGACTGGTTGGATACGGTGACGTTTCCGCACGAAGCCAAGTTCGCGGATAGGGAATACGCACAAACCATGTACGCGCAGTGCGTGGCCGGGTTCCTGCAGCAGGGCATCACGACGGCAGCGTACTACGGTTCACGACACGGGGAGGCGTCGAGCATCCTGGCGCAGACGTGTTTGGAGAAGGGCCAGCGTGCTCTCGTGGGACGATGCAATATGAACCGCCATGCACCTGAGTGGTACTGCGACGGCTCGGCGGAGGAGTCTCTGGCTGAAACAAGGGAATTCGTGGAGGGCGTGCACCGCTTGGATCCTGAGGGAGATCTCGTCACGCCGGTTCTGACGCCGCGGTTCGCTATCTCGTGCGACGAAGGGGTTCTCGCGGGTTTAGGTCAGCTGGCGGCCCAGTACGATAACCTCCCCATCCAGACGCACTTCAATGAAGCCCGCGACGAGATGGAGTTCACGAAACAGCTGTTCCCGGGTTTCGCTTCGGAGACGGCGCTGTACGAGCGGTTCGGGCTGCTGAATTCCAGGTCGATCCTGGCGCACTCCATCTTCGTCGACGAGGCGGAGATGGCCCGGCTGGAGACCCTGCAGTGCGGTATCGCGCACTGTCCGATCGCTAATACGACTATCGGTGGGTTCATGGTGGCCCCCGTGCGGGAGTATCTCCGTCGAGGGATAAAAGTCGGCCTGGGAACAGACAGTGGGGGCGGGTACTCGTCTTCCATGCTGGAGGTGATGAAACAGGCGTTTATCGTTTCGAATGCTCGGCAGCTCTTCACCAAGGGCGCGGATGAGCCGCTGTGTCTGTACGAGGGGTTCTTTCTCGCGACGTTGGGGGGCGCTCAGGTGTGTGGGCTGGATGGGAAAATCGGAAATTTCGCTGTGGGCAAGGAGTTTGACGCCCTGGAGATTCATACAGGGGAGGGCGTCAGGGGGGTGATGAGCCCTGTCGAAGACGAGGACTCCATCGAGGTCATCTTTGAGAAGTTTCTTATGACGGGGGATGATCGCAATATCGCAAAGGTGTATGTACGTGGTCGATCCGTCAAGGATTGTTAGGACAGATTATAGCAGAATGATCTCTTATATTACTTGCTCTATTTAACAAATCAAGATAAGGCTAAATCTTGGAGAAAGTTATGCTTTAGCCTCAGAGCCTACTGGAAACTCGCCTCTTCTCGCTAGGCGTTGTTCATGTTCGTTCTCAAACACCGCAGACATGCCAAAGCCCACGCAGAGGGCGACGGCGATGATCTCCTCGAGCACGTCCATGCATAGATAGATGGTGGCATTGCCCGTGAAGACGACAAAACGGGGGTCATTAGCGAAATCGCCGATGGCGGCGTAGACCATGCGAACGAGAAGAAAGGGCGAGGAAAAGGCGATGGCGAGGAACAACTTCTTCTGCACGGCGGTTATGCCGGACTGACGAAGCTGCAGGAAGAGCCAGACGGCTGTCAGGAGGACGACGGCAAAGACAACGAGGAAGATCACCAGGGCTGCCTTGACGATCCCCGTGGCGTGGAAGGTGCCCGTTGTGTCATTGTAGATGCTTATTCCTACGATACCGAGGATGAGGCCGGTCAAGCTGGTGAGTGAAACTCCAGGGAGGAACCATCGATGAAGCTTTGTTTTTATACCACTACCCCGTTAGTATCCTTCTCCTCGCATTCATTTCTCTTCTCCACTTACATTTGCTTCAACAGTCCGATATAGGTCAAGGTCAAAGGAGCAATACCAATCAGCTCACAGACTGCCACGGTGATATAGAGACTGGTGGATTGGTTGCTAATCGTCACCAACGTACAGATCGCGCCGATGATCCGCAGGAGAGAGAGCGTGATGACGAATCGCCAGGTCGAGCCGGCAGCCTTCCAGCCGGTCCGTTTCCAGATGAATACCGCACAGAGGAGCAGAACAGGGAAGACAGCAAGCTGGATGATGGCAATGCCGTCGCGGTAAGTGACAGTGCCCATTTGTGTTCAGATGAGATTCAGTCGTCGTCGTCGTTGTCGTTGTAGCTGAGATCGAGCTTGTCGTCCTTGTAGACCATATTGTAGACGTGAGAGAATAGCTTCTCTTTATACCTCTTCCCCCCTGGATCCCCCATGGCTGTGTTCTCACAGCCTTCGTGCCTCGCCAGGCAGGAATGAAGCTGGAGGTCGTCGTCAGTCGAGGTCAGCCCGTGACTTCCTGCCCCGTGACTGGCGGAGCATCCTGCATGCCCAGATAGGACTAGCGCGCTGGCTGCCCTTGCTGCCCTGGCGGATTCAAAGCGGCGGCATCAGCCAATCCAGTTTTCCATGAAAATTTCCAGTGTCTTGTGGATTCTTTTAGGAGTATTCCATAAATTAGAAGAAAGAACTATCTATAGTACGCATAAATAGGCTACTGCATAGAGAGTGACGCTGACGCTGAAGACGTCATCCTGCTGAGTCAGCAGCCTTTGCCATCCTTCCCGATGGAGGGTCTTGTTTACCTTCAGCTTCATTTTTTGTCCCGACAGAGACACAGCGACCTCCTCTCCCTTCTCCCCTCTTCCCTCCCCTGGCGTGTGATCTCGTCTATTAACTCAAGCTGAAAGTCATAACCTTGCCTCTTCCTCCTCTTCCAGCGATAGGTATGCTCTATGGTGTTTTGTGGAAAGGCCTCCAGGAGTTGTGCGAACTGTCGGGCAGTCAAACGACGGGTGGGTTTCCTTCTACTCTCTTCTCAATTTATCTGTTTCCTTGTCGTTTCTGTTCTCTTTCTCTTCTTACTGCTGTTCTCTGGCTAATGGCGGTATGTATAGTGCGACCAGAAGCTTCCCCAGTGTGGTCAGTGCCTTCGGCTGCGCGAGAACTGCCCCGGGTATCGAGATGAGTGGGATCTCGTCTTCCGCAACCAAACGGACCATATCATCAAGCGTTCCAAGACCAAATGGGCAAAAAGATCAGCCGTGTCGGCGCCAACCCCCGTCAAGGCTAGCGGTTTGCCCCTGACGCGCAGGTTGAGCCCCAACGTGGATGAGATAGGCGTCAACTACTTCCTCCACAACTTTGTCACGGGCGGTCAGGCCCCCTCACGCGGGTATCTCAACTACGTTCCGTCGGTGTATCTGGCTGGCGGCGAGCACCCGACGTTGCTGGCCAGCATGGCAGCCGTCGGTCTCGTGGCGTTGGCCAATGCCACTCAACAGCCCGAGCTGGCCGGCCAGGCGCAGGCCAAGTACTCCGAGGCGATCCGCCAGGTGAACATGGCGTTGGCGTCGCCCGTCGATTCCGTCAAGGACAGCACCTTGCTGTCGGTGATCTCGCTCGGGGTGTTTGAGCGCATCTCCGGACACGAGTCGTGGATTCAACATGTCCAGGGAGCGGCGGCGCTGGTGGTGGCCCGGGGCAAGACGCAGTTCTCCAGCCCTACCGCGATCCGCATGTTTGCGCAGGTACGCGCGGATCTGGTCCTCGCCTGTCTCTATGTGGCGACCCCATTCCCGAGGGACATGCTGGAGCTGCAGGACGAGGCGGCTCTGCACACTGACACCTCCTGTCCGCTCTGGCTGCTGGGGGTAGCCAGCACCCGCTGTACGAACCTCCTCATGCGTGTCAAGAAGAACTACTTGGACGGAGCCGTCCCCTGGTCGAAATTCTTGGAGGAAGCAATCGTGGTCGAACGGGACTTTGAATACGCCCTCAAGCTCCTTGCCCTGCAGGAACCGTATACCACCATCCAGGAAGACTCTGGAGAATTGGACCCCAATATTGCCTATCACGGTCGGTTCGACCTCTATCACGACTGCTGGGCCATCAAGTTCTGGAACAACTCGCGGAGTGTCCTGATGATTCTCGGCGAGATTCTGTGCTTCCTTCTCAACCAGGCTCTTCTTGCGCCCGATCTCGTGCCGGAGACCCGGGAGCCTCTGAGCGTGAAGCTTCAAGAGACGCTGCAGACCATGTCCAAGCTGGGCACAGACGTCCTGGCCACGGTCCCGCAGGTGTTGAAACTCGTCTCCTCGGCCTCGGGAGCACCGCGCCCCCCTGTCGATCTCACCTTCCACGGCAGCGTGTCGGGCGGGTATATGCTGGCCTGGTGGCTCTACACGGTCGGCAAGTGCGTCGTCACGACCAGTGAAGCGCGGAAATGGATCATCCACCGCCTGCAGCATATCGGGCAGAAGACGGGCGTCTCGATTGCGGCCGAGTTGGTGGAGGATATCGTCCAGATTGACGAGTGGGTGGATCATTAAGAACCCTCACCCTGATTCTGCCATTGAATGTCTCCGGAGTATCCTGTACTCCGTTCGAACTGAGCAGTCCATGGTCCATCCTGTTCTGCCTCGGGCACATTTCAGTTCGTTCCATGGAAGCCACCTATTGAATACTAGAGAGGAAACCCACTGGCCCAACTTGGATTAATTAAGCGTGTCTGGAACAGTCCATGAGCAGAAAGAGTCAGGATTGGCTGGAACTATGTTCATGTCTGTTCATATCAATGACTACGCAACTATAAGTCAAGTTGCCACCCAATAGCAATTTGAGGGATCAAAACAGCCACATCATACAATAGCCACATTGTTCCTAGCATGAAACAGACATCTGAACGGATTGCTCAGCGTATGAGAGTGAACACGACGTGTTTGTACGTTGCCCCTCCACCGGTCTGCCACGAGGCATTCGATACGATTATATCGAGAAGAAAACAATCGACCATTTTTTCAAGGTATAACTGAACAGACTTGTAGGGATCGGTACCATTCAAGTTCGGTATCCCCCAAAACGAAGTACCGCTCGCTCTCTTTGCTTGAGGTTGACCATAGTCTCAATGATTTGTGAAGGGACGTGATATAGAGGGTGATAATCTTCAAAAGTTTTTAAGCCAGGGGTCTTCCAAAAGCTCACGGGCGTTGTGTCTCTTGTCTGGATCCCATTGCAGCATCTTTCTCATGAAGCGAAGAAACATGATCTTATTTTGTCCTTCAAGATACTCCTCCGAGTCCTCTAGGGTAATGTCAGGCAAACACGCTTCCCCCTTCCATTGACCTACAGAGGTGTTAGAACGGCCTAGTAATACTAAAAGAAAGGGGTTTAAGCAGGATGCCAGATTCGTCCCAAAATCTTTTACTTGCTGGACATTTCTGCAAGAAAGTCACCGGAGGAGGACCAAGAATTGCTACCATTTCAGCCAGAAGATGCTCGTCTGAGTGCAGGTTGTCGGGTCCTCGGCCATCAAATAGATGATGATCTTCGAATAAATCCCAGATCTGATCACCCATCAGTATGAAGCATTGCGAGCAAAGAGCGAGCAAAGGGAAACTAGGAACCCACCAGTGTCCCTACGTTCCAAATATCAACTTTTGACGTCCATTCCATTCCAAGGACGACCCCCGGGGCTCTATAAAGATCCGGTTGGATCAGACCAGTGTGAACATTTCCGATTCGAGCTTCACCGAAATCAGAGAGAACCGGCAAGCCATATTTGATATGGCCCTTTTCACGGCCGAATGACTGTGATTTGTAGATGACACGACCGTCAACGAATTTGGTGTGTTCCTTGGGGACCTTCTATTTCAAAGGCATCTAGCATAGTACGAACAAGACCACTTCCAGCGTGTGATGTGTTTACAGCAGCAAGATGCTTCAAAACCTCAACCTCCCTGTTTGAATTGATACCACGTATGAAGATCTTCAATGCAATGTAACAATGTTCCCTAGGACGCCATTATGAATAATAAATTCTCATTTATAGAAAAGGATAATACATTACTGGACATCACGACAAAACCAGACTGTCGAGTTGGCTCCAAAGCCAAGTTTGCTGAGGATTTGATATCTATCACAGAATTTATCACCGAGCCGTGCTGGATAGAAGAGGTCTCTGTCATATGCAGGCATTCGCTCCTCTTCGATCTTTTTAGAATCATCGAGAGTCGTGAAAACCTGAGGATCTAACACGGCGAAATGGAGACAAGGTCCGACGCCCAAACCCTCGGCGTAAAAGGGAGTTGGATGTTTTCATTGTAGATGATGAGCAGGTGGACAAAAAAGGGAAGGGCATTTGTCTGTCTTATAAGGGGCATATCAGGCGGTGAGGCTGACATTGTTCCCTGACAAATTAAGTATTTCTAGTTGTATGTAGTAGTAGCATTTTAATGCCAAAAATCCGATATACTGCCGTATACTAAAGAGCTGGGGATTAATCATATAGGTACTAGACTACTAAAGGAAGAATAAGTTCTGTCTTCTTCAATAAGCTCTCATCACTATAAAATTAATTATTATATTTATGGTAAACAACGGCTCTGTCGAATCTCTTTGTGATAGCGAGTATAGAAAAAAAGTTGATATCTTTAATATATATATATATATATATATATATTGGCTCTCTATCCTCTTCTAACTTTTTCTTGGTATAACCTATTAAAAGTGAGCATCTATACTACCAAATATTCCACCTTGAGAGTCAGGATTGGCTGGAACTATGTTCAGTCAGTGACAATTCATTATCTCTATATATACATATATATCTTATATAAATATATAGAATATATAAATATATAGAATACAAATAGTATAATAGTACTCCATATAATTGTCTATTAATGAGTGCAGCTCTGACGTCATCAATACTGATTGGCGTTTCAAACTTGGCAGGAATTTGGAGTTTTTCCATGGAATCGCTTTTATTTGTATTGTATCTTATATCTTGTATTAATCTACATCTTGTATTTCTTATAACTTGTCTATTTAGCAGTCAATCTCTATTCTCTTGATTATTCTACAATCTAAGCTACATGGACTGTGAATAAGACCAATACTACTATTACTTTAATACTTTAATACTTTACTTTAATACTTTAATACTTCAATACTTCAATACTAACTAATACCAAAGACTAAGACGGGCGACACCAAAAGTACCACCAACCAGGGATTCTCGAACCCCCCCCCGCCTGAGTCCGTCTCTGTCTCTGTCTCTTCTTCCTGTCAGCTCCAGTCAAGGAGGCCAGCCAAGACAGGACACGACAAGACGGTCAACCGCTGCTGGAATCAGCTCGACATCAAGAGAGATGCTCCTGCCCTTGCGGTTGAAGATGAAACATGCCGTTGCTGCCGTCTCCTCCGTGAACAATCTCACGATGCTCGCCACCCCGCCCGACGAGGAGCCTCAGCATCACCACCATCACAGCAACAACAACAACTATCACCACCAACACAATCATCACAATCACCATCGCCCTCCATCGAAACACCAGGACGGGAGCGGAACCGCGGTGGGGTCCGCCATTGAGACCATCGGTCGCATCTATCGAAATACCCCTGTCCCGACTCTGGTGCTCGATGCAACGCTGCGCGTCATCGAGGTTTCCAACAGCCATCTGGAGCTCTGCAAGGCACGTCGCGACGAGCTGTTATCCCGCAGCATCTACGACCTTCCACCAAACCGTATCCCCGTCGCAGACATCGCAACGCTGCGTGGCGCGCTGCAGGCGGCCATCTCCACTCGCGCCCGGCAGGTCGTGGACGAGTCCGATTCGCACGTCGGCGTGCGCTTGACGCCCATCTTTGACGACAACCATCGCGACCTGATCGCCGTTATTCTAGAAGCTCATGATGTTACCACTACTACGACAACAACTCCTGAGTCTAAAGAGTCTCAAGAGTCTAAAGAGTCTCAAGAGTCTAAAGAGTCTAGCAAAGGCGCTGCCGCCGACGCCTATGTCGACGAGACGTATCGCATCCTTGTCGACACTGTCAAAGACTACGCCATCTTCATGCTCGATGCTCATGGCCACATCGTCACCTGGAACGCCGGCGCGGCCATCCTCAAGGGATACGCCGCCTCGGAGATCATCGGCAAGCATTTCTCCGTCTTCTACGGCAGCGAGGACCGTGTGCTCGACAAGCCCGCCAAGGAGCTCGTGCTCGCCCTGCGCGACGGCCACGTCGAAGACGAGGGCTGGCGCTATCGCCAGGACGGATCGCGCTTCTGGGCCAACGTCCTCATCACCCCGATCTATCGCTATGGCCGCCATGTCGGCTTCGTGAAGGTCACCCGCGATCTCACCGAGCGCAAAGCAGCCGAAACACGCCTGATCGCCGCCTTTGAAGAGACCACCCAGCTGAAGAACGATTTCCTGGCCAACATCAGCCACGAGATCCGCACCCCGATGAACGGCATGCTGCTCGCCGTGACCATGCTCAGCGGCACCCCCCTGAACGAGCAGCAGCGCGAGTACACCTCCATCATCGAGGATTCCACCAACGTCCTGCTGCAGGTCATCAACGACGTGCTCGACTACTCCAAGCTCTCCTCGGGCTCCTTCTCCCTCACCACCGACGTCGTCGACATCGAGACCGTCATTGCCGCCGTCATCCGCAACTGTAAGTCTTGCCTGAAACCGGGCGTCGCCATGCACTGCCACATTGCGCCCGGCTTCCCGCGCTACCTTCGCGGCGACCCGCTCCGCTATCGCCAGGTCATTCAGAACCTCGTGGGAAACGCCGTCAAGTTCACCGAAACGGGCTTCATCGAGGTCCGCACCACCTTCGAGCTCGACCCGCACGACCCCAGCTTCTACTCCATTCTGACCGAGGTCAGCGATTCGGGTATTGGAGTCCCCGACGACGCCGTCCACACCCTCTTCACCCCTTTTACCCGTTTCGCCGACAGTGCGCGCAAGCGCTACCAGGGCACCGGGCTCGGTCTGTCCATCTGCAAGAGCCTGGCCGAGCTGATGGACGGGGCGGTCGGGTACCGCCCGAACACGTCGAACGGATCAGGTAGTATCTTCTCCCTACGGACACGAATGGGTCGCCTTGACCGAGACATCTCTTCTTCCTCCTCTTCTTCATTCAACCCATCTCCTTCATCTCAGCAACAAGACCAACAAGGGTCGGTCCCAGATCTAGCCGCCCAGCTGCGCGAAATCGCCACGCAAAAGACCCTCCTATTAGTCGAAGACAACGTGGTCAACAAGACCGTGATGATCAAGCTGCTCAACACGCTCGGCTTTGAACGCGTCGACACCGCCTCCGACGGCGCCGAGGCCGTCCGTCTCGTCAAGCAGAAACCTTTGTCCTACAACGCTATCTTGATGGATATCAACATGCCCGTCATGGACGGCGTGGAAGCCACGACGCGCATCCGCGCCATGAACATCGAAGCACCCATTATTGCCTTGACGGGGAATGCCCTCAAGGGTGACTCGGCGGCGTATCTTGCTAAAGGCATGAACGACTGCGTCGCCAAACCCATTCATCGCCATGAACTCATGCGCGTTCTTCTCAAATGGATCGGGTCGTGAGTTCTAGTTTTCCTCTGGTCTTCCACCACCACCACCACCACCAAATCAATCGCTTCAGTCTGGACTGAGCGTTGCAAAGCTGCATTGAGTCAGCTACATGCTACAGCAGGCTTTGGTTATCTGCCGTCAAGTATGCCTTGTCAAACGGGTGACAGTCGATCGGACTTGTCCGATATCTTGTGTCTACAAAGTAGACTTGTAGTATTGAGAGTCTCTACACAGAGACCTTACATCGATATCGATAACTGTATATGGTAGACTCATCCGAGTCGGTACATAGCTAGTTACTTGTATACAATAGGACGTATATACATCTCTCTCTCTCTCTCTACTAATACTCTCCACGTTAATGACAACCAAGCTTTGTCCACTTTACTAGCTCTGGTATATGGTACCCATCAAGTGCATCTACTGTAGGCTGGCTGCCTGAGACAAACACGAGGACACTCATATTTTATATTCTGACACCAACACCAACACCCTGCCCACGAAACAAGCCCAATAAGTTGTAGACTCATTTTTTGACATATTATTGCCAAAAGACTGCTAAGGAATACGGGAAATAAAATCACTAAAAATACAACTCAATTACTCACTCTGTATACTATACGCAAAAAGAAAAAAAAGGAAGTGCATCAGCCAGGAATTGAACCAGGATCTATTGCTTGGAAGGCAACAATGCTAACCATTACACCACTGATGCTTATATGTTCTCCACCCTAATTCTGGACCTATAATGTTACCAAAATTACCGACCGAAAGGGAAATTTCTCGCGCTTAACCGGTCTCGTACTCAGGCCATAATTAGCAGACTTTTTCCACAACACCGGCACTAGTGGTGTAATGGTTATCATCGTTGCCTTCCAAGCAATGGATCCGCGTTCGATTCGCGGCTAGTGCATATTCTTTTTTTGCCTGTATCTTACAGTTAGGTATATAGGTGAAGAATGCTGGATAGATATTATTATTGTTATAAATTTAATACTACTACTTACTATCTCCATCAAAAACTCAATGCAAACTCCTGGAATTGAGACGTATTGTGTCAAGTCAGAACAATGGACTCAGCCAGAAGAATAGTTTGCTCTGATTGACGGATTTCGATTGTCTTGAGGGTCTAGGTAGATACCTAGGTACCTAGTATTCCGTCTCAACATCAAACAGTCTGGCCAATCGTGTCTCTCAGGAACAATACCCTGACGGACCCCTGCCTATCCTATTGTCCTTCTAGAAGGCGCAATGGATTCCAACCACGAGGAAAGCCGAGAGAGTGAATCAACCATGCGAACTTAGGGGGTTCTTGTACGACATGTCTTACTCGATCAAAGAGATAAAACCACTACTTTGCAAATATCTTCGATTACATTTCCCCTCTCTCATAGTTATCCCATACCTGGACGTTGTCGACATGAAATTCTTTGCCGTTCTTGCCTTCGTAGCTGGCACCTTGACTGCTCCCACAGACCGGCTCGTTGTGCATGAGCGACGGGATGCACTGCCCAGTGCGTGGAGGGAGACGAGCCGTGTGCATGAGAAGACGATGCTCCCAGTTCGTATCGGTCTGACGCAGCAGAACCTGGATATCAGCCACGATCTGCTCATGGAAGTGTAAGTGTTGTTCCTAGATTGAGTTGGATCCGAAGAAAAAGAAGGAAGAAAAAAAAAAGCTGACGGGCAGATCGAACTACTCCTCGCCCCGGTATGGACAGTACTATTCCGCGCAGGAGGTGTATGATATCTTCGCACCGTCTGAGGAAAGCATCTCCGCCGTGCGTGGCTGGTTAGAGTCCGCAGGAATCGACGCCCACCGTATCTCCCTCTCGACAAATAAGCAGTGGTTACAGTTTGACGCTGAGGCGGGGGTGCTCGAGAACGTCCTGGATGCTGAATACTATCTCTACTCACACTCGGACACGGGGATGTCCCACGTTGCTTGCCGGGAGTACTCGCTGCCGGAGTCTGTTCGCGCGCACGTCGACTATATCACGCCGGGTGTCAAGCTGTTGAAGGTCAGCGGTGCAGCCAAGGCGACGAAAAGAGGTAGTTTCGATCTCAAGACAGATCCCTCAAAAGCGAAGTCGTTGAATGTGTCTTTGGATTCGTTGGCTTCGTGCGATACATCAGTTACTCCAGCCTGTATCAGAGGTAAGAATTGGGTCTTATGTATGATAGGGATATGACATGCTGATGTTTAGCCATGTATAACATCTCGGAAGGAACCAAGGCGACACCTAACAACGAACTGGGCATCTTCGAGTGTCTGGGAGATATCTACAGCCAGGAGGATCTGGACCTCTTCTTCAGCACTTTGGCTCCGTATGTTGACTGAATTTCTTGACAAAGGACGTCACTGACTGAGCAGGAACATCCCCAACGGCACACATCCGATTCCAAACCTGATCGACGGCGCCGTGGACACCGTTCCGGTCAGCGAAGCCGGGGGCGAGTCGAGCATCGATTTCCAGGTCTCGTACCCGATCATCTGGCCGCAGAACAGCGTGCTCTACCAGACCGACGACCCGGTGTACGAGGCGAACTACACGTTCCGCGGCTTCCTGAACAACTTCCTCGACGCGATTGACGGCTCGTACTGCACCTTCTCGGCGTACAACGAGACGGGCAACTCGCCGCTGCTGGACCCGCCGTACCCAGACCCAGCGCCGGGAGGGTACAAGGGCACCCTGCAGTGCGGCGTCTACCAGCCGACAAACGTCATCTCCATCTCGTACACCGAGGTCGAAGCCGACCTGCCCATCTCGTACCAGCGCCGGCAGTGCCTCGAGTGGCTCAAGCTCGGATTACAGGGAGTCACCGTGGTGATCGCGTCGGGCGACGCCGGCGTCCAGGGTGTTCCGGGAGACCCGACCCCCAGCGGCTGTCTGGGCGTCAACCACACGATCTTTGTCCCCTATTTCCCTGTGAACTGCCCGTACACAACCGTCGTGGGAGCCACGTATCTGCCCGCGGGGGCGTCTGTGTCTTCCTCGACAGGAAGTGCTGCGGAGCATGCATCTGCAGACTTCCCCTCCGGCGGCGGGTTCAGCAATATCTTCGCACGACCGGCGTACCAGGCTTCCGCCGTGGAGGCATACCTAGCTGCCAACCCGCCGCCGTTCCCATCTTACGCCAGCATCAACAACGACTCCTTCGGCGCGGACGGCGGGGTGTACAACCGGATCGGGCGCGCGTACCCGGACGTGTCTGCCGTGGGCGAGAACCTGGTGATCTCGTACCGCGACGTTCTGGTCCATCTCGGCGGCACGTCCGCGTCGGCACCCATCTTCGCGGCGGTGCTGACACGCATCAACGAGGAACGCCTGGCGCGCGGGATGTCGACGGTGGGGTTCGCCAACCCAGCGCTGTACGCGAATCCGCAGGCGTTCCACGACATCACCGTGGGGAACAACTCGGGCTGTGGCACGGCAGGCTTCTCGGCGGCGCAGGGGTGGGATCCAGTGACGGGATTGGGGACACCAGACTATCCGAAGCTGCTGGAGGTGTTTCTTGGTAGTTAGTTCAAAGAATAAGACCCCCAATAATAACCGATACAGACTGGACGGCCCAGTTTTACCGAGCGGTTAATAGAACCAGATGATGTCATGAGGGGCCACCAAAGACTCGTACCTGATAACTTATAGCACCCATCACTCTGTAGAACAGTCACGCAGTTCCAGCTGGAAATGAATAAACATCCACAGATAAAAGGCGAGCAGAAAGACAGGAAATCGGGACTGTCTCGACCCAGGTAGAGAGCGACGTTGCGGAAAATAATTTCACTCGTGGAAGAACTGGCAGCCAGAGAGGATGACTAAGCCCCCCCTCTGAGGGGCACCAGAGGGACTTTCCCCCACCGGAGCCGGTTTTGGCCCTGCAGATAAATAAAGCCGGGGAGACTGAGAGCCAGCTTCAGTCTCTCTCGGTCTTCTCTCTCTCATCTCTCTTTGTGATTGCCAATTCGTCATGTCTCTCGGAAAGAAGGTTACTCTCAACACTGGCGCCTCCCTCCCGTAAGTTCAGAGTTTCTCTCCTGCTGTTGAGTAGCGCTGTACTGACTACCGCAGCCAGCTGGGGTTTGGGACCTGGCAGTCTGCCCCTGGGGAGGTTGGTGAGGCTGTCTACGAGGCTCTCAAGGCGGGATACCGTCATCTGGTGAGTAGACATTCTTTGTTGGGTATGGCTTGCAACTGATGTACTAACTAGTAATGTACTGTAGGACTTTGCTACCATGTACGTCGCCTCGTTGACGAGAAACACACAAGCACTGACGGATCAGCTACGAGAACCAGCGCGAGATTGCCGCGGGGATGAAGCGTGCCTTTGCTGATATCCCTGGTCTGAAGCGTGAGGACCTGTTTATCGTAAGTCTCTGCTACCATCACTTACTACCTACTACTGAACAAGCTAATTCTCGATAAGACCTCCAAGCTCTGGAACAGGTATGATTTATGCACTCGCTTGCTTTGGCCACGAGGTTCCCCGTTGACAAGACTAGCCAGCACCACCCCGACGACGTTGAGCCTGCCCTTGATGCCTGCCTGGAGGAGATTGGTATCGAGTACCTCGATCTATACCTCGTCCACTGGCCCATTGCCTTCAAGCGGGGCGCCAACTACTTCCCCCTGATCCAAGGTAGCACCGTGGAGGGCGGTGATGTCGAGATTGACGACGATCTCTCTATTGTCGACACCTGGAAGGGTATGTCGGAGTCTACTCGGTTTGTTTCTTGATGCTGACTGTCTAGCCATGATCAAGCTTCCCAAGAGCAAGACCCGCGCGGTCGGTGTTTCCAACCACAGCATTGAGCATGTAAGAAGCCTCCAGAATACCTTTTGAAGAATACCCACTAATTCTTCCAGATCGAAGCTCTCATCAACGCCACCGGGGTTGTCCCCGCGGTGAACCAGGTCGAGCGTCACCCGCTGGTGCCCAACCTGCCGCTGGTCAACTACTGCAAGGAGAAGGGCATCCACATCACGGCGTACTCGGCCTTTGGCAACAACGCCTTTGGCGAGCCGCTGATCATCAACCGCCCCGAAGTCAAGGCGATCGCCGAGCAGGTCTCGCAGCGCACAGGCTCCCCCGTCAGCGCCGCCCAGGTCATTCTCGCCTGGTCGCAGGTGGGCGGCCACTCGGTGATTCCCAAGTCGGTGACCCCGTCGCGCATCCGCGCCAATTTTGAGGAGATCGAGCTGCTGCCCACCGAGGTCGAGGCCGTCTCCGCCCTGGGCGCCCACCCGCGCCGCTTCAACGTCCCGTACATTGCCAACAAGCCGCGCTGGGACATCAACATCTTCAACGACCCGGCCGAGGCGCCTGCCACGCACAAAATTATTTTCTAAAGTACATATATGAATGAATATGAATATGCACATACATAAATCATACAAGAGTACACAAGTATACAGAAGACAAGTAGAATAAGAATAGAAGAGAAAGGAGGATAAAATAAAGACTAAGAAAAGAAAAGAGAATAGTTGTAGTCGGTATAAAATATGAATATATATCATAGTTTGTACCTCCCATCACCAAGTCACCAGGATAACCTAGTGGAATCTTCCTTGGTCTAGTGGTCATGATTTCCGCTTGTCATTCGTGATAAGCGCGGGAGACCGGGGTTCGATTCCCCGAGGGAGAGATTTTTTTATTTTTCCTCCAACCAGTGCATAACATCGGGTATCTACCAACTCCTAGCTATCAATCTACCATTCAATATTATTATTTTATCAATTATCGTATCTTCATATTCAGGGTATCATATCATATCATAAGTATACTATTCAGCATTGATTGCCCGCTGGTGCGTTCCGCGAATCAACCCCCCGTCCAACTCGTAGAACCGTTCCCCTGACGAAGCAGGCACTTCCATAACATCTCCGCCGTCAAGCATGGGGAGGTCATTCGGATGAGTTTTGCGTCTGATTTGTGTGGCAGTAGCAGCAGCAGGAGCAGCAGCAGGAGAAGTAGTAGGAATAGCACCGGCAGCGAAAGTCGTGGTATTAGCAGGAGTAGTAGAAGTAGCGATTGTCTTTTCCGGATCAGGACCGTGAACTGCAACACTGCTGTATAATGCTTCATTCCTCCTCCTCCGGATATACCACAGAATGACGACGATGAGCATCACGACGGCGACGATGACGCCGACTGCGATGCCTGCTTTGGCGCCTGCCGAGAGAGAACTTGAATGGTGATTGTTGTGATTGCTGCTACTGCTGCTGCTGCTGCTGCTGCTGCTGCTGCTGCTGCTGGCGCTATTGCCGTTTGTACTGCACGAGTAGGACCCGGAAATGTCGTTGTTGGAGTAGAGAGTTTTCCATGACGAGCAGGACATGGAGCCTGAGCTGGAGATTTCGACGTTGCCGTCTACCTTGTCCAACGAGGGGAAAGAGACACTATATAGTTAGTATAGTGTAGATGGTAGTAGAGTAGAAGAATCGTACGTATCAAAAGCACCCGTCAGGTTAAGATTCCCTTTGATTTCCTTGAGATCGTCAAAGCCGTCGAGGGTCGAGAGGTCGGCATTGCCGTCGATGATGAGGCTGGCAGCGATGGTCTTGAGCGTGGGCATGGAGATGGCCGTGAGGGTGTCGCAGCCGGACACGGTGATGGAGCCGCTGACGGTCGTCAAGGACGAGGCGTTGAGCGAGGTGAGACTGGAGGCATTGGCGGCGGTGATGTCGCCGTTGACGGAGGTGATGCCCGAGAGAGAGATGGCGCCCGAGGCCGACGAGGTGATTACGATGTTGGCTTTGAAGGCGGTGCAGTCGGCGAGGTACTTGTCTGCATCGCTCTGGCTGGAGATATCGACGTCGCTGGAACAGTCGGCGCGTACGAGGGCGGTAGTAATGAGGAGGAGAAACAGTGACGGCAGCCAGCGAGGATTCATCTTGAGTGAGAAGGACGAGGTGGAAGATATTCAGATGGAGAACAGGCCGGCTTTATCTGAAGGGATTTCTGTTGCGTGATGATTAAGTGGATAGTGTTCCATTAATAGAAGTAGACTAGTGGTACTTACTCGCCAGTGCTTTTTTCAATTAAGATCATTTAGGAGATAAATAATACATAACTAGATAATAGACAGATAAATATATAGAAACACATAGATAAATATATAGATAGACAAGATAAATATATTGGACTCCTATAAGTAGAATCAAATAAGAGACAATAAATATTATATTGTTTGCTGAGAAAATGAACCTCCGTCCGAAGTCCGCTGTGGCTGTGATAAGCATTGCTTGACTAGATCTAGCACTGCCTCCTACTTTGTTCAAGTAAATATTCAATGTATTATCAGGATGATCGACTGGTTCTGATTAAACAAGGGCTCCATCTGTCAGTATCAATTGGTTGGTTCTATTAATACCTGTCAGAGTATATCCGCAGTGGTCTGACCTCTGCTTTATAGATCTTATTTATCAATCAGCCAAGCATTTCTGGATTATCTCTGTATTGTAGATCAGTCTGCACGTGGCAGAAGTCATTCTATCAATGAACTTAGAGTAGCATTGTAGCAGTTCAGACAGACTATGATTATCTCCAGGACTATTATATCAATATAGATATATACATCTATAATGATTATCTAACAATCTCTGCGTCAGTCAGGATGACTACCACTAACTGACAACAGTGATGGCTAGTATTAATTGCCCTATATATACGGAGGTACCTGTATTTATGAATAAACTATACACGTCTCGGCTCGGTCGTAGACATGTCCGAACCGAAGTTTCGTCCGAAGGATACTATTACTCCGTACTCCGTATTCCGTACTCCGTCAAGTGAAACCTACCATCTATACGATTACGGAGATAGACTCGGAGAAAAGGAGTCAATTGATTAGGCAGCCGGTAATTGCTCAATAGCGAGTGGGGGCGGACCCAGAACATGGAGAAGGGTTAAAGAAATACAGAGTAAGAGGATGAACAGAAAGGTATGAATAGATTCATTTATTCATAATATTCTATTCTTATAGTATTCTAATAGAGCTCCTGATTCTCCTGATTCTTCTGATTCTCCTGATGCTCCTGATGCTTCTGGTCCTGATGTAGAAATGACGCAAGTGACAGCTGTAGCCTAGGAGATGGTTAATAATAACTCAATATTGATTAATAAACCCTCCATGGCATTAATAATTCCCCCATCCTGCTTAGTGGTTGTACGGCATGGCCAATTAGAAAAGAGGCGCGTGGGGGCGAAGTATCTGTCTAGAAGAGATATCAGTAGAATAAAACTAAAGGATGTAGAAGAGATATCAGTAGAATAAAACTAAAGGATGTAGAAGAGATATCAGTAGAATAAATCTAACACCTATATGATCATACCAGAGTTGTCCTCCATATTCATACTCCATACTCCATATTCCGTCCAAATACTAAAATCTAGAAAGTATTCCCGTAACCAGTCCAATATTCCATTCCCATTCCCATGTTCATGCCCGTCCCCACTCCCATCCCCACTCCCATCCCAATGCCCATGCCCATGCCCATGCCCATGCCCATTTCCACAACAGGCCCTGCGAGTGATGGGATTTCCTCCAAGTGGTAGTCGTGGTAGTCGTGGTAGTCGTCGTAGCGGTCGTATTTCTCGTATTTCTCGTATTCGAGTGGGTACATCAACGGCGTTTCATCTGGGGACGGCCAGACGGGCATGTCGAGGGTGTCGAGGGAGGATCCTGAGGATACTGATCCGGAGGGTTCTGGATGTTGATGTTCTAGATGCTGATGTTCTGGATGTTGATGTTCTGGGTGTTCTTGTGATGATGATGATGATGATGATGATGATGATATTGAGGACTGTGATTGTCTTGATTGTCTTGATTGTCTTGATGACTGTGACTGTGATTGTGGTTGAGATTGTGATTGTGAAGGCGAAGGGGAAGATTGTGGCTCTCCATAGTTGGTCTCCAAGGTCTGTAGGCGCAGCTTCATCTTCTTCCCTACTCAACTTAGCATCGTCATACTCGGACGACTTCTTTACTCACTGTATTTCCTCTGCGAGATGCGGTTCTGGATGCGACGCCGCTCTGCCCGGTCCGAGATCTTGGTCCAGTCCTCGGAGGCGGCGCGACTTTTGTTATCTGAATGTGAGACGCGGGGACGAGGCATGATAGAGTATAAGTACTATAGTAGTATACTATAGTATACGAGTAGAGTAGATGCGTTCTAGAAATAAAAAGTATGCTCAGGGGAAGGCTGGGATTTAAGGTATAAGTATCCCTCGTAAGGCTAGAAATGTTAGGCCGCCTGCGATCCTGCACCTGCAGGGCGATGATTTGTCTGTCCGGCTCGTATTGTTGCCCTAGTGCTGCGGCTGAACCACCGTTACATCCTTTTTTAACTCCGATCCGCCGTCCCGGGATGGGCATTGGCACTGGGGAGTCTCATGGCAGCCTGGACAAGGATGTGGCAGTGGCTGTGGGGGAAGCAGCCAGCGAAAGTGGCCCGCTTGAGGCCTCAACGCGCCTCCTTGACTGGCTGCGCGCTGAAGGATGAGAGGGAAATCCTGGATGGGCCAGGCGGCGCTAGTCCTGTTGGGGCAATTCCTTGTGTCGGAGTCCGCAGATGCCGTCGGGGCCGGCGCTAGCCTGTTCGGGATACCTTTGCGTGGAGCGGAACCCCCAGGGCCGAGCTGACTAAGCGTCGCTTGTGGCTAGCGCGATGCAAGCTGTCGATCAGAGTATCTACAGGTGACTGTACGGATGACGTCAAAAATACTGCCAAGACCTCCGCCTTACCACGAGGACAGGTATTATAGGTATTATTATATGCTAACTACGCTATGAAGGGCCTCCCTCACCTCCCGATTGAGAAAGCCGCCCAGTCCAAACGCAGGGAGCACCCTGACCATCCGCATCACCGAGGCCGGGAACCAGTCCCGCCCGATCCGCTGCCATCGCGCCCGCCAGCCCAGCGATTCCCGCCGCGTATACAGGTCCAGCCCGAGGAGGTGGACGGGCGTGCAGACCAGCTGCATCGCGGCGGGGACGCCCACCTGCGCGACCAGCGTCTTGAGCGCCGGGCTGGCCGTCACGGCGTCGGGGATCCGCTCCGCCACGGGGCCCGGCAGACTGAAGGACCCGAAGATGGTCATCGCGTCGCGCACCAGGAAGGCAGAGTATGTGCTGGTCGGGATCCGGCGGAGCAGCTGCGTGCTCTGTCGGACGGCGGCGGCGGCGGCGGTGGAGGAGGAGGACCCGAACAGCTGCGCGAACCGGACGTCTTTCCAGATGCCCACGCCGGCGTTGACGAGGAAGGTGCTGGCAAACGTCGCCGCCATCGTCGTCTTGCCATCTACCTGGGCGTGGGTGCCCAGGGTTTCGGCCAGGTTGGCGGTCGCAAACGTCGCCGTGTACAACGTCCACACAAGCAGGTAGGGCGGCGACCGCACGAAATGGTGTGGTTTGCAGAGCAGGGAGCCGAGCTGTGTGCGTAACGACGGGAGGAAGGGCTGGTTGAGCGACGATTTCTCCACCACCAGTCGATCGCACACCGTCACGGCGGGCGATATCAGCGCCGACGAGGTCGCTGCCGCCGTGATATCGGCGAGAGACTGGAAAACAAGCCGTTGTTGTTGTTGTTGTTGTTGTTGCTGCTGGTGTGCTGTCGGCACAACTATATCCATCAGTGCGTGAGCCATTCCGAGGTCTGCTGTCTGGCAATCAAGGTAACCAAGACAATGCACTGAATATATCTCGCCTTGATCAAGATCGGGAGAAATCTACCCTCTCCCAGACTGCCGTATACTCATCGGAGTCGCCCGCCAATCACGGCTCTCGGTGCGGCCGAGGGCAGCGAGCCCTAAGCCCAACGCCGATAACGATCTTCACCGAAGAATTCTAGAAAGCGTCAGTCTACAGTCAGTCTACAGTCAGTCGACAGTCAGTCGACAGTCTACAGTGATACTATATACTGATGCATTAGTGTATTATAATATGTAAGGCATGGATAACATTTCCTTAGTCATACAACATACGATGCCTCGTATATCGTATATCGGACGGACTCGGAGTCGCGAATCTCCGTTCCGGTCGGCGCAATGTTCCTCCGGATAGACCAATCATATAGTACCGGGAAAGCTCTGAGCAAGCATTATTTTTGGTGTAATATATCTCCTTAAATGTAAAAAGAAATATTCCTCTCTAGGATTATACCTACTAGCTTACCACTGGCATTATTATAATTTTATATGAGGGCTTATTAAGGGCTATACTTATGATTAGGCTGGAAATTATCTATGGCCCATAGATTTAAACCAGAGAACTATAGAAAATTAAACTTCATTAGCTAACTAGACTATCTATACAAATTACTAGATAGGGATCAAGAATATATACAAGCCTAGGCCTTTATTCGGTGCTTATTAGATGCTCAATTGATTCCTTGATTTCTCAGGCAGCACCTAGGCTTATAATACTCCCTAATTACCATGTTTAGGGCCTAATATAACATTTCCGCGCGCCTAATTTTTGACATGACATAAATAACAGTAAGATCATAGTTATGAAGGAATGGTCACCACACCATTGTTGGGGCCTAGTAGTATTGTAGTGTAGTACTTATAGAGTAGAATAGAGTAGGATAGAGGATAGAGGATAGAGTAGATAGAGTAGAGAGGATAGATCTAGAAGATAGAGGATAGGATAGGATAGGATAGAACTACTACTCGTCACAAGTGATGCCACTGGGCAGATTGAGACAGTCGTCGCTGACTTCCCCCCCCGTCACATCGACGTCGGTCCAGGTCCAGTCGGTGCAGCTGCCGTCGCCGCAGGCAATGTAGATCTCGACGGCGTCGCTCTCGACGGTGCCCTGGATGTTGTCCAGCACAAAGTCGGAGATGGTCACGCCGTCGGTGGGCTCCTCGTCTGTGTCGTCGTAGTTTTGCTCGATGATGATGCCGTAGTCGGTGCAGTCGGTAAAGGTGATTTCCTGGTAGGTGATCTCGCTGACGCTGCCGGTGTCTCCGTAGATGGTTTTGATCCGGATTGCTAAAGTAAGTTAGAGTTAGACGGAGAAGTTAAGAGTATTCAAGTAGAGTAAAGAGTGATACCCTGCTGGGAAGCCAGAATCTCGCTGTTGTAAAAGGTCACATTCTTGACGGTATTGTCGTCTCTGCCGCCGACGGAGCCAATGGACAGGCCGTGCCCCCCCGAGCAGACGCCGCCGGAGAAGTAGATGTTCTCGCCCGAGTTGATGGCGACGCAGTCGTCCTGGTTGTAGATGTTGGCGCCCGTGATGGTGACGCCCGTGGAGGAGGCGATGTCGAAGCCGTCGGTGTTGGCGGCCAGATCGTCCGTGTCGCCGTCGACGTTGTTGACCGTGATGTCGGTCAGGGTGAGGTCCGAGGCGTCGTCGATGCTGAACACCTGCACGGGCGAGTTGAGGATGTAGATGTTCTCGATGGTCGACGAGGTCAGCGAGTGCGCGTAGAAGAAGGTCGGCTTGGTCTTGCCCCCGTTCGACCCTTCGCCGTCCCACCACCGACTGCCATCGCCGTTGAGGTACGCGTCGTCGTCGGCCGTCACCAAAATGTCCGTCCCAGACACCGACACCAGCGGGCCGTCCCATTCCTCGTATCCAAACGTCGTCTCCCCGGCGAAGATCACCGTCGTGCCGTCGTTCAGGTCCGTCAGGTCCAGCGTCACCCCGGACGGCACCGCCACGCTCGACAGCACGATCGTCGAGCAGTCCAGCTTCGACGCCGACGCCGACGACGCGCCTTCAGACCCGGAAAACGTGCATGTCGTCGCGCGTTTCTGCGCTGCCTGGGGGTCGGGCGCAGGAGTGACCATCGGTGTGGCGGCAGCCACGGCCACAAGAGAGAGTAGAAGAAGCATATCGTAGAAGTAGAAGTAGAAGTAGAGAAGTAGAAGTAGAAGTAGAGAAGAAGAAGAAGTAGAGAAGTAGAAGTAGAGAAGTAGAGAAGTAGTAGTAGAAGTAGAAGTAGAGAAGTAGTAAGAAGTCAGTAGGAATAAGAGAGAGAGAGAGAGGATTTATAGAGATCCTACAGAGCAGTTCATGATTGGTGGCCCGGAGAATCTTCGCGGGGATCTGCAAAGGCGAGACGACGGCGCTGTCAATGGTGGATTAATCATAAGTTCTTCAGTCTGCAGGGGAAGTGGCATATTGATATCCATCAATCTTGTGATAGTTGAATGATCCTTAATTTGTGATGAGGGGATGAGACAGGGGTATAGTTTTGGTTAGATTGGAATCATATCATGAGGTGATTAGTATAGAGAAGAGTAATACTATACCTGTAGGGTATAGCTAGTTCTATTCTTGTGTAAGACGTTGAGTCTCTAGAGTCTATAGTATATAGTGCCATGAGAAGGTGACTTGGTTGTTGCAGGAGTATATAATAAGAAATGTCTGACCAGACAAAAGTACTATTAACTTAGTTCATATCCTGGCCTATTGGAAATTAACAGATAATGAGAAGCATGAGTATAGATATCAGCTTAAGGTATATAGGTCTATCATCTTAGATATAGTCTAAGCTGTTAAGCAGTATACTTTAATAAGAATAATACCATCTATAATAGTTTATATTATAACTCTCTCTAATAGTTTATATTAACTCATACTTAAGCATCTCTTATAAAATAAGAATAGAAGCCTCAGGCACACACTAACCCCATCTGGCTAGTGCTGACGGAAGCGAGCCCCTCGTCAACACGCAATTTCATGACTGCCGTGAATCTATTATTATTCTATCATTATCTTGTATATACTATATAAGTATACTGTATATATCCCATTCCACCATGGACGGCTTTACCGAGAAGCAGATCGAGGAGCTGCGCGAGGCGTTTCGCGTGTTTGTAAGTGCCTCGGCCTCGTGTGTGAAGGCTGCTAACCCCGCAGGACAAAGACGGCAATGGTAAGAGGCGACGAGCAGAGAAGAAGAAGAAGAGAATAATAGATTGCTAGGCGACATTACTGCCGTCGAACTGGGCGATGTGATGCGCAGTCTGGGCCAGAACCCCTCGGAGACCGAGCTGGAGGACATGATCAACGAGATCGATACGGACCGGAATGGCACCATTAGTTTTGAGGGTATCTATCTATCTTTCTATTCCATACTACTTATTATACTCTTCTCTTCTATCATGTGCTGAGGATTAGAATTCCTCGGGATGATGTCGACCAAGATGAAGCACACCGACACCGAGACGGAGCTGCGCGAGGCGTTCAAAGTGTTCGACAAGGACGGCAGCGGCTCGATCTCGGCGCAGGAGCTGTACGAAGTCATGAAGGCCATCGGCGAGAATCTCACCGAGGCAGAGGTCCGAGACATGGTGGCCGAGGCGGACAAGAATGGCGACGACATGATTGACTGTATTCTCTCTTCCGACTGACTGACTGACTGCTTTTGCTAACTGGTGTAGATGAGGAGTTTGTCGAGCTCATGCAGCAGGGATAGATAGATATTTGTACAGATGTCAATACATCCAGTTCCATAGCACATCTCATCTAGTCTATCTAGTTGACTGTCAATTGATCTACGGCTAAGCTCCTCAGAGCCTACGAGCTGGTCACAACACTAACACTGGGACTGAGCAATAGGTCCTTTCTCTCACACTCAAGACAGGGTGTAATGGATACTTGCGTCGGGTGTTCTCGTTGAATGGACCCCGAATATGCGGTGCACTAGGCCAAGGCTTTTCAGCATAGACGAAGAGAACGGCTGACTATGAGTGGCTCGGTGATATGCTGGGGACTTATGCCTCTCTAGACGTTCGGATGCTTTGCCCACACTTTCCTTGCCAGAAGCTTCAGACTGTCCACTGACCATTCGATGTCCTTCTCAGCCGTGCCCGGAGTGGCGTCACGAAGGAAAAAGCTGCTGAACGGAACCACAAATGGCCCGTTGGTGACCTCAATGGGAGAATCTTTGTCCTCCTGTGTGATGACCACTTCTTGAGTCCCTTGTGCCACAAGCTGGCCTGCCGTTGCTCGGGTTGGGCGACGAGGAGGAACAGCCTGCCAGTGAGTCAGAGTGATCTTCCTCATCTTCTGATGCACAGAGACAGATATCACAGCCCGGACGTCTCCTCTAGACTCTTCCAGCCACCACCGGGCGCTTCTCTCCGGATACCCCGTCTCTATCACCACAGAGGGCCATACGCCAGAGCGGCCGGCGGGGAGAACAGACGGAATGTAACTCTGGTCAGGCCGTTTTGTGTGGCCGCCAGAGTAGACATGTGCATTGGCTAGAAAATCGATCTCCTCGACGAGATTCATGCCGCCCAGGATGAGAGCCAGGGTGACGTTTAGATGGGCATGGGCGAGCTCATGCGGGAGGCTCGGCATTTTGACTAGAAGGAGCTGTTCACGATGGAGATACCAGATTGGACGATTGCGAAGGTGAGAAAGAGATAATTGGTGGGTGAAGCTTCTCTCGTCCATATGGGAGAATATCACAAAGGGTGTCTTTGCTTCCTCGAGGGCTTGGAGCGAGTGTATTCCATGGTATTGATATTCACTCGCAGAGACCTCAAAGTGGCTTGCCATGATATAGTATAGTATAGTATAGTATACAATATATAATATATAGTATATAGTATATAGTATATAGTATAGAGTGAAGGGAGAGAAGATTAGAGAGTAAGAGAGAGTAAGAGTAAGAGTGAATATCACTATGACATACTAGATATACTTACTAATAGTATAATAGATAGTCACTTATATTTTACCTATCTATATCTATCCTACATCTATTCACTCTATTCCTAGTCTATTCACTCTATTCACTCTATTTACTCTATACTACTATACTAATTCAATAATCTACTCTTCTGCTCTACTTTATACTGTATTCTCTCTTTATCTATTTTATATTAATTCTGCTCTCTCTCTCTCTTATCACTGCTTCACACTCTCTCTTATCACTGCTTCACTCACTGCTTCACTCTCTCTTCTCTTCTCACTCTTCACTTCTCACTGCTTCACTCTCTCTCTTATCACTGCTTCACTCTCTCTTCTCTTCTCACTGCTTCGCTTCTCGCTGCTTCGCAGCTCGAAGCTTGCAGCTCGAAGCTATTGATACTCCTCCGGCACAGTCGGCCAGACATCCACCCCCTCCAACAAGGCCATGGCCATGCCACTCTGCTGATGAGTCGCAATATGGCAATGCAGGAGAAACGCGCCCGGCGTCTCGACATGATAGCGAATGACCAGAAACCAAGCCCCCCCCACCGCCGGATCGAGAAAGGCAGTGGTAAAAGTATCTCGATACGGGGGATTGACCAGGTTGAACGACTCGGGCTGTTCGGCAACAGCTTCATCGACCGAGGTCCAGCCGAAGAAGCCCGCGGCCTGGCCGACCAGGTACCCTTTATTCCCGTGTTTATGGATAGGATGCGGGGGTTGGATCTCGGCGTCGGTCTCGCCGACCACCTGGACGATGATGTCCACCCACGTATCGTTGACGGAGAGCAGGGCGGCGTTTTCGTCGACGAAGAAGGCCGGATCCGGGTGTTGCAGGATGGGATGCGCGCCCCATTCCTCGGGGATGAAGAGCTCGCGGCCCCCGAGCGTCCAGTTGTAGGCCGTTCCCAACCGGGAGAGTTGGGAGAAATGCATATGTGCCGCTGTACTCGAGGGGGGAGGCACATTATACGGCGGAGGACATTGGGTGAGTAACAAGGTGCGAACGTTGGTGGATGTGATGGTGCCCCCGTAGTCGATATATCCTTTGCTATGGGGACCAGCCTGTTGTTTCACATAAGATGATGATGAAGATGGTTTGTAGGAGAGAGTGGCGTATCCGCCTATGACCTGATCGCCTCCATTGTCCGCCACTCGAATGCTATAGTTCCCTTCTGGCTGGTCTAGACGGATCAGCACGGCGTATCGCACACCGTTGAACATCTCGATGGCTTCCACCTGCTGTGGCTCGACCAGACCCCCGTCTGCCTCGTAGATCCACATGGGATGCGAGTCGACGGAGACAATCAAGCCCTTCAACGCCTGTGAGGCGACAAAATTCAGGCTTGCCCAGCCGTCGGCGGCGTCCACTTGGACCGTATACATGCCTCCGTCGGAGGGGGTGCAGTTCCATTCCAGCTGGGAGGGGACGGCATCGATGTTGCCTGTATTGAGGTACACGGGGGACTGGACGTCGGACAGAAGGACTTGAAGGCATCTAGATGAAAAGAATCAATAGATAAAGACTAACAAGGGCTAATTAATTCTGGAATATACCCCTTGTCTGTCAATAAAGTGCCGTTCTCGACATTGGACAGTTTGCCCGTCGTCATGCTCTGGAGGAAGTCGGCGCCAGGACAATACGTTGAGCCATGGCCATTGATGAGAAGCGAGTCGACGCAACTGTAGTTGTATACAACAGTTAACAGTTAGTATATAGAGAAAAAATTCAGTTGTATAGTGAAGGGATATACAAAAGATCGTAGCCCGAGGCGACTTGGGCCTGGTAATACTGCGCCGAGGTGAGCGACGTCCAGTCGGCCAGCATGAGCAGATTGGGGGCGGCGGCGGCGGCCTGCATCTGCTGGATGTCGTTGCTGTCGTTGGAGATCAGATGGAAGGGGAGTTCTTTTTGTCTAAGAGGGTTAGAGAAGTATAGAGTATAGAGTATAGTATAGAACCTGATGTAGATCCCTCCGATCTGGCCGTCTTGCAGCAGACTGCGGACATGCGAATGGTACCTGAAGATGAGCAGGAAGATGAGCAGAAGATGAGCAGAAGATGAGCAGAAGATAAGTATAGGAGAATACCAATATGTGCCTGCCGGCTCGGCCGTGAAGCGATAGACAAAGGATGCATCGGGCTGAATGGGCCGCTGGCTGAGGCCTGCCACTCCGTCCGACCAGGGCGAGTTGTGCTGGCGCAGGCCGTGCCAGTGCACCGTCGTGTTGAAGGGCAGATGGTTATGCACCGTCACTTCGATCTCGTCGCCTTCGTCCCAGACCAGCACGGGGCCGGGATACTGGCCGTTGGTGAAGATCATCTCGCGGGGGACGCCATTGGGGGAGCCGGTCGACCAGGTCAGGTTGAGCGTCTCCCTGACTGTTTTGGCCTGTGTCAAGGCGAGGAAGAGGAGGAGGAGGAGGAGGAGAAAGGGAGTCATTGGTAGCAGGTTGGGTTAGGTAGGGTAGAGTATAGTATAGTAGGGTAGGGAAGGGTTGGAGTTGGAGATGGGAGAGTATAGGGTTAGGGTTAGGGTAGAGTATGGTAGGGTTAGGGTTAGAAGTGGTTAAGGTAGGGTAGAGTATGGTTAGGGTTAGAGGTAGGTTGAGGTACGAGAGAGGGAGATGTATGGTATGGTAGGTATGGTAGGGAAGTATGAGCATAGATAGTAAGATAGGGTTAGGGTTAGGGTTGGTATGGAGAGAGAAGAGAGAAAGAAGAGAAAGAAGAGAAAGAAGAGAGGATGCAAGCAGATATAGACTCCATTTCTAACACAGCCAACTGTGATGGATTGTACTACTGGTGATGGGCAGATTTACAAGCCAGCGATGCAGGTCAATCACAGGGATACAGAAGTATAGAAAGTAGAGAATAGAAAGTAGAGAATAGAAAGTAGAGAGAGAGGGAGAGACAGTAAGTAATAAGTATAGAGAGGAGGATAGAGGAGGATAGAGGAGGATAGAGGAGGATAGAGGAGGATAGAGGAGGATAGAGGAGGATAGAGGAGGATAGAGGAGGATAGAGAATAGAGATAGAGAAAGAGGATAGAGAAAGAGGATAGAGAAAGAGGATAGAGATATGCATAATAGATCTTGAATTATATTAGATATTATATAGATATTATAGATATTATATAGATATTATAGATATTATATAGATATTATATAGATATTATAGATATTATATAGATATTATAGATATTATATAGATATTATAGATATTATATAGATATTATAGATATTATATAGATATTATAGATATTATATAGATATAGATATAAACACTGCCTAAATGATGATCTTCATGATGACTACTCCTCTCTAGCCTGTTTGAGTATAGCCTGCCCCTCGCGCCGTTTCCCTAAAAGAGCAATATTCCCCGCTCAACTACATATACCCATCCTTTGTTCTTATATCCATCTCTATCTTATACATATTCTACCATGAGAACATTTGCAGAAGCAGACGCCCCCCCCTGCGACTGGCGAACCCGCCAGCCCGGCTTCATCCTCTGGGCCCTCATCTCCCTGCCGCGCCTGCTGGTGGCAAGTGTTTTCTACAGCCTCATCTACCTATCCGCCTCGTCCCGGCCACGCCCGTCATGGACGTACCGCCAGGCGCTGGTCACCCGCGTGCTGCGCGTCGCCTTTGGGATCATGGTCGAGCTGGGCTTCTCGCAGTCGATCAGTCTCGAGGCCGGCAAACTCGGCGATCGCTTTGTCCTGCTCGATCCCGCGCCGCCAGAAGCGTACCTGGGGCCGTTTGCTTATAAGAGCGAGGCAGACGACAACCACAACAAGCCAGTCAAGCCCGAACGCATCGGCGCAACCTGGTATCCTGCGCCGCTGGACAAACGGACGGGGGAAGCCTCGCGCCTCGACGAGGACAAGAGCACCGTCGTGCTGGCCTTCCACTCGGGCTCCTTTCTCTGGGGCGACGGCCGGCCGGAGGAGTCGGGCGCCGTGGCCACGATGCTCAACGAGTCGCTCGGCCCCAACACCCACGCTCTCTGGGTGCAGTATCGTCTTGCCGGAGGCTCGCAGCCAACCCCGTACCCGGCTCCCATGCAGGACGCCATCACGGCGTACGTCTATCTCGTGCAGGAGATGGGGGTGCATCCGTCGCGCATCGTGCTCGCGGGCGACTCGTCGGGCGCGACCATCGCCATGGCGTTAGTTCGCTACCTGGCGTTCCTGACCGAGCAGAGGAATCATCATGGTACCGACAAGCCGGCGGCGGCGTATTATGAGCTGCTCTCCGAGTTGCCCCCGCCCAAGGCGTGTTTGCTCTTCTCCCCCTCGCTCGAATACACCTTCGAAGGCGACTCGCACGCCTGGGATGCCCACCGCAACGCAGACGCAGATTACTGCTCCGGCAGGATGGCCGCCTGGGGCACCGCGGCGGTCGCACCCCCGGATCTCGTCTCCCTGGACGATCCGTACCTCTCGCCGGCGCTGTACCCCTTTGCCACGCCTGTCGCCATGTTCGTGCAGGCCGGCGGCGCAGAGGTCCTCTGCGACAGCATCAAGGGGTTCGCCGATGCGTTCCGTCTCGTCGAGGGCAACCGCGTCGAGTACCTCGAGGTTGCGGATTGTCCGCACGACGTCTATCTCATTGGAAGCATTGCCGGGTGGAAAGAGGAGCAGAAGGAGATCATTTCGGCCGCCGCCACGTTTGTCCATAGTCTCTAGTACAATCTATCAATATATCAATGTCATACTGTATACGTATACGTATACTGTACACTAACAATACTCGGTAATCCAAGCCTTGAGATCCGCAATGGTAGGACACTCGAGGAATAAAGAACTGCGGATCTCAACCCCCAGCTGCGCGACAAACTTCTCCGACAGCACCAGCGAGAGCAGCGAGTCCACTCCGATCGACGCAAATTCCGTCTCGTCGCTCAGTTCGCTCACCTCCATTGCTGTTTCCGCGGCGATCAGCGCCAGCGCGTCTTGAACAACGGGGTGATCTGCTGTAGCAGTAGTAGTAGGAGTGACAGCAGCAGCAGCAGTAGGAGTGACAGCAGCAGCAGCAGTAGGAGTGGCAGCAGCAGCAGTCTTAGCAGAATCCGGCGGACTGAAGAAAGTCGAAAGAAGGAGTCTGGGAAAAGAGCGAAAGGTGATCCCCCCCACAAAGCCAACGACCTGGTCGTCCTGTAGAACATAGACGTCGCCAGCATAGAACCCCTGCTGGCCATGCACCGGCTCCATCTTGACGTAAGAGCGGTACTGTCCGCCCGGCACGAGCGGCGTGGCAAAGGCCATGGACTTCCAGCCGGGCGTGACGTAGAAGTTCTTCCTGGGATCCAGGGCATTCCCCCCATTACACACAAACCCGGCGAGATGGCACACGCTGTCGATATGATGCGGCGCAAAGGTCCATTTGCCGCCCGTGTGAGACGAGAGAGTCACCCGCGCGCTGGCCTCCATCCCGTCCAGCACGACGGATTGCATCCCGCGATACTTGTCGGCGTAGTCGACCAGGTTCGCGAACAGGGTGTATGCCATCTCGCGCGACAGGCGGGTTGCCACGCCCTGGTCTGCCATTCGGTCGAGCTGTTCGATCCGGCTGTTCACCAGGTGGGCGTGGCGGTTCCATTCCTTTTGCCAGGATGCTTTATCGCCGTATTCAATGCACGCGGTTGCAAATGTCGATAGACCGTCCTCACTGCTGCTGCTGCTGCTGTCCACGTTGTACCAGGTGAATTGGACGACTCCCACGAGTAAATCGGCAACAGCCCGCACGCGGATGTACTGCGGGCGAGAGCGGTCCTTGCGGGCAATGAGACCCTGTTCGACGTGCAGATTGCAAAAGTTCATGCCCGGCTCGCCTCCCCGGATGCGTGCGTACAGGTGTTTGGCCATGGAAAAGGCCACGTCGGCATGGATGGAAGACGTGCAGACCGGATGGTTGTTCATGCGGTGGCCGTTGGCTGCCTCGAGGAACTCGGGCTCCATCAGGTCGGACTGGATGACCAGCTCGCCACCGTCGTTGCCAATCTCCTCGACGAGAACGTGATGGATGAGCGAGGTGCGGAGGGTAGAGGGGAGAGCAGCAGCTGGTGTAGGCAGAGGAAGGTCCGGTTTATCCTTGGTGAGCATCCAGTCGCCGTTATACTGGATCCAGTAGCTCTTGTTGTTCCACGCATAGGCCGGCAGATCGGTCAACAGGCGCAGCTGCGGTTCAAAGGGGGCATGCCATTCGTTCCAGTCGACCTCGACGCCGGCGTTGTGCAGGGCAGCCATCGTCTCGGCCAGCGTGGCGAAGTTGTTCTCGTCGCGCCGCAGCGTCGCCGCCGTGATCGAGCCCGCCGCCGAGGCCAGCGTGCTGCGTACGAAGCCGGCGCAGACCGGATGAGGCCCGATATCGATCCAGACGGTGCGGGCGTCCACCAGGCCCATCTCCTCTGCGCGCTCGAGCGCCGTGGCAAACCGCACGGGCTGCCGCGTCGCGTCGCTCATGTACTGCCCGTTGATGCGTTTGCCGTCAAACACCACCTCCTCCAGCAGCGGCGAGATGACGGGGATGCTGGGGGCCCGGAAGCTGGCGCCCCTGGACGCGATCTGCTCGAACTCGGCCAGCACCGGATCCATCTGCGTCGAGTGGAAGGCAAACGGCACCTGCAGCTGGTGGCATCTGTGGCCTTTTGCCTCGAGAACGGTGCGTATCCTCGCCATCTCCTCCGTCGCCCCGGAGATGCACACATCGCGGGGGGTATTCAAACAGGCGATTTCCACGGAAGATGGAGAATCTCCTCCTCCTCCTCCTCCGCTCTCCACGGCCTCCACGGCCTTCACGGCCTCTCTGACGCTCTCCTCGTCTGCCCGCACCGCCAGCATCGTGTGCGTCCCCTGCGTGCACTTCTCCTGCAGCAGCAACGCCCTCCGGCCGACCAGGAAGATGGCATCGCTCGCCGACAGCACGCCCGCCGCGTACAGAGCCGCATATTCGCCCAGCGAGGCGCCCACGACGATCGCCGGCGTCACCCTCCACGACGCCCAGAGACGCGTCAAGGCGATGCCGACGCAGACAATCGCCAGCTGCGTCACCACCGGCGGGAACACGTGATCCGCCGGTTCCGCGCCGGTCACGGCCTCGAGGAAGGAGGGGAAACCGTGACGGCGACAGACTTCGTCCAGGGCCAGCAACTGCGCACGAAAGAAGGGGAGGGCGGCGAAGAGGTCTCTGGCGACGCCTGGATAGAAGGAGCCCTGCCCGGAGAAGACGAAGGCGATGGGAGGGCCTGAGGGAGAGGAGGGAGAGGAGGAGGCGACCGGTCGGTGAGTCTCTGCGGTGGGCAGGCATTTGGCCAGACGGGCGCTGATCTCGTCGACAGAGCTGCCGGCGACCGTGAGGCGGTGATTATGATGGATGCGCCGGGCAGTCGTCGTGTACGAGAGATGGGCGAGGGAGACGGTGTCGCGGTTGCGCTGCAGGTAGTCGAGCATCCGCTGGAGGTTGAGTTTGAAGGAGAGCTTGCTCTTGGCTGACACGGCGACAGGAAACACCGGGCGGACATCGAGCGACGACGACGACGACGACGACGACGACGACGACGACGGGGGCTCTTCGAGCAGGACGGTGGTGTTGCCGCCGGCGGCGCTGAAGTTGTTGACGACGGCGTAGCGACGACGAGTGGGCGATCGTTTCCAGGACACAAGCTGGTCGGGGATGCGCACGTTGAGCCTCGCCAGGTCGGGGAACTTGGGGTTCAGCGCCGTCTGGATGCCGACGTGCGGCGGGATGGCTTCGTGCTGGAAGGCGAGCAGCACCTTGACCAGGGCGACGATGCCTGCGGCGGCCTCGCCGTGGCCGACGTTGGCCTTGACGGCGCCGATGTGCAGGGGCACCGCGCGTTTGGGACTCGCCGGCGCGAACACGCCCGTGACGCTCTCGATCTCCATCACGTCGCCGGCCTGCGTGCCCGTGCCGTGCATCTCGACAAAGTCGACCTCCGTCGGGGCCACGCCCGCCAGCTGCACCGTGCGGCGGTACAGCGCCGCCTGCGTCGCCGCGTGCGGGTGCGTGATGGAGATGGCGTCGGCCGAGTGGTTCGTCATGGACGACAGGATGACGCCCAGCACGGCGTCGTTGTCCGCCTCGGCGTCCTCCAGCCGCTTGAGCACGATGGAGCCCACCCCGTCAGCACGACAGTAGCCGTCGGCGCCGGCGTCCCACGTCTTGCAGCCGCCGGTCTTGGAGAGGAAATGGCCTCGCGATAGCCCGGCAAAGGCGTCCGGGTTGGTGAGCACGTTCATCCCCCCCGCGACGGCCATGTCGGTGTCGCCGTTGAGCAGCGACGTGCACGCGATCTGGATCGTCGCCAGACTCGACGAGCACGCCGTGTCACAGCTGAAGCTGGGGCCCGAGAACTTGAAGAAATAGTTGATGCGGCCGGGCGCGAACGCTCGGCATCCGCCCGTGATGTAGTACGTGTCCACGTCCTGTCCGGAGTTGACCTCGCGGTAGTCGTCGCACGCCTGCCCGTAGAACGTGCTGGCGCGCGTTCTGTCCGTCGATGCGGTGCGGTTGGGCACGTATCCCGCCTGTTCGAGAGCCTCGTACGCCGTCACCAGCGCCAGCCGGTGCATCGGGTCCGTCTCGGCGGCCTCCCGCGGCGACATGTTGAAGAAGCCCGCGTCGAACAGGCCCGGCTGCTCGAGGAAACAGCCAAACGGTGTCAGGCTGGTGTTGCGCCGTGTCCCCGTGGGATCCGTGTGTCGGTCGACGTCGAACCGGTCCGCAGGCACGGTCCGGTGCACGTCGGCGCCAGAAGCCAACAGCTCCCAGAAGCTGTCGAGGTCGTCGGCACCCCCGGGGAACCGACATGCCATGCCCACGATGGCGATCTTGGACTGTGCCGTCCCGGCGGGGACGTACTGCTTCTTCTTGTCGTCGTCGTCGAACAGGAAGGCAAGCAGGTCGGAGCCGGTGGTCTCGCAGTCCGCACAGCGAGTCTGCAGCGTGTCGACCATCTCGCGCACAATCTTGCCTGCGCGGAAGCTGGCGACGGTGCATGCTGTCGCAGAAGAAGCGCCCAGGGAGTCGACCACGGCTGCCACCACGTCGTCCCAGCGGATGGTGCCCGTGAGCAGTTCCAGCACGGTCTTGTCGAGCAGCTCCCTGCCGGTGCTGGCGTGGAAGGGCCGGGCATTGCCTGTCGACAAGACCGGAACGGCACTTCCAATGTTCTTTTTATTATCGATGACACGCTCGGCAATCGCCGGATGCACCGTCGCGACGATCTGCGCGCTGTGCTGCGCCGTGTACAGATGGGGGGCATGGCAGAGGCCGCCGTAGACCGGCAGGGCCGCGAAGCGGGCATATTTGAGCCTATCCGAGACGCGGAACAGCCTCTTGAGTCGCGAGGGGGGACCCGTCACGGTGATGCTGTCTTTCGCGACGGCGCTGACGAAGATCCTGGCGGGCGGGTTGTTGATGCTCGCGTTGAAGACGGCCATCTCCTCGCGCACCGCGGCCTCGTCCATGCCCGTCACGACATACGCCCAGCTCTCCGGGGGTGCGCCTGGCTCGCGCGGGTCCAAGGCCTGCGAGATGTCGTCGACGAGGATGCCCATCCGCAGGGCGATGCGGACGGCCTCGGCGCCGGCGAGCGGCACATCTGCCAGACACGACGCCAGCGAGACGGCCGACGCGGCCAGCAGGCCCATTCCCAGGCCGGTGAACATTTTGCAGGAGGAGTATTCATGGGATTCGAAATGCCTTTCACATTAGTTGAGAAGTATACTCCTCAAGGACATCCAGGCCAAACTCACCCGACAAACGCTCCAATCTCCACCACGGCCAAGAGAATGCCCTCCATGGCGCCCGCCAGACATCCCCGGCGCCAGTTGGGCATCTCGACGAGATCCAGGACCGAGGCAAACGCCGGGAACATGGCGCGCCGGTCTGCCGGGAGGGCGCGGATCTCGTCTCGCAGCACGGCGGTGGCCTCGTCGAGGAAGCGGTGCAGATGAGGGTATTCCCTGGCCTTTGCACGCAGGCGCAGGCGTCGGAAGACCTCGACCAGATCGTCGGGGGGGAACTCATTGGCGAAATGGACGAGGGAGGTTGCCCTGCCGGGATCGACAGAGTCGGAGTCGATGGAGAACTCGCTGGCAGATTCCATGATGCTACAATCTGGTGGTTTGTCTCTTCTCTTCTGTACATTTGCCCTAGCTTTTATATTGTGTTATTGCCGATATCGGGAGTCAGCTGAAGTGATGTGATGGGAGTGCAGATTTGGACCGAGGCCATGATTTTATACCCGGCCATGTAACAATAGACAGAGTCTTATTGAAATAGAAAGCCTTCAACGAGTATACATAAAACTAGAAAGCATACTAAGTAATACTCTTGACTAGATGTGTACGACAGTAACAGTCAACGCTTGAACCAGAGCTTCTCCCCCCCCCGGAACTCAAAGGCGACGCGATTCTCGCCGGCCAGCTTGAGGAGCAGCTGGGTCATGAAGGGCTGGAAGACGGACTCGACGACGGGCGCGGGCAGGAGGCCAAAGACGGCGCCGACGAGCTGGGCCGGGGTGGCTCTGCCCGCGGCGACGAGGGCGGCCTGGATCTGGCGCTCGCGACGATGTTTCAAACCCAGCTCGAGCTGCAGCTTGAGACGGAGGTCGTGGAGGAGGGCGCCGTGGCCGGGATAGCCGCGACGACAGGCCAGCCCCTGCATGCGTGCCAGAGTGGCCATGTAGGCGGCGAGATCCTCGACGGCGGTGGTGCCGTGGCCGAGCAGGTTGTCGCCGGTGAAGAGGGCGTCGTCTTCCTCGAGCACGAAGCACATGTGGTCGGTCGAGTGGCCGGGCGTGTGCACGGCGCGCACCGTGGCGCCCTCGACGGCGAACGTCTGGCCGTCGGTGATGGCCTCCTGGCCGCGGTCCGGCTGGTTCTTGAAGATGCGCCCCTGCAGGGTTGGCCATCGGGCGAGCAGATCGGACACGCCTCCCGTGTGGTCGCCGTGCCAGTGCGTCAGCAGCACGGCGCTGAAGGAGATCTGCCTCGTCTCGGCCTGGGAGATGATCGTCTCTGCCCAGCGTGGCTTGCCCTCGCCCGTGTCGATCAGCAGCCGGGCTTGGCCGGTGCCCACGATGTACGTGTTGGTTCCTTGGAGTTGCATCTGTGGGTGTGAGAGCAGAGTAGAGAGCAGAGTAGAGAGCAGAGCAGAGTAGAGACATACCTTGCCGGGATTGTCGGCGAGGATTCTGATGACTCGCTCGGTCAACTGCTCGACCTCGGGCAGGACGGGCAGCAGACGCTCCTGGGCAGTGAGATAGTCCTCAAAGGCGCACAGATCGACAAAGTCGTTGATGTTGCGGGACATGGTGTGCTCTGTTCTGTTTCCTCTGTTCTCTCTCCTGTTCTGTCCGGTTACTGTCCTCTTCTGTCTCATTCTACTCTATATCTATCTCTGAGACGGGCGTCGGGTTTGCAATGAGTCCAGCTCGGAGGATATCAACGGGCGGAATTAGGACCGGGCAGGATGGGAATCCCTGAATGTTGCAAGATTGACTGGCGACAGCGGACGTGTTACATGGGAGCAGGCTGACATGAGGCAATAAAGAACAATAGATGTTATTGACTAGCCCTGACGGAAAGCCCTCTGCATGATCTTCTTGACCTCTTCCGGCGGGATCTTGGCCTTGCGATCATACGTATAGAGGCCATTCACTTCCTGCTCAATGTCATATCTGCATAGACGTTAGCATGTCCTCAATAAGACAGAATGATCGTGGAGGAAGAATACAGCTGAGTATAGACCAGTCCACAGGTGTGCCCCCCCGCGACCGCCATGACCAGCCTCTCCAATCTGGCCAACAGATCGGCGGCGTCCAGAGCCGTCGTGTATCCCCAGTCTCGCTCCCCTGCGGGCGAGTCCCTGGCGGGCGCGATATTGACGCCGCCGAACTCGGTGCAGATCACCGGGGCGCCGGGGGAATGGCGACTCCCTGCGTCGTGCTGCTGATTGTCCGGGTGCAGCGGCTGCACAAACATGGCGTGATCGGCCTTGGGGCCGAGGATGCCATCCAGACTGGCACAGGTGCGTGCCAGGTCGGCTGCGTCGGCGTAGTCGTGGAAGGTGGTGAGATCGGTGTGGACGTGTTCCCAGCCGCAGTTGTCATTCACAGGACGAGAGTCATCGAGCGTTCTACCCTTAGCCGAATGACAAATGCTGATCGGAGAGTGAGTGGACTTACTTTGTGAGGTAGTAGAGAGAACGGAGATGGTTCCGTTGATGGACATCCCCCTTGAGAGCAGGATACCCCCAGCTCTCATTGACCGGCGTCCAGGCAATCACCGACGGATGGTTGATGTCTCTGCGCACGGCGGCCGTCCATTCGGCGTTGAACCGGTCGATATACTCGTGGCCAAAGGCGTAGGCGTTGGCCATCTCCCCCCAGACGAGATACCCCAGCCGGTCAGCCCAGTAGAGGAAAACAGGATCCTCGACCTTCTGGTGCTTGCGACAGCCCGTGAAGCCCATCGCCTGCGCGCGCTGGATATCGTCCTTCAAGGCCTGCTGCGAGGGAGGCGTCAGCCCCGTGTGCGGCCAGTATCCCTGGTCCAACACCAGCAGCTGGAAGATCGGCTGGCCGTTGAGTCTGAAGCTGCCGTCCCCGTTCGACCAGGAGAGACGCCGCATGCCTGTCGTGGTGTGCACCTCGTCGAGCAGCGTGTTGGAGCCATCCAACAGCCGCAGTCTGAGGTCATACAGCGTTGGATGCTGGGGAGACCAAACCGCCACGTCGTTCTGCCAGTCGAGGCCTTCATGGCGGCTCTCCTTCACCTTCATATCCAGGTCGAGAAGAGCAAACTCTTGATCCTTGGGCAAGTCACTCGCAGCAACACCCACCAGCCGGCCACCCAGTCGCGCCTCCATCTCCACCCGGACAGAAGCCCCAGCCTGACGCCCGAGAACGACGATCCGGGCATGCAGCAGGCCGGACTGGAGATCGTCCGATCGCAGCAGAGTGCCCTGGCTGGCGTCTCCGAGCCTCACCCGCGGCACGCTCTCCAGCCAGACAGACTGCCAGATGCCGCTCGTGGGCGTGTAGAAGATACTCTCGGGAATAGGAGCCCAGTACTGTTTGCCTCGGGGCTGCGTGAGGTCGGACGGTGAATCGCGAACCCGAATCGTCAGCCGGTGTTCCTTCTCCGGACTCGTGAGGGAAGATATCTCCAGGTCGAACGGAACGTGTCCACCGCGGTGTTCTCCGGCGAACACTCCATCCACCCAGACCGAGCATTCATAGTCCACTGCTCCGAATCGAAGGAGAAGCCGTTCGCTCGAGACTTGCTGCCCGCTGCGGAGATCGCGGATCCGCCGTTCGTACCAGATCACCTCGTGGGCGGATTGATCGTTGATCCCCGACGCGGCAGTCTGGAAGGCAAACGGGACTTGGATCGTGGTCTTGTTCTTGTCGGGGAGTCCGTGGCGAGGCCAGGACGACAGGCCGCTGTCGCTGTCGTCGAAGAGGAAATCCCAAGGGCCGTTGAGAGAGGCCCATTTGAGGGGGGTCCGTTGGAAGTCGGGGCGAGGGTATTCCATGGAGAGTATTTGAAGAGAGAGAGAAGATAAAAGAAGAGACGAGAATGAATGAAGAGAGAAGAAGAAGAGAGAAGAGAGAGAGAAGAGAAGAGAAGAGAAGGGAGAAGTGGAAGGCAACCCCGCATGACGTCTTACCCCTCTTTATACAAATACCACGTTATATTGAAGCTCTGAATATTAATAAGTGTATCTACTCACCATAAGTGAATCATAAAGATCGACCACGAAGAATCATATCGCTTTATGGTCATCCATCCGAATGACAGAACTCCATGACACTGACCTGTCTCGAACATCGGCTGCCAGAATCATGCCCGCCTCAACATCCCTGGCATCGCCTGGCGGATCGAAAGTCTGCGTCTCGATGAGACTGTCTGGGATCTCACAACCGGAAACACAACGTGCGAGGGCTGTCAGCGTCGGCTTCCTGAAATCAACACCTCCAGACGGCCAGAATCTCCCAGTCTCAGCCTTTGTGGTGACGTCTCGGAGGTTCGATCTCTTCGCATCGAGATATGAGAGTAGAAAGCGGAAGTATAGGAATCGTCGACGGGGGCGGGCATCGGAGAGGAAGCTCAAGACGCGATTATCAAGGTCCTATAATTCGTTGATATCAATACCATCTCATACTGTCATTTGTCTAACCTTCACTCTGATCAAGTCTCCGGTTTCCTTCTGGTAAACGATGTTTTCATATTTCGATTCGTCCAAAACCACGCATCTCCATGTCGTTGGGATGGTTATTTCGCCAGGGACTGGGACCACCGCAATGACTCCCTGGTCGAGAAGAAGTTGGATAGGACTGCTGAGCGACAGAGCTATACAGATTAGCCTTATTTCTTGCAGAGAGAATAGAGCGTACCGTTTCGAGGATCAGTAAGAAAGCTATACTCGCCGCCAAACAGATGGGAGATCTCCTCCTGAGGGAGGGTTCTGGGCACGATGTGAGCCGTCGTTATCGTCGACGCCGGCACAAAGAGCCCAAGGATGTGGCAGAAGGAGGTTCCCTTCTCGCACGCTTCTGTCAGTCCGTAAAACTGGTGGACTTTGATCTTGAACTGGCGCTGGTTGAAGGGTTGGCCAGCACGCATGAGTTGTGGGATGACGGTGTCTCGATAGGCTCTTTCAAGAAGACCGTCGTCAGATGGCTCATGACGCCTTTGACGCTTCAACTCGACTTCCTCCTGCAAATCCTCCTGAAGCATCTTTCGCTGGCGTTTGAGGACATGAATTGTCGTCATCGTCGATCGGAACTCAGCGAGGAGGGGCCCGATTTGCTCCTGAAAGTCAGGATCGGTGAGGGACCCTGCGATTTTGGCTTCGTCAAGCTCTTCTATCGTGCAGCAAAGGTGAACTTTGTCGTTCTCCAGCGCTTCTATCTTGGCATCGAGGAAGTTTGCAGTGGTTGACTCGAATTCGGCCATGTTGGTGAGAGAAAAGTTGATGGAAGAGAGAAGAGAGAAGAGAGAAGGGCAATGAACTAAGCCTACTTGGGTTGCATGGTTGCCTAGAGTCAGTGACTTAATAGACTTTATGATAAATTGACTAGATATAGTTATAGGCTTGACTATCTGGTACTTGTCTAGCTGCCTGTATTAACTGCTCTAACGAGCTCTAGATACTCAAGATCTATATAGATGTAATAACTAGAGTGAGAGTTGATATCATAACTTATATGGTTTAGGTATATATACTACTAAGCCTATAGAAAGCAGACCAGATAATAACCACATTAACCATCTCTATCTGCCTAGACTACGCCTAAATTAACCATAAATATATTGAGATATATACCTTGGAGGTGTCTGCCTAGTTAGGCTTAGCGCCATCTTGCTTACAGCTTTATTATCTATTATTATTCTGCTAAGCTTTTTAGGGCCACATCACCCTGATAACTACCATGTATTGATTTAATTCCTTATAGTCACTCTATCCTAGTATCCTCTATAATTACACCATGTCATTATTGAGGCCACTCTCCATGCCTCTGGTGAGAAGAATAGCGACTGGCCCAACTTGTTCTATAGGACTCATCGGCCAGTCAGGTCGCAAGTACAACATCAAAAAAGTCCTTCAGGAAGAATCATTTCCTCCACGGCAGGTTTACTTGGCGACAAGTGCTGAAGATGAAAGGAAAAGGTTCATCTTAAAATACATTCACTCGGTCAATTTTGACGATCTCCAAGTGATCAATAATAGACTGCGCAATTGTGCTCGCCATGTCCGTCTTCCCCAAGATATCATACCGGAGAAGTCGATGTTTGTGTTTGAGTATTTCACAGACCACCTCTTGCATCTTGCTCAAACAGACTTGTCTGTTGCTGCGAGGAAAAAGATCCTTAAAGATGCTCTTCATGGAATAGCAGAGCTCCATGATCAGGATATTGTGCATACAGGTAGGCCTTGTCCTGGGGGTGAGATCTAAATATACTCATATACTATAGATATCAAAGCGGATAATATCTTTGTCGACTGCAAACCTGGTATTCAACGCGTTCAACTGGGAGATCTCGAGGATGCAGCATACATCCCCCCTGGCTCATCTATGATTGGAAAACAGGCAGGAAACTGGATGTGGAGGAGTCCTGAGGCCCATGCTCAAGGGCCAGTGAATAAGCCGTCAGATATCTTCTCCTTTGCTCTTGTGGTGAGTTTTCTTTCTTTCTTTCTTTGTTTCTTTCCAATGATCGTTGCTTATTCTTAGTGCATTTATGCAATGCATAAAAGGGTGATTTTTGCTGTTGGAGAAGATGAGCTGGAAGAAGGCGTGGATCCGTTGGCTGTGGTGATTGAGCGGCAAATCTCGTACTTTGCAGATGAAGATGGACTCAAGGGCTTTCTGGAACGTCTTGGAGATAATCCCTGGGTTCGAGTCTTTGAGGTCACCAGAGATGGGTTCAATCAAGACAACCCACGGAGACCCTTTGCGCTTTGGAAGGGAGTCGACGATGACTTTAAAGATCTGATTGCTGCCATGACCAATTTTGATCCAGAGAAGAGGCTCACAGCCCGTGAGGCCTTGGCACATGAGTGGTTCAAGGTAAATAAATGAGCCAAGGATGATAATACTGGTAGTAATATATATGTAATAAACAGCAGCGGCAGCATTAGATTATGAACTGAATTTATGAAGTTGACTGGCTAGAATATAGCATGCTATCCTAAACACTCGACTCTGCTTCTCCCTCAGCAACTCCTAACGGCATTCTTCATCCTGTGCAGATCTATCATTGGTAGGTCATTTTATGGTATATCGAGGCAAGCCGAGCGCCAGTTGTGAGCGTGCCCAGGTGGAATATCCCGGGTATGCGGTGTGCGACGAGGTTGAGGTATTCATCTTTAATTCAATAGGTGTATATGATCCAGCAATATTGATACAGTAATTCTGCAGGTCATGACATGTTGATATAGAATCTATCTAACAATAGACTTAACATATCCATTATATCATGAGAGCCCTAATTATTATCATTACTAAGTGTTATAAATTGATGATGTATGCAAGGATATCATGGGTACTCGGGTTGATACAAGGTCAGGAACCTGATAAATTTTTGTATAAAATTATATGCCTAATACTAAAGTATATGTAATTAACTAGGATTGGCATGAGCTGATATCTGTCTGAAACAATTATGCAATAGCATATAATGTACAGGTACACGGAGCCTATTCTACTCCGTGTGACGGGAGTGGCGTCGCCCCGCGCGGGGAAAGCTCCGCTCTAGCTGGAAACAACCTAGTTTCCGTGGCAGCCGAGTCCGTGCGCTGGCTTGAGAGTATGAAGTGACAGGTAGGTAGAGTGACAGGTAGGTAAAGTGATATGTAGAGTATAGCAATGGAAAGAGAATGACAATGTATTAGACAGTGATTTAGCTATAGCAGCATTCAGAGTTGAGTTCTGTTGACCATATACCCCGTCTAACCATGAGTACTAACTGGATAAATGCTACGATGTATACCATCTCTACACATCTCTATAGGTACCTACCATGTATACCACACGTCACCTCCACACGCTAGGCTCTACTTTTGAGTCCGAGTTGCTCTCGAGGTGTTTGGACCATCTATTTAATCCACAGCGGGGTCTACATGAATATACAGGAGGTATAAAAGAGAGAGAATCCAAGAGTCACCGAGAGTCCAAGAGTCACCGAGAGTCTAAGATTCACCAAGAGTCACTGAGAGAGTCATCAACAGACAATGGCATTCCTTCTGGCTACAATGGCAGCTACAGCCATGGCAGCCAGCCTGTCCGACATCTGCTCCGAGACATACCTGGCGTCTGCCCTGCCCACCGACGTGGACAGCGCGTTGACGATCGACAGCAGTTCCGTGACAGCCAACGCCGTGTACAACTCGACCATCACCGACGACGACATGTACCCGAACGCGGTGATCGACTACTGCAACGTGACGTTTGCGTATGCGCACAACGGGATCACCGACGACCAGGTCCTGGTGCAGTTCTACCTGCCGGCCCCCTCGGTGTTTGCCAACCGGTACATCTCCAACGGCGGCGGCGCCTACTCCATCTACGGGGGCACCTCGATGCCCGGAGGCCCTATCTACGGGGCTGTCTCGGGGGCCACGGACGGCGGCTTCGGCAGCTTCGACACAGACGCCGACCAGGTCGCGCTGCTCGCCAACGGCACGCTCAACTGGCAGACAATCTACATGTTCGGGTACCAGGCGCACTACGAGCTGACACGGATAGGAAAAGCGTTCACACGGAACGTGTACAATGTGTCTGACGCGGACAAGCTGTACTCGTATTACCAGGGGTGCTCGGAGGGAGGACGCGAGGGATGGAGTCAAGTGCAGCGGTTCGCGGAGGAATGGGATGGAGCCATCATCGGGGCGCCAGCGTTCCGGTATGCGTTCCAACAGGTGCAGCATCTCTATTCGAACGTGGTGGAACAGACGCTCGACTATTACCCGCCCCCCTGCGAGCTGGAGAAGATTGTCAATGAGACCATCAAGGCGTGCGACCCGCTCGACGGCCGGACTGATGGAGTCATTGCCCGGTCAGACCTGTGCATGCTGCAGTACAACATCAGCGAGACCATCGGCATGTCCTATTACTGTGCTGCCTCGAGCGGGGAAAGCTTCTTCAAGAGAGAGTACTATACCGACAGATTCGGCAAACGGCAATACGGAGGCAGTTCGACACCGGCGCAGAATGGCACCGTGTCGGCCGAGGGAGTCGCCGTGGCGCAACGCATCCTGGACGGGCTTCACGACGAGGCCGGCAAACAGGTGTATTTCTCCTACCAGATCGGGGCGACCTTCACCGACGCCCAGACGACATACAACAGCACCAGCGACTCATGGGGGCTGGATATTTCCGGGCTGGGCGGCGAATGGGTCGCCATGTTCCTGTACCTGCAGGATGCAGATAACCTGGCCAGTCTGGAGGGAGTGACATACAACACACTCAAGGAGTGGATGCTGTTTGGCCTGAGCAAGTATTACGACTCGCTGCACACGGCCTGGCCGGACCTGACGCCCTTCCACAAAGCAGGGGGCAAAGTGCTGCATTACCATGGTGAACAGGACAGCTCGGTGCCCACGGCATCCTCGGTGCGGTACTGGGAGTCTGTCCGGCAGATGATGTACTCCAACATGACGTACAATGAGAGCGCCGCCGCCCTGAACGACTGGTATAAGCTGTATCTGATCCCGGGGGCGGTGCACTGCGCCCCCAACTCGGAGCAGCCGAATGCGCCCTTCCCGCAGACCAACTTTGCCGTCATGATCGACTGGGTGGAGAACGGGGTGGCGCCGACGACGCTGAATGGCACGGTGCTCGAGGGCGAGTACAAGGGCGACAATGGGCAGATCTGTGGCTGGCCGCTGCGGCCGTATTGGGTGGACAACGGGACGACGATGGTGTGTGAATATGACCAGGAGTCGTTGGATACGTGGTTCTATGACCTGGAGGGGGTGGAGATGCCTATTTATTAGTAGTTAGTAGTATATAGTATAGTATTGAATTTGAAGTATCAAGTAGCTAACCCAACCCTAGGGTTGGTTATATGTACAACTATGGTTAATTGCAGTAACAAACTTAACCATAACCCTAGGTTTAGGGTTACGTGTCGAATTAGTAACCCTAACCTACCCTAGGGTAGAGGTATATAGTATTGAATTATAACCCTAACCCTAACCTACCCTAGGGTTAAGTACCAAGAGTCATTAGTATAGGTAAATAATAGTTCCTACCCGACATAACCCTAGGGTTAGTATAGCATAGTAGGTTACATATTAAGTAGTATTATATAGTTGAACTAGCCTCAATAACCACCTCGGTCGTCCTGCGAATCTGCAGATCGTCCATACGCAGGTGCTCCTCGCTGCCCACGTCCCCCCAGTAATGCGCCGCAGTGTTGGCCTTGGAGGGAGCCGCCGAGAAGCGGTTCGCCTCGCTGGCGCCTCCCGTGCGCGTCGACTGCAGCTGCGAGACAGCCTGGCGCACCAGCGTCCACACAAAGGGCAGGTTGGCGATGTACATGCCGATCGACGATTCGCGGAGGTACCAGAACTGGTAGCTGTAGTCGTAGATATCATGGAAGGTGAAGTATTTCGACACGGCAGCGCAGGCAATCTATAGTTAGAAGTATAAGCATAGTAGTATAGAAGTATAGGAGTATAGATGGAACGCACGACAAAAATACCCAAGGAAAAAATCAAGATGACAGGCAGCTTGGTCCGCCAGGGCATGCGCGTGCGCAGCAGCAGAGGCAGGATGACGGCGAGGATGGCCAGATCGGAGGAGATGTTGAACACGCACTGCGTCACTTCATACCGGAAGTAGGTCGCGCACTCCTGCTGCGGCGGCGGGATGGTGAAGTAGCCTGTGAACGGGTGGCAGTTCAGGAAGAGCACCAGCTCCGTCACCAGCCAGCCGCAGAAGGTGTATCCGGCGCATGCGAGCACCAGCCGCTGCTGATTGAGATTGGAGCTGAAGACTGAGTACTGTGATATTTAGATGTTGGGAAAAACTCGGAGAGACATACGTAAGACGGTAGTAGAGAATCAGCATGGACGCCTTCAGCGTGTACATGGTACACAGCATGCACTGTCTATTAGAGAAGGACATGTAGAACATCTGGATCGCCATACATTCTCCGATGCAAATTCAATCTTCGACCCCTTGATGCGTTCGCGGATATCTGCTGCTGTAAAGGTCGCATATTCGGCCGCCGTGTACAGCGTGCTCCCGCCGCCCTCGATGATGGCGATGTTGGTGACTGCAAAGGCTGTATAAAAGGCCTGTCCTATTAACAATCACACCCACTGCTTATGTACTTATAGCCTCACCACTGCAGCCAGCATCATATAGTCCTCCAGCTGCCACCGCAAGCCAAACCGCTGGAACCGGGTAAATCTAGACAGTCAGAACCGAACAACAGCAAGCTGGAGCCACTCACGTCCTCAGCAACACGAGCACCATGGCGATCGAGTACATGGTCCATGTCTGCACAACCAGATCATGGGGGGAGCCTCCACCATCGTTGGCCATGGCGGAGTAATACAGAGGTTCACATGGATAGAATAAACAGGAATAAAGACAGGAACAAAGACAGGAATAAACAGGAATAAAGAACAGGGATTAATGAGTAATAATAGAGGACTTAATTTTTACTTTCAAGAACTTTTCTTATCTTTTCTTTATATTTTTATATTTTTATTTTCATTTTCTCTTTTACCACCTTCCTTTTTGCCTCTCACCCTGGCTTAATGCTCCATATTTTTCCTCTCAGGGGAGACTAAAATCCTATAAGTTGCGTGACGCGTAGATAGCGAGAGGGAACTAACAGGGGTGGCCAGGATATTAGTCAATCAGAACAGACAATACAAATGAACGCGGTTTGCGCAACGCCCAACAGGGGAACCAGAAAACCTTGACCTTGTCTTTTTCTTTTCTTCCCCCAAACGATTCTGTCTCTGTCAATCTGTCTCTGTCAATCTGTCTCTTCAACATGGACGTGGAAAAAGGAGCAAGGGAGAACAGCAATGGGATCTCGCCAGCGACCGGGATCTTGGCCCGGCTCAGCGCCCTGGGCCACCTGGAGCAGCGCGGGATCGAGCGCGTGCCCGAGAGCGAACGCCAGGAGCTCCGGTCGGGCGACTACCTGCAGATGACGCTGCTGTGGTTCAGCACGAACCTGACGGCCAACAACGTCGCGGTCGGCATGCTGGGGCCGCTGAGTTACTCGCTGGGCTTTGTCGACTCGGCCTTGTGTGCGACGTTTGGCGCGTTGCTGGGCGCGGCGGGCGCTGCTTACATGAGCACTTTTGGGCCGGCGAGCGGCAATCGAACGATGGTACCCTAACCCTAAAACCCTAACCTAACCCTAATAATAGTCACAACCCAACCCTAAACCCTAAACCCTAACCCTAACCCTATAATTCGTCACAACCCAACCCTAACACAACTAACACAACCAACTTATACAGGTCATCGCCCGGTATTTCATGGGCTACTATCCCAGCAAAATCTGCTGTCTGCTCAACATCGTGATCATGCTGGGCTACGGCATGATCGACTGTCTGGTCGGCGGCCAGATCCTGTCGGCCGTGGGGGACGGACAGGTCAGCGTTGTGGGCGGCACCATCATCGTGGCGGCCATCACCTGGCTGGTGGTGGTGTTTGGCATGACGCTGTTCCAGCAGTACGAGCGCTGGGCCTGGATCCCCCAGGTGGTCGCCATGTTTGTGCTGGTGGGCAGCGCCGGCCCCAACTTCGACACGTCCCTGGCGTCGACGGGCGACGCCGCCACCATCGCCGGCAACCGGCTGTCCTTTTTCTCGCTGTGTCTGTCTGCCGCCGTGGCCTGGGCCCCCGCCGGCGCGGATTACTACGTGTATTACCCTCCCTCGACGCACAAGTGGAAGACGTTTGTCATGACGCTGGGGGGCATCGGCGCCGCCCTGGTGTTTGCCAACCTGATGGGCGTCGGGTTGGCGTCCGGGACGGTCAGCCAGACGGCCTGGCTGGACGCGTACGACACCTCGTCGGGGGCGTTGATTGTCGCGGGCTTCGACGGCCTCGGCGGCTTCGGCAAGTTCCTCGGCGTGCTGGTCTCGTTGGGCCTCATCGCCAACAACATCCCGGGCACGTACTCGGCCTCGCTGGGCTTCCAGATCATGGGCCGCCGGCTGGCTCGCCTGCCGCGCTGGTTCTGGTCCTGTGTCGGCGTCGTCATCTACACCGTCTGCGCCCTCGCGGGGCGCAACCATCTGTACGACATCTTCGAGAACTTCCTCGCCCTGATGGGCTACTGGGTCACCATCTACCTGACCATCGCGCTCCAGGAGCAGCTGCTCTTCCGTCGCCAGCGTGGCTTCGACTGGTCCGCCTGGCAGGACCGCAGTCGTCTCCCGCTCGGCCTCGCCGCTCTCACGGCCTTTCTCGTCGGCTGGGCCGGCTCCATCGTCTCCATGTACCAGATCTGGTATGTTGGGCCTATCGCCGCCCTGGTCGGCGAGTATGGCGCCGACCTGGGCATCTGGGTTGGTGTTGGCTGGGCCATGCTCGTCTTTCCGCCTCTGAGGTGGTTGGAGCTGAAGAAGATCGGCCGTTGATTGATTCTAATGTATCCTTCTGTATTACCACTATATAGGAAGACATTCCCACTTCAAGACTACCTCATTCTAGCAAGAACACTGCTGAACCGCCATCCAAAAACATTCCCCTGCTGAGCATCGACGTAGATCCGATGCAGCGCCTCTTCGATCTCCTCCGCCGGCGTGTCAAACCCTACCTGGCGCAATTCAGCGAGCACCCCAGCGCAGCTCTGCAGATAGACCGGGGTCCAGAGCCATGCCGCCGCTCGATTCAAGCCACTGCAGCGGGCATGGAGGACGTCAAAGCCATGGGTTGCCAGTATTTCCGGCAGGTGTTCGGGCCAACTGGACAATTAGATCCTGTCGGCCTTGATATCAACAAAAGGGACTGACTCAAACTGCAGGTTCAGGGCCTGCCATGCCTTCTCGTACATGCGTTCAAAGTCAATGGCCGACTGGACTTGAAGAAGGCTGGGATCACGAATCGACTCCTCCCATTGAAGGTATCCTCCCTCTTCTAATCCACGTCAGCTTCTATTCATATAATGTACAGGCAAACTACTCAGTAATGATTTGGCCATGTTGACCAGTTTCGACGGATCATTGCCTCGCACAAAAGAACACAGCAGCCGCATGTGCACGACGTCGTATTGTCCCTTCATCTCGTCCGGCACTTGTTGTAGGGCGTCCAGTTCTGCAAACGAGACATTCTCTCCCCAGACGTGGCGAGGGGGGAAGGCAGCCGAAGAGACATCGTATCCTTCAAACACGACGGTTGGGTACTTGTCGGCCAGTTCCAGGATCCATACTCTGTTGATCAGCGTTGGTATGTATATAGTATGTCTCCCAGTTGGATGGATTACCCCGTCCCTGTCCCGATATCGGCAATCTTCATTCCATCGTGGATGGGAACCGACGGATGCAGACCGTATCCTAGATGCAGATTGATCGCAAAATGCTGCCCATTGAGTCTGAGAGCTCCATCAGCTAGAGTCTAGTCGATGTCGACTTGAAGCGTACCGGGCTGTTTCGCGAAAGTTGCGGCCAACGAGGTACTGCGAGTCATCTGTGAGGTCAGTCATTTTATAGTATATAGAATAGAAGTAGAAGTATTAAAAACATAAGAGATATGCAAGACAGATAGATAGATATAGATAAGAGTGGCTTACCCCTCCTTTAGTCTCTCACTAGTGATGTACCCCTTAGTAAAGGTCTAATCTATATTAATGTCTATCTATAGTATGAATGATATTGATATATTTCTATTTTAACAAATCCTATACATATTCAGGGCCAATAGTATCATATTCCTATATGATTCACACACTCAGGCCTATCTGACATCAGTCAGGCCAGATATGCCTAATGAATAAAAAATCAGAGTGTAATGCTAACTATATTAGGCTTAGCTAGTTAGGTGATGATGTAAATATATATAAATCATCCTAATTAGCAGCCTTAAGGTTATTCTTTTCTATAATATACCCCTCTAGTATTATCCTAACTTTATTATTATCTCTATTATCTTAATATCCTCTATACTAAGTATCTTAATAAATCTTTAATATTATAGGCCTATTAATATCTTTATAAAGCTATCTATAGATATATAAGTTATTAAGATTTATTAGATCTATATTATCTTAGCCTAGGTCTCCTAATAAAGCTAGTGCTATTAAATATTAATATATTAAAGCTTAATATATATAAATGGCACCTCTTTTATAAATAGATTAATAGTCTATTTATTATTATATAGAATACTTAATTAATACTTTATATTAAATTTAATAGATATAAATAGTTATTTCTACTAGAATAGCTCCTTCCCTATATATAAGATTATAGTTAATTTAGCCTCTATAGTTAATATTATTATAATTTATTACTTTAATACTTTTTAATCTATAGATCCTCTATATAATAGATAAATATATCCTTATATACTTTTATAATTATTATTATTTATATATACTATATTACTTATATATATAAATACTAAATAATCTATAAGTATTTAATTAACTAATAGATTATTTATAGGGCTCTCTACTAAGTATCTATAATAAATAACTAAGAATCTTATTTTATATAGATATAGAATTACTTATTCTATAGCTTTAATATATTTAGTTAATAAATTTAATAAAAATTCTCTTAATTTATTTATAATCTAGGCTAATTCTACTCTTATAATAATTATTATATAAATAAGTAATCTTATTAATTCTTAATAATATTATATCTAG